TTCAATCCTCTTCCCCTCTCCCCACATCGAGGAAAAAATGCACAGCCTCAAAATGTCGGATTACTCCTCCATTCGCACAGCTTGCATCCATAACGGTCGTCTTCCGTCCACATCACAGCGCAGTCAGTCTTCAGGCTTAGAGGCCTTCAGCCATTATACTCCCGACGTAGCTCCGCAACAGCCAGCAGGCTTGCCGCTCCACCAGAGGTCGCAATCAAGAGTTCCTCTCGTACTATCAAGATTTACTGCCCAGTCAATCACAGTAGGGTAAAACTAACCTGTCTCACGACGGTCTAAACCCAGCTCACGTTCCCTGTTGGTGGGTGAACAATCCAACACTTCGCAATTTCTGCTTCACGATGATAGGAAGAGCCGACATCGAAGAATCAAAAAGCAGCGTCGCTATGATCGCTCGGCTGCTACAAGCCAGTTATCCCTGTGGTAACTTTTCTGTCACCCATGTCCCAAGCCTTATAGGACATGGGATCTCTAGGCCAGGGTTTCCCCCAAACAATCCCGCAATAGGAATAGTCTCAAGCAGGCTTATGCCCTTGTGCTCCACGCGTGGTTTCCTTCCCCGCTGAGCCCGCCTTAGGACGTCTGCGTTAGTCTTTAGCAGTCGTGCCGCCCCAGCCAAACTCCCCACATCCATAAATAAACCGCTGAGGCTCAGTCATAGTGGTCTCGCACATCTCCCCCCACCTCTCTTCATAACCACCCTCAGCACTTCTCACATGCTAGAGTCAAGCTCAACAGGGTCTTCTTTCCCCGCTGATCAGCCCAAGCCCGTTCCCTTGGCTGTAGGTTCACAATACAGGTCGTAGGGACAGTGGGAATCTCGTTGCTCCATTCATGCGCGTCACTAATTACATGACGAGGCATTTGGCTACCTTAAGAGAGTCATAGTTACTCCCGCCGTTTACACTCGCTTAAGCTCAAAAAGCCGTAACTAAAAGTGCACTGGGCAGAATTCACCTTGCGTTCTTCCGCAAGGCTATGTTTTTAATAAACAGTCAGATTCCCCACAACAAACAGTTCTAGCACGCTAGAGCCAATCCTTCTCCCAAAGTTACACATCCATCTTGCCGACTTCCCTTACAACCCTTCTCAAATTCGCTTCCGCGTCAAACAGTGGACACCTGTTGCGGTCTAGGTACGACATGCATGCTTCTTTTTCATCGGAACAGGTCATCTCCTCAGCGCTGCTTCGTCTCTTAACAATCCACACCGCTACTTCCCCTAGTTCTGCTCTCCTAGGATCAAAAATCCCCCATCCGTCATCATCAAGTCGCCTCAAAGCATCCATACACTCAATCTTCAATCAGTCTCCGTTTCAACAGTCGATTCACCCCCATCAAATGGGGAACCCTCGTCCACAGCGCAAATCCTTTCTTGTTACTACTACCAAGATCTGCTCATATCACCCCTCCACCCCCGCTCACGCAGGACCTTCGTCAGAATGATATCGCCCTCTTACTCAGCTCCGCCGCTAAGGCCTCGGATACCTGCAATTCAATCCCTTCCATTTTCTCCAGCGCCCAATTCGGTAGGTACGTTGCAACACGTTTCTTAGCGGATGCCAACCTCCATGGCCACCGTCCAACTGTCAAAATCAAACCGCCAGATTCTCTTCCCTTGCATACGGCTCCTTATCCTAAAAAAGGTTCATCCCTTCTCGCACATCATGCTTACCACAATATGCCCACTGGCTACCCCCTTACAAGACATCTTCAAAGTTTAACGCTATCGCATTAGTGCTTTACAACATCTTACATCAAGTCGCCGCTGTCCTGAGAGACATTTCAGAGGGAACCAGCTACCAGATGGTTCGTTTGGTCTTTCGCCCCTATGCCCATCTCATGCCATCGAGTTGCACGTCAGAACGGCTTAGATCCTCCAGAACACTTTCGCATCCCTTCAATCAACACAGGCATAGTTCACCATCTTTCGGGTCGGATCACTGCATCCACTAGCTCTCGCTAAAACAATCCAGCCATCCTCTCCTTGGTCCGTGTTTCAAGACGGGCGGGTCTCATCCCCTTCAAAGCATTCACTTTCATTTTTCATCTTGTCTTTTTCACATTTCAATCACTCTACTTCTTCGCTATCGGTCATTAGCTTATATTTAGCTTTCGGTGAAAAAAAACACCACCCAATTCAGGCTGCACTACCAAACAACCCTACTCTTCTCTCAAGTCCGGATACTTACAGGCCATTCCCCCTCTAAGATCAGGGACTTCAATCCCTAGCTCAGTCTCCTCCTACTCAAAACAACCCGCCAAACGCAGTTACCATTCGAGCTCCTGTCCTTTCACTCGCCGCTACTCCGACAATCCCTTTTGGTTTCTTCTCCTCCCTTTATTGATATGCTTAAGTCAAAGGGGTCCCCAAGCGCTTCCGCTTCATTCAGACATCCTCAAAAAGGCATATCGTCCTCCTACACGTCCTTCCTCGCTGCTAATGCCTATCAATCCCGTGAATCCTCAAATCAAAAAAATTCCCCCCAATCTCTCAAATACTGATCCTGCTGCTGGTTCTCCAACAGCAGCCATGTTACGACTTATATCTTATCTAACACGAAGGACTCAGACCTTCCAATCTTCGTCCACTGCGTCATCTTAGATAGCGACGGGCGGTGTGTACAAAGGACAGGGACCCATTCAAAACAACTTGTTCAATCGTTATTACTAGGAATTCCACGTTCAGAAGCCCATTACACAGCTTCATCCCTCACAGCAGGCTCCCTCGCCATCTATCGTAGTGCGCGTGCCGCCCGCTTCATCTCAGGGCATAACGGACCTGTTCTGTTCCATTCCTCCCTTGCCCCAAAGAGCACTGTCAAAGGGTCTCACATCTTACGCAACTTAATCCAAAGCTCACGCCATCCATTTCAAACGGCCATGCACCACCGCCGCGCGCATCCCGTCCTCGTTCTCCTGCCCGCTTCAGAACCGGTAAGTTGCCCCGCGTTGAGTCAAATTAAGCCGCACACTCCACTCCTTGTGGTGTCCTTCCGTCAATCTCTTCAAGTTTCACTCTTGCGAGCATACTATCCCCAGAACCCACATACTCAAGATTTCTCATGCACAACACTATATAGTCCCGTCCAGTCGGCATCGTTTACTGCTAGAACTAAAACGGTATCTAATCGATTTCGATCCTCTAGCCTTCGTCCTTCATCGTCACATAAGTCCAAGAGCACAGCCTTCGCTTCTGTCCGTCCAGTCAGGGTCTTCGTATTTCACCCCTCGCCCAACTATCCGGTGCCCCTCGTCCTCTGCCAAACCTCTTACATCCACATCAGGACATAATCCCCCAAACAAAGACATACAAAAGACTACGGACTTTTTAACTGCAGCATTCACCATAGACACTATTGGAGCAGGTATTACCGCGGCTGCTGGCACCCGACTTGCCCTCCAATCAATCTCGACTCCTTTACACTCGAAAAAAACTCACTTCTCATAACCGCCTCCCCAAAGGATTAGGCAAGTTTCGCGCCTGCTGCCATCCTTGGACGTAGTAGCCATCTCTCAGGCTCCCTCTCCGGAATCAAACCCCGATCCCCCGTCTCCCGTCTCCGCCTAGTTAGGCCATTACCCTAACTACCAGCTGATAGGCCTACAACTTACTTGGCTCGTGTCAAAAACACTCCTAGCCCCCTACCTGCAGTTTCCCGCAGTTACAGCTCTCCCGCCAACCAAATCATCGTACTATCACTGAGCCGTCCGTCAATCCCCCACAAGGTTCATCAACATGCATGGCTTAGTCCCAGAGAATAGCATCCACGTCAGGCAGAATCAACCTGATGCTACCCCCCATCAAAAATCTCTCAGATCCCTCATCAACAAACCCCTGGCCACAGCCACATCAAATCCCAAAAAATCCTCCATCCCCACCGTCAAACACAAATCTCTCTCAGAGGAGACCAAGACTAATCCAAAACCACTCTCTTTTCTCCCCACATCCCAATCCCCCCCCTCGCTCCCCCTTCTCTCCATAGCCCCTCCCCTCTGCAAAGGAGACTCTGGGGGGAAATAAGACGGTGGGCCCTAGAAGAATTCCCAAGAAGCCGCGGAATATAGATTTCGGAGAGAGCAGCAGCTCGGAAAGCTCCATGTCCGAGCAAAGGGAGGAGAAGCCTCTGTACATGTTGAAGTCCACAGGGCCTGGGCGAAAGAAGAGGAGAAGAGGAGATCCATTTATTGATTGTTATTTGAAAGGAGATCCATCCACCAGATGCACGTCGGACAGTTCCGAGGGGAGGCCGGACATAGGCGATGCAGTTATCTACAGGAGCGATCTCGACAGCGGCGACGAGATCATATATCTTAGTGAGCTGTTGCAAGGATGACGGCAACACACACCAAATATTATTAAAGCATGTGTTTTCTATGCAGGGTCCCGATGTGTTTTCAAGCCGTCGAAGAATGGATGGTTGAGGGCGTCTGGAGCAGTGATCCTGGTTGAAGAGCAGAGATCAAGCATCCTGTAGAGCAGGTCGTATCCCTCGGAGCCGACCTCGGCCCACGGGTTAAGCGACTCGATAATTGTCTCGAAGGGGATTCTCTCCTCGGGAATTGTGTCTATGTTCGACCTCCACAGTCTTCCGTAGAACTTTGCAGCCTTTCTCATTTCTGCGTGTCCAAAGATCGTTGCAATCTCGACAATGGCGTCGATATCCTCGGACGAGTAGAAGAAGGGATATTGTGCAGTCAGGATCGTCAAGAAAATCACCCCCACAGACCACATGTCTATGGCTCTGGTCTGGTGAGGGTAGCGGAACAGGACCTCTGGTGCTCGGAACCCACGTGTCCCGGCCCGAGGAGCCTTCATCTGCGGCCTGGAGTCTCTCTCGTAGTATCCCGGAGGCTTTGTCTTCGACACAATCGAGTTGAAGAAGAGCAGGGGTGTCTGGGGCTTGCTACTGTCCTTTGGAAGATGTTCCTCCCTGCGGTCTTCGTACTGGGCAAGCCCAAAGTCTATGAGCATCCCTCTTCCAGTCTCCTTATTGTACAGAAAGTTCCCTGGCTTCAGGTCTCTGTGTATTATGCCATTGCCATGCACATGGTCTATCGCTTCCAACAGGTTGTACAGATACTGCTTGATGTCATTCAGGCCTGCATTGGAAATAAACTCCCGGAAGTCGATGGGCTTGAAGTACGGAAAGACAGCAATCACCTGGTCTTCGTTCCGGAAAACCCCGAGAAGCCCCATGCAGTTCCTCTTTCCCTCAAGTGCCTTCAGAAACGTCAGTTCCTCGAGAACCCTTGCTGGAGAGCTGGTTCTTGTTATTACCTTCAGAGCGACATGTCTCCCGGCCTCTGCATCAAGGGCCTTGTACACAACACTGAACGACCCTTCGCCTATTTTTTCTATGGGCGTGTACTTTGGTATGATGAAGGACAGATGCTTGAGGTCGGACTCTGGGATCTTTTCCTCTTCCATCCCCCTTTCCAGGTTTTTTATTTTAAGATTGGGTGTGGCTCTGCCATACCGATTGTCTTTCATGGCTGGAAGGGGATGGAGATAAAGGGTGGGAAGGGTAGCCCTTTAATGTGTGGAGGACTCAAGGCCGATCTGTTTGTTAGATACAAACAAATGGAAAGAAAGCTCAAGCTTCTCGAGATAAGGGAGGCGTATGTGCGCAAGGAAGTGGAGACGCTGAGGAGGGAAGAGAGACACAGCAAAGAGGAGCTGGATAGAGTCAAGAGTGTTCCGTTGATAATGGGGCAGTTTCTGGAGCCTATCGACAACTCGACAGCAATTGTGGGGTCGACAGCAGGGAGCAACTTTGTTGTCCGAATACTGTCTACTGTGGACCGAGAGCTGCTGAAGCCAAACACTACAGTTGCGCTGCACAGACACTCGAGTGCGATTGTGGATGTGCTCCCTCCGGAAGTGGACAGCACGATTCCTGTAATGGGGGAGTCTGAGAGGCCGGAGGTGACGTATGCAGATGTGGGAGGGCTGGATGTGCAGAAGCAGGAGATAAGGGAGACGGTTGAGCTTCCTCTGCTGCAATCTGAGTTGTACAGACAGATAGGAATTGATCCTCCACAAGGGGTGCTGCTGTACGGGCCGCCTGGAACGGGGAAGACGATGCTTGTGAAGGCTGTGGCGAACCATACAAAGGCTACATTTATAAAGGTCAACGGGTCTGAGTTTGTGCAGAAGTATCTTGGAGAGGGTCCGCGGATGGTGCGGGATGTGTTCAGGCTTGCAAGGGAGAAGGCGCCGTCGATTGTGTTTATCGACGAGGTGGACTCGATAGCAACAAAGAGATTTGATGCGTCGACATCTGCAGACCGGGAGGTGCAGCGGGTGCTTATTGAGCTGCTGAACCAGATGGACGGATTTGACCAGACGGCAAATGTCAAGGTGATCATGGCCACAAACAGGGCAGACACAATCGACCCTGCACTGCTCAGGCCGGGACGGTTGGACAGGAAGATAGAGTTTCCGCTTCCCGACCGGAGGCAGAAGAGGCTTGTGTTCAATGCCATCACATCGAAGATGAGCCTCAAGGACGAGGTTGACATTGAGAGCCTTGTGTGCAGGCCCGAGAGGATAAGCTGTGCAGACATCAATTCGATCTGCCAGGAGGCGGGAATGCTTGCAGTGCGGGCCAGCAGATACATGGTTACGCAAAAGGACTTTGAAGAGGCATACTCAAAGGTTGTTGAGAGAAGCGACACAAGGCCTGCATTCTACAATTAAATAGTTTGTGTTTTCCCGACTAAGAGGCCTGGGTTGGATCTAAAGATGTGAACATCAAAGAAGGTATTTAATTGCTCTTATCCTTAGTCTTCAAATTTTGGATTTTCTTAAGCCTGAAGAAATCTCCTCTATCTTGCTCGTCGAGCTCGGAAGAAATGTAAGAAATAGTGTTCTCTAATTTTGGGATTATGTTGAATTCCAGTGCGTTAACTCTTCTATTAGTACTCATTAGTATAGAATTGAGGACTCGGAATGAGTTTTTCAATGCACATAAATCTACAAGCATTTCCAAAACTTCCAAGAACTTTTCTCTACACTCATTAAGGGATTGACCGCTTCTGTCAAGGAAGAGAATAGGCTGTGTGTTTTCCTTTTGAAGGGTGAAGAACGGAAGACTCACTCCAGAAACCTGTTCTATTCGGGGCTTTACATATACATTTTGTTTTTGGCATTCGTACAAGAACATCTTTAGGTTGGCCCCAAGAAACTCGGCTTCTGTGAGTTTAAAGAATGCGTCTTTTATCTTTTGATTTATGCCCAACTCTTTTCTTTTGTATTCTTCTTCTATTACCCTGTACTTCACCTTCAGTGCGTCGCTTTTTCTCTTCAGCAGAGAATACCCCTTTTCTGCACTCTTTTGCTTTGTTTCCATTGTCTTTAGATTCATTCTTGTGGGAAACACAGGTATTTTCTGGCCTGTCATTTTGTGGGCTTTTGTTAGTAATCTCAAAAGTAAATTGGAGGAGGCAAACATATTCCAAAATCGGATTATCTTGAATGATCTTCGGATTTCATTTATTAATGACTATTTCTCCACTAAACACACATCCCATGTCGTATACTATTCTATCATCCTTTATGTTAGGGAGGATGAACCTCGGAATTCTGTCGTCATCTGTTCCCTCGATAACTCCTAGCATAAAGCAATCAATTCTCTGAAGAAATTTCTTAAAGTCCTCTATGCTTTTTTCGATTCTCTTGATTTCATCTTCGTGCTTGTTGTTGAAGTGGTTGAATATAAACTTTTCACTTTCGAATGACTTTCCACAGAATCCACACTTGTAGTGGTTTTCATTAACGATTGTTGTCATGTTGTTAAGCTCTTCTTCCTTAGTCTTTGGATGAAGATATCCAAACCCTCGATAGTTTGCTAAGAACTCTCTTCTTCTTGTGGCTGTATCGGTTGCTTTGTGGTTTCTACAACCCATCATCATTTCAAGAGGATCATCATACTGGTGTGCACATGTGTAGCAGTAAAGAAATATGCTCTTGAGTGCTCCACAGATGAACTTCGCAGTGTTCCTCTCTGTAGAGCTGTCTTCTAGTGTTGATGCATACTTTTCCAGAACCTCCTCTTCATTTACATCAAACATCCTGGATAGAGAGGTAAATATTGATGCTGACATTTGGTAGTCATCATCTTCGAACGATATTTCTGGCTCTGACACTCCGGAGATGTCGAATTCCTCAAGCTGAACACCCAGTCCCTTATCTAGGATGGACTTCATAAACTTGATCGAGTCTTGCGTGTTTGCTTCCTTTTGCAAGATAATATAGCATAGCCTTGAAAATCCATTTTGCGACGTTTGTTGCTGGATCCAAAATCTTTCAAGATTTACACATTTTGAGAAAATAGAGTATATAACAGATCCGGGCATGCTATCTGGTATATTCCTTGCTATTATGCATGGGCCTTCTATCTTGAAGCTATGAACATTACAAATGGTCTTTCTCCTTTGTTCAAAAAAGGAATTATCTAAGTATCTATATATAAACCATTCCTTTCCTAAGCTTTTGTCAAATACCTCAGGCACTCTTCTTCTGTAATAGTTTGTACTGTAGTCTTCGTAAGATTGTATAGGAAGAACCATTTCCAATTCCCTTTTGGTAACAAGTCTTTGTTGCTTCAGTAAGAAAAATATGTCAATCTTATCAACCAGAGTTCTTTTTGTGTCCATTTCCGAGGGCTGTTCTTGATAGCGAGACTTATTCGGTTGCAAAACGACAAAACGCCCCTGGAGAGACTCGAACTCTCGACCTTTCGGTTAACAGCCGAACGCGTTAACCACTGCGCTACAGAGGCTGTGCTTCCACATACACCCCACAAACTGTTTCCAACATCCGAACAACAATCTAACAAAAACCCTCTTCCTCCTTGCCCCCATGGATACACCGAAGAGGAACTTTAAGCATCCTAGAAACCTCGTCTCAAAGATGCCAAGAAACACCCCGCACGACATAATACTCTATGCGCTCACCACAGAGAAGGCTGCAAGGTGCATGGAGCAGTTCAACACCCTGGTCTTCTATGTGGAGAAGACCTCGACCAAGCCGGAAATTAGAGATGCCGTTACCCAGCTCTATGGATGCAAAGTCAAGAAGGTCAACACCTTGATCAACAAGCATGGGAAGAAGGCATATGTCCGATTTGACAAAGAGGGAGACGCCATTCAAATCGCCTCTAAAATAGGTGCAATCTGAATTAAATTTATTTTCGGTTTTTATTCTTTTCTTATCCTCCTTAGTCTTGGCAACTTCTTTTTTGAAATTAGAAGCTCAAGAGGACATAAGGCTATTCACAATGTCTTCCGATCCTATATTTGACAAATCTGAGTTTGTCTGCCCAACACCTAAGAATAAAATGGGGGCATTGGAGGAAAAAGCCATGTTCAGTATCTGTCCTATCTTGTTATCCACCGTATCAACTTTGGTAAGGAGTATACTGTCGATATTTCTTAACTGATCTGCATCTTTAATTGCCCTGTTAAATTCCTTAATATGTTCCAAGCTATCGGACCCGACCAGTGCCTCCCCTACATATATGATATGGTCAGGCTTATTAATCTTCATTAGCTTGGTAAGAGACATCATGAGATTCTTCTTGTTGTGCATTCTTCCTGCTGTATCAATGAGGATAACATCATACCCTTCGTGCTGAGCTTCTTGAATGGCACATCTTGCCACCGATGCATCGTCCTTTCCATATCCCTTTTGGTAGAATCCAACAGAATAACCCCCTAATTGAAATCTCTCTACATGAGTCTTAAGTTGCTCAATTGCTCCTGCTCTAAAGGTATCACACGCTGCTATGTACACTTTGAGTTTGTTTTTCAGAAGCCAGTAACATATTTTAGCCAACGATGTACTCTTTCCAACTCCATTCACTCCAACGAAGCAAATGGAAAACACACCTTTATGCTTCCTTATTCCGTCTAGCATTTTTTCATGGTCTACAGACGGGATAAGTTTTCCAAGCACATTAGACATTTTTTCCTTAAACTTCTTTTCGGAAACGACATCTAGTCCCTCTCCAGACAACTCCTCCATGACATTCTCTACAAGTGTTCTGGTTATTTGGTAGCTTACATTTTTGTTTATTAAATGCGTAGTCATCTTGTCCTTCAGCTCTTTCACTTGTATTTGATCTTTAAACAAGCCAAATGCTTTTTGGATTGTTGCTTTCTTAATAACCTTAACAAAATTACTTACTCCACTTGAAGGCGAAGAGTAGTTTAATTCCTCCTCGTTTCCTATATCTTCCCATTTTCTCTCCTTATTCTTTTTCCATGCCCTTTTTTTGTTTTCCGAGCCAGCCTTTTCCTTACTTTTGTTCAGATAATTATCAATTGCTATCTTGAGATTAGGCGTTCTAGATAGACTCAAATATACAATGGCCCCCCTAATTTCGTATTCCATAACTTCATCCCTAATTTTCCTTTCCCCGCCCGGCCTAGACACGTCTAGAGATACTACTATTTGGTTGAAATGTTCTGGCATCCTCCCTTCTTCGTGGATAACCAGTCCTCTCTTGTTGAATACGCAAAAATATCCCATGCAAGGGCTCAGGTCTCACATGTTTTTTGTCTTGTTGGGCCAGTAGGCCAAACAAACTATCCCAAGTTCTCCTCGATAATCGTGGTATATCCATTTGCCTCAAACAGTCCATGCTCTATGACCCCACAGATGCTCTTGCATTCCGATATAAAGTCGGCGTTGTATTCCACATCAACTATACAATTTCCTAAGTCGCTGATTAATGGTCCTGCCTTCCCTGTGGTTTCTCTTAAGAAATGCTTCAACTTATACTCTTGAAGAATCGAAAGGAACTTCATCAGGGAAATAGAGGAGATTTCAATAGGAACAAGACATCCTTCAAATGTTTCTCTATACTTATGCCTTTGAACTATTATAATGATATCTTTGGCCATGGAATAAAGTAGCTTTTCGGTAGTAAGTGCTCCTCCCCCTCCTTTAATCAGATTTCCACATTTGTCAAAGTAGTCTGCACCGTCTATGTACAGATCCAGGGACTCATGACCCAGGGGGCTTGATACTATCAAGCCCTTTTCTCTAAGCTTCAGTGCTGTTTGGATGCTTGAGGGAACATACACCACTTCCCTATCTAGAACCCCTATATACCTTTCTATAGTAGTTCCTGTTCCAATTCCAATCACTGTCCTGCTCTCTACATTTTTTTTATATCCTTCCATATGTCCCTGAAGACAAAATAATAAATCTCTTAAAAGGAAAAATCTCCAATAATTCACAACTACGAATGCAAAAAACATCCCTCCTGCCACAGTTACTTCTTTCATGATCAAACAGTAGCACCATATGAAAATAATGAAAGACATTGCTTTATTTAACACACTTCTTAATTCTACGCACAACATCACATCCATATCCAATGATGCTTGATGCATCCTGGTCTTCCCGAGAAGTCACTTCCACAACTCCGGAGATACGGTCTATTTTACTCCACAAGCGGCCCTCAACTATAAACTCTCCAAGATCCTCCTCAACATACTCCACACTCACCCCGAATGTTTCTGCCATATTTTCAAGTAGCATCGAGCGATAACTTTCAAGAACCTGTCCATAAACACGCAGCCTCATCTCTCGGCAGAATAGATTTACAAACCTTCCAACAAATACGTCTTCCTGGAGAGACTTGCAAAAAAGATATAAGTCTTCCATAAAACTTCCGTAATTGCATTCAAACAATGATGTCGCCAGCTGTACCCCAAGCTTCTCGGAGCTTCCCATTACATCACTACATTTAAGGATCCGTGTCTCAATTTCATTTCTCTCAAATCCGAGTAAGCCGCAGAATATCATATATTTCACAGCCCGTGAATAGCTTATTACCTCGCTTGATTCAAATGATGGAAGCACCTCGCTGAACAAAATTCCTGCTTCCTTAAACTTCCTCTCCATCATTTTAAATACTCCCTTGTATACTTTGTATCTGTTTCTTCTGTCCCAATCACATCCTCTTTCGTATGTGTCATCAGCCACATTAATACTCTCCTCAACAATTCTTTTGTTCCCCACAATCAAACCCATTCTGATTTTACATAGAGAAATGTCCATCTTCAACGATAATGACATGTCGTCTCTCATGAGCTTCCTCATCCATTCAAATCCATTTTGTGTATCCATCACTTGGCAATAGAACTCAGCCGTCTTCCGCTCAATTTCTTCTGCATACGTTTCGTTCTCTGTTTCCTTCTTCCTAAGCTCCTCAAGCTCCTGAATTCTCTGATTTTTGCAATTCAGCAATGAATCTATGCGCTCATGGTTTGGCTGCAATATACCTTTTTCCACAAGGAAACTATAGAGATCATACATGCATTTATCGGAAAGAAGCTTTTCAAGTTCTTCCTGGGCTTCGGATTTACCCAGCTTTGTTGCATGAATAAGGTCATGGACAAGTAATGTCGGCTCCTTGAAGTCAAAGTCCATGGGTACATAGTCGTCTTGGTTTTAATATACAAACACGATAGTAATGTTAAAAGATAAGAATAAAATGCTTTTGCTCGGGCTCGAACCGAGGACCTCATCCGTGTGAAGGATACGTGATAACCGCTACACTACAAAAGCTCAGTTTTGTTGACAAGACTTCTCACCTATAGGTGATATAAACATATATGTGTTTGGAACTTAAAATCCCTCAATGGACGATACAATTCAAAGGTATAAGGAAAAGCTAAATGAGCTGGAGAAAATTGGAAGTGAAATAAAAGATATGCTTTCCCTGGACTATGATTTGGATTGCTTAAGCCATTCCCCATCCGTATGCTATATCGCTACATCGCTGGAGGAGGGGAAGGCCGAAGAATTAGAAGAGAATAAGTATTCTATAGAAGTTCAAATGATAATAACCATTGGGAAGTCTTTGGATTCAACCTTAAAAAAAGATCTCATCTCAAAGATTGAAAAGATTAAAGCGATCAATATTGGGATAGAAGAATACAGGGATGCAATTGCGTCCCGATTCAAATATCTCCATAATCTACTAGGGAATGATCTTCTATTCAAGTTAACCATAGAGGTGAAGAGTCTTCTCCCTTTGGCAAGAGCTATTCCATCGGAGATAATGAAGTATGGCATTGAGACATACGGATTTCCACTATTGTCTCAACACCAGCTGATCATGAAGGCCTCTCCACAGAACCAGGAAAAGCTTCTTAGGAAGCTTTGCTGTAAAGTCACGATGGCCGCCAAACTGGATTTCTGCGAAAGCAGCTTTGAAATAGATTTTTATAGCCAGATGGAAAAGATTTTTAACAGTCTTGAAAGCAAAGAAAAAGAAGAAAAATCTATTCTGAAAGTTCCACTTGCCAGAAAAGAAACCAGACGGGGAGGAATAAATGCAAGGCGAAAGAGACAAGGTTCTTCACCCCATAAAAGAAGGAGACTTCTGAAGCTGGAGCCTGACGAAGCCGATGGATAATGCCCCATGGGAAATTTCATCCCATAATGAAAAGCCTTTTAGATTTCATAAAAAGTCGTCCTGAGGGAGTAGTTGAAGAGGAGCTTTCTTTAGAGTTTCCGGATATGTCCAAGGCCGATATTGCAAAGGAGTTAAATAATTATCTTAAGTGCCAGGAGATCAGTCTGTTTAGAGACAAAGGCGTTCTGTATTACAAACCATCACCAGTTAATGTGGATGACTACGAACTTATGATATACAACTTGGTAAATCAGAGTGGAAGTGAAGGTGTCTGGCTAAAGGTGATAAAAGATAAAACCAATATGCCGCATAACTTGGTTGGAAAGGTCCTCAGGAACATGGAAACAAAGAGAATCATCAAGTCTGTTAAATGCCTTAAGAATAACAGAAAAGTGTATGTTTTGTATGATCAAGTTCCTTCTGAAGAGATTACTGGAGGCATGTGGTTTCAAGATAACGATGTGGACGTGGAGTGTGTAACTAAGATTCTCGAGATTATACTGTTATTTCTGGAAAAAAGACTGGGTGATAGATTGGAGCTTCCCGAGTACGAAGAGAATCCTAAACTTGAGGAAATAATGAATTATGTTAAGGACTTGGGCATCCTGTCTGTTCCCCTAAGGCTTGAAGATCTTGAGACATTGGTAGATATACTTGTATTTGATGGGAGGGTAGAGAAACTCCATTCGGGGCCTATAGTCAGATATAGAGCCCTTAGACCATATGGAAAGTAAATCTCATGGATTTGAAGTGAAGACATTCGGCTTGTTGCGAAATTTTTACTTATTTTCAATTTCTCTGCCAGGGATAAATGGATGATGGACTTTCGATAGGAAGCGAAGGATATTTTCTAAATATAAAATGCCACGAAAGACCTATAACGGATGTCAAGTTCAATTACGATGGAGACTTAATATTTACCTCTGGGAAAGATTCCATAGCCACACTTCTCCGCTCTGATGGATCTGTGGTAGGAGAGTACAAAGGACATCGAGGATCAATCTTTTCTATTGCTGTGGATAACAAAAGCACTTCCTTAGTGACAGGAAGCGCCGACCAGTCCATTATTTTGTGGGATGTTTCCACCGGAAAAATGAAGGCACAAACCGATGTCGGCGTTGTAGTTAAAGGCTTGGATTTTTACAAGGACGGGACGTTGTGTCTGGGATGTAGTGACGATTCCATGGGAAAGACCCCCTCCATCGGGATTCTTGATACAAGAAACAAAAGCTTTGAGAAGATTTTTGTTCCCACCTCATCTCCTATAAAGATTTTAATGGACATCTCAGAAAACTTTTTGGTATATTGCGATTCAAGAGGAGGAGTTAGCTCTGTGGACCTTCGAAACTCTCAGGTTATCAAGAGTGCAAAGATACACACATCCAAGATAAATAATATTAGGCCAAGCAGGTGTAGAACTTTCTTCATTACAGGTTCTATGGATTCACAGGCAAAGATCATTGATTTTCTTGATCTGTCAGTTCAAAAGACATTTGTATGTGAAGAACCAGTGAATTGTGCAGCCATATTCAACACTAACGACAAAGTTATCTGTGTTGGAGGAATTAATGCAAGGGATGTAACTACAACCAAAGGAAAGTCTTCTTTTGACGCAAACTTCTTTGATGTAGTAACATGTGAAAAAATTGGGTCTTATAGCACACATTTTGGAACAATAAATTCTGTAGATGTCCATCCCTCTGGAAAGCTTTACTGCTCCGGAGGAGAGGAAGGGACTATTACCATTCTAGCATTTGGCCAAGATTTCTTTCAGGCCAACTTTACCAATTTCAATTAAAACATCATGCAAAAGTCATTTAATATATTCATGATCTTTAGGGCCATTTTTTATTGCAATGCTCCCGTCGGGATATCTAACTTCCTTTAAGCCCGAGGGGAATGTCTTTTCGATTTGCCCATTTGAAAACTCATAAGTAATCACTTTGGTTTTTGCATCATACAAATATCTATACTGATTGCTCTTTACAACATATGTGGACCCATCCTTAAGGTAATACCTTGTTTTGTTTTGGAGCTGGTCCTTATGCATGACTCTTTTAGCCTCTAGTGATTTCTTGTACTCTTCATTGAGCTTCTTCAGTTTAAGTATCTCTTCTTTGAGGACGTCGACCACGGAAATGTTTTTGTTTTCTTCTAGTCGCTTCATTAGTGTGCTAATGGTCTCGATCTTTTCTTTTATGTTTTCCTGCATGAAAGTCATCCTATGCTTATGTGGGGCAATGCTGATTATGTGAGGTCACCTGGAAAGGAATTAAAAGCCGCAAACAGAATAAGAGAATTTGGAAGAAAGCCAATTCGCCTTCAAACTTAAATTTTTATTTAACGCTTACTTTCGATTATCCCATCAATTCTTAAAAGCTGCGACACTGCTTCAATAGCAGATTTGATGCATTGGCTCTTCACAGCATATGGCTCAAGCACAAGATCTCTTGTGTCTACAATCTCCCCGGTTATTCCATTAACTCCGTAGAAGGATCCTTCCTGATGCTTTTTCTCCAAAAGAGTGATGGCCTCTAGAGGATTAAATACTCCGGAGTTTTCAAGGAGTATGGAAGGAATTATGGTTAACGCCGAAGCCACTCTTGAAAAAACTTCGGCTTCTATTTCGTTGTCTCCGGAATTCTGCATTAACTCGTGTGACATTGCCATCTCCACAGCTCCCCCTCCTGGGCAGAGCTTGGGACTGATAAATATGCTTTTTGCTACCTTAACTGCATCCATGAAGTTTCTTTCGAGTTCATCAAGGATATCCTTTGTCGGGCCACGGATAATAACACTGCAAGCCTTCGGGTTTACACACTTACTGAATTTGCAATAGTATTCCTCTCCATATTTAACATATTCAAACAGTCCACAAGAAGTTCCTATGTGCCTTTCCTCAAGGTCTTCAGGCCTGTTGACAGGTCGTGCTCCGCAGGCTTTACTTAGCCTAGAAACATCTGTTTTCTTTAACCTTCTTAGGCCTGTGATGTTGTTTTCAAAGAGAATTGACAATGCAAGATCACTAATCCCTTTCTCACATACCACAATATCAGGCTTTGCTGCAATTATTTTCTCACACATTTCACGGACTTGCTCTTCCTCAATCTCAAGTGCTCGTGTGAAATCGTTTTCTTTGGAAAACTCATAGCTTGTTTGACTTTCTCCCTTTTTGTATTCAAGAGGAGACTCAACTATAGCAATCCTCGGATTCTCGATGGTTCTTCTCATCTGTGGATGTATAATGTCCTTGTTGATGAGTATTCCATCCATGACCTCAGACTCTACAAAATTTCCTCCAAGTATTTTCTCTACCTTCATGTTGCTCTTAAGATCGCATCTGTTCTCTTCCTTTATGTAAATCTTCTTCACAGCTTCTAAAGCAAGCTTTCCAATAGGAACCTTGAGAATACTGCAGACTTTTGACGCCACACTACCATTAATTATTTTGATTCTTGTTTCCTCGCTGGAATCTAAGGACATAGCTGTTCCGTCAATGGCCTTGATACAAACTTCAAGTGCTTTGCTTAAAGAATTGCATATTTTTATAGGATGAACATCCTTGTCTAATATGTAAGTCATCTCGTTCAGGATCTCGGCTGCAAGGAGTACAACCGATGTTGTTCCATCTCCTACTTCATCATCTTGTGTCTTTGCCAATTCTATAAGAGATCTAGCTGATGGATGTGCAACATCTAACTCTCTAAGAATAGCATTTCCATCATTGGTAAGCTCTATGGAATTTATCTTTGTCAAAACCATTTTCTGCATAGCACGGGGCCCAAGACAGGTCCTTATCACCGATGATATGGTTTTGGCTGCTATTGCACTTTCATTTTGGATCTGTGCAGGCTTGTCAGGTACAAGAATGTACATCTTTCGAGGAATTGGTTTCTGCATTTTTGGGGCTTTACAGATTCTCCTAAAAAATTGCTCCGGTCTTCCATCCCACAATCTTACTTCGAACCCGATGATGATGGATTTCAAGAAGCCCCAAGGCTAGAGTTCTTAGGAATTGACGACTGCAGAATTGTTAAGGAATCTTTTGATATTTCTTTGAATTTATTTTTTGAATGTATGAATCCCTCATGGATTCCATGTTTACAAAAGAGCACAGTTGGCTGATAATATCTTCATTCTTCGAGCAGAAGGGACTTGTCAGACAACAACTGGACTCTTTCGACCAGTTTGTTAAGACAAAGATGCAAGAGGTTATCGACGAGAGTCCTGCAATAATTGTCCAGTCTGCTCCTACGGCAGGAATAGAAACCCAAAAGAGAATAACCGTTAGATTTGGGCAAATATATGTTTCAAAACCTCCTATTTACACCGAGTCTGATGGGAGAACTATTACGGTGTTTCCAAACGAAGCCCGTATAAGAGACTTAACATATGCATCCCCTCTGTTCATCGATGTTACAAAGGAAACCATATCTGAGCTAGGGGTTGTGGACAAGCACAAGTATTCTAGAGTTCCCTTTGGGTCCTTACCAGTGATGTTGAGATCGTCGTATTGTGTCCTTTATGGGCTAAGCGACAAGGATCTCATTGATCTTGGAGAATGTCCATATGATCAGGGGGGATACTTTATTGTAAATGGATCTGAAAAGGTGATTGTAGCTCAAGAGAGAATGGCTAGTAACACAGTTTATGTGTTCAAGAAGGCACAGCCTGCGACCTATACACACTATGCAGAAATACGTTCGGTCCCAGAAAAAAGCTCACGAAATCCAAGCACTTTATCTATGAAGTTATGCAGATCTCCGGGAGTAATAAGGGTTTCGTTGCCACTAGTTAAGCAGGATATTCCTCTTTTTGTTCTGTACCGGGCCTTGGGGTTTTTATCTGACAAAGAGATCATCGATCATATTCTATATGAAGATGATGATGAGATGTTTGAGCTCCTGAAGGAAAGTATTGAAGAGGGTATGGTTGTTCAGGACCAGAATGTGGCCTTGGATTACATAGGAAAGAGGTCGGCCCCTGTTGGAACACCACAGGAAAAAAGAATAATTATTGCAAAAGATTTACTTGCAAAAGAAGTTCTTCCTCATATTGGAACACAGGAATTTTGTGAGACAAAGAAAGCATATTTTATTGGATATATTGTTCAGAGACTCCTACTTGTAGCTCTTGGAAGGAAGAATCCAGATGACAGAGATCACTATGGAAAGAAAAGAATGGATCTTAGTGGGCCATTGCTTGCATCTCTATTCAGGACTTTATTTAAGAAGTTGTGTGCAGATACAACAAGACACATGCAGAAGTGTATAGAAAACGGACGGGAGTTTAACATAGCCCTTGGTCTGAAGGCAAGTATAATTACACAGGGTTTTCGGTATGCATTAGCTACAGGGAATTGGGGGGATCAAGCGAAAGCAATGCAAACAAGGGCAGGCGTGGCTCAGGTTTTAAATAGATACAATTTTGTTTCAACACTCAGTCATTTAAGAAGGGTCAACACACCTATTGAGAAGGAAGGAAAGCTGGCAGCGCCTCGACAGCTTCACAATACCCATTGGGGTATGGTTTGCCCTGCAGAGACACCTGAAGGACAGGCATGTGGGCTTGTAAAGAATTTGTCTCTCATGGCATATATTTCTGTTGGTTCATCTTCTGGGCCATTAGTAGAGTTTTTAGAAGAATGTGGAGTCGAATCACTGGAGGAGATATCCACTCCGCAACTCAATGCAGCCACTAAGATTTTTGTTAATGGAATCTGGGTTGGAATTCATTCGGATCCTGTGTATCTCATAAAGTCGCTTAAGTTACTGAGGCGGAGCTTGGAGATGGACAAGGAGGTTAGTATTGTCCGAGATATTAGGGAAAAGGAGATTAGAATACAATCGGATGCAGGAAGACCTTGCCGTCCCCTGTTGGTAGTCAAAAATAATGAGCTTGTAATTACTCCAGAAGACATCAAAAGGCTGAAAAGAGGGGAAATTAAATGGGATAATCTGATTAGCGAAGGGTTTATTGAGTTTCTGGATGTTGAGGAGGAAGAGATGTCCATGATAGCAATGAACACAAAAGCTCTTGAAGAGTCTAAAAAGGCTTCTGATGTAAAGATATCCTACACGCACTGTGAGATTCATCCGGCATTGATATTAGGGATCTGTGCATCCACAATTCCCTTTCCTGATCATAATCAGAGTCCTCGTAACACCTATCAAAGTGCTATGGGCAAGCAGGCCATGGGGATCTATGCAACAAACTTCCTGTTGAGGATGGATACCTTGAGTAATATTCTATTCTATCCACAAAAGCCTCTTGTAACAACGAAGAGCATGGAATATCTTAGGTTCAAAGAGCTACCGTCTGGCCAAAATGCTTTGGTTGCGATTGCATGCTATTCCGGATATAATCAGGAAGACAGTATTATTATGAATCAAAGTGCCATTGACAGGGGCCTGTTTAGGAGTTTTTTCTACAGGACATATACAGACCAGGAATCTATGTCAAGACCAGGTGTTAATGAAGAGTTTTGCAAGCCCAGCCGAGGAACGGTCTTAAGGATGAAAAATCTAAACTACAATAAACTGGACGAGGATGGGCTTATAAGTCCTGGAACAAGGGTTACGGGAGACGACGTCCTTATCGGAAAGATAACACCTATACTTGATCCTGAAAGAAGCACTAAGGAGGCACCGGTTTATGTCTATAAGGATAGTAGTACTGCAATGCGGAGAACCGAAACAGGTATTGTGGATACGGTTATTGTTACAAACAAAGATGGCTATAAGTTTTCCAAGATTAAGGTAAGGTCGGGAAGAATTCCTCAGATGGGAGACAAATTTGCATCGAGACATGCTCAGAAAGGAACTATAGGAATTACCTTAAGACAAGAGGATATGCCATTTACATCTGATGGAATAGTCCCGGATATAATTATAAATCCTCATGCCATTCCAAGTCGTATGACCATTGGGCATTTGATCGAATGTCTTCTTGGGAAAGTTAGTGCAATGAGCGGAGAAGAAGGAGATGCAACACCCTTTAGCGATATGACTGTTAATGAGATCTCGGCCAAATTGAAGTCCTATGGCTTCCAGCAAAGAGGACTGGAAGTTATGTACAATGGAATGACGGGAAGGAAGCTCCGGGCCCAGGTGTTCTTTGGGCCAACATACTATCAAAGGCTTAAGCATATGGTTGATGACAAGATACATGCTAGGGCCCGAGGTCCTCTTCAGATTCTTACAAGGCAACCTGTTGAAGGAAGATCTAGAGATGGAGGGCTCCGATTTGGAGAAATGGAAAGGGATTGTATAATTTCACACGGAGCGTCTGCCTTTCTAAAGGAGAGACTGATGGACGTGAGCGATGCATACTCTTGCTTTGTCTGCAACTTTTGTGGGCTCCTTGCAATGGGGGGAAGCAAAGTAAATGAATGCAAGGGATGCAACAATACCACCAACGTTAGTATGATTGAAATCCCCTATGCCTTTAAACTTCTTGTTCAGGAACTTATGGGGATGAATATTGCACCAAGAATTCGCTTTGAAGAATAAAGCTATCTCTACTGTCCAGGCTGTTGGAAACTCGGACTTTCTCCGATTCCATACGTTTCAAATATCTTTGCTATGAAACATTTTTACTTTTGAAACCAGGAATCACAAAATAAAACGGATCTATAAAAATGAACGAAGATTTAGAGCCAATGGATGAATTCAGCCGAGGACTGAGGCCTACGGACAGATCTTTGCCAATAGCTAATATATCAAAGATTATGAAGAAGCCGATTCCCAAAGAAGCCAAAGTCGCTAAAGATGCGAAGGAAATAATGCAAAAGTCTGCGGGTGAGTTTATAGCTATAATAACATGCAGAGCCAAGGAAATATGCGAGTCAGAAGCCCGTAAGACTGTTACTGGAGAAGACTTAATAAGAGCAATGGACGAGCTGGATATGCCTTATTATGCCGAGCTGGCAAGGAAGTATTATATTCAGTATAGAGAACTTGCAAAAAACGAAAGGGTTCGAAAGTATTCAAGAAGCTTTGACTACGGCAAGCCTTAATCCCTGTAATGTGATATTTAAATAGATCAATTAAAATCGGTTGTCTTTATTTAATGGGAAAGAATTTATTCCAGCTATCAGCTAACCCATTACGAATGAGTGGAATAAGATCGATGATGAGTGTGATACCCCATTGCACGGGATCTTCAAGATTTACCTACAACAATACAACTGTGTTCTGCATAGTTCATGGGCCCTCAGACAGTATATCTAGGCAAGAGGATCCTGAAATGGCTATTTTAGATGTGAAGTGGAGAGACATTATTCTTATCAATGGAAGAATTTATGACAAGTATTTCTCAAGAGAAATTGAAAAGATTCTTTCTAAAAGAATCATTCTTGAACTGGATCCTTGCAGATCAATACAGATAAGTTTCAATGTTGTAGGAGAAGTAAGAAATACTCTTTTTTGTGCTGTGAATGCTGCACTTTTGGCGCTTTCCGATGCAGGAATTCCTCTTATATCTATGTTTTATGCCAGTAGCTCGTTTACACATGAGGAGGAAGTCATTGTTTTTGATGGAGATGAGAACGTATTGGCCAGCCATTCATTTGGATCTATTTCAAAGACAGGCATGGAGAGAGCAAAAAGCTTTCTTAAATATGTTAAAGAGGTCCAGACTTATACCCTGAAGTCCAAGTTTCCTTTTTGCATTAGCTAACTGATATATGTTTCTAGATGTAAGTATTGGGTCTTGTTCCTTGGGAAAAGGATGTTTAAGGCAAGTTACTTTTTATTTTTTATGGCTTTGGAATGGAAATGTTTATTCAAGAGAATTTCATCTCTCCTGGTTCATAACATGGTTTTTTTCTAAATCTTCAAGAAGAATTGATAGTACTTTTGTCAGAATATTGACTATCTGAAATGGCTTCAGGGTGAGAAGCTCTGCAATTTCATCAATGCTTCTGTTCTGGCAGCCTACCATCAGTAAAACAGATTTCCTAAGAACAGACAGGTCCTGGCTAAACATTCCATGGAAGTACATTCTAGATATGTCTGGAATGATATCTGTCACAAGATTCAGATCTATCTTTCCTCCAGATGCCATTCTAATTCTAGAAATATCATCATATGGAAAATACATCATTCTCCCTTTTTCCGGGACAGGGTCCTTTAAAAGAGAAAGAGACAGAGACGGCCCAAGACTTTTAAAACTGCTTGAGAGCTGCCCGACAAATCTTGACATGAATTTTTGATTGTATTTGTATATTCTATCTTCTTCTGTGTGAGACAGAGATCTAATAAAGACAGCAGAGTGTTCTCCAGTTTCCTGTGTAACAGCTTGCTTTACTCCTACAGGCACAAATTGATTCTTCAGCCAGAATCTACATAGGGTTTCGGCCATCCCGAATGATGCTCCAATCCAACTGACTTGAGGAATTAGCACATCCGTTATATTCTGCAAAAGAATATCTTTCTCTCCGTCTCTTACTTTCATTGAACAAATATCTTCCCCGTGAGAGGACAAATGCTTAATCAACAGGTTTAGAGATGCTGTTCCATATCCCATCCCAGCGTATTCCGGATGCACTGCTATTCTAACTATACGGATTCCATATACGTTCAAAAACGATGCATCGATATGTTCCTCGGAGATGACCCAAGGAATTAGATTTCCTTCTCTCAGATGTCCTGTCCTTGTGCATTTACCTTCAAAAGAAATCTGAAGAGAGCAAATGACTTTTGGTATGTCCTTCCCATCATCTTCAGCAGGTGTTACAAGAGCAAATATCTCGTGTCTTGGAGAGTCTGCTAGAACCTGAAGATCATTGGGGCTATTTTTGTAATGGGAGGAAATGAACAGGGAAAATACATCGTTCAAGAACTTCTCTGCTGGCGGCTTTCCGGAAAACAGAACATCTTTGTTCACATAAAAAAGACTGCATTCCGATGGCCTTGGGCACCCTTGGATCTTCGGAACAGATGCATCTAATAATAGCGCCTTATATAGCCAGTTTTCTACGGGATCGTTTTGGCCATATCGAATTGATTCTTTCATAGTCAATTCTTTGTATATGAAAGAAGAGGATTCAGCGCTGCTCTTTCTAAGCATCTCCGATAGCTTAACAGAAAATGCCCTTCCCGTCCCCTCGTATCCATTTACCGTTGTAGCCATGATGACAAAGTTTGGAAAGATCAGCTTTGTGAGATACACAAGAGGGATTGCTGCAGCCTCATCAACAACTAACAGATCCGGATAGTATTTAAGCTCATTTGCAGGATTAAAGTATTCTATAATATGCTTTCTTCCCCCGGTAAACTCAATCTTTTGCATAAACCTCTTGTTTCCTCTAAACTGGTATATGATTTTAAAGTCGATATACTTTTTATATCCCAGCTTTTCAAGGCCCGTGATGAGAAATAGGAATACTGTCTTAACATTCTCTATGGCGGGAGAGGCAATATACACAGACAGAAGCCCCAGGCTTATTGCCTTTGCTATTGAAATCCCCAACGCAGCAGACTTTCCTCTTCCTCTTGATGCAGTGATAGAAAATACTGTTTTGCCCGCTCTTGACTCCAAGGCTTTAAAGATTTCCTCAATAATATATATCTGATCTCTAGTCTTCCCAAGACTTTTCAGGACCTCACTGTCTGGGTCATACTGTTCTTCATACTTATCCTTGCTAACTTTTAGGTTTTTGTCCTTTGGGCTGTTCATACAGTCTAATACGTTGAGCTTATCGTCCAGAAACAGTGCAAAGTTCGAGCTTATCAATGATTTGAATAATCTTTTGTTGTATCTGGGTTCAAACTCCCCAATTTTCTCATGGAGGTCAGTTTTGTGGGATATAAGTGTTTCTATAGAATGTGCAGTATCCAAGAGTAACACTATAGCTCCTCCTCCCCTTACGGTTTCCATACTTGTTGCTATTAAGTTGGGAGACAAGGCTTCAAAATCTTGGAGTATCAGCATATCTACTGTTCTTCCCAAAATCCTTTCGCTCTCTCTGTATTCAATGAATTCTATATCTCTAGCTCTTATAAACAACGCTAAATCATCCTGGGATTCTTCTTCCTCTATTCTCTTCTTCTGTCTCTTTCCTGAAACCCTTTGGCCGGTCTTCCTTGTTACTTCATTCTTATGGCACCAAACTATACTTTCCACAGAGCCGTTTGTATGTCCCTGCAATATTCTGTGGATGGCTGGAATCTGGGCTTTTCCATTCTCCCCCAATAAAATAACGAAAGATCTATGGTTTCTCCTTCCGTTTTCTTCAAAGAAGTTTTGAATTCCTCTGTCGCATAGAAGCGTCATTAGTAAAGGATTATTTCCAAAGAATTTATTTAGGCAAAGGGCTGGAAAATCTGCTAAATACAGAGATAGAGGTTTTCAAACGGTCATTTGTATTTCCTTATTGCTTCGGTGATGGTTCCTAGGAAGTTTCTTTTGTCTCGAAAGTCGAATCCAAGCGGAAGTTTAAATCCTAATGGCTCCTCTGGTACAACAAGGTCCAGATAGAAATCCCCTGGAGGAAAAGAAAAACAAGTATTTTGCTTTTTTTCGGCGTTCTCACTCTCCGCCTTTTTGTTCTCAGTCTTCATATCTTTCAAAATAGATGCCATTTCTGCTATCACTTCTTTTTTTTCAAACATTTCCATGTAATAGGCCTTTCTCATAAGCCTGTGCTTTGCACCCTGGAAATGTATCCTTCTGCTTTTCAGCTTGTCGTTCAGCAGTGTCTTGTTACAAAATTCGCAGAAATACTTTGCCATAGGAAAGGATAGAGTTTCTTTGTGAATTTTGAGTCTCCCCGGAACTACTTTGGGTATTGTTGACTGAGAGCGGTAAGACCTTGTAGCAAAGTGGTTAACGCGGTAGATTGCTAATCTATTTCCCTCTGGGAGCACGAGTTCGAATCTCGTCAAGGTCGCTTTTTGCACCAGTCCCCTTTCCATTATAAACAAAATACTGTTTTGTAATACCCTAATGAGGAATAATTACGTTCCACAAGAAAATGCTTCCTCCCACTCATTATCTGTCCACACCACAAAGAAGATAGAAAAGGGAAAGGGAGAGATGTATGGGCTGAAAAATCTGGCAGTGATAATTGCCTTTTTAAGTGTTGGAAAATTCATAATAGATAACAATAGAGAATTTGGCTTTCTCATGTCACTACCTCTTCAGACTCTTTCTCTGCTTGAGTGTTCTTGCTTTCTCTTGGCAATTCTTATGAGTTTTGTACGCTCACTCTTTGGATTCTACATAGAGGCCAGAAAGCTTGGGCACTTATATATATGTTTAAACTTAGGTGTCTTTGAGGCGTTTATTGCATACTTGAACTTAAACTACATACGTCACATATATTCCTCTGGATGGTCGATGATACTTAATGTTGTCTACACAGCTAAGCTTATCTCCTTCCATTTGGTTGTGAAAGAGCTCAGAAGAGACCGAAAGATTAACATAGAAGAGGAATTAAGCATAAGACATTTTCTGTACTTTCTGGTTGTTCCTACTCTCTGCTTCCAGTTACAATTTCCCATGAGGTCTGGAAGAAATATCAAAGGCATGGTTCTGAAAACCATTCAACTTCTAGTAGGCTTCCTTCTTTTTGTCCTGGTTATGGATCAATATGCAATCCCTAGCATATATAGAATCGTTAATTTTGAAGATCTAACGACAGTAATTGAAAACATAATCAATCTTTCAATAAGTACCATAATTCTGTTCTTAATATTCTTTTACACGGTTTTTTATTGCTTTCTAGAGACTGTTGCCGACATAACACTGTTTTACGATTCATGCTTCTATCAAGAATGGTGGAATGCATCTTCTGCAAGGGAATTCTGGGCCTTATGGAACAGACCCGTGTATCTTTGGTTCAAAAGACATGTGTATGCTCCAATGGTTGGAAGAGGAATTTCCAAGGAAAGGGCAGGAGTAATAGTATTTGCAATGTCGGGATTGATCCATGAATATGTTGTCTCCATCTCGATAAAAAAATTCACAGGATGGTTTCTGATAACTATGCTTCTTCAAGTTCCTCTTATTCATGTTACGGAGTCATTCAGACGGAAATTTCCCAGTCTGGGGAACTTTTTCTTTTGGGGAGCTTTTTGCGTGATTGGCCAGCCCTCTGTAATATTATTATATTACAGGTCTTTATATCTAAAAGAATGTCACATGTAGAAGCACAAATCTGGAACATACTACCTTGAGTCAAGAATCAGTATTTGTTTTGAAGGTAATTAGATCTATAAAAATAAATAAATAAGCCTAAGGGATGAAGGAAATGGTATTGAAAAAGAGAACGTTTTTGCATGATGCTATAGACATGGTGTCGATGGGGAGTCATACACTCGAAAACGACGACTTTACAAGATGCTTTCAACCAGCAGCGGCAATCGAAATGGACTCAAGCGGGATATTTTATACGTTCTCCTTTGTAATAAGATATTTTATTTTGTTCCCGATGAGGATAGCATTTCTTATCTTGTCTATGGCCGTTTTCTTTCTTATGATACTCCGAGCAGCATTTACAAAAAATAACATGCATCTGGAGAGTGCATTGATATTTGGAGCCAAGTCCTTGATGCTTGCAATGAATGCAAAGATAAAGCACCGAGGGATAAAAAAGAGGCAAGCAGAGCCTCATCTGTATGTTTCAAATCATACATCATTTGTGGACTTCTTTCTCCTCTGCAGCCATAAGTTTCCTCATGCCTGTGTTTCCGAAATGCATGGTGGGCTTTTTGGGTTTTTGTTCAACTCCATCTTGATAAGAAACGGATCCATTGGATTCAAGAGGAGTGAAAAGGTTGACAGGCAGCTTGTTGTGGAGAAGATCAAGGAACATGTGAGCTCTGGAGGAGCACCTATGCTGATTTTTCCAGAAGGAACATGCGTCAACAACAAGTTTTCGGTACTGTTCCAGAAAGGTGCCTTCGAGCTCGGTGTAACAATATATCCTGTAGCCATAAGGTTCCGTAGAGGGCTGTTTGATCCCTACTGGAACAGAAGAAACCATGGGTTTGCCATGCACATGTTTTATCTCATGACCCGATGGAGACTTGAGGCCGAGGTTACATGGATGAAACCACATAACATTATGAAGAACGAATCCCCTACTCAGTTTTCTCATCGAGTCAAAGCCGCCATTTCCAAGGAGGCTGGGCTAAGGAACACATTATGGAATGGCTTTCTCAAGAGTAGCCCGGCTATCAAAGATAGAGAAATACTCAGGGAATCTTATTTAATAACATACGGAAGGATTGTATCAAACTCTCTAGACAAAAGTAATGCTGTCGATGTAGAGAAAAACAGATTCTATTTATACGATAACAATATCGACTTTTCTTCTTCAAGAAGCCATTCCTATTTCGAATCCATGATATCTTACAAGAAATTTCAGAACGAAGTTTTAAAAGAATACTTGAGACTCAAAGAGCTTCCCCAAAAAGACCTGAAGTTCCTTCTGTCTAACCACAAAAGCCGAGAGGACTCTCTTGGAGACTCGGAAAGAAAGGGATTTTGCAGCTGTGGGACCAAGAAAGGTTCTAAAGGAAACAATTTCAAGAAGAAGCAGAGCAACCCTCTTATGTTCTGCAAGTATGAGAGTTTTAAGAGTCCAAGCCTGGGATAAGCACTTCGTGTTTTATAAAGCAAAGAAAAAGCCGGCAGGCGCTTCTTAGAATCATTCAGAAACAAAATTTGTTATCTTGCGTTTTACAGACCCAAGCTTGCATTGGCTAACTCTATCTGCAAACCGAAGAGAGCATACTGTTTCATTGAAATGTTCTGCATCAGGTGAAATGTTGACAAGCATGATTGCCCTGGAGTTGCCAGATAAAAAACTTTGTAAAAGATGTGTAAGCTTCGAGTTCCTAAATGGGATATGGCCATCCTTTCTTAGAATAGAATTAAAAACATCTCCTAGTGCCGATAAACTTTTGTTTATGTTTTGTGTTTCCTTTAGCCTAGCCCCCTCGGCCTTAGAAACACTAAGCCTTTCTGATCCTGCCAAGTCTATGAGCGCCATGACCCCTTCCTTTTCTTCCTTTGAGGTTTTATTACTCATTTTTATTTTCAAGATGAAAATCACATGGCTTCTGCTCGACTTCATATTGCAGTTGGTGTCTCCAATTTTTTTTCTCCGAGCACCACTTTGGAATAGGCCAATGGCTTCCGATGCATTGGAAACAGATATACTAATGCAGTCCACCATATTTACATCTCCACCTCTATGCACAATTCCAACTTTCCTCATGTCTTCTGAAAACAGATCTACAACATCTTCGTTATATATTTCTACATAACTGCACGTGATGTCAAACACCCAGCCGTCCGTTCTCATTTCTTCAATGATGCTGTAGATATCTTTCAACGTTCTAACAATCAGCCCTGGATTATTATCATTCCCTTCCATAGTATAAGTCTTTCCACTTCCAGTTTGCCCGTATGTGAACACACAAACTCGATACCCCTCCAGTACTGAACGAAGGATCATCTCCATTTCTCCATATACACATTCTTGTGTTGTATGCGGCCCAAGCACCTTATCAAATGAAAAAGAATGTTCCTTACCTCCCATACTAATTTTCAGAGCTCCATCTGATATTTCTATTCTCGATCCCTTTCTCCCAGCTGTATTGGGCCTTATACGGCAGATTACTTGTACAGAGCCTTTAAGATCCATTATTTCACTTTTAAGCTTTGATATAACTTCTTTATAGGCTAAGCACTCCTTCTTGGTCTCTTCCAGCTTTGAAGCCCTTTCTTTGTATTCATCAAGACAGGACTGTATCCTTAAATTATCTTTACGAAGGCACTCATTTGCAGACACAATTCTAGACAATTCTTCCTTCATCTTCTTCACTTCGTGATTCTTTTCTTCCATTGCAATGGCAATATCCTTCGCCTGCAGCTCTTCTTTATAGGTGGAGAAATCAGTGACTTTACTTATATTTTCTATTATCAACTCCAACTCCTTAATCCTCTCTAAAAGCTCAGATTCCCTGTTTCTTGTAGACTTGCTACATCCATTATATCCACAAGTTCCAGGAGTGCATATCTCGAGTAAAACAGAGTCCTTTCTGACCCTGTTCGGTATTGTCGCATTGATGTTTTCTTTGATTTCACTAAACATTTCCTTTATCTCATCTATTCTGTGACGAATTCCTGGGGTTACCATTCAAAGGGTCTGTGAACCTTCGCATTAAGTTTGACTTTGAATTACCATGCTCCTGATGTTATAATCCCACAGTTAATGGGAACTATAGGCTGATTTATTTCATATATTCTATATTCCAGTGGTCGGTGAGAAACAATTGTTTGAAATGACTTCTGTCCAATAGTTTGAGATTATTCAACATACAATTCTTTTTTAGAATCATATATCTCTCTTTTTTGTCCCTAGAAATGAAGTGTTCTGCATGCCAAGTAGAAATAGAGGAAAATATCAAAGCTCATTATGCTTCGGAAGTGCACAAGATAAACGTCAAGAGGCAGATCTATAATGCACCCCCGATAACCATTGAGGAGATCAATGGAGAACAGTTAAGTGATGACGTGTCTCTAGAAATTAACGGACTTGAGACGGGAGAGAAGTGTTCAAGTTCGAAGAAATACTCCAGAAAAAGGAATTCATCAAAAGTCGTAGGTTGTTCTCCAGAAGCTGTGTGTTTATTCTGTGAGTTCCCGGAGAGCAATACTCACTATAGAGATCATGGGCTATCTGACGAAGAAGTTGCATACATCGATAACAAAGTTTGCTATATGTGTTATGAGGCTTTTAGTGAACGGGAGAGCCTTAGAAGACATATTTCCTCTGGAAATCACAGAAATGCCATGACTGACGGGGTGAATCTTATATTAGAAAGCGGTAAAGTTATACAGGGGAGAGGCCGTAATAGATCGAGAGAAGAAGAACCTAGACGGCCTGAAAGTAGAGAAAGAAATATGATAGTGAGAAGTCAGGCAAAAGAAGATAGAAGAGCTATCATAAAGAACAAGAATCGGCTGAAGATTTCCCTTTCCATGAATTTTCAACCCCGTTTCAAACCTGATTGGATGCAATAAGCTTTTGGATTGAAATATCTTAAAAACAGGGATATTGTTTGTGAGTTATGACATTTCAGAAACTATTTAAAAAAATCTTGGATACCTAACCCACAAATGACAAGCTACTCGACACTCAAGATTGGAAAAAAGTACTCACCTGGGTTCAAGACGTACGTGACACAGAATGGGAAGATAGTTTCTCCGTTTCACGATATTCCTCTGCACATGACAGAAAATAGGGAAGTTATATCTGTGATCTGTGAGATCCCCAGGTTTGAAAATGGGAAATTTGAGATCAATAAAAAAGAGAGGTTTAATCCAATAAAGCAGGATGTTAAGAATGGAAAGCCAAGATTTGTAAAGAATGTCTTTCCTATGAAAGGATATTTGTGGAATTACGGTGCTATACCACAAACATGGGAGAGCCCTCATGAGATTGACAAACATGTTGGAGCAAAGGGAGATAATGATCCTTTGGATGTCATTGAAATAGGAGGGAGGAAAAAGAAAATAGGAGAGGTTTATCAAGCAAAGGTCCTTGGAAGTATTGCATTGGTTGACGAGGATGAATGCGATTGGAAGGTGATAGTCATTGATGTATGTGACGAAAAGGCCAATGAGATGAATGACATTGAAGATGTACAGAAGATGTGTGGAGGATTACTTGAGCAAACCAAGTTTTGGTTTGAGAATTACAAGGTCCCTGACGGGAAGGGGAAGAACAGTTTTGCCTTGGATGGAAAGTACATGAACAAAGAGTTCACTCTAAAAGTCATCGGGAATGCACACGAAAGTTGGTGTGGAATGGTGAACTCCAAGGACAGTGAAGATATTTGTAAGGAGAATTCCACTCTAATGGATAAGATTGATCCTCCCGCTATCACTGGAGAAGATTTGTCCGACTCAGAAATTCCTGACTATGTCAATCAGTTTGAGTTCATTAAATGATGGTCTGATATGTATCATGTCTAAGCTATTATTCATATATCCAAAAGACAGAGGACCCTAATAATTAGTATGAAGAATCTGAAACTTTCCCAGTCCCTAGTTAATAAATTAATCTCTAAGGCTGATGTTAAGTGTACCAAGAGTGCGGAGAAATTATTATCTAAATCGATTGTGATTTCTGTGGCATTTTTATCCATGTGCATTGACGAGTTATCCGATGAAAACTGCAAGGAAGAAGATGTTCTTCAGGAAGTTTTGGTAGCTCTTGGAGTTCCAGTAACCCATAATGATGTTCCCAGCTTGAGCCAAAAATACTAAAAGATATTTATTCTAAGAAACACCCACTCCATTCTATCCTTAACGACAACACTTCATGCATGATAAAAAGCTACATGATTCAGCATCAGATGTTGCCTGCTTTGTATCCCATATGTGTTTTGCTGCCTCTAGAAACACAAGATTCACATTTTCCCTTGTACGCGAAGAACATTCAAAAAACCTTGTCGCATTAATGTTATCTGCGATTTTCCTTCCTTCGCTTTCGGAAATCATTGAGGATTTATCAATAGTTGGGTCGTCCAAGTCTCTTATGTCTTTCTTCAGTCCAATAAGAAAGAACTGGGACGAGGGGCAATAGTTCTTTATTTCCATCAGCCATTTTCTTGATATGTTTGGAATCTTCTTCTTGTTTTCTATTGTGTAGCATAACAATACAAGGTCTGTCTCCTTATATGAAAGAGGTCTGATTGTGTCATAATCCTCTTGCCCTGCCGTGTCCCACAATGCTAAGGAAACATACTTGTCGTCCGAAATTTTTACTTCTTTAACAAAGTTATCAACAACAGTGGGAATGTATGTTTCGGGGAACTGGTTTCTTCTAAATACCTCGAGTAAACATGTCTTTCCACAGGCCCCGTCTCCCACAACGACAACTTTTCCAGACTTGTGCGTCTTGTTATTCATTATTTAGTTTTTTTACTTCTTTCTTTTTATGTGAAGCTTAAAGGAGATTTTCCATTTGTTAGGCCTCCATTTTTACATTTCCTACATCATTGGTTATCTGGAGGTCTGCAATTGGTTTGTCTTCTTCAAACAATTAACCTGATAACACAGCAATTAAATGAGGGAATAGGGGAAGCTTCATCAACCTTAGCAACAACAAATAAGACTGTGGATTTTGGAACTAACTACCTCTTTTTTCTTTTTTTCTTAGATATTCCCATAAATTCCAGTCTTTCTCTCTCTGCAATTGCACTTGCTTTTTTTGTTTCTATTCTTTGAATTATACGGTTAAGTGGGACGGTATATTTCTTTACATGTCCGCCAAGCCTTTCCATTTTTTTTCTCTTTAGAGTAATTCTTTCTTTGGGTGTTTTACTATTCTCTATGACCTTCTCGATTTCTTTTATGCATTCTTGAAGCTCCGCTTGTACTTTTCTCGGCATGGAGGGTATGCTTATGTGAGTCTTAAGTCTCTGTGAGCGGGGAGTTTTGTCATTAATCTCTATAAACATTAACCCCTAGAAATGAGCTTGACGATACCTGGGCTAGATCTTATAAGAAACGAGATTGAGGAGATCAAAAGTGGAAATCTTCGATATACAATCGCCAATCTGTCGATCAAAGAGCCTATATCATTATCTGTCCTCCGAAACGGAGGAAGGGTCAAAGACTTTGATTACAAGAGAAAGTACACCATAAAAGAGCTTCAGGGGATATTTGAGGAATTTTCGGAAAGTGTCAATGAGCAGGATCCCTGTCTTGTAGTATATGACTTCATACACTTCGACGATGATGGAATTCAAAAAAACACCCTGTGTTTGATCTCCTACATTCCCGAGCATCTTGTACCACTTAAGAAGGTTGCATATTCTACCAATGCCTTAAACCTTAAGGAACTACTGGATATTTCCGTTCATATCTCCATAAAAAAGAAATCTGACCTCATCTTCGATAACATTGCCGAGAAGTGTGCAGCGTCACGGATGAAATAAATGTTTTATTATTATGCCATTTATATTCATCCTACTGATGTGCCAATCTTAAATATTTCCATTCAAGATACCAAAGAGATGGGTCTTGGAATAAACACAAAATCTGTTAGAGGACTAAGAAGATTTACAAGAAGTAAGACCCAAGTTATTTTCTTCGATAATTCCCGTTCTCCAAAGACAAGTAAGAACACACAGAAGCACCAGGAATGCAGGGAAGACCAGCCTGCTGAAAATATTCCACAAGTGAGTAATGTTTTGAAGGCCGAGGAGAGAATGTTTCCTTTTGAGAAGCTCCTAGAAACCTTTACCAACTTGGAAAAAAAGAAGATACAGAAAACCTTAAGGCCCTGCGATGGCATCAATCCCATGAAGACTTTGAGGAAAGATTCATTTGCAGAAAGGTATTTTGACTCTCCTTCTGGGACCTTCCTTGGAAAAGAGAGACATATATCTTCATCTTCTCAAGAGCGTACATAAGATTGATTTGGAAACCAGGGAGATCTAAGATGGAGTAAGAGTACAGATGGTTTTAAAAACTTTTTGCGAAGAGGCCAAGCCATGGAAAATAAAAAAGAAGAAATCAGAAGGCACTATAACAACATTAGGGAAAAAGGAAAAGAAGGCCGACAGAAGAGTAAGGCCATAAATATCAGGAATACAAACAATTTCATCAAATCTTGTCTTATAAGGCTATACACAAAGAAAGGAGACAGTGTTTTAGATCTTGGATGTGGCAAGGGAGGAGACTTGTTGAAATACGAGAATGCGAACATTAGCGAGTATTATGGAATTGATATTGCAGAGGTGTCAATAAATGACGCACGGATAAGAGCAAAGAACATGAAGAGGAGGTTCAAGGCTTCATTCAAGGCTCAGGATGCATACGGCCAGGAGATAGATCTCGGGAAACAATTTGACGTAGTGTCTTCCCAGTTTAGCTTCCATTATGCCTTTTCTAGCAGTGAGACTCTAAGTATATCGGTAGGAAATGTTGCACGGCATCTGAAGCCAGGTGGGTATTTTATTATGACCATTCCATCCAGGGATGTTATTCTTAGAAGATATGAACAGGATAGAATGTCTAATGAATTCTATAAGATCGAAATCGATAGGAAAGAGTCCATTCCAAAGGAAGACATCAAGGAATATCGATTCACCCTGGTGGACTCGGTAAATAACTGTATTGAGTATTTCGTTGATTTCCCTACCATGGTAAGTGAATTCAAGAAGTTAGGAGTTGTGTTGGTGGAAAGAAAAGGGTTCATTGATTTCCTTGAAGAGGAAAGTAAAAAGAACCTTGAGCTATTTAGGAGAATGAAAGTTAAATGTCTAGAAAAAGGAGAATTAGAAGTTGTTGGGATTTATGAAGTTATCGTTTTCCAAAAGCTAAGCCCGAAGGAAGAGTCAAGTGTTCAATAAAAATCCAAATTGATCTCCAATCTCATCTACTTTCTTCCGGAGGTCATTGGACAACCTTGGTGGCTCAAACGCAAGAATATTAGACAAGTAGTACATAACTATGGAATGCCCTTCTACCAATGGTTTTATACGCCTTAAGATCCTTAGATGCTCCATCGGCATCTCTTCTATAATTCTTACAATCTCCATCAGAATCTGTACGTCCGATGCTTTTTGCTCAATCATTCCTTTCACTATTCCTATTATTTTTGTGGCATGGCCCTCCATGTATTTGTTTATCATCTTGTACAAGTCTTTAACATCTTCCGAGTCTGGAGGTCCCAGCAAATGCTTCGTTTCGTAGATGTCCTTTATTACAGATTCGAGATCAGAGAACTTTTTTAGCTCCACCGACTCATAGCATTTATCTATATATTCCAGTACCTTATTTTTTAGATGTCTTTTCTCTTCTTTGGAAACAACATCAATAAAAAGATTGAAAACATCCTCCATGTGTGCCATTGCATCTTTAAATGTCTCAACTGTTACAGAAGGTATCTTTCTAAACCCATCGTCAATCACTTTGGTCTTGACCCTCTTAAGATGAGAAAAGTAAACCATTTTGGCATCTGATGAAAGCTCGACCACCTTTGTGTTTTCTTTTAGTTTTCTTATCCACACCTTGATGAAAAGTAGTTCCTTGTTGTACAAAATCTTTTCAATACATTCAAAATAGTGATCCGTTGCTAGGATTTGGATCTTTCCATCAACCCTCCCCATAATCTTCAGATAGTGTCTTGTAATTTCTTTCAGACACTCTTCCTCATCTAGATAAGATAGTTCTAAACTCTTTGTACTATTTTCCTTGAAGTTGACTAATAGAGTATTCATAATTTTATGTTCGGACTTGTGCTCGCAAACCTTAAAATACAAATCAAAGTAGTAAAGTGCCTCATGGAAGGTGCATCCAGGCCTCTGAATATTCCTGTAGATGATTTCTAGGAATTCGCATCTTTCATCGTGGATGGAATTCCAAACCTTCTGTATATACACAGAGTTCTTCAGTTCCAAATACATCTCCATGGCGCCTTTGTATATGTCAACAAACCTCTCGAGATTATGGAGATTTCTTCGAAGATAAAACTTGACATTGAACAATAAAGAATATTTCTTCATGTAGTACTCCCTTCTTCCTCCCTCTATCTTCCCTTCCACATCATCAGATATTCCTGAGGTCATCTTCCTGAACTTTTCTTCAACCACTTTAATGTTGTTTTCAAGATCTGTGGTGAATTCCTTATCATATCCTTTCTGCTTGATATCTACCCAAATCTCTTCTAAAACTGTTCTACACTGCACAAACTTTCCAAAGTGCTGCTTCACAAGCTGCTTATTTCTAACCTTTGTTCTATTTATCACCTTTGTCAAGAATATCAACGCATCATTCAGATCATACTCGGTAGCATTTGCATATGTCTTGTTTATCACATCCACTGCATTGAACTCTTTGCCGGGGTTGCCTGGCTCCTGGCTCTCCGCATCCATAGCCATAGACAATAGAAAAATTTTATCACCTTGTATTAGAAAAAAACAAATGGAATCACCCACATGCCAGGGCTATTTGCTGCCAACAATCTGATAAAGAGCAGAAAGGCCAAGAGACTAGCCGATACTACTTACAGAAAGCGAGCCCTTGGGACAAAGTACAAGCATAGTGTGCTTGGAAGAGCCCCACAAGCAAAGGCCATCGTTCTGGAAAAGATTGGAGTGGAAGCCAAACAACCAAACTCTGCTATAAGAAAGGCTGTTAGGTGCCAACTGATTGCCACTGGAAAGAAGATAACGGCATTCGTGCCCTATGACGGATCGGTTACATACATCGAAAGCAATGATGAGGTAACCGTAGAAGGATTTGGTAAAAAGGGAAGAAGTTTTGGAGATATTCCTGGAATTCGGTTCAAAGTCTGCAAAGTACAGAATGTGTCTTTGCATGCAATATTTACAGGAAAGAAGGAAAAGCCTTCAAGATAATATTAAAGTTCAGTTAACTGTTTGTATTTTAACGAAAAATCTTTACTTTTGTTGTTTTTTTTGCTCTTCAAGAGACAATCGGATGGCTTCTGCCAACTCGGGATCATCCTCTTCAACCAGATCATTCCCGCTTATAAACGGTAGAACCCGGTCAATAAACTCTTCGTTGGTTTTAACCTCTATGCAAGAAAAGTTTGTGAAGTCGATCTTTTTGAAGGCTTCTACCATTTCTACTGCTTCTCCGAAAAAAACCATTTTGATTCCAATGCCAAATGTCAAGAGCTGGTATATCCTTGCAAATAGCTCATCCTTCTCCGACTCTTGGAGCTCTGAAGCCAGAAAGACCACTAGTATACATCCAGGAGAATCTCTCTGATTGAAGATGTGAAGGGATTGAGAAAGACATCTCATAATGTCTCCTTCCTTATTCAACTTTATGTCATTAAGAAAGGTTTTTATGTGTGATCTCTGCTTTGTAGGTGTAATTATATCATTGGATTGTACTTGCACCAAAGGAATGATTCCTATTGTATTTTCTTGGTTATCCTCAAACTTCCTAGATATCAGAGATTCTACTGTTTCCTTCTGTACAATGAATCTACTAGGAAGATAGTCTTGGTTTTGAGAAGCCATTCCATTATCAAACAATACAACAATAGTTTCAGGCATCTAGGGGTGGCCTATTCTACAAATTTAGAAGAAAAACTTCTGGAAAGAGCCTCCTAGAACAACTCTACCCAAAGAGGCCATCCAGCTGGTATGGAAACTATCAAGTATGATTTATTAAGGATTTATCTTAGCATTCAGTCAATTCCACATTGATAAAGTCATTTTTCTCAATGGATTCCTTGTATTTTTTGTTTATGTAAAGGACAGACCTGACCCACATTATACAAAATATCCCTACAAACACAGTGGATATAGAAACCATGTTTCTAACATCTCGAACATCAAACACCACCGTTATAAGAGTGCAGTACACAGACCCTATTGTTTTTCCAATGTTTATCCCTAGCCCATCGTGTATTCCCCTGAAGGAATGGCGATGAGAAGGGGGGACTCTTATAGAGGCTGCTTCCTTTGCAACGTCAAAAAAACAATACTTGGATATTTTTATGATCGTATTCAAAAACATCCCGGTATAGTTTTCCAAAACAAAGCTCCCCAGGTACCCCTCCCGGGGTGTGATGACTTCATCTTCAGAAATGTTGTTGAAGAAAACCATGGGAAAAAACAAAACCAATGTGATTATAGCGATAGCAGGTGCTGTTATGGCCACTAAAAACCATCCCTTTCTCTCTATAAGATGAGTTGCAGGCCTGAAGAACATTACAATCAAAAAGGCGGAAGTTATTATCTGTGCCATGGCATTAAGTTTGTTGATATAAGAAGATCCAGACAAAGAAGCCTGAACAGCTCCCAATACTACTCCTCCTCTATAGGTTGCTTCGAATATGTTTGAGCACACGGAAGTAGCTATTACAGACTCGGTCATTGCCATGAGAAACCTAGACTTCCTCATTATTCTTAACGACTTAGTAAACCCCATTTTGTGGTCCTTATACTCCTTCTTACTTCCATACTCTCGATCGTCTTTTGGTGTAAATTTGTCGGTGAAATAGCTTGTTATTGCTGATACAGCTGTCAAAATGGATGTTACAACAAATACCTGAGAGAACAGACTTTCCTTTTTGCTATATGGTAGGGTGTCCCTATAACTGTTTAGGCTTCTTGTAAGCAAACCAGAGGAAAGCAAGACCATTCCTGATATCAAGGATACCACCGGTAAGAACTTCTTTAGCTGGGCTTCTGTGCTCTGATGAATTGCTCTTGAGAAGAACATAAAGGAAATTATAAGAGACCCCCACAACTCTGCCACAAGATATAACACAGTAGAAGCCCATTCGTTAAAGACAAGAAATATGGGAAAGAAAAAGTCCAAATGTCTTATCTTCATTTTTCCATCGCTGAATATATCTCTTGACCAAAAGAAGTCTGGCTGAAGCTTCTTAGAACAGGGCCAGATTACCAACCCAAATAGCAAGAAGAACACAGATAAAATTATAAGGACAACTTCGAGAATTCTTGGCTGGCTAAGAAATTTCAGCCCTTTCTGTACAATAACGATGAAAAAGAAAGTCACCGGTAAGACTAACACAGACTTTATGAACAATATCGAGCTAGGGATTTGAGTGTTCATCATCACCATATCGCCTAGAATGTACAAAAATGCGTCAATGTACGAAAGTAAAGCATAAAGTAAGCTAAAAAGAAGAGTTGCCTTGGTGTCGTTGCTGATATCATTAATTCTCTGGAGGGTTCTGCTATATATGGAAGCACAATGTCTTTCTTTTCCAAGTATCTTGTCTTCGCAGCCGGCTAAATCAGTGCATTCATTTTCTAGCATTTAGGGTATTATCTTAAGAAAATTAAATTGGTTTGTTATTTAAGACTTTGATTCTTTTGTATGACATGTTTATATTAAACCGGAGAGCCGAGTCGAGAACTAGACCTCATAGCGAAGATAATCAAAAGAGAATTGATTTCTCCCTCGCAATCCCAAGTAATGGATGATAATTGGAAAGCCTTCAACTTGAAAATCGAGCATGGATTAGGACACAAAAGGACTCTTGAATGGGAAAGGATTGTAAAGCATCGCATAAGACAAAATTCGCTAAATTTAGCAAGTGAAAATGAAATTGAGCGGTATTCCGATAAGTACTTTAAAAGTCTTCTTTCAGAGGACATGATAAAGGAGATAGTAAGTGTGGAACTGATGCCACCCGAGATCTCAAGGACATTTGGAGAAAAGAAAGAGAAGAATATGGAGGACATTGAAGGAATTGAAAGCTCAGCTTCGGAGGAGTATGATGGGTCGGATGAAACTGAGAATAGTAATGATGTTGAAAACGACTATGAAGAGAACTTCTATGAAAATGAAGAGGATGATGAGCTTACTGAAGAAAAAGATGAAGAAGGATTCTTCTGATATAAGCCGAGGTGGACGGGATAGATCTTCGTTTGTCTAAATATAAAATTTTTGTAAACTCAATAGCCTTGGTTTGGATTTTAGAATGGAATTCGATGAACTAAATATTGATGATTCTTTGGTACAAGCATGCCAAAGAAATGGAATTACTAGGCCTACGGAAATTCAGAAGCAGGTAATTCCTATGGTACTTGGAGGAAACGACATTATAGCTGTTTCGCAGACGGGGTCGGGAAAGACCCTTGCATTTGTTCTTCCAATAGTGTCACGCCTTCTGCTGAAGAACAGATCTTTTTTCTGTCTAGTGGTTGCTCCAACAAGGGAATTGTCTTCGCAAATTGCCGAATGCTTTAATATGTTTGGATCCACAGGCCTGAGGGTTTGCTTACTTGTTGGAGGGACTAATTTTAATCTTCAGGCCAATCAGCTTTCCAAGCATCCTCATATTGTTGTTGGGACACCGGGAAGAATAGCTGAACATATTCTAAAGACCAAGTCATTCAAAGCAGAAAGAATAAGGAAACTTGTGCTTGATGAGGCAGATCGATTCTTCGAACAAGACTTTGTAGAGGATTTGGAAACCATTATCCGAAGCTTGAGAGAGAAGAGACAGACACTCCTCTTTACGGCGACAATGTCTAATGAAATATCCAAGTTGTCCAGTTCGATACTTATAAAGCCCAAGACCATTCGTGTAGTAGAAGGATATGAAACGGTTTCTGCTTTGAAAGAATACTATTTCTTCACAGCAATGAAATGGAAGAGTTCTGCCTTGGTTGAATTCCTTGAGATGAATCCAGGTGCATCTACTATTGTATTTGTATCAATGTGCATAACTGCTCGAGTAATGTCTCTGGCGCTGAGTAAGCTTGGATTCCATTCGGAAGCACTCTATGGGGAATTGAGCCAGGAAAAAAGAGAAGAAACCATGAGGATGTTCAAGGAGAATAAGTTCAGCGTCCTTGTTTGCACCGATGTTGGGAGCAGAGGATTGGATATAAGCCATGTAGACTTGGTGATAAACTTCGATGTTCCAAAGAGTGGAAAGGACTATGTTCACCGTGTTGGAAGAACTGCTAGAGCAGGAAGGGCAGGAACAGCTATTACGCTCGTGACTCAATACGATGTTGAACAACTTCAGAGAGTGGAATTTGTGCTGAAGAAGAGTCTAGAAGAATTTAAACCGGTAAAGAAGAACTTCGAATCAATACGCGAGAAGGTTGAAGAAACTATCCAAGAAGCCCAGGAGATTCTCAAGGGGGAAAGAAAAAGAAATAGAAGACATTGATGCATAGGACTATCAATAAAGATAAGTATTTACATTCTCATAGAATGAAGAATAAATTAGATATCCGCTTAGGTTTTATTTTGAGTTTTCTAATCTATGTTCCATCTTTTTAAGTGAATAGAAGGTTAAAACAGAGATGAAACCACATCGGACACAAGTATCAACATGTTAGAGCTTGAAGGATTATTGAAAGTATTTACTTTCCTTGGAGTTCCACATCAATGCCGCCCGAAGGTACTGATCCAGAAAGAGAAGTACCAGAAGAAAAGATAAAAGAGGAGGAAAATAAGGAGGGGCCTGGAAAAGAGGAAGAAGGAGAGAAAAAGAAGGAAGAAAAAAAAGATGATGGAGTAATAGACGATATCATTGCCAACAACGCTGTTGATGCACCTCCTGTTGAGCCGGAAAATGAAATAATATTCACAAAGGCCAAGGTGTTTGAAGAGGAAGAGCTTTCTTTCTGGAATATAGACAGCTATTTGCACAGTAAGTTCTCCTATATCCCCGAGGTCATTAGAAGACTAATAGAAATTACCATTGTGGTATTTCTATTCATGGTTTTTCCTCTAGTTCTTTCGTTTTTGGAAGATGGAAAGGAAGTATTATACCTCCCGAAACAGGTATTTCAGAACACCGGACAAGGCCCAACATACTTATTTTTTCGGATCAACCTTTTCATATCAATGTGTTATGTGATTTACGTGGTGGTCTCTCTGTTTGCAAGTAACATACTCTATATCATGGTTGGGGTTCTAAACTTCTTTAACTACGATCTTGACGAGTACACCATAGAGATCATTCAAGTGATAAACTCGACGTCGTGGTGCTGGAAGCAATCCCTAATAGCTGCTCTGATTTTTTTGGCTGCATCAATCACCTCCCAGCCGTATGATTTTGGAAAAAATGATGGAAGTTATAAGTACAAAGTCGTCACCATGATACTTATGTACTCTGTCTTTATATTTGTTGTGTTTCTTGAGAAATTCTTTATGTGCTTTATGATTTCAGAGATAAGAAGAAAGGAATACAGAAACAGAATATGGGATATCAATTACAAGACATTTGTGTTCAAGAAGCTTGCAGCAATTTCCGAGGTTTCTTCGTCCGAAAGGAAGGAGCTTGCAGAAACCATCCAGCCAGACTTCGATCCAGGGTTTTATTTAAAATATAACGACTTAAAACTGAACTCGGTGGAAGCTGCAGAAATGGTTGCCGAGTCGATATTTGGATTCCTGGAAGTTCAAACGATTATATACGAAGATTTAGAGAAGTTCTTTCCCGACAATCACAAAGAAGTGTATACATACCTGGCAGACAACTCGGAAGTTAAAGATAAAGACAATCCTCCAATAACGTTTGAGGACCTTAAAGCCAAGGCAATAGCCTTGTATAAGGAGAGGACAGACATATCAAGAACTCTTCAGTCTAGAGACATTATCATAAACAAGTTAGATATAATACTGGTTGGAATTGCAATGTACTTCGGGGTTATATTAGTGATGATTCTCTTAGGAATCAACTACGAAGGGATGCTTGCGGCCATTGTTCCATCAATAGTTACCTTCAGTTGGATATTCTCCGATACTGTCAAGGAGATATATAATTGCTTTATATTTCTTCTAGTCAACCATCCCTACGATTGTGGAGATAGGGTTGTAATCGATGGGGAAGAACTTTATGTGTCCTCTGTTGATCTCCTATCATCCACATTCACTGGAGTGAATGGGAGACAAGTACTCATACCGACATCTACTCTGTTCAGAGCAAAGATCCATAACATAAGAAGATCAGGAAAGCAATTTTCTGAGGTCAGCATCCTAGTAAGTAGGAAAACTTCATTTGATGCAGCACTCAGGCTTAAGGATGGAATTGCAAAAACATTTTCTGAGTCTACGAAGTCATTTTCGGGGGAGATTTATATCCGAGACTTCAGGACTGAAGGAGAAAATGTCAAGATAATTTTTGCAATACAACATCAGTCTAACTTCCAGGATGTTAAGAAGAAATACAGCAGAAGGGCTGAAATTGTAAATATACTAGAAAAGGAAATGAGAAGCCAGGGAATAGAGTACTTAAACTCATACAGATTCAGTGATTAGTTCTAAAAATAAAATACTTTTATTAGAACAGATGAAGCGTTTTGAGTGAAGATGGATTTGGGAGGGATCGAGGACACAGGTGGAAGGCGCCATGGTCCAGTGGTACGATACGTGCTTCGGGTGCACGCGACCCGAGTTCGATTCTCGGTGGCGCCCGAGGCTTTTTCATTTTCTTAGAATCGTATGCTTTTCGCCCGCAACAATACCTAAATGAATACTAGTTCGGTGGGAAGTCACCCCTATAAATGGAGTTTGGAGACAAAGTAATTCCCTACGATCATGTCATCATAAAGACAATGCATTCGTTTATATTCACAAACCTCAGGCCTTTTCTTCCCCTTCACATACTTGTATCTCCCATATCTAAAAAGCAGAGGATATATGAGTTAACGAATGAGGAAACATCCGACCTATTCAACACAGTAAGAGTTGCGATGTTAGGTCTCAAAGACCTATGCGATGGATTTACATTAGGTGTCCAAGATGGTTCCTGTGCTGGGCAGACGGTGTTTCATGTTCATGTCCATATAGTTCCCAGGGTAGTTAAAGATCTTGAAAGAAACGATGATATATACGAAAAAGGCGCTTTGGATTCTGCCGACAGGCCGGCAAGGGAATACGATGAGATGAAGAAGGAAGCTGCAAAGCTTAGAAAAATCATAGGGAGAGCCTTTGACTCTGAAGGATTATATTATCAGAACAGCTTTGAATGATTCTCCCATTGCTTTCTACAATAAAGTAGATTTTTATTAGGGCCCACGCATGTTGGAGCTTCCCCCAGATACCAGAAAAGGCTTTTTATATCTGGTCGATAGAGAAGTCTTCTCCAAGTTCAAGGGATATGTAGATCTTGACTTCCTGTATGAAGAAGACCATGGTGAAGTAAAAGTAGCCTCTGTCAGTGTATTAGAAGATAGTTTTATGTGGTCTGAGGGAAATGAGGAGAAGTCTGCTCTCCCAAGTGAATTTAGATGTTCCCATGGAAACGAGATAACTCATAAATCATTGAATCTTCTTCCCCAGGAGGGATGGGAAGAGTTGATAGACTGCTGGTCATGCCACAACTGCGAGTTCAGAACCATGCTAGATCTCAAACTTCGGCCTAGAGAAGGGGGTCTGCTTCTTTCCGATTTCTTTTTCCTTGTAAATGATCGAGATCTCCCAGAATGCTGTAGAAAAAATGATTCTTCTGTAAGAAAGCTGTTCTACAACGAAATTGAGCAAGAGGAATTCACCCACAGAGCTCTAATCTACTCATATATGAACCTTCATTTTCGAAACAAGAATGTTCTTTTACTTGAAGTAAACGAAAAGAAATACGAGATTAGGTACTTTTATAAGACAATGTTGGTATCTGCAAATGGGAAGAGTTTGGAGAAAAAGGAGGCAATGAAGGTAGGAATCAAAGAAACGGACAAGCTTCTGGAAGAAAATAAGAACATAAACAATTTCTATTCTAAGCTTATATGGGATGCAGTAACATTAGGCGCAGTTGGAATAACTGCCCTAGGATATGGAATTTCATTTGTAACAGAAAAGTAAAATTGCTGTTAATTTATTGATTTTTGGAATCTTACTTGGGAATAGCCCAAGACGATACTTAACGGTGCCTACAGCTGAAGAAGCTGATACCCGCTCTTGTTATGTTTTCTTTCGATTATACTAAGTAGTTTTCTAGCTGCACTTGAAATCTCTTTTCGGGTGCTATCCACGACAAGTGCAAAGTACGGAGAGCTTTTGACAAGGCATTTCTTGAAGTGATAGACCTTTTGGTATAGAACTTGAAGTAATTTCAGAATAATAACTGTCTTGTCTCCTTTCATACTGTTGAGTATTAGATCGTTGGCATCCTCGATTTCTTTTGGATTGTGTCTAAGGATGCTACCAATACACCTTGCATACAGAACATCCGGATCATCACAGTAAAACAAAAAGAGAATTTCAAACATCTTTCTGTGAGGAAGACCATACTCCGAATCCCAGTATAGATAATCGGTTATAAATGATATCGCATCTTTATCCTTCTCTTCGACCAGCTTAACCATGACATCTGCATATGGCTTGAAGATTTTAAAGCAAAGAGAAAAAGATGCCTGGGATACTTGGAAGAAAACGCATCTATTTCTTTCGTAGATGATCCTTAGAAGAGATTGGATCTCTTCGTCTGCCTCAGGGTTTACCTTTAGATAAACCTCAAAGAACTTCGTAAGAAGCTTGCCTTTCAACTTCGAGACATTTGAGCCAAGGAACTTCACAACCTTTATGAGTACAGACGGTGAAACCGAAAGTCCCGAGGTATCAAGTACCTTGTGCATGAAGTCAAGATGATGTTCGTCTGGAGCGTCTACGTATGCCTTTATTGCTCCTGTCAGGAGGTATCGTGAATCAATTTCGAGCATGCAATCTTGCAGCTCAGGAAATTTCTGGAGAATGTCTTTAACGTAAGGTCCCATGATGTTTTTATGCTTCTCAAAGAGTATTCTGACAGACTCCTTCTTATGTTCTATCATGCAGGGTGCAATCATAGGTACAAACTGCAAGGAATCGAATGGAAGTTTCCTCAGAAGAATATCAAAAAGGCTACTTCGGAAACTATAATCCGAATTCTTGGCTACATCCATGAGTTTTTGGTAGTCTATGGAGGCTTCATCTTCCACAATTGTCTCGAAGAGATCGAGATCACCTTTGAAATCAGAAAAGTTGCCAAGAAAGTAGTCAAAGCAGAATTGCCGGTACTTATCATATTGCAGAACTAGTTCGGAAACAATGACCTTTATAACATTCCATTCTCTTATCGTAGTGCATTTGATAAGATGAGGAATGTACTTACTTTGAAATAGTGCTTTGACTATTCTTTCTCCTCCAAACTCGACCAGAGAAGAAGAATATCGGATAAAATCCTCCTCATCTTTAGGAAGCAAGTTTTGTTTGGATGTTGTTTCAATGAAGTCTACCACATGTTCATTCCTTCTATTTCCAAGAATCTTACAAAACCCGTACTTTCTACACAGAGATAAAAGAGCATCATGGTGTCTTTCCACAAGACACTCGTCAATCACCTCTTCTTTATATCTGTATAGTCTATCAACCACATCGTAATTGTCTTTTGAAAATCCTTTTGTGCTCAGAATCTTTTCGCAGTTTTCTTTACTCACAACCTCAAGATGAATCCTCAGTCCTGAGTAAAAAGCCGGATAAAACCACATCTTATCTATCAACCATCCGAAGACATCGTTTATGAGTTCTTCATCCTTCACCTGCTGTAAATACCCACACAGTGCATCCATATGTGCCTTAGATGAGAACTCCATGGCCTTCTTCAGTAGTCTTCTGCTCATCTCTACTTCAAAACCTCTGGCCTTTTCAGAGAGATAGTTCAGATAGGCCGGGTTGGTGTAAAATTCCTTTTGGATAATTATAGTTGCCAGATCTATGTTCATGAGCTTGGCTGTGTCGATGATGTTTTTCACAAAGACATTTTCTTGGCATTCGTCCATCAATGAAAAAAGTACTTTCTCATCAAGGTAGTCCACAAAGACATTTCCATCATATTTCACATACTTCAAGCAGGTTTTCATAATCTTCATCAGATCATTCTCTACCATCTTCCGGGGCATGTTCATCACAACTATGCTGTAATTTCCTTCGGTTATAAGACTTTCCCATAACCACGGAGACTGTTCTGAAAGATATGCTTTGTCGGCATCTCCCATGTGCGGAATAAGTGTTGAGACATTCTTAGGAAACCTCTGACTAAGAAGCTTGACAAGACCCTTCTTGTCTTCCAACTCCCTAAACAGATTGATATAGTCAAAGATTTCCCCATCGAGATTCTTTTCTTCAATTCCACAAAGAGTCTTCAGAGCTCCGATCTCTATCTCATTGATCGACTTCAAAGATAGTTCTTCTCTATGGAGCCACATCACATAGTCTTTATATCTGCTGCTGTCTCTCAGAATCTGTCTGTCGTTCCCACTATCATATATCTTCCTAAAAAGTGCACTTTCTTCATGGGGAATATCCTCTTTATGACTTACCTCTTCAAGCTTTCTTGACATCAGATATTCCTTGGCAAAATAGGGCTCCAACAACTCAACAAACTCATCAAGAACTCCCTCGACATGGTCTCTTATTTCGAAGAAAATCTTGACTGCTGCATCACTTTCTCCAGACTTGGTGAGATGGGATATCATCTCATAGAACTGCATGGAAAAGTCTTTGTCTGTATTCTTAATCCCTGAAACTATATATCCAGTTACATCAAGACAAAAGTCTTGGATATACTTGAAATGCTCAAAATATCCTACAAAGAAATCAAAAAAGTGCTTCTCTCTCAAACAAAGATTCCCAATAAACTGATACGAATAGGTTGGTTGAATTGAGAAGTAGTTGAAATCAGATCTCTGACTTATGCATAAAACCTGGCCATAGTACTTCTTAAATGGAAGAAGAAAGAAAATCATCTCCTTTGGGTTGAAAGTGTCACACATATATCTTCGGACAAGATATTCAAACAAATATTCGATATCCTTTACATTCCCATATCTGACCAATTCTTTCAAAAACTCCGAAAATCCCCTGTTAAACTTTCTCTCCTCCTCCTCTGTCTGCCTCTGTCGGTCAAAAAATAGGCTTTTGGTTTTTGTGTATGGTGTTTGGATTGGAATCAGTTCAAGAATTGTTTCTTCGTCCATGTCCTCTGTATCTCCAAATCTCACTCTTCCCTTCATCTCAGAGTGAGCAGCTCTTCTGCATTTCTTCAGCCTCAGCAACTGATCTTTTAGCGACATGAGGGCTTTTGGTATAAAATAATAACATCCTTTGAGCATATCCAAGATAGGGAATTTATTCCATCAAACATTCATAATGTCTCTCAAACGAGGAAATTCTCTTCAAATAGTATCCGGGCAATGATACTCCTTCCCGGGGCTCATAGTTGTCTTGTGGCACCGGCTCCTCAACAAGTTTCACAAACTCCGGGTACAATATTTTTCTTCTTTCTAATAATCTTTTTTCAAATCCCGTGACAATACATCCCTGGGAGATTCTTTCCAAGCAAAACATCGAGCTGCATGTTCCAGATCCATAGGAGAACATTAAAATCTTCTCCCCAATCTTTCCATCGTGTCCGTCAAGCAAAGAGATTAACGAAAGATACAAAGAAGCCGAATATGCGTTTCCGTTCTTTCTGGATGCTTCCAAGGATTTTAGAAACTTCTTTCTATCTATGTGGTTTGCAACACACATCTTTTCAGGGAGTCTTGTGTATGGAGAGTGGAGTACAATATAATCAAAGGTTTCATCCCCCATCTTCTCCCTAAACTTCCCATAGCACACCTCAAATGCAGTCCTATAGTTCTCTATTGATTCCTTTCCCTTAACAACTGGAAATGGATGCGTCTTCCTAGGCTTCATAAAGTCAAATTGGTTTGTAAAGTAGTGAATGATGCTTGATGGAACGATTCTGTAGATGCTATTTGGCCCCACCAGGATTGCAACTGCCCCTGCCCCTCCTGTAGGCTGGCAACGTTTATCTTTATACATGGCTACATCGGTAGCAACAACTATTGCAAGCCTTCCATCCCATAAGGATGATTCCATCCATGAAACTGCATTTAATAGTGCATTTGTTGCACTGTAGCAGGCATGTACACTATCACAACCGCATATCGATGTGTTTCCCGGGAATAGGTCTGTAAGGTACGACTTGATGGACTTGGATCCATCCGGATTGCTTTCGGTTCCGACTTCAAGTCTCCCAACGCTTTGGGGACTCAGTTTATACTTTTTCATGAGTTTACTCACTGCATTCAGAGCAAGAGAAATGGAATCTTCCCTTCTAGATGGAACCCCCATCTGTTCCAATCCTAGCCCTATTTTGATTTTGTCAACTTCGAAGTCAATGTTATTAGCAACCTCCTCCTGGTCGATGTAGAGAGAAGGAAGTTGGTATTCAAGTCCTACAATCCCAAACATATTCTTTGCCGGCATCTTCGGGGTAGGGCCATTCTGTATTTCAATAAGGTCTTCATTTACGGTTTTACGGTGGAATTAAAATGAGAAAGGCTTTTGAAGAGGCAAGAGAAATACTTGTTTGCTATAATAATGTTTTTAGTAAAAGTTGTGGAACGTCCTTCGTATTTGTATGCTGCCATTTTCTGTTTATATTCTATGAATATAAATACAACTGGAAGCATATCATACACTTCTAGAACTCGTCTAACTCAATGTAGGTATTTTTCTCAACCGACGTCTGAAACTTTCCGTTCAGGTATTTCACGATGAAACACCAAATCACAATTATGATTCCAACCAGTAATCCCAACACACCCGAGACAATACGGATGTCGGTTATATCCCATATCCCCGTCATGACAGTGCACATTACAGATCCCAAGGACTTTCCAAGTTTTCCACAAAGTCCATCGTAAATGGCCTTGTACTTTGCCCTGTATAGAGGATCTATTTGCATTGAGATCGCCTCCTTCGAAACATCTGCTCCAAGGTACTTCCCTATCTTTAAAGATGCATTTGTTATAAGTCCAAGGGTGTTTTCAAGAAAAAATACAGGTTGCTTTCCTTTGAAAAAGGACTTAAATAGTCCACTCTTCCCCGAATACACTCCTACGTTGTAGAAGGCAATAAGAAACACAGAAAAGAACGAGAACACAACCACAGCTATGGGAATCGAAGCCACATACTTCCAATACCCCATCTTAATCAAAGCAGAATAGGGGGTGTTGATGACAATAAGAAGAGTCATCGCAATAATTATCTGCTCCGAACCATTATAGAAGTTTGAGAATGTTTCCTTCGAGTTGTTTGTATATTTTGCTCCTGCTGCCAATCCACTTTTGAATGTTGCTTCTATTAGTGTAGAAGACACTCCATAAAGAAGCACGTTTAAGGATATAGCTACAAGTAACTTTGATTTGGATAAGCTCTTCCCAGCTTCTTTTAGTTTGAGTTCCTTTTGTTTCACGGGCGTCTCTTTTATTTCCTTAATAAGAAACACAGGCACAGGGAGGATTTTCTTTTCTATGTACTTCTTCAATACAAGAACCCCAATCACTCCAAAAGCCAGCAGTAAAATTAGTATTTCAAATCCTAGCTCCTTCGTCTCAAACACAACGCTATCTCTCCACCTGTTGAATATCAATGTAAAAACAGCAGACAGAAAGATCGAAATTGCATTTGATATGTTATAGACTGTTATGTATCTCTGGGATTGCCTTCTTGTTGAAATCTCGTTTGTAAAGACGTTGAAGAAGTACGACACCACAAGAGCTCCCCACATTTCCGAACACAGAAAGAGAAATGAAGATGTCCATTCGTTGAAAACTAAAAACACAGGATATAAGAAGTGAATTCTTAAAGACTCCATTTTTCCGTCTCCGAAGATGTCTCTTGACCAGTAAAAGTCTTTTTGTATATATGCTTTAAATGGCCACATGACCAGTCCAAAGAAAAAATAGCACCCGGAGAAGAGAATCAGAGTGATATCGAACATTTTGGATGGGTTGAAGAAGTTCAGCCCAAAGTGAATGGCCCAGACAAAAATCAGAGAACAAGGAGGAAGAAAAATCGACTTGATGAAAAACATGGACATGGGATCTTGTCTTCCCATAAGGACCATTTCTCTTAAGTTTCCCATTATCGTATGCACCATTGTTATAACTCCGAATAGAAGTGACAAGTAGAGAACCCTGGGCCACTCGTTTCTTGCTATTCTTATGTGTTTGAAGAACCCTGTCTTCTTGTAGACCTCCTCTTCCAGCTCCTCTTCTGTTCTAAAGAGGCAAGAGTTCTTAGGAGATGTTGATGGCTGAATATAGCTCATTTAGGGTTGTGCAAGCCGTTAATAAAAATTGATTAAAAATCGAAAGATTCTCTGGATGGGCTTGAATTTGGACAAGGGCCGCTTATCTTGGGATTGGAGAGCCTCCAATTTAATTTGTTCTTTCAAATAAAGTAATTGCTTTATATGGCTACTTAATAATAGTCTTTGGCACTTGCTTCTAGAGTTTCCGATAGTAGTGCAATGGAAAATTTCTTGTAGTCTCAAGAAACAAAGATTTTAACGTTACCCAGGTGCTGGGTATAAGACCATCTATCTATGTTCAGGATATTTTAATCCGAGAAATGTCCATCCTGATAAAATGAAGACGGAACAAGAAAAAGAAGAAGGACATGTATGCTTTAGCCGGGACTTGGGAAAAGTAGATGTGCGCAATGAGAAGGTTTTTGAAGGGAGTTCCCCTCTTTCATCAGGAAAAGGTAGTCTTGGAAAGAGACAGTTGAGCCTGGACGATATGTTTTCCAAAAGAAAGACAACAGCTTCGGAAATTAGTAGCGGCCGGAAAGTAGACTGGGTTTGTGAGGGATGCATCAATCCATGCGAGTATTGTAAGTTAGAGGAGAAGATCGACCCAAAATGGAGAGTATATCTGAAGTCCGAGTTTGGAAAAGACTACTTTAGAGGAATCAAGAGGTTTCTTCATAAAAACAAAAACCACCTGCCTCCTATCGACAAGATATTCACATTTTCGAAGTTTTTTCCACTGGAAAACACAAAGGTTGTTATAATGGGGCAGGATCCTTACCATAACGACCAACAAGCAATGGGGCTGTCCTTTTCTGTCCCCCTTGGGGTTTCCATTCCCCCCAGTCTCAGGAACATATATTTAGAGGCCAGCACTGACATTGAAGGATTCGAGATTCCCTCTCATGGAGATTTGACAAAATGGGCAGAGAATGGGGTTCTCCTGCTGAACGATGTTCTTACAGTCACCAAAAACCAGGCAAATTCGCATGCAGGAATCGGGTGGCGGGAGTTTACAAGTAGGATACTCCAGATTATAAACGAGAAATGCACCAATGTCGTGTTTATGTTATGGGGACGCCATGCACAGGCAAAGGGAAAATTCATTAATAAGAATAAGCATCTAGTGCTATGCTGTGGGCACCCAAGCCCTCTTAGCTCCAACCACTTCTTTGGCTGCAAGCATTTCTCTAAAGCCAACAAATATCTTAGGGAGCATGGAAAGTCCCCCATCAAGTGGCAGATATAGAAGCAAAGACTTCTTAACCCAAATTAAAATAAGGTTCCCTATCCGTTTTCTACAGAAGAACACAAAAACAACACTGGGACTAATGGACTGGACTGATTTAATTTTATTCGAGATCCTTCTTCCCAGAGAAAAGATCAAGATCAATTGGAGACGAAGTCTGAATAGATTGGTTGTACTTTCTATTCAGATATAGAACCGAGTATACCCAGACAGGAGATATTATCAGCCAAATACCAAGAGTAATCGGTGCTGCAGCTCTTACGTCATTGTATCCCATCAATGACCAAAACATAGCATAGAGAGATCCTATTGATTTCCCAAGCTTACCACAAAGTCCATCATAAACAGCCTTCAGCTTAGGTCTGTATATAGGATCGATTTGAAGCGAAATAGCCTCTTTTGAAATGTCGTAGAAGGCATACTTGGCAATCTTCATTCCACTTACACAGTAAATACCCATGTTGCATTCCAAGAAGAAGTTTGGTTGATATCCTTTGACTAGAGAAGAGAGGATCACTCCTTCTCTTCCACTTGGATAGTTTGGATAGTTGAAGTATGCTGATCCAAATATCACCATAGAAGATACTAGTGTAACTAGTGGTGGAACAATAGCCATTGTTATCCATCCATGTGTCTGGACAAGGGTGGATATGGGTGTCAGTAATATTATTGCAACCAAGGCTCCAACAACCCTCTGCTCTCCAGACACAATAGAGGCAGAATATGCTCTCTTTTCCATGTTCTTTGCATCTGCTGCAACACTTATACCGTTCTTCCATGAAGACTCAATGAGATTGGTTCCTGCATAATAAAAAAGGGCGTTAAGAACCATTGCAACTAGGAACTTCGATTGTGCCATAAGCTTTATACTTTCTGAAAAGCTAGTTGTAGGCTTTCGTCCTTTCTTTTTAATTCCCTCTGTTCGGATAAACAGTTGTTTCTTAAGAATTCTGTTTTCTGCATATTTCTTCATAAGATATGTAATTGCTATCAGAACTCCAAATATGACAAAGAATGAATTTGTTACTAAGCATGTTGTCTTGTAGTCCCACATCTTGACTCTTCTTGAGTAGAGAGCTGTCGATTCTGACGACAGAAGAAGCAGGATGTTTGAAACCACATAGAACAATGGCATCATCCTGGTCGATTGGCGGATGGTCAGAGCCTCATTTGCAAACGAGAGGAACATAAACTGCACTATCAATGATCCAAACAGTTCTGCACATACATAGACAAAGCTTGTGGTCCATTCATTGAATATCAAAAAGATTGCAAAAAGAAACTCAAATCCTTTGTATAACATTTTGTCGTCTGCAAAGATATCTCGAGACAAATAGAATCCCGGTTGAATCTTACTGGCAAAAGGAAGAAGAACTGTTCCTATAAGAGTATACAGAAATGCAAACGCAATCAAAGTATAATCGAATACTTTCGAAATTGTGCGCGTCACTAGAAGCTTCTGAACAACCCCAGTAGCAATAACCGACATGGGAAGAACAAAACATGTCTTAAGAAATGAAATAGCAACAGGCAGTTGGCGTGATAGAACGAACGAATCCTTCATCACCCTTGAAAATGAATAAATATAAGCTGCAGATCCAAAGATAAATGCTAAAGTACTCCAAAGCTTCCATTCGCATCTTGCTATTCTAATTCTACTCAGAGGCCATGTTGTTGATGACAGTGCTTGTGCCTCAACCTCGTCTTCCGTCAAGAGAGGTCTGTGTTCATCTACCGGAGCAGAAAATCCGATTTCACTCATTCCTTTGGGGCTTATTTTTTCTTTTTTTATATAGGAGATGTAAAAATTTGCTTGATCTCAGACTTTTCAAGACCAGGGGGAACCAAAAAAATCCGTTGAGCCTTGCATATTCTTCTCCTTCCCCATATTCCGTGCCATTCTAATTCCTATTTCCATCTCCCAGATGTTTAAATTCAATCCTCTTTACCCTACCATCTCATATGCTATACCGGGCTTATATGTACTTCCCAATCAAATAGGAGGAACTTGAATATTACAAGAAATGATTTTATTTCTCTGCTATGTCCTGGAGGATCTTATCAATATCTTTTCCAGATAGATGGCATAGATCCTGCCCTGCCCTTAGATAAGCCACTTCAATTTCCGAGTATCCAGAGTCGGTTCCAATCGACTCCAGCAGAGCTCCAATTGCTAGCTCGAAAAGTTCTTTGTCCTCCATATCTCCATGATGGTTTTTCTCAATGAACTTGGTCATCTTTCCGTGTTTCTCTCCAGCTGCAGTGGCATAGCAGGGATACGAAATCCCAGACATGTCTGTCTGGTATATCATAGGCTTTTTCCCGTCAAATCCAAATATAGATGCATTGAATGCTGGAGATCTTTCTTCCGAGCTCTGGATCAACTGCTGAATCTTATCAGCAAAGCACCTGCATAGGATATCCGGTGTCACTTCCATTCCAAACGAAAACGTCTTTTGGTTTGCAACCATCTTAATCCTTTTTATAACATAATCGACGTCTCCAGAAAGCCCGGTAATCCCCACATAACATTTCCCGGAGACTCTGAAGAAGCTTGAAGACTCAGACTCCTCGAGCTTGTCTCGTGGGATCTTTTTCGAAGCACAAACTATCATGCTCTTGGATTTAGCTGTGACAATAGGTAAGGAGTTATTCACAGCCTCAAGACCATATTCGATTTGCAATAACTTCCCATCACTATTAAAGATGTTTGAGATCTCTTCCTGTGTTGTCATTTAGGGATGTCATATATTTTTAATAATTCTAAACAACCTTTCTATGGGAAAAATAAACCTTGAAGGAAAAACTGTCTGTGTCACTGGAGGAAGTAGAGGACTTGGATTGGAAATCACAAAGGAGCTTGCAAAGAAGGGATGCTATGTCCATGTATTTGGGAGGTCTCCTCAGCCTTTTTCCCACAAAAACGTAAAGTATTATCAGATGGACCTACTGAAGGAAAGACCCGCCATTGCAATTCCGTTTGATATCGTAATATCAAACCTTGGGACAAGTGTGGGCAATAAAGGGTTTGATGAAATGGAATACAAAGAAGTCACAGATATGCTAAAGTTGAATGTGGAGCTACATCTATGGCTTCTGAAAAACATTAGCTACAAGAAGTTTGTTTTTGTTAATTCTATATTGTCACAACAAGGACTTCCGGGATATTCCATGTATTGTGCTTCTAAGTCGTTCATTCACACACTGAATCAGTCGTTGAGGAGAGAAGGAAAAGACACTATAATCATCTACCCTTACAAGATAAATACCTCGTTGTTCAGCGAGATCAAAGACATATGGACGCTTGATGCAAATTATGTAGCTCAAAGACTTCTGAGAGACATAGAGAATGGTACAAGAGAAGATTTCATCCTCTGGATATTCAAGCCCATCACTTTACTATCAAAAATGATCCCTATGTTTCTTCAAGACATCCTTTCCAGGTTTCTGGAAAGGGTTTTCTACATAACCAAAAGAAAGAGCGAATAAACCTTATCTTTCGCATTTCCATCGGATGTTACAGAAAGTCAATCAAGAACCCCATCAAATGTAGCCATATCTCCATATCTTTCTATAGACCTCTGAAGAATATATGGTTCCATATCCTCTGAACGTCTGGCCATATCCGTTTTTTTGATCAGGGAGATAATCAGTTGTATAGAGGATTCTGAGATTTGCAGGCCTTGAGAAACATTCTTTCCTTGCGATGTTGAACAGAAATGGAGGTTTGGACTTTTTCTGAAAAACTTCTTGCCATTCTATCCCCTCGAAGAAAGGATGTTTTCTGATAGCCATACAATCTCTCTCCCTATATCCAAGTCTGTCCTTGGGAGAAACAACAAGAAGCTTCGATACTAAGTCCCGGGCATTCTTATCAAAAAATTCCGGAAACTTAATTCTATTCTTCCTGATTCTTTCAACTGTCGAGGCCATATCAGGTGCTGCAAATGGCGTAGTTCCAGAAAGCATGTGGTATAGTACCATTCCCATCGACCAGTAGTCGGACACAGGGCCGATTTCCCCACTCTCTACATAATCTAGGGATGCGTACTCTACGTTCTGCTCAAGATCCCCTATTCCACAATCTATTCTGTTCAAAAAATCGTATTTCAGCTTCACATGCCCGTCGTCACCTATCATCATACTCCTTGGAGACAGAAACCCATATGAAAGCCCTTTAGAATGTAAGTACTGAACCGCTAGAAGAATCTCTGCCATATAAAACCTGGATACTTTTGGTGAAAGTCTTTCCTCGGAACTGATCAAATTGACAAGATAGTTCTGTGACTGTTCTGAAAGTAGAAACAAATGTTCGTAATCTTGAAATCCACATATTGTGTTGATGAGAAATGGATGCCGTATCCTCGATCGAACGTAATATTCATCTTGTACCATCTCTTGCTCTCCATATCCTATTATTTTTTTCTTCTTCATAACCCGAAGGCCATAAAGCCCTCCAACCACTTCTCCAACGTCTATAAACACAAGAAACTCTTCCCAAAACGGCCCAAGCCCCGTTTTCTCAATACACATTATGTCTTTCTTTCCTATCATTTCGATGGGTATTTCCCTATTGATTTTGAAGGATCTGGCTCCGGGGAAAGAAACTAAATTTATAAAAATAGTTTATTCCTATTTTGAGTCCGTTAGATAAGTAGTTTGATAACCAAATCGAATAGGTTACCCAAAACAGAACTTTGCTCTTCCACACCTCTCTTTTGGAGATCTGCATCCATGGTCTTTTTTGCTTTTTCAAAGTCCTTCATTCTTTTCTCATTGATTTCCTTGATTCTGCTTCTGTATCTTTTTTCCACATCCCAGGAAAACAGATTTCTCTGTACAAATATGCCTTTCTGGACCCTTTCAAAAGCACTGTAGAAGTTCTTTCCTAGGTATGATTTTAGTGTGCCCCGAAAATCACTTATCCCAGTGAAGTGAAGATTGTGAAGAAAGTTCAGAAGATCCAGAAGCCCGTATTCAGGGCCTCCTCGCCATTTTTCAAGTCTTAGAAGGTTTTCATCAAAGTCCTTGTGATATTCGTTTTCTTTTGTTGAAATAACCACAACCTTTTCCAGTGGTCTATTTAGATGCTCGCTGCCAAACATCTTTTTGTCTTTACAATACACCTTATAAGAAATGCAGCCGTAGGGATCAATTCTATTCAACAGAAACCTGCTAAATCCCACAGACGACTCCGAAACATGGACCAGCTCATATATATGAGCACTATGGAAAAGAAAAAGATCTGTAAATGCCCTCTTGGTGACTAGGAAGTCAAGGTTGAAAAACGAGAACCTCTTCTTTATAAGAAAATCCTTACAATCAAATATAACTGTAGGTTTAGGTCGTTCTTGGGGAGGTAAGACAGGAGTTTTTGGCTCTGGATCTTGGAGAAACCTGCATGCCTTCTCTTTTGCCCGTTTAATGTATCCCATAATGCTTTTGTCTTTGGCCCCATTTGGTCTTCCAAGGATAGCAATCCCAACTCCTAGAGACAACATTGATGATGTTATAAAGGGAAACCTTTTCTCCTCCATTCTGCTCCGGAACGCCCCTAGAAGCTTTTCCAGATCCATCAAGGGTTATATCCACACAGTCTGTAATCTATCTTCTCAAGAACATTCCCACTCTATTCACAAGATGCATTATAGATGTTTTAAAGCTCCCTACTGCGTCCTTAACCTCCCTTTCAAAGAGTTCTAACGCCCTTTGCTCGGTTACCTCCATCTTCAATCTTCCTCTTGCAAATGTAATAATCTCTTCTAAGTCAAACCGGAAGATTTTGTTCTGGAGCAATACACACCATAGAACAAAGATCTTTTGGCAGGACCTCCTTATCTGGAGAAACACCTCCCCTGACTTTATAATAAAATCCTGGTAGATAAGTTCGTCGTTTACTAGATAGTCGCATATGGGCCTGGCAATTGTTATCCTTGGAGAGATGAGCTTTGGATCATTCCCAAACACATAGCTAAAATCCACATGAAAAAATCTTCCATCCCTCGATACCATCATATTCCCTGGATTTCTATCTCCAACCCCCATCATATAGCAAGCAACCGAGTATCCACAGAGAGTATCTACAAATGTTCTTTTCTTCTGAGCATTCTGCATCCATCTTGGGTCATTTTCTCCTTCAATATACCTTTCTAAGTCTTCTCTCCCCTTTATTTGAGTAAAGTCTACCCCGTCCACAACTTCCACAATCCCTTCTTCTCTGCTCAATGGAATCACCTTGTATGCTACCAGATCCATCTCCACCAACTCCGATATGTATCTTATAGTCTCAAGAACAAACAGATCCTTTGTCAGGTCGTCTCCCTTCTTGTATATGATCCTGGAGATGCCTTTATCTGTATTCAAAGGAACAAGAATTGGAAATGTAGATGAGGGAAATATCTTGATCTCTCGAAGAATCATTTCCTTTACTACTGTATCTGGATTGAACAGAGAGGTACAGTGCCTAATACTTCCCATCCTTGGATGGAGGCATAACGCTCCATGTAATTTGTACTCTCTTATCTTTGTCTTCCTAGGCGATCCTTGGCAAGTTATGCTGTAGATTCCTCTAACTTCGTTGATCAAGGCCATTTGCCCTTCCAGTTTCTCCAATATTCCATACTTGGAGTCCAGTGCTAGAAAGCTATTTACAGCATCTCTATATTTCGACTCGTTGCACTCCTCATGAAGCTCAAACCTAATCTTCCAGAACCTGTTTATTTGGTGCTCAGCAGATAGGTTGTCTCCCGGGTCCTTCCCTCCCAACGAGGGGAAGTATATATACAGACTGCCCACTTTTTGAACGCATAAATACTCTGCAATCATCTTCTCGGCATCCTCACTTCTGCTTAAAAGCCTGGAAACACTTCTAGCAAGCTCAGAAATGTCTTCTTTCTCTATCTTGCATTCAAAAGCACTTCCGCTTAGTTGATCCATGATCTATTTCTCAAGTGTTTTGGTACCATTAGTATATATCAGCATCTGAAACAATGGTCGTTGGCATAAGTATTTCAATTACAGAGACAAGTCCCCCATGAAACTTGAGCCAGGAACGGTTGAAGCCCTCTATAACAGCCAGACTACCAATCCTTTGTATAAGAACCCCATTCTCCAGATTACATCGCTAGGAAAGCTCTCGGTTGCCATTGGGGACAAGCAGAGATACCGAGTCAATCTCTCCGACGGTGTACACTACATGAAAGGAATCTTCTCCAGTGAGCTTACAGCCCATTTTGAGAAAGGGCTTGTGAGTAGATATAGTCTCATCAGGCCTGGAAGGTTCAGTGTAAGGTCTAAGGACGGAAGTGTGTATATATATATCCAGGAGATCCAGGAGTACGAGGACTGCAATGTCGAGATCGGAAAGCCTGTGAACATAAGCACAGGAAATGCGTCTTTCAACGACAACCAGCTGAGCCCAGGAATCCAAAAACGTGTAGATGGAGGGAACCAGCATGGTAAAGCATTGGACGAGGAAGACAAAAAAAGAGTGAAAAAAGACATTAAGGACGAAGGAGAGTTTACAGCCATAAACATGTTGAATCCATTTCACAACAAATGGATGATCAAGGGGAGAGTGGTGTTGAAAGGAGATATAAGAAGATTCAGTAATCAGAAGGGAGAGGGAAAGGTCTTTAACTTTGAGATTTCCGACGGAACTGCGCAAGTGAAGATAATATGCTTTTCCGACTGCGTAGATATATTCTTTCCGATAGTTGAAGTTGGGAAAGTTTATTCTGTTTCAAAAGGTACTGTTAAGATGGCCAACAAGCAGTACTCTACAAATCCATTTGACTACGAGATCATTCTGGATAAGAATTCTGAAGTTCGGTGTACTGTCGACGATGGATCACCTCGATACTTCTTCAACTTCATCAAGCTTTCAGATCTATCGCTTGGAAATGCATACTGCGATGTGATTGGAGTTGTCAGAGAAGTATATGCACCTTCAACCGTAATGGTTAGAAGCACCCAGAACGAGCTCCTCAAAAGAGATATAATCCTTGTCGATGAAAGTGGAAGCGTAAGACTAACTCTGTGGGGGCCAAAGGCAGAGCTGGATATTGAAGGGGGAGTAGTTCTTGGGCTGAAATCTGTAAAGGTTAGTGAGTTTAACGGAATTTCAATATCAACTACAGGAGGCTCCCAGGTTGTGATCAACCCAGATATTCCGGAAGCACATGAGCTTGCAGGTTGGTACCAGTCGACCGGTAAGGACATGCAAGTTGCTCTCCCTCGAAAAGAGGAAAAAAGAAGACTAATACAGGAAGTCAAGGAGAATGAGCTGGCATATTCAACCATTCAAGGAACGGTGATGTTTTTGAAAGAAGATGCGCTTTGGTATACATCATGCAAGGGGGAGGGATGCAACAAAAAGGTTGTGATGGAGGACAGTGGAAACTACAGATGCGAAAGATGCAATATGACATATGAAGACTGTAACTACAGATACATGGTCACTATGCATCTCGGAGACTTTACTGGACAAGTATGGCTGAGTCTCTTTGACGAAGCTGCAGCCAGCTTTTTTGGAATACCTGCTCAGGAGATGAAGAGGATGAGCGAGGAGTCCCCAGCAGAGCTTCAAGCATTGATCAAAGGAATGTATTTCAAGGAATACCTCTTTAGAATCAAGTCAAAGCAGGACAGCTACAATGATGAGATTAGGATGAGATACAGTGGGCTGAGTTCAAGCCCCCTGGACATCCGAAAAGAATCTAAACGACTTCTTGATGCGATTGAAAAGGCTTAGGAGAATAAATCTTGTGGGCTAAGGATATTTTGGTTTGTCTATGTCTTCCCATGCAGTACAAAGGGATCAACAGAATGACAAGGGAAAAGATACTTGCATCTGAGGAATTCAAGAAGATGAGGTCCCTTACACAATCAGATGTGATTCGGAGCATCCAGTCTTTGGATTCTATAGGAGGTCTGGTCAGAGATACACCCCATCGATTTCTATGTCTTGTTCAGAAAATGGGAGCTATCTCCTTGGATGAAGATGTTATTGCTGCCAATCTGGGGGATTTCAGGCCTGAAGAGCCCCTACTCTCAAACTCCTCAATGGAAATGTTTCGCGGGAACGTCTGTTTCATAGCGGCTTCTCTCTTATATCTAAGACTTTCAAAGAGGTTCCATAAATACGAGTCCTTGGTTAGGTCGTTTCTGATGGACTTCAGGAAGGTACCCATGGTTGATGGAGAAAATAATAAGACGTTTATATACCTCGATGTACTCGCAGACGATTTGCTTAACAGGACCAGGGTGTTCAATGTCCATTTGAAGAAAACCTTCTAAAGCCCGGTGGTTAAAGGCAAACACAGCCAAAATAGACAGAATAAACGGTCTTTAATACTTCATATTTTCTGCACAACTCTTTCTCCATTCAGAACTGCAGAGATTGATTCCTTTTGATGGCTAGTCATTTCTGCAATGACTTTCTCAGCATAAGACCCGACTACTGGAGAAGAAAGTATCGAAGAGATGTATCCAAAAGGCTCAAAGTGGTCCAGGGCAGTCTCGAAGTAAATATCCTCTTCTAAGATATCCATTCCGCTGATGTCGCTTGCATCGAGATCTTCCTCATCTTCCGAGTCTACAGAAGATGCTACAGCATCCTCATCATCCTTCATCTGGTTTCTTAGCCTTATGGCTGCAGGAAGCGAGGTAACAGTTGCTACAAGAGCCTTACCGAGGTTTCTAACATCAAGCTCAGGAAGATCCCCACTCTGGAGCCTACAGATTGTACCTATAAATAGGATGCATATCTTCTTGTCATGGACCCTCTTGAATTTGCTTTTCTGGCTGAAGAGCTTTTCAAAGAACTCCTGGAGATACTTCTGCTCTCGAAGAATCTGAATGGTCTCTCTCGGTCTTAGGATGAAGCAGTTCATTATCAACTCAAGCACATAAACCATTGCAGGGCCGTTTTCATCAATCATCTTCTCCCCAGACACCGCAACTGAAATGAAGAAGGGCAGTCTCGAAGGGTCCTTGCAAAGAACTTCATTTCCTATGTTCAGAATAATCGATTCGATAATCCTGCATCCTCCTATGAAGTCGTCGTCAAAGAAGTTCTCTTCGTTGCACAAGCAAAGCTTTGAAACCACAGAATAGATGCTTCCTAGTATGTTTGCATCCATTATGGTTGCTTTTCCATATGTTATGAAGTTATCAATTAGATCGGCAATTTCCGACGAGTATACTGTGATTTCATCGATCGGGAGGTTCAGAATCATCTGGAAAAGACCCCACATCGATCCCTCTATTTCCTTGATCATAAACACATAGCCGTTGAGTATGTCCAAGGCCTCCTGGTAGAAGTCTGCCTTTTCCTCCTTCAAAATGAAGGATATCACATCATAGGAGTTGATATAGGAATGCCTGAGAGCCGGGGACCTTTGGTTAAGAGATAGAATGAGATTTTCCATACTTCGAAGAAATCCAGAAACCACCATCAGCTTGTTATCACCAGAGTCATTCTCATTCATAAGATGCGACAGTGTAATCCTGGATATCGATCCAACGAGTTCCGGTGCATATTTGGATATCTCCTCAGGATAGTACTCAATTATTGAGTCAAGCAGTATTGTCAGGGGCTCCAGATCATATGTATTCGAAAGATTCAGTATCGACTCCACCGTCTCTGGAATCAGCTCCTTGAACTTCTCAGAGGCTGTCTCGTTGAACAGGAAAAACGACATTGCAAGTGTCCCCTCTACCTCCAGGACTTTGTGATTTGATTTCATGAGTTTGTGCACGTTAGTCATAGCCTCAAACACCAAGTCTCCCATGGGAAGATCCTCTTCTATTGTTGATAGAAAATAGCAAGCTTGGGACTTCAGAACCAACGAGCTTCCTTGGAGAGCTGGAATTACGTGGTTGGCTATAATGTATTCGAGAGCACTTCTTGCTTTCTTCATCAGAGTTGATTTTATGTTTGCTAACAGAAAGAACGATCCATATGCCATTCTTATATTTTCCCTGCTAGGGCTTTCTTTGTATGCTCCAAGGATGGAAACAAGGTAATTAACAATTCCCTGGAAGGCTTCCTGTTTCTGCTTTATCTTTGCCACAATCTCACAGAACAAAGTGTTTAGACTGTTTCTTAGATCATTACCAAAGAAGTTGTACTTTTCCCTTAAGTATTTGTCTGGGTCGTTTTCAAAGTCATCTTCCTCTGAATCTGACAGAGAATAAAGCGGCAGAATATATCCCGAGATAAAATACGAAAGATTCGGCTCCATGTAACGGAAAAACTCAGAATCCGATGTCAGCAACACAAAAAAGTCTATGGCATAGAGCTCGATGTCAACTGTATGTTCCGATCTCTCCTGAATGATCTTCAGGAATGTCCCATACACCATCTGGAACCTGTTCACATCTGTAACATATTCAGAAAGCTCGTTATTCTTGTAGAACTTCTTGACTCCTTTGCTGCAAGCCTTGTACATAAAGTATGCAGCCCATTTCTTACTTTCAAGCAGATTCTCGTCTGTACCTCTTAGATTTAGAATTCTAAGAGAGAGATTGAATACATATGAGAAAGTACTTATGGCAGAGAGAAAGTCTGGAATGGAGTAATAGCCGTAGGACTTGGTTAGCACAATCATTCCTGTCTTCACCATGCTATAATTCCCTGATTCCAGGAACCCGTACACTTTTTCCAGAACATCTTTTCCGGCAGTATCAAACAGAAGCCCAAGAACTTGCTCAAGATTGTACTTTATCTTCTCTGCATCAAATATCTTTTCGTACATGTTCAATGCGGTAAACATGTGGTTCGTGTCCGAGGATTTCATGAAGCTCGATGCCTTCTGGAACAGTCCATTCAAGTCGTTCAACTTCTCGTTATTGAATATATTCACAAGAATCGCATCGTATGCCATTCTAGTTATCTCGTCTCCATACAAAAACAGATCCAATACATTCTCCACAAGATACTTTCGAACTTCGGAATACTCATCGCTTCCCCATTGCTTTATTATTGCATTCTTGAAGTAGATGGTTGCAACCCTCTTTATTGTTGCATCGGAATCCTTCATGCATGTATCTGGGAGAGACATCACAAAGCTTGGCTGCTTCTCCAAGTTCATCAGCATCGACTCTGCTGCACTCCTCTTTCCAGAATCCGGATCAATGGTCTGCAGAAATATTTGGCGTGTTTCTTCTCTCATGAGGGCACCTCAGATATTTTTTGAAAAATTTTTGGGATATCCTTTCCGGCTCCCTAGGCGGAAAAAGAAAACTTCAACTGTTCGAGATGGTTTTATTGGCTCTTCTCGGCCATGATGGTCGAGTCAATCATAATGATAGAGGCTACACCATTGAAGGATGCTTTGATCATGTTCTTCTTGACCTCAAGGGCCTCATATATCCCAAGGGCCTTCATATCTTGAACCCCTTTGATACTGACTCCTTCATAGAGACTTCCGCTAGCATGTCTTTTTCGGAGGTCCTGAATTGTGCTTATTGTATCAAACCCAAAGTTCCTGGCTAGAAGAAGAGGAATTTTTTCAAATGCCTGGCCTATGGCCTTTGCAACAAACACCTTCTTATTACCGTATTCCATCGACTTCTCTCGAATCACTTTGGACAACTCCATCTCCATGGATCCTCCTCCTGTGACCACTTTTCCTGTCTTCAGGGCACTTCTAACAACACACATTGCATCATGTACTGCTCTTCCAATCTCTTCGAGAACTTCCTGGCCAGGTCCCCTGAGTATCATCGTGCATGCATTCATTCCTCCTCCCTCAAAGTAATTGTATCTGAACTTTCCCAACTGTCTCTCTTCAAAGAGTCCGCACGACCCCAAGCTTTCCTCTAGATAGTCTGTCGATCCCAGGATCCTTCCTCCGCACGACCCAATCACCCTATTAAGATCTTCCTTGGAAACTCTTCCTGCACAGAATATCCCATGCTTTGCAAAGTACTGTGTGGCGTAGTCTCCTATCGATAATGAACTTAGAACCACTTTTGCCCCGCTGTCTATTATCTCATCCAGCTTCCTACGGATTATTTCCCACTCTGCATCAACAACTTTCTGATACTCTTCGACTCCCCCAACCCTTATCTCGGCATTGTCCCTCTCGCTCTTCCACTCGAGCTCCACATTCAAGCAGAGGATTTTTGGATTTAAGATCTTCTTCGGCTGCTGCTCATATCCTGCATAAGTAAAGCACTTCTCAAATGCAACCCCGTTTACAACAGTCGAATCCCCAATACTTCCTCCCTGCACTTTCTTCACTCCAATCGAGTCTACATCATCTATACTTGCCTGTCTTATTGCATCAACAACCATTTGAGAAAAATGCTTCTTTTCATGCCTTATGTTCTTGGAGGTAACACACGTCTCAGCCAGCTTGTAGAGCATTTCATCATTCAGATCCATGCTCATCTTTTCTAGATGTTCGATACACACCATCCGGAGCTCACTAAGGCATTCTCTGATGGATTCAAGATCAAAATTGTCCTTAATCAACGGCTTCAAGCAACTTAATATTTCCGTGGTTAGAATTATCACACTGGTTGTTCCGTCTCCAACTTCATTGTCTTGGGACTCAGACAGCGCCACCAGAAGTTTTCCCACAGGATGATTAACTTTCATGTGCTTGAGTATAGTTGCCCCATCGTTAGTTACCACTATTTCCTTTCCAGCAAATAGCTTGTCCATTCCGTAAGGTCCTAGAGTGCTCTCCAGGAATTCAGCCATCTTCATGCACACATCTATGTTTGATATAACCTGGAGCTTTCCTTCTCGAGGGTCTGCTATCTTCTCTGTCTGTACAAAAAGTTGATTCATGTCTGGGCCTAAAATTTTTATGCTCGATAAAGGCTCTAAGGAAAAGCTCCTCACCAGTTACGAGCCAAGGACATACCTAAGAAGACCTAGGAAGAAAGAGGATGAACAGATGTCCCAGACGCCCCTCAGAAGACACGGCTCTCTCTTTAGAGTCGATCTTTCAAGAGTGATAAAAGAAAAGGAGCATTTTGTATTTTCAAGGTTTCTTAATAGATTCATCAGATAAAGCCAAGATTTATTACACAGATTTACACATCAAGCCTACTTCCGTACACAATAGTCTTCAAGTATTCCCTGTCGCAGTGCCCCATGTTCTCGGCACAGAGCATAAGATCTTTTAGGCCGAATTGGCTATTCCTGTTGGACATTTCCACATGGAATTTCACCAGATCTTCATCTCCTCCAGAAAAAGATGCAATGGCAGTCCCCTCCTGTGTTCCATAGCCTTTACAATAAACAACCTTGGTATCCTCCATCAAAGAGTGTTTTTTCCCTTCCTCAATCGTGAGTATCAGCCTGCTATTTCCAGATTTCTTACAGCTTCCCAGGAAATGTATGTTTTTTATCAAGTAGGTTCTGTCTTCCTGAGACTCCTCTTCCAACATCCTGTAGATCTTCTCATTGTTTTCCTTGGGCCCTGCCGATATCACAGCCGTTATCGCCATCTTTTCTTCGATAATGTGTGTTGCGATATCGCAAGCAATTATAAGAGTGTAGTCAAACGGATGCCTTGACATTTCATGAATTAAGCCTTCATATTCATCTTTGGTGTCTGGAAATGTGCTTGAGTAAAAGGAATCTACACTCCTCGAAATCACATCTCTTACCAAGTTCATATCCGCATCTACCATACCAGCCCACATATTCTCGAAGTTGTCCCTGCACAATCTACTTTCAAGAATGGGATATATCACGTTCTCCACATACTCCCTATAAATCCTGAAAGAAAGATGTACTCCATACGCTTCAAAGAAGATTTTACTCTTTCTACCAAACACTAGATTAAGAATTTCATATACCTCTCTCTTTTTGCTATGCTGTTTGCTGATGCTTCTTTCCTTCTCCAATTTCTTTTTATGCTCGTAGACTTCATTGAGCGGTGCATGTTCAACTATCAGTTCAAGAAGTCTCTCCTCCAACCGCTCTAGATTCCCTGACTCCTCTGTCTCAAATCTCTCTACAAAACTACAGTTGTATGTATATTCCTTGTAAGGATTTGTCTTTGTGCTCGATACCAGTATAATAGAGTATTGTGGATTGTCCATCTGCCGTTTGAGAGCTCTATACACGTCCTTGTCAAACCGATCGCATCCATAAACAATGACATCGTTCCCATAGTAGCTGCAGTTGGACAATACCTGCTTGTAGTTTTTATCTTCAAGGCTGGTCGAGATAAACCTTCTTGCCCTGGTAAGAGCCGAAATGCCACTGCTATGAACAAATCCGTTTCTTTTGCAATGAAGAACCCAGTCGGTGCTCGAGAGAATATACTTTATAGGACACAAGTATTTCATTCTTCTCCATTTCTCCACCTCATCAGATAGCTCTCTTACAATCTTATCCATCAGGAGAGCTCTTTCATCTGCCGACTTGATTTCCTTCTTTATAGACTCAAGCTTAAGAACCGATGCATTATATTCGTCTTTCATTGCCTCAATTTTCTTTTCAATCTGTAAAAGCTTCTTTTCCTCCTCCTCTATTTCCTTCCTGCTCTTTTCAACCTCCTTCCCAAGCACTGCTATCTCTTGATCCAGAGGAGAAATCTCCTCCATAGTCTTGGCATATTTATATCTCGCCATCACCCACATAAAGAGTGGCCCGCAAGCACTACTTGCCTTCTGTGCCTTTTCATAGCTGAACAGAGGATTCGATATCATATTCTCGAGAACATCAGGTACTTTTGTACTCCTGCAGTTCAGAACCTTAGAAACAAAATCCTCTCTTTTCATAAACTGGATCAATTGTTTCCATTCAATGCTCCCTCCCTTTGTCTCTCCTTCCACAATCCAATACACTGCCTCTACAGTGTTTCTAACTATTTCAGGCGGGTTGATCATCACTCTGATCTCCGACAAGCTACTCTTCGGCAGTTCCTCTATACTTCTTCTAGACTCAGATAGTAATGTCTTTGCCACTCTAAGCCTTTTGTCTATCACCTCCTGTTTCTTCTGATTCATCATCAACGCTCCTTCTATTTCTCTCTTCCTGTTTCCGATTGCTCCTTTCTCCCTTTCTAACTGTTTCTGGGTATTGATGATCTTTTCGAGCTGCCCGTCTAGCCTGTCCGTGAGCTTTTCCAGATCCTTTTTCTTTCGAGAAGATTCAAGCCCTAGGGCTAGTGCCTCCTTTCCGAAGTCCTCAATCTTCTGCAGCCCCCCTATCAGGAATTTCCTTCTTCTAGATTCCTTTTCCTTGAACTCTCTTGCAATCCTTGCAAAGCTCATTCCGAACCCAATTGCTTTACAGAGGAAACCAGTTGTCACCACATTGGGATGCTGGCATTCCCATGGATGTCCATCTTCCTCGACTCCCATTGCCAAGGAAGATGTTTCCGAAGGAATCCCTTCATTTTCCAAGTCAATGTTGATACCAACATTTGTTGTAAAGCATTCTTTTACCATATCCAGATCGGATATGTCTTTGCTTCTCACCATATTATAGATCTTAAGTAGGTCCAGAGAATAATAAGCTGTTCTCTTCAGCTTGAAAATCATACATTGGTTGGATATATCTTTCCTTAGAGAAGACACATCCTCTACAAGAAAAGCAGTTTGCCCATCAATCTTCTTTTCGTCCTCATTACTAACTATCCTTACATTTTCCTTCATCTGTCTCATACACTCTCTCACCACCCAATGCTTTCCTGACATCCTACCTCCTTCAATCACAAGATTGTACCCTCTGTGGAAAATAGACCCTACGTAGGAAATATCGCTGCATCTCTTTGCCCTTCTGAACCTTCTAGTCTCAAGATTAAACTCAATCTCTTCAGGACGTCTTCCAAAAGCCCTTTGCATCTCTTCTTCCAAATCCTTTGATTCTCCAAAGTAAATCTTTGCTTCAAAGTACATCAGATCAACCAAATCTCCCTCCTCCATACACAGATCCCCTAGTGTCCTGATAAAGCTGGTGATTTCCTTCAGGTTGACTTTGAAGTTTTTGTAGATAAACTCCACCACCTGTAAGACCCTTTTGTAGTCCTGGAAATGCTTCGTTGCTTCAAATCTTTTTCTGATTTCCGACTCAAAAAGAAGTTCCGTATCTCTCGGCTCTTCCACAAATATAGACTTTATCTTTCTTCTCAGTCTTTCTGCTGCCGTGTTCCGAATTGCATCATTCCCTTTCTTTTCATTGATTCCACATATTAAAACCATGTTCTTTACCTCTATCTCTCCAATTCTTCCACACTCGTTATATTCCCTAACTGCCTCCACCAGACTTACATTCCTACAGTCAAAACCCTCAATGTAAACCACCGATCTTAAATCATATATCTTCTCTTCTCCTACTCTCTTTATCTTGTCTTCCCCAAGACTTTGAGCGATCATCGAGGTCTCAAATCCGTTTCCCTCAATCACAACAACCTTCTCCTTAAAAACCTCTTCAACCAACGACCTCTTCCCAACTCCTACTTCTCCTCGCATGAAAAAGACTTTTGAACCGTCTTTTACTAGTGCTTCCATTGCCCTTGCATAAAAGCTCTGTTCTTCTGTTACCACCAAACCTCTAAATGGGAACACAGGTACCTTTCTTCCATCGTATCTTATGTCCATACCAGTCCCAACAGTGTTTTGGAGATTCCCTATCTGGTAAAGATCGTCCTCTTCCATGTGAACAAGAAACACCCTGGTTAGGGTGGCAGGTGTTATATTCTCCATAGACGTGCTTTCAAACACAAACCTATAGTGGTCTGGAATCCTAATTCTTTCTCCGGAACTCAGGCATAGTAACTTATTTTCGTCTAATATAGAGTTGAAATCTTCAATCCAGAAGGACTCTGCAATCCCATCAAATACAAACCAGCATTCCTTGCTACTGTCCATGTTCCTTCTTAGATCTCGAACAAACTTGCTATCTTTCCACTCTCCAGTAACCTTGTCTTGGAATCCAAATATCTTCCCTATATTTCTCGGGTTGTAGTAAAAGCACATCGCTCCTCTGGACTCTCTTGCTAATTTTATCAATGTACTCTTCCCAGCCCCATTCCCTCCTATGACAAGAGCTCCTCTCCTGTTCTCCAACCCATATAGTAGCATGTCTTTGTGTGCTAGGTTCTGCTCCACTTTCCTTTCAAAAATCTTCTCAAATTCTTTAACAAATATAGCTTTGTCTTCCCGCCCAAGACAGGCCATATAAAAGTAGATTGCCGATCTCATAATCTCCGCCTCTTCTCTTCCCTTTGTGATCGTTCTTACTGCTCTTAACCCAAAATCATAATGATCCTGCTTACTTGCCTTGGACTCCACTTCCCTCATTAGCCTGTAGATCTTTTCCGAACTTTCTTTACAATAGTAGTCTATAATGTCTTTTATGTCTGGTGCATCTATTCTTGTTTCCCCGAGTATGGCTCTTAGGCTTCTAGGCATCCTGTACCGACCCTTATATCCTATGTTCATCGTAAGGAAGAACTTTGTCTTATTTTTGTTAAGGAGAATCAGCTCAGTCGCCCCACTCATTATCTCTTCACTCAGTCGATTGAACTCGTCAAAACATAAGTAAGACCCTGTAAGAACTGCCCCCGAAATAACATTTCTTAAGGTTTCAAGCTCACACCCTTCGTTGCAGCAAAAAACAAAAACAGGCTTTCCAATAAGCCTACAGTAGTATTTCACCGACTCTGTCTTTCCTGTTCCGCTTCTTCCATACAGAATCACCCCACATAAACTTTTTAGCGAAATGGCTATACTTGAAAGTACCCTACATACTAAGGGTGTAAATACAATGTCTACCGGTGGGTAGTATTCAAAACCATACTCTATCTCTTCAGTGGAATCCATAAAGAGCTCCCCACTCTTCAGTACAGGTTTTGGATATAGCCTTATCACTCCATTCGGATGCTTCTCAATCTCCCTTTCTAGTACTCTAAGCTTTGGAGTCATTTCAAAATCTCTTTTGTTGAAGTACTTAAACTCGGAAATCAAATCGGAAATAATTGACGGACATCCCTCTTTGAGACTCTCCAGACCATCGTGGAACCAGGATTTGAGGGTTCTCTTGACCTCTTCTTCAAATGTATCCATAAACCCTCCAATATCTTGGTCAATCTGTACCTTCTGGCGAAGCATCACTGTCTCCCCGTTACCTTCAAATCCCAAAATACTGCCGTTTTCGACAATAACACCATCTATGTTGAACATCATTCCCAACATCTCCACATAATAGGATCTACTATTCAGCCCCCGTATAAGATCGATGTCCGAAACAAGATAAAGCCTAGGTGTTCTTTCCCTACATCTCCTAAGGAATACTTTGAGACCTTTCGATATATCGTCAAAGTCTTTCTTCATACCGAGAAACTCATCTTTATGAGGTAAAAGAGCCCCAAGCTTAACCTCCCATCCACTGGAAGAACTTGGAGTGCTAAATCTATTCAAGACGTCCAGGAATCTTTTTTTTATCATGGAGTATTTCTTAGCTTCAAAGTCTAATCCATCAGTGGAAAAAACATTTGCGAACTCCCTTATTCCTCTCTGGACCTCTTCAAGACAAGCCAGAAAGCTGAGACAATCGTCCATGCGCTCCTTAATCCCATTAAGCTCCTCTATAAAGAAGTTCTTTTCATTGAACCTCGATATTGAGTCATGCTCCACAAGAAGCTTATTAACTCTCTCCTCAACTTGGCTCAAGTCTGGTATAACTACTTCCTCCTTCCGAAGATGCCTCACCTTCAAACTCACTAAGAATATTTCAGCCCTAGCCCTCTCTATATACCTTTCAACCTCATACTCCATCCTTGAATCGGCTAGCCTCTTTTCTACCTCATCTTTATCCTGTAGAAGAAAAAATTCCTTTGTCTCCATCTCTGTGTCAAAGTACTTCTTTTTTACATAGGGACTTTTTGTATGCTGTAGACAATCCAACCCAGATATATAGTATTTTATCTTACTCTGAAACTCCTTATAATATTCTGCATGGAATAGAGATACATCAATGGACTTTAGAAAAGAGGAAAGTTGCTCCACATCTACATCACATACTTTTTGGGACTCATACTTCTTGAGGATAGTCTCAAACCTACTAAAGGTGGCCCACTCAGCATCCAATCCTCCTATTCTTTCTTGTAAGGAACTGCAAATCAAAGGATAATCCACAATACCAAGAATCTTGTTGAATCTTTTGATTTTCTCTTCAAGCTCTTCGTATCTTGTCTTAAGAGATTTAAACATAGGCCAAAACATTAGTCCGTCTCTTTCCTTGGCTGCATTGTCTATCTTTTCCCCAAAATCTCGAATCTCAGAGACCAAGGCCTCTCGTCTTGACTTTATGATGCCAAACGGAATATCATTTAGAAATAAGTTCAAGGCTTCCCTGTTTGCTTCTAGAGCACTATCCCTTTCACTCCGGACAGTCTCAATGGCCACGCTTGGTCTTTCCAGTCCATACTCAATGACGGCCCCATTCAACTCTTCAAGAATTCGAAATTCCTCGGACCGGAGATATTCATCAACCAGTATGGAATTGGATATTCCCTCAAGCAGATCTCTTCTCTCCATACTGCTTTCTTGGGATCCAGAATCTCCCATGCCCCCAACCATATCCTTCCTTGCAGCTAGCATATCGTAGACTCTGGAGTTTTCTGCACTTACAAACCTGCAAACTTCATCGCATACCGTCTCAAACAACCTCGCTTGTTCTGAAGCATCCATAGTATGTTCAAAGGTAAAAAATGGAATTGTATTCTTAACAAACATCTCGACACTTCTTTGCGAATCCCGGACTCTCAGAAACCTTTCGTAAAGCCCCAAAGGAAGGTCCCAAGTCGGAATCAACTCCAATATTCTTGTGCAGGTTTCATAATTTGCCACAACCATTCCAATTATTTTTTCCACTTTAGACCTTATTTCCTGGCCTGGCCTGAGCCTTTGAAGAACCTTTTCAAAGAAATATCCTTCTCCTTCCGAAGGAAATATCTTCTCCAAAATCTTAAAGTACTCAGAAAGAGGAGGTTCAAAACAATGCTCCACACCATTCCCACATCCTTCGATCTTTACAATTTCTTTCTTAAGCCTATGTTTTGAGGAAAACAGACTGCTGTCTCCTGCTTCTAAGGCCTCCAGTACAGATTCAAGATATTGTAGGAACACTCTGCTCATAGACCTATTTATCCCTCGCACTACAATGCTCTTTTCGTAAAACTTAAAAAACTCCAAGTAAGTCTCGCTGTCGAGAGAAAACAGCATCTGCTTCTGGATTTGTTTGGAAAATATTGCTTTCATTTCCTCCTTGGCTATCTTTTTTAAAAGGAATCTGTAGGTGTAAACCCTGTTCTCAAGCTCCCGAACTCTGTCGTCGATCTCTTCTATGTCTTGGAAGTCCTTTGCATCCTTCCATCGCAGCATCAAGATCTTTTCCATTGATCCAAACACCAAATCTATCTCCTTGTGAAACAGATCTAGGTCTTCACGCACATCCTCCAATATCCTGTTGATTCTCCTGCATCCATCATCAATTCTTGTGTAAATAGATCTAGCCTCTAATGCTAAAGCCATTGTCTCATGGATAGGTTGAGAAATCCGAGACCTAACACCCTCCAGAGATACAATAGTCATGTACTCATCCAGCCTCTTTAGAATGGTAGGCTCAGGTGACACCTTGAACTTCCTGTTTCCATCGGCTTCCCTACTAATGCTCACTATTCTTCCCCAGGAAAATCCATCAGAAAGCACGGAATTTTCCCACTCATATATTGTGTCACTTACCTGTCTTTCTATGCTCTTTTTCATCCTTCGGATCTCCCACAGCTGCACTATCCCGTCATAATCCTGCCCAAAAAATAGATCTAGAATCTTCCAGACTTCTCCAAACATGTCGTGAAACATGAACAGTCTAGATAGCTTATTACAGAAATTGTCATCCAGAGATGGAGGACATGACTTTACAATAGAGTCTAGGTATCTGACAATCATCATCCTATTGTTAACTGTTTTTCTTGCGAAAATCTCGAACAGGTTGAAGATGGAGAACATTTTCATGACCTTGCATAGCTTGTGAAACTTATCTCCATCCTCCTGTGGCAATAATACCCCCAGAACTTCGGTTTCTTTCTTTCTCGCCTTCCTCCAGGATATCAGAGTCTATGTCGCAAATCCTTTCGAAAGCCTCGTTGAAAACATCGGAGACAAACCCCTCCTGTTGGTCAAATACAACTTCTAGTCTAGCCTTAATGTTGAAGAGATCTTTCTTCATCCATCCTACCACAGGCCTCAAGTCAGGATCTCCAATCTCAGATATCATTTCTTGTAGCAGGCTTCTGTATCTTATTTCATGGGCAGCCTTTTCTGGAGAACTCTTCAGTAACTTAGGAACAACTGCTCCAAGTCCCTTGAACGACCAAGAAAAGAGAAGGATTTTCTTGATGTCTTTGAATTCGGAGTGAAATTTGGCCAACTCCTCTCCTCCCCTGAATTCATAGAACAATGACGACTCTAAGGACATGGCCTCAGATTCCTCGCCCTCCCTAGAAACAGTAAGTGAGCACATACTCTCTATAGAGCATAAAAGTAGTTCTTCACAACACTTAAGCCACCCAATCGATAGGTTCTCATGCACCTTGTCGATTATTAGCCAAACTAGTCTATCCATCTGGGAAAGAATCAGTTTTCGAGCCATCTTCGACTGTCTTCCAATTCTTCTGCCGATTTCCTTTATAGCACTAACTGTAGAGTCCTTGAACTCGTCCAAGCTCCTTGGAAAATAAACTCCCTTAAAGTCCATGCCCTCATAGAAGCCATGAAGCCCTCTTCCAAGTTCGAAGTACTTGTTTGATAACATCAAGCTCTCTAGGGTTGCTGCAGAAACAAACCTTTTACTCCTCTTCAAAACATCATGAACAAATCCAAATACTTCGGACTTTCCGAATTCTCTTATATAGCACATCTCCATATAGAATTTGCTCCAGAAGGTCTTTTCCTCATGAAACCCACTTCTTTTGAATCCTACGGACTCATGAAGTCCTCTTATGCAGCTGGTCCACTGTTCCACATTCCTATGAATAAGCTCCAGCTCACCACTAGAAAGAAACCTTTCGGGGTCAAGCCCATTCTGAAGCTCCTCACCATGCTTCCTATAAAGCCGATCCATTTCCTGGGTTTCCATGCTAAGATAGATCTTTTCTTTCTTATCTTCTTCACTTACGGCTTTGCTGAGATGCAGGGCATGATGCTCTAACAACCGGAGAGCCTTCTCTACAGCCACAGATACACCCTTCTTTTTAATCCTAGACATGGTGGCTGGTATTACGAAGTTCGACATTGCATCTACCATGAATTCACATGAGCCTTTGAGTATGAGAAGCCCATCCTTCCTGTGATTGACTATACAGTCTGCTCCGACCTGGGATTTCTCTTTACATTCATAGGAATGTCCATTACTATCCGAGATACATTTATGAAAATCCGTAGTAGACTTCAATTTGTCCACAATTCTGTCTATCTCATCGCAAAGTGTATTGTTTGTGTCCATTGGAGGGTCAGAAGAGCAAAGATATGAGAACCTTAACAATTGATGGAAGAGCCCTAGTTATGGACATCCACATGCTAAGAAAGGAAAGAGAAAACTGCATCAATGAAAGAGATCGGCTCATTTCTGAAATGGACTCTTTCATCGTAGGGTCGATGGGGGAAATAAGAGAAGCATTGACCATTCCCGAAACTACTGTCTGGGAAATCTCTCAGGAGGATCTCTTGCTATTTGTCTCCTGGAGGATATCCAAGCTGATTTCTCTAACAAGAGATAAAAAGATAGAAATTCTCAGCAAGCTCGTTTGGGAAAAGGTGAACTACAAAGACTTGGAGAACATCCTAGTCGCCGAGTATTGCTACAAAAAAGTGTTGGCAAACGACTTTTCGGAAAGTTCTGCCTGGGATACCGATGTTTACATTGACATAGGAAATGGGGATGTGGACATAAAAAGCGATTCTGTGGAAAGAATAACAACTGGTTCGGATGGGGTCTTTTACAGATCACTGAATGGTCTATTTTCGAAGAGGTTCCATGTGAGGGTTAGCAAGGAGCTAATGAGGTCTTATGCCCTGAATATAAAGGTGGAGATGGGCCTGGAGATCTTCAAAAGCCTCTATGAGAAGGATGAGGAAGACCTGAAAAGGCTGTCATCATACAAACACTACAAGGAGAAAGGGCTTCCCACACTCGTTATGAGCGGTGAAATGACAAGTAATCTGATGGAAGACATAAGAGCAAGAGTTTCCCAGGAAGTTACTGGAATAATTGCTGCAGAAATGCCAGACAGAAAAAAGGCGCTTCTCATCACCTACCTCCTTGTGATGTTTGGAGGAATCGGGTCGGATCTTGACTTAAGCTATTTCAATGGGAAGAAAGAATTATACATGCTGGAATGGACAAAATCCAAAGAAAATATTTTTATCAAAATACAACTCGAGAGCTAACACCTTAATACAGTTTAAGCAGGGATCCTTTTACACATCGGTCCCTGGACCTCTGAGCTTTCTGCAACTGCTTTTCGCTGTATGTGAAAATAAATTCGTTTCCACTTATTCTCAACATCTTGTATGCAGAAAGAGTACCTACTATGTCGTCCTCAGATATGTGAGTTTCTTTGGATATCTCGTTGATGCTTGCTTTGTCGTGTCTTGAAAGATACTCTACAACAACCTCCATCCAATATGCTCTGTAGCTAAGAAGCCCAAGATCACTCAGAGGCTTTTCAGGCCCGGAAATCACATTTTCTCTTTTGCTGAGTAGGTATGAGAAGTCGATCAGGACTCTCCCATATCCCTTTCTTTGCTCAAAAGGAAGGGTCAAGATGCATGCAAGATTGTATCCCTGCTCAGACACCTTTTCCTTTGAGAAGTATCCCACTATCTGGTATCCGTTGTCTTCCAGCCTGCAGAGCACATAAAACATAAATACATCTATATCGTAATAGAGCGACTTGTGATCCAAAAACAGCTTTGAAAGTAGAGATAAGTTCCTACAGTAGTTTTTCTGTATGTGCCCGTCGCATTCAAAAAAACTTAAGTCTCCGTCCCGGTATATCTCTCTTCCGGGAGGATGGCGAAGCTTGCATTGCCTTGCATGCTGAGTCAGGCTGTCCATTGTCCCAAAATAGTAAAGACAGAACTCGCATATGTAAACCACGTCGTTCTCGGCTATTGCCTTTGGATATGGCGAGAAATACCATGCATCCACAAGATAATTCCGAAGCATGATCTTCTTGACGTTCTTCATCTTGAACTCTTCATCCTGAGGCGGCTTCTCCAGCTTAGGCTCTTCATCCCCTCCTCCATCCTCCTTTTCCGAGTCTCTTCTCGACTTCTCGGTCTTTGTCTTTTCCGACTTCTTTTTCTTAGGAATCTCCACCTGAGAAGGGTCGCTGAGGTCAACCATCGACGAGTCTATCCACTCATCAAGCCTTCTGTTCAGCTCCACATAATGGACATAGAACTCAAGCCTGGAGTTGGTTGTTCTTGTCCCAAGAACCTCTGCTTTGAATACTTCTTCGGCCCCATCCACAATCTTCTTGACTGGAACTTTGAATCCTATACAAACATCCTCGAGCTTCATAGGCTGGTGGCTTCCATGCAAATTTTTAGGAAATCAACTCTTCCCTCCAGATGAGGGATTTAAAACAGGAAGAGGAGGAGAAGGTCCTCAAGAAGCTTAAGTTTTTCATTGGCGACAATGTCAACAGGATTCTTTCTGGAGAAGAAAAGCTCTTTTTGCACAACCAGCGTGTCATGCTCCTTTCGGAAAAGATGAAAGCGGCAACATCTATGATATCCAGGAAAAATCTCATCATGGCAGGGACGGTGATAGGGAAGTTTACCAAGAATGGGAACTTCCGGCTGGGAATATCGTCTTTGAACCTTCTCTCCAAGTGGGCCATACACAAGGTCTGGATCAAGAGCAGTGCAGAAATGAATTATGTGTATGGAAACAACTCTCTGAAATCTCATATATTCCGGAGCTCTGAGGGAATTCCCATCAATGCAGGAGTCTTTGTATTCAATCAGCATGATGTTCCTCTTGGGTTTGGGATTACTTCCTTGACGCCTCAGGCTTACTCTGCAGCAAAGGGACATGCACTTGTCCTTCTAAGACAGTCGGATACAGGAGAGTATGTCCGTAACGAAGAAAAAATATAATCATATAAACGTTTCTTTTACTGAATTCCTCTGAGGAAATGCATATGTCTGTTTTTACGATTATTTCTCCCTGGACGGAATAGTCCCGAGTGTTATGTCTGGAAAGAAGGAGAGACTTCTGAAAAAGTATTTGGAAAAGAAAAAGAGGCAGAGGAATAGAGATGAGCTGTATGCACAGATAGCTGCATTATGTAGGCCTGAGGAGGATAGAAAGGAACAAGAAAAGTCTGAAAAGAGGAAGCTGGAAGAGGTCCGGAGTGATTCTGAAGACATCTCGTTGTCAGTCTCAGAAGACTCTCCATCTTCCTCAGAAAATGAGGTAGGCCATTCTTTACAAACCAAGGCGATGGATGTTGGATGTGAAACCATGAAAGACTCGAATGAGGAGGAGGCAATGGATATGTATTTGTGGGATACCCACGCAAGAAACATCCAAGAAGAAGCCAAGAATGCCATGGTATTTTCCGAGGATAAAGAGTCTTCGGAGTGTGAAGACGGCACTGGAGATTCTGTTTCTGAAGACAGAAATACCTACATTTCTGAAGAGACAGGAAAAGATGTATCCAAAGAGTATGAGACAAAGACTCTTGAAAACCGACGGGAAGACATCGAAGAGTACAGAAAGACATTGCCGATTTACTACGAGAAGGCGGAAATCATATTTACAGTCCGGAACTCCTCGATAGTATTTATTACGGGAGCAACTGGATGCGGGAAGACAACCCAAATTCCACAGTTTCTCTATGAAGGGGGGTTGGGGACATATGGAATGATAGGTGTTACACAGCCAAGAAGAATATCGGCAGTCTCGATATCCGGAAGGATCAACGAAGAAGCTAATGAGGATATTTGTGGATACAAAATCCGGTACGAGTCGTCGGTTACTTCTGAAACCAAGATCAAAGTAATGACGGACGGAGTACTACTAAGAGAAATACAAGAGGATTTTCTCTTGTCAAAGTATTCTGTCATCATCATTGATGAGGTTCATGAAAGAAGCACTAACATCGACCTCCTAGTCTCTATGATTCCTCGGATCATGAAGATAAGAAAGGAAAGAGGAAATGAGCTTAAGCTAGTTCTGATGAGTGCCACCGGAGATGTGGATGAATTCAAAGCATTCCTTGGAGACATTACTGTCTTTAGATGTCCTGAGAAGGGATTCCAGGTGAACACGTTCTATGAGGAAAGGACCGAAATGGACTATCTGAATGCAGCATATGAAAGAATAAGAAAGATAATTCTTTCTGGATCCGACTCTGGAAAGAGAAGAAAGATGAATGGAGAAAGGTCGGATGTGATTGGCTCTGCCGTTTCCAACGACAAGTCTGCTTCAATTCTTGTTTTTCTTAGCAGCAAGCAAGAGATATATCAGCTCAAGAGTAGGCTGGAAGGTTCTGGAATGGATTTGACTGCTCTCCCTCTCCATTCATCTCTCTCTCGAGCGGAGCAGGAGCTTGTGTTTAAAAAAACTCCGAATAGGAAGGTAATACTTGCCACCAATGTTGCAGAAACCAGTATTACAATACCAGACATTGTCTTTGTGGTTGATTCGGGGAAAGTCAAGAACCGGATGGTTGACTCCGAGGGAATTACAAGATACTCTGTCGACTTTATTACGAAGTCAAGCGCAACCCAAAGAATGGGAAGAGCTGGGAGAACCGGGCCTGGAATATGCTACCGACTGTATTCTGGAAAGGCTTATGAGAAGTTCTTTGAGTGTATGGAGCCGCAGATTTTGAGAGAACCTCTTGATGGAGTAGTGCTCGGCCTTCTGTCTCTGGGAATTGGAAATGTTTATGGATTTCCGTTTCTCTCCAGGCCTGAAAAGAAATCCATAGCTAGTGCCACTATGCGCCTCCAAGCACTGGGTGCAATTGATGGAAACCTAAGGTTAACAGAGCTGGGGAAGAAGATGTCGATGTATCCTGTAGAACCTAGGCTGGCAAGACTGCTTTGCGCACAGGGATTTGAGGATATATTTACTGAAATCCTTGTTCTTGTCAGCTTGATTTCCTTGGGTATCGAAGTGAGGAGGAACCACAGCAACGGAAAGTATTTTGAAGGCTCCAAAAGCGATCTTCTAGTTCTTCTGGGAATCTACAATGATTTCTTGAAGAGTAGAAATAGAAAGTCGTTTTGCACAGAAATGGGCCTGGGCTATACAACAGCAGTTGAGGCGATGAAGATGATAACACACCTGGCAAAAATCACTGGTGGTACAGTGGACAAAGTTGGGTCCCTAAACTTGACTCCGGACACATGTTCCCGAATAAGAAACATAATATATCGAGGATTTGCAGATCACCTAGCCATGCCTTTATCCGGCACTCATTTCTTTCAAAAAGAAGAAGTCTCTCCATCGAGGGATAGCGTCTCGGTTGAAAGCGGGGACTTTGTTGTCTTTGGGAGCCTGGTTTCTAGCAAAGGGAAGCTATATATGAAAAACATCACCATTGTCGAGGAAAGCTGGTTTTAAAATCCAAAGTTTTCTTCTTTAAACCTCTGCTTTATTACTTTTTTCTGATCCTTTTTTTAGGTTTAGTCCCCTTTCTCTCGGTTTTTTCAGGCTTAACAAACTTTTCAAACTTGACGTTCTTCAGCTCTGCCATTCCAGGTATTTTCTCCAGAAAGAAAAGCTCGGCCAAAGAGTTGAAGTCCAAGCCCTTGTAGTCCAAGATGTAAGACACAAAGTGCTCCTTGTATGACCTTATGTAGGACACAAAGGCCTTAACAGAAAGGTTTAGGAGATCAGAATCAATCTTGCTCTTTATGTCGCTATAGGAAGTCGAAGGCTTTATCTTGTAACTGCTCTCTGCCACGGGAATCCCCTTCAGCTTTAGAAACTCGGTATATGCTTTCTCATTCGGCATCACAAAGAGGATGGACTCCCCTTTGCATCCATTTCTGGCCGTTCGTCCACTTCTGTGGACTATACTGCTGTATTCCTTTGGGATGTCAAAATGCACTACCAAATCCACATCCTGAAAGTCGATTCCCCTTGCCGCCACGTCTGTGCAGAAAAGAAGGCTGTTTCCCTTGAAAAACTCTCTGTAGACCCTATTTCGCTCATCTTGGGGGATCTTCCCATGTATCTTGCAGATGTTTTGCAGCCCAGCTCTCGAAAGCAGACTAGAAAAGAAGTCCACCTCGTTGCAAGTTGCAAAGAAAACAATACATCTTCGCCCAGGGACAATATCAACTAGAGCAAATAGCTTGTCCATAGGACTTAGAACAATATATTCGAGAGCGACAGGCATTGCGTTGTTCCCTACATTGATGCTAACAGGATTCCTTAGAGAAGACATCGAGAGCTTGCTCACAGAGTCGTTGATTGTTGCGGAAAATAGGCCTGTAACTCTGTTTTTTGGAAGCTTTGCAAGTAGTTGCAGGAGCTTTTCCTCAAACCCAAAGCCCAGTAGCTTATCTGCTTCATCAAGTATAGCATGTCTGACCCGTGAAAATTTCTTTGTGTCTCTACCGACAATCTCCAAGAGTCTTCCCGGCGTTCCAACAACAATGGGAAATTCCTTCTTCATTCTTTCGTAGTCATCTTCAATGTTCATTCCGCCGATAAAGCATTCGCATCCCACCCCAAACAGATCGGCTACGTCCTTGATCTGCAAGGCAAGCTCTCTAGTCGGTGTGATAATCATCGCTACAATTCCCTTCTCTTCTCTCCTGTCGTATATCGCACTAAGTATTGGTGCAAGAAACGCCATGGTCTTTCCTGTACCTGTTGGAGACTGGACCACCACATCCTTTCCCTTCAGCATTTCCGGAACACACATCTGTTGAACATCAGTCATCTTCCCAAACCCGTTCGCTTCTATTTCCTTCTTCAAAATGCTGTTTATAGGAATATCTTCAATTCCCCTGGGACGCATTAAAACCGGGACACATCCTAGTTGATCTAAAAATACAAAATTCCGTAAAACTTATAGCTCTCTCTAAACTTTTATTCTCAGCTTCCAGAAGGTAGAACCCATGTCTTTAGTATCGAGTTGTATCTTTTGAAAACAGAGCGCGAGATGATTCCGTCCTCAACCAATAAATAGCCGTACTTGAAGACCACGTTCATCTTGATGTCAGGTGGGCACTCCCCGAGCCCCTGTATGATGAGATCCATAAGCATCTCCTGCTTCTCTATTTCTCTCATGTGTCCGTCGAGAATAGAGAAGAACATGGAGGCCTTGATCGTTGATCCATCTATGTCGTTAAAGTCTATCATTTCCACTAAGAACATCGAAAATGCTTCTATCAGATCGAGAGAGGAAGCGTTCCTCACTATTCTCAGGAGAGTTATTTGCTTGACAACATCGTCCATGTCCACTCTGTCCAGATCCTCCCGCTCAACCACAGAAAGCAGATACAGCACAACATCGTCAAAAAAAGATGTTCCTCTTCGGGGCTCCTTCTCCTCGAAAACAGCCTCCTCAGCCTCATCCTCCAAGTAGTTGTAGTGAATAACTCTTCCCTCAGAAAAGACTATGTGGTCCATAAAGTCCTCCTTTACCGAAATATCATCCCATATAATGCATCTGTCTATGTTTCCCCCGATAAAGCATCCATGCCCAACCACCGAGTTCTTGATGAAATGATTCATCTTAAACTTCAAGTCGCATCCGATAACAGTATTTGATATCGGTTCATGGAACTCCACATCCGGGATGTCGAAGAAAAAGTTGCTTTCCACCTGTACAAAGCTCCGAAAATCCCCAGAGTTATGGCATTTAAATCTCAGTAGGTCCACAGCTTTTCCCTCCCTGACATCTTCGTTGAACTTAAAGTAGTCGTACAATGTGACAATCTCCCTGCTGTAAAATCTATTTCTTCTTTCAATGCTGAGTTGCTCTATGTTTCCATTTACATCCATCATATCTCCCTGTCTGCAGCACATTATCTTGAAGTTATATGCGTTGAACCCAAGAATCCCTCCAACCAGATCCCCAAGAGTTTTGAAGTCGAAGTTCTCTGTGAAGAGTGGAAAAATTGCCGATGACACAACTGCTATTGTCGGGGAGGATAGATTTGCAGTGAATTCGATCGTCCCATCGCTTTCTACTGCCTCTCTAACCTTCTCACTGTTACACTTCTCATTGATACATTTGTTGTAGAAGATAACCTCATTGTCCCGGAACCCATATAAGTGCGACACCCTACTGTTGCTTTCGTTAGGGTGCAAAAACAGAGTCATCACAAAGCTTTTGTCTTCTCTATGCCTATTGATAATACTTCTAAGAGGATAGTTCGTATAGTGATTTGCATATATGACCAGAAGATCGTCGAACTCAAGTCCGTTGTCATCGATGTGTCTCATCAGATCTCCCAACGATTTCCCATCGCATCCAAGCGATATGATATTCATCCTCCCCCCAAGTTCTGTTTTCTTGACATGTTTTATCACCTCTTCGCAATCACTCCCTGCAAGAACCACATTGAAGAATTTCTGATCACAAAGGCTCGATAGAATATACTCTATCATGGGTATATTTGCCACAGGAAACAGAGACAAATTTTTCCGGAGGCTGGTCATCTCCGCAGGGATCTGCTTTGTCTCATAGAAGTCACAAATCAAAAGGATTATCTCTCTGTTTTCCCTTATAAAGTTTTTAATGTCCCTGATTTCCATCAATTGAAGGGTATTTAGATTTATTTTTGTTTATCGCCTAGACACTATTGATACATCCCAATCAAAACGGCCACACGTTCAGGTATCCTATTTGTGTTCCCCATCTCAAGCACCATGGCCATCAAGTTCCTCTACAGTGTTTCAGGCCTGCCTGCCTAACATGCAAACTATTTCATAATCAAAATTTAATTTTCATAAATATTACTTGCCTCTCCTCGCCCTGCCGATCTTTGCAGTGTTTCCTTTATCCTTTCAGCCCTTTCAACAATTTCTTCCGGAACCCCTGCCATTCTTGCAACATACAACCCATGGGAGTCCCAGGACGTCCCATCCATGAGCTTGTACAAAAACACAATGTCCTTTCCCTTAACCGTCGAATTCATATATCCATTACTGACTCCTTCAACCTCTCTGATGATCCTGTGATAATGGGTTGAAAACAGAACATGGCATCCTCTCTCCTTAAGGTAGTCCAGAACGGCCCTGGCAATGCACTCTCCGTCTCGGGTCGAAGTCCCTCGTCCAAGTTCGTCCATCATCACAAGGGAGTTTCTTGTTGAGTGCTTCAGGATGCTTGCCGTTTCCCCTAGCTCAACCATAAACGTCGATTCTCCCTTTACCAGGTCATCCCGTGCCCCTATCCTGGTAAATATCCTGTCAAAGAGAGGCGTCTCCATCTTCTCACAGCACACATCCATTCCTGCCTGGCTGAGAATTACATTGAAGCACAAAGTCCTTAATAAGGTCGACTTTCCCCCCATGTTGGCACCAGTAAGCACAAGAATTCTCTTTTGTGCATTGTAGTCATTTGCTACAAAGGTAGGATATATTGGATTCGACATTCCACAGATGCGAAGCCCTTCCGAAAAGGTGGGGGTTGTTGCTCTGTTCCTTTGCGAAAAGGTAGTAAACGAAAGATAACAATCTACATTTGCAAGTTCCCAGAACATCTGGCGGAAGAAAACAACATGTGGAAGAAGTACATCTATGGCTCGCCTAAGCAACGACCCCTTGGATTGGAATATCTTCTCTTCGCACTCAACATATCTTTCAACAAGATTTTTCAAATCTCTTGTGTAGTACCTATTGGTTCCCTTGGTGGAAGACATTATGAAGTAGTCTGATGGAACTTTCGTCTCCTTTGCTACCTCCATTTGGAATATGTCCTTTCCTACGTCTTTGAACTTTATCGATTGACATTTTAGCCTGGCCTTTTGTTCCCGTAAATATTCATTCAGGCCTTCCTCAATTTCTCTCCTTTCTTTCATCAACTGGCACAGTTCATCTCCATCCTCCTCTCCAGGAGATATTTCTGTCTCGCTCACATCATAGATTTTACGGTGCCATTCAAGCACTTTGCTTATTTCCCGGCTGAATTCTTCTGCCTTTGCAACCATAGATTCTGCGCTATCACTTTTCTGGCCCTTCAGTGTCTGTACCAAGACATCTCCTGCCTCTCTACAGGCATCCAGACACCTAATGAATTTGTTTAGGTCCTTAGTACCCGGGTTTCCATTGAAGAGCCTTGTCAAAAGCCTCTCCCCATCCCCTATCCTCGCCAAGGCATTCTTTAGGTTAGAAACCTCCACCTCTTTGAACATACGTGCTGTTTCTTGTCTCTTTGCAATGTCCTCCCTCCTTACAAGTGGTGCTGCTATCCATCTTCTAAGGAGCCTTTGTCCAAAGGGTGTGCTAGAGAAGTCAATTGCCTTGAAGAGAGTCTTCTCCCCTGTTCCATTGTAATTGTTCTTGAATATCTCCATATTCCGGAGAGTGGCGTCATCAACAACCATGGTTCTTGCCTCGTCCTGAAGCTTCGAGATCTTTACATTCTTCAAAGCATCACTTCTCCGAAGCTTCTCCATATACTTTGCCAAATACTGGAAACATACATACTCTCTGGAGTTTGAAAACTCATACTTCTTGCTTGACACATATCCCGTCTTATCAGGCACAACCCGTGGAATCCCTGGGATGGTGAAGTCTGCAATCATCTCCCGGACATCGTGTTGGGACAGAATTGTCTTGATTCCATGTCTTGCTCTGTCATCACAGAAAGACGAAAAATACACTTCTCCAATGCTTGCATCATACAGCAAAACAGATGTATGAATCTCTCCATTGCACTTCTCTGCATAACAAATCTCATCTGTCGCCACACTCATCAAATACATAGGAATTGACGACTTCATGTAGTCTATATTGTATATCGTCCCCTGTGTAATAATCTCCTTAAGCTCTCGCCGTATTATTTTGTCCTTGGCCATCCTGCCCTCCACTCCCTTGCTCAGCTCGTCTCTTTCTCGTATCTGCTTTCCAATCATGTTTTCGCTTTGGTCTACTCTAGCAATCTTGTATCCGTTCTCCAGAAACTTTCTGGTCCAGTAGTCAAGACTACTCTCAGGGAACCCGGACATCTTCATGTTTACTCTATCTGTAATTCTCAGATCAAATAGTTTTGCTCCGATAAGTGCATCGTTCTCGTATAGCTCGTAGAACTTTCCCTTCTTAAAGAACACAATCGTATCAAAATGATCCTTCTTTATGTCCCAAAATTGCTTTTCAAAGGGTGTAAATCTATTGTACTCGCTCTTCGGTATCAAGAGCGTTGAGGGATCATATCCTTCTTCTCCCACTCTTCTCCCGTTTCTGTCCCTAATATCTTCCAGAAATTTATATCTCTCCTCTGTCTTCTTCTCTTCTTTTTCTTCTTTTCCTAATCCCTTGTTGCTTCTATAAGATGGCTCCACATCCGAGGGTACTATAGGTTTGGAACCATCTGCTGCCTCTTCTCTTTCCTCGGGACTTGGAGCCTTACAAATTCTCTTGTGCTCCTTGAGATCCAAAATACCAGTGGAGTTTCTGCTGTTCTCCAAATCAACCATCCGGTCCAATGTCTCCCCAGAATCCTCCTTTTTCTTCGGAGCTTTAAAGTAGTCAAATAGTGTCTTTCTTTCTTTCATTTCCTGGCCTCTTACCACCGAAAATTTATACAGGCCTGGGGCTTTTTACAGATGCACTTGCAACTAGAACAAGCACAACAAAGGCTGCTACAGACATCAGCTCCAAGCTTACATCTGGAGTCCGCCCAGACAGAAGCACGCCCATAGTTACTGTGAGTGTGGAGAGAAGATGCCTCTGGAACAGCTTCATGGAGTCTTTGCTGACACATTTGTTTATGCAGGGACAATGATGATCAAACCCAAGCACACATCTCTCGCAGATAGAGCAATGTTTGGTTCCACCAGCTTTCCGTACTAGGCACGTGTAGCAGAAATGCTCCATTGTGTATTCGTCTTGTTCTATCATCGTAGACACCAACTCCCTTGCCTCTTGGTATGTACCCACAGGACCGAACCTTGGTCTGGTCAAGAACAAACAAACCAGATTGAAGAAATACTCAAGTGTGTGGGTTGTATGCTCAAAGTCTTCTCCAAGCACCTTGTAGCTAATGTAGAAAGAATAAAACAGATTGAGATACACAGGAAGTCTTGTGCGTGCCACTCTTCCCCAGAAGATCAGAAAAACAGCAACAACTCCAACTTGCCATGCCTTCCCTAAGAAAAAAGATCCCCAGTGCATCCCTATCGATATTCCTTCTATCATCCAGATCTTATACCTGTCCGTAACTCGATTTGCTTCCAGAAACCTCTCCACATTCCTAGCACGCTTTCCCCTTGCATATACACGCAGCGTTCTTCCCTTGAAGTCTTCGACACCCGCGTCTGCACCATAGCTCAAGAGAAGAACCATTCCTAGCACATCGTCAAATCTGGCACACGTATGCAACAGCCCCATTCCACTTTTGTTCACATAGGTGATGTCTGCACCGTTTTCTATCAGGAGTTTCATAACCTTATAGTTTGAGTTGTAAAGTGCATAGTATAGGGGCGAGCTATCAAGAGCTCCTCCAACACTGTTAACAATCCCAGGATCCTTCACCAGTCTATGGCAGACGTCCAGGTTGTTGTACATCGACGCCCAATGAATAAGACCGGTTCCATCGGAAAAACTGTAGCTGTTTGGAACCGAATCCAGAAATACTGAGCTATTTGCCATTAAGGCTGCCTTTATTTCCTCATCGTCCATCCGATAAACAAAATAGATAAATATAAGGTTGACAGGAGGCAGGAGAAAATGAACTCCTGGAGCATCTGGGAAGGATCTAATAAAAACATATTCGGAAGACCCTATGATTCATGACGAAAAGATGCTTCTGAAGTCTCTGGAACACAAAAATATAGAGGAAAAAGAGATCTTCCCCTCAATATGCTCTGTTCTTGGCCTTCAGTACTTCTCGGAGGAGAACGGAGCCCTGGCACATACGCTTGCAAGTCCTTCATTCATCATAGACATATCTGGATTGAGTGCAAAGCTGACTTTTGTTGACGAAAGCTTTTCAAGGTATTTTAAATATGTCGAGTTCTACTTGTGCCAACATCTTGAGAAGAGGAACATGCGGGACTTCTACTTCTACCTTAGGATGTTTGTGCGGATGGAGACGGGAAACGAGGGGCTTGAGGAAAAGGACTCGGGAGACATTTGCCAATGTGTCTTTAATGGAGGCTACTGCATAAATCCGTCTTTCAGGGATGTGGCTAAAAGTAGTACCGATGGGATTTACGACATATACAGGCACAGATTTGAATATCACATGTACACGAAAAGATTTATCTTCCCCATTCCTGTGAATGATCCTGTAGAAGATGAGGACTCTGGCTTCTTGGTGGCCGAGGGTGTGAATGGAAAGCAAATGAATGCAAAGGTAAGCCTGAACCTGTCCAGATACTTTGGGCCCAAAGCCTTTGACCGTGAGGTGCTCAGGATACTTCCCCATATAGGCTTTTATTGGAAAGGAATGGTGGATCATGAGGAAGTGGTTGTTCGGAAGGACCTTGGTGTATATGTCAACGGAGAGCTACGTAGAGATGCAGCCTTTCTCATGAAGCTTGGGAAGAACTTGCATCTTTCTCTTAACTTCCTCAGGGACTAGTCTCCCATGGCCAAGACTCTTCTTATCGCACCCTGTACTTGAAAGTTCACAGGAGACAACCCTCCTCTCATAATGCTGGTTGTGAACGGGACTGGTCTAAGAAGAAACTCAATTATAGAGTTATGTGTGTTTCCGGACATGAATGTTCATAGAATGATGGTTGAGCTGAGCAAACAGACAGACAATCCTGTATTCTTCGACACCGTTGGAAACCTAAGAGTAGTAGCAGATGCCTCGTTTATCCTGAGCTATAGAAAACTTGTGAAGGCACTTCTGTCCCTGAAATCTAGAAGAGGATTTGTGCTGTTCATTGATTCCATTTCATTTCTTGCAGATAAATCTGTGGCAAATCTCCAGAGGTTTTACAACATTCTGTGGATGCTGATATACGAGAACGATGCCACTATTGTTGTATCGAACCACTACAGGATCGTTAGAAATCGAGGAGCTCTTGACTTTGCACTTGAGTTGGGACAGAGGTGGAAAATGATGGTAAGCTACAGGATTATGTATAAATATGTTGGGGACAAGGTTGTTGCAAAGATCTATAGCGACGAGTTATTTGAGAAAGTTTGAATACATGAAAGTTTATAAAACCAATTCACACAACCCCTGTCTTAGATGTTTTATTCTAAAGCGACTGCCGATGATGAGAGCTCTTGGCTTAGGCTTGCTAGTAGGGATTAAACCCACCCTCTGCAATATCCATATGATGAGAGCAACAAAGAGTCTCTGAGGCCTTCAAATTAATGTTTATTCCATCTTCCCCCATCGCTTTCCAGAAAGGTCATTGAGGCCAAGCATCATGCATCAAACTGCTTTAATAATCGTCGCCTCGAGTAAGAATCTCCTTTCCATTCTCGCTTAGATAGACAGTGTGCTCGAACTGGGCAACCTTGGAGCCGTCGATGTCGTTGAGAGGGGGATATGGAGTAAAGAGGCCCATCATCGTAAGAAGATTCACACTTTTTAGAGACCCGCCCTCAACCAGGTTGTAGTGATCCAAGTGTCTCGGACTGAAGGGAAGAGTTCCAAACGAGCTCTTTACAAACTCATAAACCTTTATCAGATCCTTATTGAAGAGCTTCCTGCTCTTGTGCACATTCAGCATGAAGTGGGAGCATGGAGATCTATCGTTTATGAATCCCTTTCCTGTTGTTGCAAAAGTCTCCACAGCATAAAACGTGTCTCCCTTGATTCTTGTTGTGTCTCTGTTGTTAACAGCAGGTATTGAAATCCCGCCGTGGATCTTGAACTGCGATATGGAATGCCCATGAAGATCAGACACCGGCCTAATTGGCCATGTTTTCCCTTCTATTTCAACTTCGTAACTTGTGATGACTTCGTTGATATCTCTTCCTATGTCGCAGACCCTTGCATCTATTCCTAAAGATCTTATTCCTGTCTCTGTTCCTTCCCTGGCTGCCATCAGCAAAGGTTGGAGATTCTCTTGGAATGCCACTGTAAATGCAGAATCCATTATTCGCCCGTTCGAATGTGTTCCAAAGTCGACTTTTAAAACATCGTCTTCTTTGAGAACAATGTCCTCCTCCCCAGGATTGACTGTGTAGTGTGCTGCACATGAGTTCATCGACATCCCTGCCGGAAATCCTATTCCATTGTTTCTTTCTCCCTCCAGAAGTGTTCTTGTCGAGTCTTCTATGGATCTTACAATCTCCAAAAGCGTTATCCCCGGCCTTATGATACTCTGGACCTTGTACCGCGCTCTTCTGTGAGCCTCTGCTGCTCTACGTGCATCCTGTAAGAGGTCGCAGTCGGTGGTATTTTCAATCTCCTCACCCTTTGGCCCAAACAGTCTTCCCTTTCTGTAGCAATCGCCTTTTGGAAGAAATTCAATAGGAAGCTCTGGCGCCTGATCAATCAGAATAAACTTCATTCTATGGGCTCTGGGAATCAGAAATTATCGGCTTGCCATAGCATTTCATTGGGAAACATTATTCTCTAATAACACCAACAGCCCGAACGGCCATAGGCCCCAACCTACAACCAAAGGACTTCCAAACCACATAAACATATTAATTTATTCATCGAAGAATCCATTCAGAACCCTTTCGGTTTCCAGAATCTCCTCCATCTTCTCGTTATACCTTCTCCTCCCAGCCTCCACAATGCTGTCTGCAATCCTTGTCAGAGAATGGTCTTCTCCATTGTATTTTCTGCAGTTGCTACGCATAAGCTCCAAATCGTCCAGAAACTCGTTGAATTTCCTATACTTGTTGTGTCTGGCCTTTGTTTTGATTGTTGTTAGGTCAATTGGGTTGTCCACAATCAAGGGATAGTCTGGAAATTTCTTGATAGACACAGGCCTATGGAATGCAATAGAATATGGAATCTGAAAGAACTGAGCAAGAAGATCCAGCATGATCTCCTGCAGATACACTCTGGCTTTTCTTTTTTCCGCTTCAATCTTCTTCTTCGTCATCTTTGCTGCAGATGCAAACTTAGGACATGCCTTGTTCGTCTTCATATGCCCCACTTGTCCACAGCTTCCACATGTCAGCACTCCCTTCCTTTCCTCGGATATTTTCTTCTTCCGTGCCTTCAAATACGCCTTGATAACACGAGGATCAGAAATCCTTTCAGTTTCTACATAGGAAGATTCCCCCTCCCCGTAAGTACGTCTAATAGTAAGGAATGTCTCTTCAGACAGCACCGTTGTCTCACTCGCCACATCTGTATTTCTTCTTCCTTCTTTATGTCTCCGGGCAAGGAAGGAATCATTAAATGGAATCTCTTCAACAGAGCTTAGAGATGCAAGCTGCTTGTTCCATATCCTGTCGATCTCTTCCTTGTATCTTAGCTGATGCTCGTTAATGATCTTCCGGTTTTCAACCTCGTTCCCTCTCTTAAGCCTGATCTTTCTAAAGCTAAACCCTTCTCCAATCCCCGTGGGGTCTCCAGGCCCGCTCAACTCAAGAAGACCTCTTCCGTTGCATGCATTTACAAAGTTCCGGCTGAGGCACCATGGAGGCGGAACCATCTCCTCCTCATTTTCCTCATCGTCACTTTCGACAACCATTTTGTATCCCGAGTCCTGGAGTTTTCTTTCCCCTGCCAACATGCTCTCGTATTGGCATATGTTCTCGGGAGTAACAAGCTTTCTGAGATCTTCTTCTCCAAGCAATGCAGAGCTCGGCCTCAGAACCCATACATTATCTCGTCCTTTCTTAACACAGTCTGCATACTCCTTCAGCCACTTTCTCTTGCTACCCTCGCTGAAATAAGGAAACATTTCGTCCAGCTGCGAAATCCTCAGCTCCTTGCTTCCCCCCACCTTGCTGTTGAACAAGCGGAATGCTGCAACCTTAAGTCTGTTTTTGCAGAATATATTGAGCTTTCTAGAATGCGGTGCATAAACCTCCTCCAGTGGAAACTGCTGCCCTACACAATAGAGATTGTCAATGTTTCTGTACGTCAGGAACTCCCCATCAGCCGATGACTCCACAATGCACAAGTAGTCTCTGGAGCTGTGTTTGAAAACAGGTGCAATGAACAAGTTGTTTGTGATGGCCTGTATAGATGTCCCAGGCATGACATCTCCAAACCCAGAGAATGGAGAAGGATCCTCGGGGTCCAGAATAGTGTATTGTGACTGGTCAGGCGCATACTCGTCTCTTACATTACTCTTTCTATAATAGATATTGAGTAGACTCACCATCCCCGGATTCACAAGGAAAAACGGTTCCTCCTCAGAATATTCAAACAGCGAGAACGGGCCTCCATCCTTGATTGTTAGCTCTCCCGCTTTCTTTATGATGCTTTGCCCTTTTCCCCTGTTGCCTTCCACTGCTTTGAACCTTATACCACTGCCATTTACCATAAATCTTGGCCTATGGAAGTTCCTAAGCTCCTCCCTTGTATGATTGTTTTTGTAAAACATCGGATCTAGTCGCAACGCAGGAAGAGAATGCTGAACCCCAAACGTCCCCAGGCTGTTCTTTGTCCTCGACTCCTGTCCATAATACTTGTCAAGTGAAATATTATACTTTCCCTTCAGAGGTTTGTCCACAGAAAATACCTCTTTCTGTTTCTTCTTGGGCTTTCCTTGCTTCTTCTCGTCCACCTTTTCGAAGATTAAGTTGGGGTCCTCCAAATAGAGTGTGAGAAACGATTTGTAGTTCTTCATGTCGTTCTCATCCACAACCACGTACTTTTCCCAGTCTTCCTCCAGAATACTGTCCACCAGCTCCATGGTAACCGTATCAGAAGTCCCCAAACTTCCAATCTTGTCGGTGTCGTAGACTACATCGTTCTCCCATTCCACCAAATCAAAAGGATACTTGATCTCCTCAACCCTCTCCAAGACATCCTTGGAAACTTTCCGCTTCAAAATCTCTTTCTCAAGCTGCTTTCTCTTGAGATACTGCTTCAGTCCCGTGCTTCTTGTGGATCCTGAAAGAGCTTGAAGTGTTGTGTTGCTATCCCTTGCATATGTCATGCTGTTTCTGAACTTGCCCTGGTCATCCACTTCATAGCTCATCGACTCGTTCGGAACCTTCCGCCCTTTATACTTCCTAAGCTTGTATTCATAGGACTTCTCAATCACCAGCAGGTCTAGAAACCCCACATTTGCAGGCCTTGTCTCCAAAGTCTCATCCCCGTCTTCCGTAGTTCTCCTTTCTCCACCCTGTGCTACCTTCCTCGAGCAGTTGTCAAACTCAGTCTGCATTCCTGGATGTTTAGGGGGATGTCTTTCAATTCCGAATCGATGGAGAAGCAGATGTTTTTTCAAAGTAGGGGCCCCTCATGAGTATCTCCGGCCCTCAAGACATTCCCCAGGAATACATAAACAACGAGAATCCTTTTGCATACATGAAGGAATACTTTGAAAATCCATTTTTGGATCCAGAGATCAAGCTTCGCCTCAATGCTTTGCAGCAGATGCAGCCTCGGTTTGTTCCTCTTGGAATCAACGGTTCAGTACTCAAGGCAGAGCAGGCAGCCAAAACTAAAGCCATAGTCGAGTCCCAGATAGAGAGATTACTCCAAGAAGGAATGAGTCTAATAAACAGCACCGATCCAGAAAGAGAGGCTGTTTTGAAGAGCAATGCCAACGACCCAAGAATCCTTGATATCTTGATTAGCATAGGTAGGCTGAAGCTCTTGAGTAATCAGGAGAAGCTTAGAGAAAAGGTTTATTGTGCTTTGAAGAGCACGATCCCATCCGATGTGGTGGAGTCCGTTGACTATTCCTCTCCTTTGAAAGAAGACTACCTCTTGGGTGCAATGGAGTATGGGGAACTGGAGGAGAAGTCCAATAAGACAGAGCCGTTGCCATCCCCAAACTATTAAATCTTCAGATGTATCTCTTTTCGTTGAGCACACACATCGATGCTGCCACAAACCCTTCTAGATGATATATACTTTTCATTCCAAGCCTTATCCTCTCCTCATACTTCAAAGCATGGCGTGACAGGAGAAGAAACGTCTTGAAGTCCTCCCCAAGAACAAGGTTGCGCAGTAGCCCGATAAGAATGGTCCTGGGAGATATGCATGTGTTCAGAAGTGCATACAGACTCTTTCTAATTTCAACCAGTCCTTCCGATGTCGGATTACGCTTAATGACTCCTGCCATCGACCCCACTTCTATTTCCCAATCAAGCTTCATTGCCTTACAGTTGTTCTTCGGCCTTTTTGCTTCCTTCTCGTTCATGTTAAAGCAAAACAGCTCGAGAATGCAGAGAGCCCTCCTCATGTTTCCCTCCGACTCTCTACATATCTCTTCAAGTGTTTCCTCCGGGACAGTATAGTTTTCCTTTTCCAGTATCCTACGCATGTTAGACATAATATCTTCGTCGGAAAAGCCTGGGATTCTCAAGAAGAAGCATCTGCTTCTTATTGGCTCTATCAGCCTTGAGAGTTCGTTACACATCAATACGACACGGAGAACATTACTGTACATTTCAATTGTTCTTCTGAGGGCTGCTTGTGCCTCCAGGCTCAACTCTTCCGCAGATGTTATAACAATGAGCTTGATTGGGGTTCTTTTAGCTCTTGAAAGCATCGACAGTATAGGTTTTGTCTGCCCCATCTCCTTAATGATGTTTTGGATGACAGCCTTGTCGTGATGCCCGTACTGGGATGGAGATATCTCGACATACTCGTCAGACTCCATGTACGACACCTCAATCTTTTTGGTTCCGCTTAGAACCTCAACCGTCCTTATCTTTGGCTCAGAGTTTCCTCCATACAAATGGTTTATCAGACACAGGAGAGTGGTTTTCTTTCCGTGCCCAGACTTCCCATGTAGTATCATGTGAGGAATTGTCTCCAGAGTATAACTTTTCAAGAGGCTCGAGATCTTGTCCCGTCCAACCACCTTATCAAACGACGTTGGCCTATACTTTTCAATCCATATCATCTGGGGTGCATGTTCCAAGAGACCTTTTATCTAAGTATATGGTCGGGTACCTTCTGGATTGACTGTTCCTTTACACTCTCTTCTGACACTTCTCTAAAGACGGGCTTCAGATTTCTATGCAGTAAAATACAAGTCCATGGACTTTGAGAGTAAAGACAGGAGATATGGAGATCTTCCCGGGAGACAGACAAAGATTTTCATGAAAAATGAAATTTCCGACGGAGACAGTGCAGCAATAGAAAACACAAGCAGACAAATTCCCCACAGTGAGTTCGAGGCTTTTCTTAAAGATTATTTTGCAGAAGCAGACGAGAAGAAGTTTAATCAGACTGTTTTAAGGACGCCTTTAGACGAGGAATGGCTTGAGGAGATAGTTGGGAAGGAGACTGAATGTGCAAGAGAGGCCATGATAAAGGGTCTTATGGGATGTCTTATAGACGAAGGAGATATTCTTAATGGCTTTTCCGAAGTTCTGGAGGAGGAAGGATCTGCAGAAATGGAAGTGGAAGACTGTATTGAGGTGGAGAAGACTCTAAGATCCTTTTCCCTAGAGAATATAAGGGATCTGGTTAGACTGTACAAAGAACAAGTTTCGATTAACAACAAGAGGAAGGACCTTCTTCGCAAGAAGTTAAAAGAGAGATTGGCCTACTATGGATACTGGATGGTACTGAGGGCCATTGACTCGGAAATTGAGGATTTGGTTTCCCGAGAGAAGGGAAGAAAGAAGGGAATTGAGGAGGAAAGAGCTCGGGAGGTTCTAGAAAAACGTTCCGAATTCATGGAATTATTCAAGGATTTCTCGGTACTTGAGGAGGACTATAGAAACTATGAGGATCTATTTGATCCCAAGGAGAATGTGGATGCAAGTAGGCATGGAGTGTTTCCATACGACTACTTTTCATAAAGAGGGAAGGCTATTAGGAAGGAAAAGATAATGGGCCGGGAGCCCCTGGAATGAGTCTTGAGGAAAAGCTAATGAAAAGGCTAGAGGGAGGGATGTTTCGGATACTGAACGACAAGATGTACCATGGAAAGGGCTTAAAGAAGAGGGACTTGAAGCTATATCATGAGCTGTATGATCAGCAGGTTAAGCGATGGCCAGTTAATCCTCTTGATGTTATTATTGAGAAGATAAAGAAGAAAGGAAATGGCATGGCGATAGCAGACATAGGATGTGGAGATGCTCGGATTTCCAGGGAGTTTGAAAATGTAATGTCCTTGGATCTGAATCCTTCTCGAAAGGATATAATCCGCTGCGATATGAGACAAAGGATCCCTTTAGATGACAAGAGTGTGGACATTGCAGTTTGCTGTTTAAGTATGATGGCTGAGAACATTTCGGTTCCTATGAAGGAGGTAAACCGGATACTAAGGGAGTCGGGGTACTGGTATATAGCAGAAGTCAAGAGCAGGATACCTAATATAAAGCATCTGGAGAAGAAGTTTGAGAGCTTTGGGTTTGAAGTTGAGCATACCGACATGTCAAATGCACAGTTTATTCTTTTCGTTTTGAAAAAGAATCTAGATAAGAATCCGAAGAAACTTCCACCGGTCAGATTGATTCCATGGGTTTACAAGAAGAGATGAAGGTGGAAAGAGGAAACTTGATGTTTACTACCTTTGGCTACTTGGCGGAAACTCCGAAGAAGAAGACAAAAGCTGTTGAATACACCGAGTAGTATATGAAGAACAGGATTGATACAACGATGTCTGGCGTGGTCATAGTGAAGCACTCTCTGCAGTTCTTGTATCCCATCCTCATTACAAACACATTATTCATGATGATGAAGAATGCCAGGAGGTTCATTATCTTTGCAATAACATGGAGAGCTTAAATTAAAGATAGCACTTACCATTTATGATTCTAAAATACAGCTTTCCTTTCTTTGCCATTGGTTTTACAAGAGACAGAGCTGTGGAATATGTTATTATAACTATGAGAACCTGGCTTCCGTAGAAATATCTTGGTGCTAGGGATGCAGTGAGGATCAGTCCGAGGAGCGATGAAATCTTTGAATTAGTAGGGCAAGGCACTTACCATTTCCATCTTGTCTTTGAACATCATTGTGGTCTGGGGTTGGGTGTTTAGATGGTTTGTTGATGCCAAGAAGGGAGGCCATGGTAGCTTGATGGGCTAGAGACAGCAAGGGTTCCCTTGGACACATTGGGAATGGATGGCTAGAACGGAGAAGTAAAAAATATTTCGGGATCCCTATGACTCGGAGATTCACCATGACGCCGAACTCCAGGAATTCTATTAAGACACCTATTTCAGGGGCGAAGGTTGCTCTATTTCCAAGACACTCTGTAGCGGCTGAGGAGATCAAGAGGAGGGATATGAGGCTGGTGAGAGAGAAAGGATACAAGCAGCAGTGTGTTGACACTATTTTAGGGTTTTTGATGGAAAATGGATACGATGGACAGATATCACAGAAGATCATGCATAACCCGTCTTCGAAGGACTTCCAAAGTATCTTCAAGTTCCTGTATGGATTTGTGGACGACTTTGTGTTCTCCTCAAGGTTTGAGGACGAAGTTGTGAATGTGATGAAGAATTTGAGGTATCCATATTGCGGGGAGATTACGAAAAGCCAGCTGAGTGCAATAACACCCCACACATGGCCTGTAATTCTAAGCATGTGCAGCTGGCTAGTGGAGCTGATAAGGCATGGAGCAACTCTTCTCGAGCAGGAGGAAGAGAAGAGTGTTGAGAGCTGTTTCTTTGAGTATGTGTGTGATGGGTATATGAGATTTATGGAAGGAGATGAGGATGATGCGGCTCTTGAGGAGGAATTTGAGAGGAAGGTCACAGAGATATACACGGGGATATTTAAGGAGATCGATCGAAAGAAGGAGGAACTTTCCCGGATTGAGGAGATGATAGGGAAGTCTCGAAGGATGTCTGAAAGCCTTGGAGAGCTGGAGAGAAAGAAGAGAGAGTTGACAGATGATCTGAACATGCTGATAGCTTCTGAGAAACAGCTTGAGGGGAAGAAGAAGAAGTATCTAGGGGCTATTGAGCGTCTTTGCGAAGATATTGCAAGGGTTGAGGAGGAGATTGAAAGCCAAAGGGTACAAGAGGAAGGATTGAGGGTTCAAATAACGAAACAGAAGATCAATCCTGAAGACGTAAGGGAGATGAATACCGAGAAGATGGAGTTATTTAAGGAGCTAGAAAGAATGAAGCCGGAGAAGGAGGGGCTTATGAGAGAGGTAGGAGAACAAGAAAGAGAAGCACAGGAAAAGGTTGAAGAGGTTGAGAAGTTGTTTTTTGATCTGAAGGGTCTTCGAGATGAGATTTCATTGAGGATAGTGAAGGACACAAAGGGAGGGGTCCAAGTAGTGAATGAGGTAAGCAACGAGGTGTTTGACAACGGAATAGCTTCGGTGATTGTACGTCTTGAAGAGGAGCTAAATGGAAGAAGTGATGTTCTTGTGGCAGGGGAGATGAACAAAGGTATGCTTGAGGAAGCAAGGGCAGAGAAGGAAGGAATGTCTAGCGAACTAAGCAACAGACTCAAATATTGCAGTGATAAGCTTTTGATGGCAGGAAAGTTGTATCTGGAGAAGAAGGAGATATCTGAGAACGAGCAAAGGAAGAGCAAGACCGAAATGGAGCTGCTGGAGAACGAACTTCTGAAGCTCAATCTGGAGTCCAACACGTCTCTGCTGATGAGTGAGCAGAAGCTACAAAAAGCCAAGATACTTCTTGACAGAACACTCAACACCATAAACTATGAGAGAGAGGAGATTAGCAAGATGGTGTTTAACTTCTACAACACAGTTGTTGATGTTCATACATTGATCCAGTCACAGGTTGGAGACCTGAGGACCTTACTGAACAGGTGAGAAGGCTGGGACTAATAAAGTTGTGTTTCTTGTTACAAAGATAAGAGCGAGGAGGAGTTTTATTCTGGAATTTTTTGCCCTTTCAAAGGAGGCATGAAGAAGACCAATAAAAAGCCCAACGGAGGGAAATTCCGGAAGGAAAGTAGAATGGCTCGGCCTGACAAAAGAGGGGGGAGAGAAAGGATGAATAACAAGAAGAAGGGGAGTGTACGGGCCGGGCTTGATAAAAAGGTCTTAGTTGAGCCGCATAGGAGGTTTCCAGGGGTTTATGTTAGTCGGGGGAAGGAGGATCTTTTGCTTACAAAAAGCTTGGCACCAGGGATTAGCGTGTATGGAGAAAGGAGGATTACTGTTGATGTTGAGCAAGAAAGAATCGAGTATCGGGTCTGGAATGTTTATCGAAGCAAGCTTGCAGCAGGAATTGTTTGTGGGGTTGAGAACATCCACATGGGCCCGGGAAGCAAAGTGTTGTATCTAGGGGCTTCATCCGGTACAACGGTTTCCCATGTCTCGGACATTGTTGGGAAGGACGGAGTGGTGTATGCCGTGGAGTTCAGTGAAAGATCTGGAAGAGATTTGATCAACATGTCTATGAAGCGTCCCAACATCGTTCCGATAATAGAGGATGCAAGACATCCATCGAGATACAGAATGCTTGTGCCGATGGTTGACTGCATCTTTTCGGATGTTTCACAGCCCGACCAGACAAGAATTGTTGCCTTGAATGCCCAGTACTTCCTAAAGGAAGGAGGAGGAGTTGATGTGTCGATCAAGGCCAACTGTGTCAACTCGTCAGTCCCTGCAGAAACAGTCTTTGCAGAAGAGGTGAACATCCTGAGGAAGCACAACATCAAGCCAAAGGAGCAAGTGACTCTCGAGCCGTTTGAAAAGGACCATGCAATGATAGTCGGGAAGTTTAGGCTGTCCAAGTCTGGAGAAAAGAAATAGTTCCCCCAGGGAAACTCAAAAGCCCTGAAGATGAAATCAGACCTTCATATCCAAATCTTTATTTTGACCAAATAAACGACCTAAAAGTATTATTTCACCATTTCATGGCAGTCTTCTTAGTTTTCTTGTCCGCCTTCTTTTCTACTCCACAGGATTCCTCTTCAAGAATTCCATCGCTTTCTTCCAACTCGGCAACATATCTCTTCTTTCGATTCTGTTTCTTTTCTCTTTCTACTGCAGCCTTGTTTGCCAAATGGAATCTGTCCTTGAGCTCTGTCCCATAGATTCCACTCTCAAGCCTGAGCATGAGCTCGTCTCCTATGTTCTTCTCGAAGTTGATTTTGTTTAAAGTTTTGAGTGCTCGGAGCTTTTCTCTTCTATTCATCTTCTTTCTTCTCACCATATACTTTGTCTTCCCGTGCTCCTTGAAGCGCTCCAACCTTCGGAGATACTGCGTGAGTTTCGAAAGCTTCTGCTTACATTTGTGGATAATCTTTTCATCCCAGAACTCAAGATTCTCTTCTATCTGCCTGAGAGCTTCTTCGTAGTTTGAAGACAGCTTGATCTCTTCGTAGACATCTCTAGGAACATGCACCCGCTCAGGCTCCTTGATAAACAGGAAAAGCTCTTCGCCCATTTCCCGGACTGTTGCATACTTCGAGTTGGCTAGTGGGCATGAAAATCTGTCGCACAACCCAGTTACATTGTTCTTGTTCCTGCACAGAGCGTTCTCTTCTGTCTTCATCTTGAACGAGCAATAGCCTTCTCCACCTATGTTCCTCCATATGCTCTCGTCGGACATCTATCGTGGGTACTGGGTCATACAAATATTAACCGAATATAGACTCAAACATCCCATGCTGCTAAAGGGATGAAGAGAAGGGGTGGCTTCTCAAGTGCTTGAATAAAAACCCATCTGGAAATATCTCTGCTACACTAGTGATTCCAAACTTCTCTAAGAGGTCGGCTAGCTTACTTCGGACTAAAAGATGTCCCTTGTGAAGTCTTCCCTTTATGTGCCTGTCTATCTTCACTTTTGTATCACTTAAAACTATGCCTGCTCCGCACACAGTGCATCTCCCCATCCCTTCTCCGTTGTTCTTTGCATAATATGCTTCCTTGATTCTTTCCAGCTCCCATTTTACCTTCTCGCATTCATCAAAGGCGTGGCACGCTTCCTCCACTTTTCCTTCCATCCCAAGCTGCTCGATACTTTCATAAAGCTTCTTGAACAACTCCTCCTTTTCTTTTATTCTCTCAAGCAGAGGAAGATCTGAAGTATCAGAAGCAGTGCATTTCTTGGCAACATTTCGAACATCCAAAACAATCTCAACAAGTAAACGAAGGAGCTCCCATTCATACTCTTCAGCCCTCTTTCTTCCATTTTTGTTGTATTCAGCCCGGTAATATTCCTCATGGTTACCATATCTGCACTTTCCAATGCTTCTTCTCGTGTTGCGGAACAACTCAAATGGGCAGAACGAAGCAAGCATGTATATGCAGGTGTCTCTCCTCTCCGAAGATAGCTTGTCAGGGTTGTAGATGTCTCTTTCCCGCCCAAGAAGCATGTCAAGAACTTCCCTTGCTCGATCTGTCATTCTAATGGGGGACGATACTTGAACATAGGTAAAGCGATGATGTCTTTCTCAGAGAGAAACAAGCTTTGTTGCTATTCTCCGTTTCCCGGAAGCCGTCATCCTTATCTAAAAACAATCGCATAGAACTTCTGGAGGCCCTTTTAGCCTAACCTGGTAATGATACAGAGGATCTCCCCCCAATCATAATAAACTCGCCACTCTTCAACTTTATGGAGCAGAAGCTCAAGGTCTTCTTCAGAAAAGAAACATAATCATGTGGAAGTCTGGACGAGGTAAGGTCCAAATATCTTAGAGAACCTTTGAAGTGCATGATGACCTCATAGAAAGAAGCCCCATCAAAAGTACATCCAACAAACCCAAGCCCAACCAAATTTGGGTATCTCAAATATACCGTCTTGAACATCCTACTGTCGATCTCCGCCTCTGTCACATGAAGCAGCCTCAAATTAGGAAGACTTTCCCTCATACACTTCAAGTCTCTTCCTCCAACATACATTATCTCTGCCATCTCGAGACCAAGGTTGGTAAGGCACTTCAGAAAGCCCATGCATCGTACAGCGTTCACAAAAGAACACAGTCTTACATCCAAACAGACCCCTTCATCAATAATCTTAAACCATACCAACTCCCTTGAGATACACAGGTCAACGAAGGATTGAAAGTCAATTCCCATGTTGACAAGCTCTATCTTCTTCAATTTTGGCATCTCTTGGAGCTTTTTCATAAGGCCTTCTCTCCACTCATGGCATCCTAAGACATCAACATTCACTAGTGACACACTTACTAGTGACCCTACACCAAGAATATTCATAAGATCCTCATACGCCACAGTAGTGTCCCTCATAACTATTTCCTGCAGCACAGTGTCTATGTTGCTCCTCATCTTTACATTTGCAACTTTTAGAATGCTCAGCTTTCTAATGCATGTATTGTTGATCGAAGCCAAATCAAAAGAACACGAATCACAGACCCTCAGGACCCGAAGGTTGATAAAGGGGTGGAGGTCGACGTCAAATGCAGGCCTTGCCTCATAATACACCTTCCTCTCATATGGTTTCCTCCACGGCGAAAGAATGGGTACTTCCCTTGGAGGCACAGATTTGCACAGAGCCTTTAGACGTCTATCGTATTTTCCAATCAGATATACCAAGTCCCTGGGAATCTGGAACTCAGGCTTGCATGTCTCTCTTGGAATCAAGCGCTTCTTGTTCCCGATCTTAAGATCAGCTATTCTTCTCATACCTCAAGGGATCTCCTCATCGGCATATTTCAGCATTCTTGCTTCTCCCCTGAAGCAGAATGAGTCTAAAAGAGTCTGGAGTAATGGTTATGACAATAGGAGTGACTGTATTCCTTGCTGGTGCCATTCTTCTGATGGACAGGGCGCTCATGATATCCGGGAATCTCCTGATAATCATAGGAATTGCTCTTCTTGCCCGGTCCAGGATGTTCTCCTTTCTGCGCCCAGAGAAAATGCAAGCCATGGTGATTTTTGGAATGGGAATTCTGTTTCAGGTTTACAAGCTCCTTGTCTTTGGCTTTTTTCTGGAGGTCTTGGGCCTGTTCCTTCTTCTGAAAGACAGCATCCCCACATTCAGGACTGTGCTAACAACCTTACTCTTTGGAAAGTTGCAGAAACTTATAAAGTAAAGATCTCGATTAAACACCAACGAATTTATTTCATTTACGAGGAAGACCAGAGCCCATCTCTGTGTTTCTTTTTGGATTCCTACTCCAATGAAGAACTGCTCTGAAGTTCTCCCCTTAAGATTTTCAGCCCATATGTATTGAGCATTCTTATAGCATCTACTTCCTCACGGTTGCATCGGTCTGCATCCCATCTATGCTTCCTCTTGAATATCTCAAGAACTTTCCCAAGACACCGATAGGCCTCCTTTACATCTATAAGCCCAATCATCAGCCTGTTGCAGAGCACATCGCATATCCTGACAGCCATCTCGTTGTCTATGCAGTACTCCACTTCTTCGACAAGGTAGGTGTATTTCTCTGATAGGTGATCTTTCTTCTTCCCCCTTCTTCTATACTTTGCAAGCTTCAAAGCCATTGTTCCGTAGAATCTCGTAAGCCTCTCTGCAGTATCCTTTCCCACCCCTAGTTTCCTTTGGATCGAGACATATGTGTCTTCGGAATACCCATCACTCCCAAGTATCTGAACATATTTCGTCACACAAGGGCCCTTTGGCTTCAATGAAAACTCTCGGATTGCCAAGTCTATGGCATCTTCTGCTATTTTTCTATATATCGTCCACTTCCCTCCTGTGACCGTTAGAAGTCCATTCTTCTCAATCTTGACAAAATGCTTCCTAACAATAGAACTTGTTTCCGAAACCTCGTCATCTTTGACCAGCGGTCTTATTCCTGTCCAGATAGCAGAGACCTCGTCCTTGACCAGCTTTAGGCCCTGCGAAGTGTATGCCCTAACCTCATGCATCAGAAACTTTAAATCCTCCTTTGTTGGAGATGGCGACAACTCATTCTTTGCCTTGATGTCCGTGGCCCCCACAAGAGTCTTCCCCATCCATGGCATGAAAAAGGCTATTCTGTTGTCTCCTGTAAGAGGGTCCAGAAACCCCATTTCCTTGGGTGCATATTCCTTTGGAATAACAATATGTGTTCCCGAACTCTGGGATATAATCTCTCCCGTGCTTGAATCGCTCTTCTTCCTTAGATCATCTGCAAAGCTGCCTGTGCTATTGATAACCCCAAGTCCCTTAATCTCCATTTCCGAGCCTGTAATCCCGTCTTTGCATCGAACTCCCGTAATCTTTCCACCCGAGCTTATCAAGGATTTCACAGACAGGTAGTTCGTTGCCACTGCTCCATGATAAACTGCAGTCATCACTAGCATCACATTGTTTCGAACATCGTCTTGCTGCCCATCAAAATAAACCATTGCTCCACAAAGATTCTTCTTGTTGACATGAGGAAATACATCTATAGCCTCCTTCCTTCCAATAAAATAGCTTCCTCCCAATGATTTCAGCCCTGAGATCCAGTCATAGAGCTTCAGCCCAATGTAATAGTAAGGAATAAGTATCCTGCTGTATACCGGAACCATTATCTTGATGCTATTTGTAAGATATGGCGATATTCTAAACATGGTACTTCTTTCTTCCAACGCTTGCCAAACAAGCTTGTACTGAGACCAATCTAAGTTACTAACTGCACTTGCAAGATACCTTACTCCACCATGGACAAGCTTGGTCGATTTCGAACTAGTTCCTGACCCGAAGTCCCCTGCATCTACCAGAGCTACTTTCAGCCCCCTCGTTGCTCCGTCAAGGGCACATCCCGCCCCACTGCTCCCTGCACCAACTATGATCAGATCAAACACCTCCGACCGAAGTCTCTCCATCATGGCCTCTCTTGTAGGCACCTCCCAGTTCTTGCAGGGCTTCCTGATGCATTTCAGCCTACCCATTACAAATATCTTCTTGTAGAGATATCTGAAGGCCATAAGTACCGAAAGAAACAAAACCACCAGTGCAGCCAGCATCTATGGGCACGAACTCCTTCTTCTCTCTTATACTTCCGGACATCCAATTACTGGTTGACAGGTACAGAGACAAACAAGTATTTCAAGCCTCCTATGAAGAGGCCAATAAAACCGGGTTCGATTGGTCTTCTATCCCTCTACTGCAAATAAAAAAATTCCTAGAGGCCTTTGCAGATGGAAGGAATCAGGTTTGCTGATGTGCTACAATCCTTTGAAAAGAAAACAGAAGATGGCGAATATGTGAGTGTGGAAAGAGATTACAACGAAAGAAAGGTGATAGAAAACGATGTCAAGCGCACAGAGCTGCTGGGTGTGGACAAGAGGAATCAGGAGGCAATTAAGATTCTGAAGAGGCTGCTTTTTGTGGAGCTAGACAAGATTCCAGTTAAGTACACACAGGGGATGAGTGAGGTTGCGTCTGTGTTTGTCCTCTACTACTTTCAGGAAATTGTTGAGGAAGAAGTGGCCAAGGGAATGTTTATCGCCGAGCGGGAAGAGAAGCCTGAGGGAGAAGCTTCGACGGCGGAAGGCTTTTCGGAGCATTTTATTGAGCTACCTGAAGAGGAAACCACAGAGCTTAAGAAATTTCTTTCAAGGCACAAGGACATAATAGCCAAGCTTGGGGTGGTGCTTACAAACGTGTTCAAAAGAAAGCTGGAGCCATTAGTTGCAAACGACTTCAAGCTGTACAAGGAGAATATGAAGATATTTGTGGAGATGATGAAGAAGCGGGGAGTGAAGATTCCAGAGCTGGAAAGCTACAAGTTCATGGGATCTATTCTGACGTTTTTCTTAAGAAACCTGACGAAGATGGAGGATGTCCACAAGGTGTTTGAAATAATCTTGTCATGTCCCAACACCTGCCCGTTTCTTTTGTTAGTACTTTTTTATGGCCAGATCTCGAGTGGCAAGGCTATAGAGAGTATAAATAACAAGCTGTTCCCGAAGGTGGTTAAGCTTGAGGAAGAGTTTATTGAGACTCGGAAAAGAATCGAAAGCAAGGAGGTTTGCCCTTCAAAAAGGAAAATCATGCTGATAGGCGGAGTTATTAGTATAATCACCGCGGTTGTTGTGTATAAGATAACAAGAAAGGAATAAAGCCTTTTTCTCAAGTGCTGTTTGTCTTATAAACAAAAGAATTTTGTATGTATCAAGCCATGGCGGGTAGACAAAAATCAAATCAAGTTGACACCATTATTTAATCCCAAGAGTCTTGTCAATCTCCTCTGCAAAGTACTTCTCCACAAGCGCCCTTTTCTTCTTCGCTGTCGGCGTAAGCAGATCCGCGCCCTCAAAACTCTCAAACCCACGCCGCAGCACAACAACCTTCGACGGAATCTCAAGCCTCGTGATCCTCCTCTGCTTCACCAGCTTCTCTCCAACCTCCCGCAGGTGCTCCATAATCTCCTTCTCACTCCTCTTCTCGTCAGGACACACAACAATCGCAATTATCCTCTCGCTCTCAGACCTCCGTGGAATAAACACATCCTGTATAATGTCTCCGTCAATGTACAGCGTCTCAAGCTTCTCAGGGTCAATGTACTCCCCCTGTGCAGTCTTGAATCCATCCTTCAGATGCCCAATCCCAGAAATCACCTTACTTATAGATATAGCCAAAATATCATCCGCATAGCTGCTCTTCCATTCAAGTATAACCTCCTGTCCAGACAGCTTGACATGGATGTTTCCAATCATAAGCCCAGACTCCACCTCAACAAGCTCCTCAAACCCATCCATAAGCACTTGCTTCAACAATACCCCTGTCGAGTTGTATGGGATCCTTTGCCTCTCGTATATGCTCATCTCCTTGTATTTAGATTCCATCAAATCGTCTCTCTTGTATATCCTAATGTCGTTCTCTGTCCCTACGATAATCCCCTCAAATTCCCCCTCAGCATTGGTAAATATTTTAGCCTCATTATCCTTGACTAGATCAAATCCTGCCTCTTCTCCATTCCGTAGAGTATAAAGCTCCATCTCAATCCCTTTCTTTTCGTTTCTCTGCTGAATCACATTCCTGAGTCTCTGCATCTCATTCATCTCTCCATGCACAAAGAAGAGGTGCCGAGGTTGGCATTCTTCAATGAACTGGCTATTTTGTGTAAAATCCACATGCGCACTGAATGAGATGTATTCCACCGACATGTTAAGCCGAAGCCTCTTTCCATTCAACGCCTCTATCTCCTTGGGCTCGCTGAGTATCTCCTTTGCAAGTGTTCCGTCTACACAGTATCCAGGTATTATCACGGCATTCTTACTGTCCGAACACCATCGCTCAAAGAGATCTCTTGAAAGCCCGCTCTGCAGCATTCCCGGGCTGGCCATGATCACACATGGACCCTCATCATCAAAAGAGTCTATTCCCTTCAGATTCTTGACATATTTGAATGCAAACGGGTTTCGGACCAAGCTTAGTTTTTGAATCCTCTCGTTCATCATTCCTATGTAGGTCTGATATACCCCCATACACCTTTTTGCCAATGCAGATGCATAGTAGATTGGGATCTTCTGCAGAGAAGCATTTGAGCTCCAATGTTCCTCAAGAATAAGAAGAAGCTCCTGTGCCCTTCCAAGAGCAAACACCGGAAGTAGACATCTCCCCCCTCTTTGAACAACATTCTGAACAATGCTTGTAAATCGGCCCTCCCTCTCTGATCTCGGAAGATGGCATTGCACTCCATATGTCGATTCCGTTATAAGTGCATCGATTTTGCATCCAGGAGACTCTGCAGCCTTAAGATGTCTGTCTTCTTCCCTACTGAAATCCCCGGTATAAAGAATCTTGCTCTTCTCTATTTCAACCAAAAACATGGCTGCCCCTAGTACATGCCCTGCATTCAATGCCTTAACCTTAATCCCCTTCACATTGACTTCTTGATGGTAATCGATAGGTATGATTCTGTCGTAGCATTTAACCAGGTCTGTTTCGGTGTAGAAGTCTGCATCCGATGCTGCATTGATCAGCCGGATATAATCGTTCAGAAGCCATTTAAGAATGGCCTTTGTAGGATGTGTCATATAAACCTTTCCTTTGAAGCTTGTCTTTTCCGTTAGAAACGGCAGTGCCGCTGCATGGTCTAGGTGGAAGTGTGTAACAAATATGGCATCGATCTTCGAAAGATCTACAAGATCCAGAAAAGGAAGGGATGCCACGCCGGTGTATGCCGGATGAACCCCGCAGTCCAGCATTATAGTCCTGCCCCCACACTCGACAATAACGCATGATCTTCCAACTTCGTTTCCTGCCCCAAGAGGCATCACTTTTATCTTCTCGCTAGAGAACATTCTAGGGCGATCAGAGCAAGTTGAATTTCTTGCAACTGGTTTCTTTCAGAATAAAAGATAAATGTAGAAGTCTATTCATATTAATGAATAGTATTACTATAAGCAGTAAATTGGAAACTATATAATAATAAATGTTATACAATTAGGATGGGAACAATCAGGTTTATATCTATAATCTCTTTTCTTAGTGATATGATGATTTGGTGCATTGATGGACCTGGTAAAGAAGCCAAGGATAATCTTAAGGCTCCTCTATTGACAAGTGATAATAAGCCCAATGATTTTAAGGCATCACCTATTCCATGTAGTGAAAGTACCGTTAGAATGTCTCGTTTCAAGGATATGATGAACAGAATAAGGATTATGGAAGATGGATCTGTGCAACACGTCAACTTCCAGAGAGATGTTGTGTGTACCCCAGACGGCTCAAAAACCATCCTCGAGCTCCTTCTCTCGCGCTGTGCAACAATGGGCAACGAGCCCTTCCTCGGCACAATCGTCGGCAACAAGGTCAAGTACAAGACTGCAAACGACATCCGCAGAGAGGCAGAGGGCCTTGCCTCGTTCCTGGCACAGACCACAAGCCCCGGAGACATGGTGGGCATCTACTCTGTCAACAGATACGAGTGGATAGTTGCCGAGATGGCAACTTACATGTGCGGATGCACCAATGTCCCCCTGTACTCCATGTTCTCGCCCGAGAACGTCCAGATGATTCTGAAGGAGACGGGGATGAAGGTGTGTGTTGCGTCTCGGGAAAAGGCCGAGCAGCTGGTTGAGACTGTGCTGGAGGGCAGGGAGACGATGCTCGAGCACATTGTGCTGATGGACAAGGCGCCCGAGCTGGTGGCGAGGCTTGAGAATGCCGGGCTGCGGGGACATTACCTCAAGGAAGTGATTTCTCATCGGGGAGGGATAACCAAGGAAAGGTACTCGAAGGGGGAGGATCTTGCAACGATATGCTATACAAGCGGGACATCTGGGTGTCCCAAGGGGGTGATGCTGACACACCGGAACTTTATCTCTGGGGTTTCTGGGATATTCCGTGGGTCTCGGAAGGAAGAGATGGTGTCTCTTGACAAGGAGGATGTGTATCTGTCGTACCTGCCGCTAGCACATGTGATGGAGAGGATATGTGTCAACATCTCGATGGCATATGGGTGCAAGATAGTGTTCTACAGGGGGAACATGAAGGAGATCAAGGAGGACTATCTTGTGGCGAAGCCGACATTTATTATTTCTGTGCCGCGGGTGCTGAATCTGTTCAAGGACAAGATTGAGGAGAAGGTGAGGCAGAAGAACTTTGTGCTGCGATGGATTTTCCGGGGGGCCCTCCGGTACAAGATGTGGAGAGTGGGGCGAGGAGAGCTGAAGAGCAAGTTTGCAGACTGGCTTGTGTTCAACAGGATTGCAAAGGAGTTTGGAGGGCGGATTTCGCGGATTCTGTGTGGGTCTGCACCTCTTCGGAAGGAAGTTCTGGTGTACATGCAGGCTGTGCTCTCGTGCCGGATTATCCAAGGATATGGGCAGACGGAGAATGTAGGGTCGGGGATTGTGCAGCCGCTGGACACGAACCTGTACGACAATGTTGGGATTCCCTTTCCGTCGAACGAGGTGAAGCTTGGAGAGATACCAGCGGAGCTTGGGAGCGAGTATGGGCGCCGGTATCCTGGAAGGAAGTTTGGAGAGATTCTGTTGCGCGGGGACAATGTGACGCAGGGGTACTTCAAGAGGCCTGAGGAGACGGCGGAGCTGTTTACTAAGGACGGGTGGCTCCGGACGGGGGACATTGGGATGTTTGATGTGTCGACGGGGATGTTTTCTGTGATTGGGCGTCTGAAGGATGGATTCAAGACTGCACAGGGGGAGTACATTGACCCTGAGAAGCTTGAGACGCTGTACATTGACGGAGACATTATACAGGATGTGTTTATTCCACGGAGGTCTGAGAGCGAGAGGATAATTGCGATTGTTGTGTGTCCTGACGAGAAGAAGAGTGAGAAGGAGATTATGGAGCACCTGCGGGAGGTTGGAGAGAAGCTGGTGAAGCAGAGGAGGATCACGAGGCTTGAGATTCCGTCGAAGGTTATTGTGCTGCGGCGTGGGTTTGAGAGTTTTGAGGGCGCGGATCTGCTTACGCCGACAGCGAAGAAGAAAAGGGCGCTTGTGGAGAAGTACTTTGCAGAGGAGATTGACAAGACTCTTGGGATTAAATAATGGTGTCAACTTGATTTGATTTTTGTCTACCCGCCATGGCTCTGATAATTTTTGTCTACCTTAAAACCCTGAAATGGAAAATTCGTTGAATAGCAAAAGAGTCAAATCGGAGAAGCTTAAAATAGATATGGTCCGAGGCCAAATAGAAGAATACACCAATCTTCTCAAGCTCCAACATGTAAATGTCGATGAGCTGATGGAAAAGATAGCGTCTGGATGGTGCGAAGACATGACCAGAAAGGAAATTGTAGATTACTGTAGTGAAACCGCAGCCTCGATGATCACCAAACATCCTGAGTATGGATGGATCTCGTCCCGAATCATTGTCTCATATATCCACGATATCACCATGGATTCTTTTGTTGAAAAGATCAAATACATACAAAAGTACCAGGGAACGATTTCTGAAGAGATGTACAAGATAATAGTGGAGAATGCAGAAATAATTGATTCGATTATAGACTACGAAAAAGATTTCCTTTTCAACTACTTTGGAATACTTACCTTGATGAAATCTTATCTGATAAAGGTGGGGGAGGAGATTGTTGAAAGACCCCAGGATGTATTTATGAGGACAGCCCTTCAAGTCCATAAGTCTGACTTTGGGAAGGTCAAGGAGACATATGAAATGCTGTCAAGACACTACTTTACCCATGCAACACCGACCTTGTACAATTCATGTCTCAAGGAAGCACAATTGGCCAGCTGTTTTCTCATAACACCTCGGGAAGATTCGATTGAGGGGGTATACCACATGATCAACCAAACGGCAATTATAACTAAGTACTCTGGGGGCATAGGACTCAATCTTCATGGGATTAGGTCGAAGGGAAGCCCTCTGAAAAGAACTGGGGGAAAGAGTAATGGAATCATTCCGCTGATCCAGGTTTTGAATGCCACAAAGAGATACATCAATCAGGGTGCCGAAAGAAGACCCGGGTCGATAGCCATTTATCTTGAGCCTTGGCATATGGAGATATTTGACTTTCTGGACCTTAGGAAGAACACAGGCCCTGAGGAATTCCGGGCAAGGGACATCTTCATTGCACTATGGATCAACGATCTATTTATGGAAAGGGTCAAGAACAATGAGGAATGGTCGTTGTTTTGCCCTAGCCAGGCTGTTGGGCTGAATGAGACATGGGGAGAGGAGTTCAATGCCTTGTACTGCAAGTACGAGAAGACAATCAGCAGGACGGTGGTTCCTGCGCAAAAGTTGTGGAAGGCCATAATCGAGGCGCAGATCGAAACCGGAACACCTTACATGTGTTATAAGGATGCATGCAACAGACTTAGCAATCAGCAGCATCTTGGAACTATTAAATCATCGAACCTTTGTGCAGAGATAGTTGAATATTCCTCTGGAGAAGAGACCTCGGTGTGTAATCTTGGATCTATTTCTCTTCCTATGTTTGTCAAGAACAAGAAGTTTGACTTTGAATCTCTTAAAGACGTGGTCCGGATACTTACAATCAACCTCAACAAGGTGATCGACTTCAACTACTATCCTGTGGAAGAGTCCAAGAGATCGAATATGAAGCACCGGCCGATCGGAATAGGAGTGCAGGGTCTAGCAGATTTGTTTGCAATTCTAAGGCTTCCGTTTGATAGCGATGAGGCCCGTAATCTGAACAAAGACATCTTTGAGACGATGTACTATTCGGCACTGGAGACCTCGTGCAAGTTGGCCGAGAAAGAGGGGCCGTTTGAGTCATATGAAGGATCTCCCATAAGTAAAGGGATCTTTCACTTTGAGCTGGCAGGCAAGAAGGCTTCCAACAACTGGGACTGGGAAGGGCTTCGGGAAAGAATTAAGAAGTATGGAACCCGGAATAGCCTTCTGATTGCGCTAATGCCGACTGCAGGAACGTCGCAGATCTTTGGAAACAACGAGACATTTGAGCCGTTCATATCGAACATATATACCAGGAGAACACATGCTGGGGAATTTCAGATTGTTAATAAACATCTGATTAACGATCTTTCCGAGCTGGGGCTGTGGTCATATGAGATGAAGAACCTGATTATTGAAAACGAAGGATCTATCCAGAACATCACAACGATTCCAAAAAAGATCAGAGACATATACAAGACAGCATGGGAAATAAAGATGAAGGCTGTGATAGACCTGGCGGCGGATAGACAGGTGTTTGTTGACCAATCGCAGTCTTTGAACGTCTTTGTGGCAAAGCCGACCTACTCACAGCTCACATCGATGCACTTCTACGGATATCATTGCGGTCTGAAGACGGGAATGTACTATTTGAGAACAAGGCCGATAACATCTGCAATCAAGTTTACAGTGGACAAGAAGCTTGCAGAGAAAACCTTATCCTCCATGAATGATACGGACGAGCCCTGTTCGATGTGCTCCTCTTGATTAAACTTCGTTGCTTTCTTTTCAGCCTTGTTTTTCTGTTTGAACGCCGTACCTCCAGCAGATGTATTGAGGAGCTTTAAAACCCATAGATGAACTTTTTCAAGGAAGGAGAGAGACTGAAGGCAATCTTCGACGACCTGGTGAAGCAGCACAAAAAGAGTAAGAGGAAGGTTGTTGATAACAAGAACGTGAGCAAGGAGATGCTACAGACATATGAAGAGAACAGGATGAAGCTGATGCATTTTTTCGAGATGCACTCGAGATTTATTAGGCCAAGGAAGAACAGTATTGGAATCTTTTCTGTGGATGACTTTGTCAAAGTCAAAACCTCGGAATCGATGATGTTTCCCAAAAAGGAAGATTTTAGGAGGGAAGGGAGACCAGGAATGCCATTTTCTGTTGGAAGGCCTATGCAGTGGGGAGGAATGAATGGGAGAGAGCCTTTTTACATTCAGGATAGGATTCCCACACAAGGATGGAAGGGGTGTGGTCGGGATGGAAAGCCGATGTGGATGGGGTTTGGAGGGTACCCGGGGGCTCCTGGGCAGGAAAGCATATTACGAGGCTGGGGTCCTATGAACTTCCTGCATCAGAATAGCAGAGGGTTTTTTGGGGCCGGGTCATATGAAATGGAAGGTGGGAGTTTTGAAGGAGAACATGGTAGCTATGGATATGGAATTCGGATGGCACCGGGGCCAGGAGTTAGAAGACGGTTTGATATTGGAGGAGGGGGCCCAAGTGATGGGTACGGTATGTTTCCTAAGAGAAGACCACCTGACATGGACTCCAAGACAGCAGAAGTATCTAAAATGGGTTTTCCACATGAGAGAGAGGAAATAGGAAGGAATGGAGTTCCACCATCGATGAGTTGGACGGGTAGTAGGAGGCCATACATCCCTACGGAAAGGAGAGAGGAAATGATAAGGCCTCCCTTCTACTATCCGATTTTAGGGGGATACGGCTATCCTGTCCATGGAAATGGTACGTTTCCTGGTGTTCCAGTGGAAGAGACCTTTGCAACAGCATGCTCGATATATCCAGAAACATCCAGGAAAGAACAACACTTTGTAAAATACCCACAAAGCTTTCCAGGTAGTGATGTGATAGACTGGATGCCGGAGAAGAAAAGTTCTAAGACGAAGACACCAAAGGAAACGAAAGTGCCAACCTCTCCAAAAGAAAACGAAAGCTCTATTTCAGGGAAAGAGGATCCCTGGAGGCTAGACATAACAACAGACTTAGAGAAAAGAAAGTTGTGTGATGAAGATCAGGGCAGAGACGAGAATAAGGAAAAGGCTTCTTTCGCAGACTTCCCAGATGGCAAGAACAACTCCCATGGGGAACTTTCCACAAACCACGGGAAGGATCTGAATATAATGACCATAGAGGATCTAATTGGAGACAAGACGATTGACAAGGATGCAAAAGAGTTCATCTATGAACTTTGCGATGGATTTGTCGATCATATTATCCATATGTCATGTGCATTGGCTTACCACAGGAAAAAAAATACTGTGGAGGTCTGTGATGTCAAATTAGCATTGAAAACAGAGGTTGGGATCGAGCTCCCCTCGGATGGGGATTCGGAAGAGGAGTCTTCCTTAAGTCCCGGAAGAGAAGTGAAGGTTGTAAGAAATGAAGAGAAACAGCCCCGGATGGCCAAAAAAGACTAGGAGAGACGAAGTCTTTCTTTTGGGAGAAGGTATGTTTTGTTTCTAAAAAGTTTTAACCCTCTATTTCTGGAGATGGCAACAACTAAAGGCAAAAATAGCAGGCTGGCAATTGAGATGGAGTCTATGTCGAGAGACCCACCACCAGGATGCAGCGCAAGCCCAATAAGCCCCAACGAACTAGACAAGTGGATTGCAGTTATAACAGGGCCCCCAGGATCGGTCTATGAGGATGGGATATTTGAACTTCTGATTGTCTTTCCTCCATTTTATCCATTCAGCCCGCCAAAGGTGACGTTCAAGACACGGATATTCCATTGCAACATATTTGAAAAGAATATCTGCCTAGATATCTTAAAGGACCAGTGGAGCCCAGCACTAACGATAGATAAGATCCTCTTGTCCATAGTTTCCCTGCTCCAGGATCCCAATCCCGACGATCCTCTGAACAAGGAGGCAGCCGATCTGTACCGAAACAATAGGATGGAGTACAATAGGAAAGCAAAGGAATGGGTGCGGCTTCATGCCTCGAAACATAAGTCTGAGGAATAAGAAGTTTCTTGATGGAACAGATGATTCTGTTATATTAAATTGTTCTGTTTATTTCTGTACAACCAGGATGCCAAAACAAGGAGCAAAGGAAAATTCTGTATGAAAACAGAGTCCCTATGATTTTTGGAGAAGCAGGCACATGGCTCCTCGAGGACCTCAAGTCAAGTGTCCTTAAACCCTATAGACATGCAGAGATAAAGGCAATACAAGGAGAAAATGGAGATCTGGACAAGAAGATGGAGGAGATTAGAAGGGCAGCAGGGTCTGGGATATCTGAGGAGCTCTCAGTGAACTACGTCATGATGAAGCATTTCAAAGAGCGTAACGAAAGAATAGTCAGGAGTTACAAGTTCCATCGAATCCTGGGTCTTTTCGACTGCTTTTTTGGCAGAAAGGAAACTTCTGGAATACTTTCTCCTGAAGAGGAGGAATGTGCAGAGGAATACTACGCAACTCTCAAGGAGTATCTTGAGCCTTTTGCTGACATGGACTTTACCACGGAAACACCGCCCACACAGTTTTTTGTGCAGGTGATCACGCTGGAGGACTGTGGAGTGGTGATGGATGAGGGAGACCTCATAGAACTCAAGAAGGACAGAATATACTTTATCAAGAAGAGTTCTATTGCTCATCTGATCAGCGATGGACTTGTACGAATCATTTAATAAAATCACCTATGGGATGTCTACAGAAGATTCCGGGCCTATCTTTTTACTGATAATGCACATTGCTTCCTCTGAAGTCAATCCTCCTTCCTCTTCTCCAATGGTATGGTAATTATCTCCAAAGAGGCCCTCAACCTCCTCTTCAACAACTCCGAAGATCTCGCATTCAATATTCTCCTTGATCTTGTCTTCGTCGTATCCTCTCTCCTTAAGTCTCTTGTAAAGAACTTCAACAGGAGCCTTCATCAGAAAGACTAAATCAAAGGCTATATTGGCTGCCATCCCACAACTGTGGGTGTCTATGATGTATGACTCCTTGCCAAGGAGATATCCTTCTAGAGATTTTCTCACCACTTCATCATCGAAGAGAAGCGATTTGTATGTCTCGCTGTACTCCTCATATAGGTTGTTTTCCTCGATGTACCGGCTCATCTCGACATGGGGAATCCCAAATCTTTTCGATATGTCCAACGAAAAAGTTGTCTTTCCTACTCCAGGCGTCCCAGTAACTAGAATCTTCATTGGGAGGAGTGTGGAGACATTCAAATAAATTCAGCCTTTAATCCTCGATTCTACAAAGTCCTTGAACCAGATGGACTCCTCAAATCCCTCGCAGAATCTCTTTACTATCTCTCCAGCTCCCTTCTTGTCAAGCATGTTCAGGAGATAAAAAGATCTATACACCTCAAATGCGCTGTCTCCTGACGGAAGGCAAAATCTGTTTTTTCCGAAGCTCTTGAAATCCTCGAGAAACTTCTTATGGACTGGAGAACCTCGGATCCTGTCGTTGAGTATCACACAGAGGAGCTTCATCACAAGGCCGTGGTTTGGAGGCTGCACCTCAGAACACTTTGAAAGAACTTCAAACGAGGTCTCGAAGTCTCCACTGCGGAACGAAGACAATCCAAACTCCCCTAGAACTTCTTGCTCAATCTTCCCCTCTCCTATTGTGTCCTTGATCGACTCATAGTACTTCCTTGACTCCCCATATCCTTGGGTTCGATCAATGTAGAGAAGCCTGAACAACCTGTCCTCTGTTTTTGCCGGCCTTCCCAGCTTGAAAAACTCAAACTGTAGAACTCTTCTTTCGACAAGCTTCGGGTCTATTTCCAAAAGCCTTTTAAGAAGGCCATTGTAAGTACTTATCTTCGGAGAGTCAAGAATCTCATACAGAGTCTCAAGATAGAAGTCTATGTTTTCCAGAAGCGTGTTTTTTTCTCTATCCCCAAAGCAATCAAGCAACTCGTTGATCGTCTTCATGATCTCCACCCCATCCTTGGACTTCATGTGGATAGACAGGAGAGTCCTTAAGGCTTTGGCCTTCATTTCTTTATCCTTTGCACTATCCTTGAACTCTTCTAACTCTTTTCTTCTCTCCTCTGTGTCTTTGATGACCAGTATCTTGCTTAGATCCCTGGACAGCCTCTCCTCGTCTCTCCGATCCTCTTGTTGCCCATTCTCATCTTCTTTGGGCTCGTGATGGGCCAGCAGCTCGTCAATTGTCTTCTTGTGGGTCTTAGTGTATACTCTCGGCGACTCCAAGAACTTCTTCAAAAACGGAGGAAGGCCCCTGCTCAAATACCCCTCCATCTTTCGGATGTCGACAAGTATCTTCTTTAGTTGCTTGTCAAAAATCTTCTGGTTTTCTTCCTCCTCCAGCTCCATCACTCTGCACTGGAGATCATGGAGTCTCTTCTCCTTCTTCCCCTGCTTCTCAGATGCCTCATAAGTCTTTTCTTTTATCTTTACTCGGCTACTTTCCTCTCTCTCCTCGTCAATCGACTCAAAAAATCTAGACATCAGGGGATGAATGGGCTTCTTCAAATTCTCTCCAGAACACTGTATTTATTACACATCTTTCAAGCATCATAGATATCGCCAGTCCGAGTCCACAATCCCCTCCTTCATCCAGAACTCCAGCGACCTACTGTTCTTGGTCAGAAGGTCGTTCAGTTGAGTAAACGATACCACCAGATCTCTTCCATTTATCTGTACATCGGCATGAGAAAGCGGATGGAACAGCTCTGCACACACCTCCGAGCTTAAACGCATCTTGTCCTTGAGTTGGGGGAAAAACTCCATGGCATCCTCACACTTTTCTTCATCTTCGCACCAATAAGAAGATGTAATGATTCTCCCTCCCTCAGGAATGCATCCCGAAAATTCTTCGAAGAGCTCCAGATCTTTCTCAATGATGTCAAAGCACTGTAGGTTCTTATGGAGTCTATCCCTAAGCGCCTTGAGGATCTTCTTCTTGGGAGCTTGTTGAAGGACCAGAGATCTCACAAAGTATTCTTTATACCTTTCTAGAAGATCAGGCATCAGCTCGAGAAAAAAGCTTAGGACATCAGATGTCTTCAGCCCCGGATACCATGAGAAGAGCTCGTCCTCTATCACTTCCATACTTTCTACCTGGTCCAAGATACACTCAAAGAGGTCGTCTCTTTTGGTCAGCTCCTCCTTGATTCTTTCAAGCTTCTTTATTATCTTTTTGTTGATATTCCGAAATGATTCGGAAACTGCAAACAGTATATTTCTGGTGCTCATGTTTCTTATCTTCAAGCTAAGCATCCCAGGCCTTGCGCTCTTCTTCGTGGCTTCTGTGCTATTCATTGCAACAAGATTTGGAATGTAGCTGATCCTTTTACTTTTCAAGCTTTCGTTGCATGCATCTTCCATCGATTCCCTGTCAAATTTCTTCATCCTCCTTACAATTTCCCGATCTCTTTCAATCTCCTCCATCCCAAACAAAGAATTTATAGGATAGATCAAACTCGTTATTTTTACTTGTTTTAGATGCAGAGACAGTTATCAAAAGGCTACAAGACATGGAAAGAAAGAGCCCGTAGTAACAACTATCAAAAGAAGACAATTTAATAAGTAATTATCCACTTCCCCCCAACTCTTGTGATCTCTTCTTTTGCTGATGGCGTGAAATACCTGGCTTTGACAACAATCGGCCTTTCCAAAGGCAGCTTTCCTCCAATAACAATGTGATATCCAAACTCCCTGACATCGATCACAGGAACCTTCTCAACGTTATCCAGGAACTCGTATCTTTGCTCCTTTGGGATCATCCCCCACAGCCTTGCAGAGCTGATTGGGCGGGCATAGTTCGAGTTCTCCTTCCTGTGGTAAACCCTCATTCCTCTCTTTCCATGGTAGTCCGGATGGAATCTTGTGAAAAGAGTCTTCATGTGGCTGAATCCTCCTGCCAGCCCTCGGCCTCCAGAGTGTTTTCTATGCTTTCCTACACGTCCATGTCCGTGCGATACATGCCCTCGCATCTTTCTAGTCTTCTTAACCTTTTCTGCCTTCAAATTAGCTCAGATAGCCACTTACCATTTCAGGGATAAAATTTTTACCTCGACAAATACAAGCAATCCAATTTTCTTCAATGGCCATCCATTTTCCACTCAAGCCGTTGTACAGGCGCCTGATGCAGGAATGTGAAACTGTCGTTTGAGCAAGGTTCAAAAGAAGTGCAAGCACACTCTGAAATGCACTCCACACACAAGAAGATCAAGGTCAGCATAAGGCTAAGGCCCTCTACAGGGAACAGAGAGATATGGAAGACCTCTGAAGACGGTTTGTGGCATATCCGTGGGGAGAGGAGAGTGAAATACAGCGGGTTCCAAAGCATCCTGTCGAACATGACAAACGAAGAGGTTTACAAGCTGTGTGTGCAGGAGGAGGTTTGGAAGTTTTTGAACGAAGAGAACTGCACGGTGTTTGCATATGGACAGACAGGCTCTGGAAAGACATACACAATGCTGGGAGGAGATGAGGAGGGGATTATAAAGCTGGCAATAAGAGATGTTTTGAAGAAGAGGTCTGTGGGGATATCGTATCTAGAAATTTACAACGAGAAGCTCTTTGATCTTTCGAACAACAACGAGGTTCAGATGTTCAGTGTTGGAAACAAGAATGTGATCTCGAACTTGTGGGTCGAGCATGTGGATAAGTGGGAAGATGTTGTGCCTTTTATTGAGAAGTGTGAGAAGAACAGGAGGTTTGGAACTACGGAGTTCAACACAAAGAGTAGTAGGTCACATACTGTGGTTCAAGTGACATACAGCAGCAACAACCGAGTCCGGACTTTGAATATGATAGACCTTGCAGGGAGCGAAAGAGCAAGCCGATCGAATGACAGGAGGAAGGAAGGGTCCTTTATTAACAGGAGCCTTCTTGCACTCTGCACGGTTGTCAACAACATAGGAAATGGGAAGTATCTGGGGTTTCGGAACTCGAAACTGACAAGGGTGCTTCAGCCGTCATTGGACGGACTTACGAATCTGATTGCAATCTGCACGTTGTCACCTTATGAAGATTGTGTTGAAGAGTCTGTAAGTACATTGAAGTTTGCGGCAAGGCTGTGCAATCTCGAGCTGAAGACGGAAGAGATGCAGATATCAAGCGATGGGGATGGAAGATGTGGAGGAGATGGATTGGAAGGAAGTTCCAGATGCGAGGTGAAACACAGATGCTGCAGAAAGTTTCATCCTGAAGTTAGTAAAGAAACAAGCGATGTTCTGGAGAAGACAGAGTCCATGACCTTTGAGAAGTACTTTGAAGGATACGGCTTTTCGGAAGCTCCTGGGCTGGAAGAGCATAGAGAGCATGACAAGGTGTGTAGTGAGAAGGATTCTGTAGCAGGGATACTCCGGACCTTTGGAAGGGTGATTATGGAGAATCTGGAGTGGAAGGTAAAGCTTATGGAGGAGCTGAACATAATTAACAACGATAGAATACATTTGCTAGAGAGAATGGTAGGAGAGTTACTTGGTAAGAACCCATCAAGAAGAATGAATGAGATCTTCATACTCGAGAAGTACAGGTTCAACCTTCGTAGGAAGATGGTTGGAAGAAAATGATTATGCACTGTTGATTTTACCCATAGAAGGAATGGGACCGAAGATCAAAACACTTGTATTTTTGAAAGTAATGGTTCTTGTTATACTTCTGCACTTTCTTCCTGTGGTCTTGAAGGAGATAGGGCTAAAGAAGAGGGTGGAAATGATGAAGAGGGACTTCAATAGAAGGCTTCTCGAGGGAAGTGAGAGCTTGGAGAGGCTTAGGATGCTGAAGACGCTAATAAACAATGCAAGATACTGCAAAGACGGAGATATACCGCTGGACGGTTCCATGGCCGAAACCAAGAGGGCTTATGAAGGGCTAAGGGTATGGAGCGACCCTGTTTTCCTGAGGCTTTCGAATATATACAATATTTCTATTTTTTTTCCTGTGTTTGCGCCTGTGGTGATACAGAGCATAAAGATTCTGAGGTATAGAGACTCTTGGGGGAGCCGGGGGGAGAAGGTTGAACCATAATAAATGTAATATGTTTTAGATGTGTTTAGGGCTTTCTGAACTGTGTCTGCAGAAAGAACAAAATGGCAACTACGATGCCCAGGGGATGAATGAGGAGAGTGGAAAGGAATGTTCGAAGCAGCAGAAGAGGCTGGCAGAGGCTCTCAGAAGAAGAGATGGCCTGAAGGAGGAGATGGAAAAAGTCAGACAGGATCTTCAAAAGCTGGAGATCCACCGGAGAGTACTATTGGACATGGTAAGGATTGGAAATGGAGGAATGGAAATAGACGTTAACAGATACAGACCGATCTATAAAGCAGAAGTCGAGGGAGCAAAAGGCCTGATACATGTTCCGGGAGAGCGATACCATCTAGCAATATATAACCTCGGGAGGATTCCGATGGCGAGTATGAAGCCCTTTTATAACCAGAAGAACATCTATCCAATTGATTACATGTGTAAGAGAGCCTACTACAAAAGTAGAGGGAGCCCTGGAGGAGACGGGTATGCCCTGTATACATGTACAATAAGGAATGTTTGTAGCAAGCCTCTGTTTGAGATATCTGAGAGGGACCTATGCATAAGAGGGAAGGCTGGGGAGGTCTTCAATGCATTTAAAAGTTTGTTTTCCTGGGAGATTGAGTTTGGAAGCATAACGGAGTTTTTTGGGCTGAACAATCTGTATGTTCGGAGACTGATCAGCGAGCAAGAAGGATTTAGAGGGCTTGGAATTGGAGATAGATGGGAAAGGAAGGCCTGAGAGTGTTAGCCTGTTTATATTAAAGGTTGTGACAATTTTTGCAGAGTATTGTTTGTGAAGACTAACCCCAAGGGATGATTCTAGATGAGATTGTGAAGGAAGCGGCAGCGCTGCAGCTGAGGAAGGAAGACGAGAATACATGGTCTCGGGTGAACGATGTACTCATGAGGCTTTCCGGGGCAGTTGTGGGGCCGGAAGATGTGCGAAGAGTGTTAGAGAGTGTTTCCGACCTGATTGTAAGGTCGATGCAGAGTGACAGATCGAGGCTTGCAGGAACAGCCCTTGGATTTCTCAAGAACTGCATTTGCATCTTGGGAAATGAGTTTGGGATGGCAGGGCAATATCTAGTGCCTCTAGCGAAAGTATGTGGAAAGAGCAGTAAGGTGTTTTATTCAAGGGGAGAGGAAGTGCTTGTAGAACTTTGTAAGAGAGTGAATATTAAGGGACATGCAAGGTTTTTTAGCGAATACTGTGGAAGTGCCAATAAGAATGTTAGGCTTGCTATTTTCCGGGGGATTGAAGCATGGGGGAGTGAGTCTGGAAAGATAGAAGGATTGGAGAATCTTGTTATAAAGGGAAGAGAAGATGCATTTTCGGAAGTTCGAGAGGTGTGCAAAAGAATGATGGAGAAGTTCAGTATTGGGGAGAGAAAGGAAGGATGCTTTAGAAGACAGCGTTTGGAAGAGAGTCTTGAGAGTGGGGTAAAGAAAGGGCCTGTTAGAATGGCCAGGATGCCGGTGCGAGGGGGATATGGAGGAATGGAAGGAATCGGGGCAAGAGAGATGGAAAAGAAAGAGCTTGCACCCAAGTTTTCTCCGGCTAGAAAGCAAACAAAAACAGGAGATAAAGACTATGACAAGATAAGGGAGCTTTCAAGACAGGTCAAGGACATAGCCGAAGACATAAGGCCGAATGTGGGGGCTGAGAAGAGCTCAAGCGGTAGAATAAGAACCAAGATAAAAGAGATGTTCTCCAGAGGAAGTGATAAGGCAGGGACTGTGTATCCAGAAAGTAAGGTTGAGATACCAAAGGAGGTGATGAACCATGAGGATCTAACTCCAGTGAGGTTGGACAAGTATCTCAGTAGATATCGTGAAGAGTATGGAAGGCTTATTCCCAAGAATATAACTGGAGTTAGCAATGGATTTGAAGTTGAGGATACCGAGCTAGGGGAAGAATTTCTAGAAGCCAAAGAAGTCTCTGATGAAGACAAGGCGAGGATTGGAGAAACAAAGGAAGAAGATAAGCTTAATGGGTCTTGCGAAGAGAAGAAGGAAAGGATTGTTGTTGGGAATGAAAGCTTTGATGAGGAGATGGGACATGATTTAGAGGGAGGAGATGAAGTGTGTGCAGAGCTTGAGATCGGAGAACTTTCGAAGAGCTTAGCGAACATCTCGATCAATGAAGGAGATGTGGAGGATAAACCACATTCCGATGGAGATGGGATGTTGTCGGAGGCTTCTGGAAATCCCTACGAGAATCTTGTTGAAGGACAAGAGATGGAAAGCTCTCTTAAAGAGTACACCATAATGGATTCTGGGAAGCTAGAAGAACACAAGGAAAATAACAGGGATGAATCCCGGCTTTGTAGAGGATCTGGGGCCTCGATCGGAGAGTCAACAATTTCGATTGACTCGGAGGTTGAGAACCAAAGAAAGGAGAGAAAGAAGGGATGTAGGAATGCTCTTGAGATGATGAAGGGAAATCGATTTGCAGGGTTTCTTGAGTTGAGTGAAAGCAGCGAGGAAGAGACTGTATTTTCTAGAAGGCAGGGGGAAAGGAAGGAAGGAGTGGAGAAGCAAGATGCAGACAACACAGGCGACTTTACGGCGATGGACTCCCTTGTGGAGGTTAGAAGAGGGGTTTTTAGAAAGAAGTAAGAGCCTAAGGGCGAAGAAATAAAGTCTTTAAGTTAGCCAGGTTTTTGTGTTTTATGTGTGGGACGTAGAAAAAGAAGACATACTTTGAAGGTTTGTTTAAATTGTCCTGAGGAAGAACTAGTGGTTAGATGGCAAGTCGACCGCTCTGGGCAGTAAGCGCGGGTCTAGAGATCTCCTTGTGGGTAGTTGGGGAGTCTGTAGGGACTCTGCACCTACCATTAAAGCGGAGGGGAACGCATGAGGGCGGAAACGCAGCAATGAGTACCTCCTGCAAGGCAGAGTCTCCAGCCTTCCGCGCCAGTCCTTTTTGTGGAGTATGGCTTTTGCTTTTGAAGAAGGGATGGGGATATTGCTAAAAAAAACAAAGATCCCTACATGCTTGAGAACATAAGGATAGAGCCGAAGATGAGCTACAGGAAGATAGTGGGGGTCAATGGGCCTCTTGTGATAATGGACAACATCGGGTTTCTAAAGTATGCAGAGATAGTCAGTCTGACGCTTCCTGATGGAAGTGTTAGGCAGGGACAGGTTCTGGAGGTGTGTGGAAAGAAGGCTGTGGTCCAGGTGTTTGAGGGGACGTCTGGAATAGACATCAAGGAGACACAGGTTACATTTACAGGAGAAACATTGAAGATGGGGATTTCGGAAGACGTGCTGGGAAGGATATTCAACGGGAGCGGAAAGGTCATTGACGGAGGCCCGAACATCATTGCCGAAGACTACTTCGACATCCAGGGACAGCCCTTGAATCCATACTCCAGGATATATCCCGAGGAGATGATCCAGACTGGAATATCATCGATTGATGTGATGAACTCGATTGCCAGGGGACAGAAGATTCCTATATTCAGTGCATCGGGGCTTCCCCACAACGAAATAGCTGCACAGATATGCAGGCAGGCAGGGCTTGTGAAGAGAAAGGACTCGATAGATAGTAGTGACGACAACTTTGCAATAGTTTTTGCAGCAATGGGGGTGAATGTAGAGACTGCAAATTTCTTCCGGAACAGCTTCGAAGCATCTGGATCGATTGGGAGGACAGCATTGTTCCTGAATCTGGCCAACGACCCCACCATCGAAAGGATCATCACGCCACGACTGGCGTTGACGGCAGCAGAATATCTTGCATATGAGAAAGAGAAGCATGTTCTTGTGATCATGACAGACATGAGTTCGTATGCAGATGCGTTGCGTGAGGTTAGTGCTGCAAGGGAAGAGGTTCCAGGAAGAAGAGGATATCCAGGATACATGTATACAGACCTTAGCACGATATACGAGAGAGCAGGGAGGCTGGAGGGAAGAAACGGATCTATCACCCAGATCCCGATTCTAACAATGCCAAATGACGACATAACGCATCCGATTCCAGATCTCACGGGATACATCACCGAAGGACAGATTTACGTTGACAGGCAGATGCACAACAGACAGATCTATCCACCCATAAATGTGCTTCCATCATTGTCTAGGCTGATGAAAAGCGCAATTGGGGAAGGGATGACGAGAAAGGACCATGGAGATGTGTCGAACCAACTTTATGCAAAGTATGCAATAGGCAAGGATGCCCAGGCCATGAAAGCTGTTGTGGGTGAGGATTCTCTTTCTTTGGAGGACAAGATCTCGATAGAGTTTTTGGAAAGGTTTGAGAAGGAGTTTATAAGCCAGAGACATAACGAGCTTAGGACAGTGAACCAGTCCCTGGACATTGCATGGGATCTCCTTCGAACGTTTCCACGAGAAATGCTTAATAGAATCCCATCGGACATATTGGATGAGTTCCATTCTGTGGCGCCCTCGAGATCGGAGTAGATCCACGTTCTTGTTTCCGGGGATGGATAACTCGGAAGAGGGGAAAAAGGCGATTTCCAGCAAACCCCGATGAACGGAATGGGCACAGACCAGAAAGTCTTTACATATGTATGCATACAGTGTCCCTCGCTGAGGGAGCTGAAACTGAAGGATCCCATCAGATGCACGGAATGCGGCAACAGGGTTCTCCGCAAGAAGAGGACAGACAATGTGGTGCAGCTGGATGCCGTCTAGTTTACTCAATAAATATGTTCTCTGTCAGTACGACTCTTATAATAGTCTTTATAAAAAAGTGTGTTGGAAACCCCAAATGGAAGAGGGAAGGAAAAGAAAGGCAAAGGACCAATTGTCGCCATATTCCAATCCGGTTGAGGAGAGTGACCAGCATAGTGGTGTTGTAGAGCCTCTTCCATTGATTCACAAGAAGAGGGCCAAGGCAAGGGTTGGGGATTCATCAATGATTGCAAACTCCGAATCTCTGAAAGGGGTGCTGAGTTCTGTGAATATCCTAAAGCCGAGGGGAGGAGGCAACGATAGAATAAGCGGTCTGAACAGATGCTTTGTCAATGCTGTGCAGAAGGTGGTTGAGAAGGAATCCAACAAGAGTCTTTTGTATTTATTTAGGCAATACGAGAAGTATTACAGGGAGTTGACGGAATCGAATGATTGAATTCCAAGTTGAATAAATGACGATATTATTTAAGAAGTTGTAAACAGATAGATTTTTGATGAGAAATGTGTGTTTGGTGGTGATAGACGGATGGGGGCATTTGGAATCAAGGACGCAGGGGAATGCTGTGTCGGAGTCGGAGTGCCGTTGGATGAGGGCTTTAAGCTGGGGACGTTGCAGTCTTCTTCTGCATGCCCATGGTAGATATGTGGGGCTCCCTGACGGGTTAATGGGGAATTCCGAGGTAGGGCATCTAACTATAGGGAGCGGGAGGATTATCGAGCAGGACATACTAAGGATAGATCGAGCCATTGAGGAGGGAAGGCTGAAGAAAATAGTGGATGAAGTGCTCCAGGGAGGCCGAGGTAGAATACATGTGGTGGGGATGGTTAGCGACGGAGGAGTCCACTCACACATAAGACATCTGAAGGGGATTTTGGAGTCTCTGAAAGGACGTAACGAAGAAGTGTTTATCCATTGTATAAGTGATGGGAGAGATACAGAGCCACAGGTGTTTTTAAAGTATCTTGAAGAAATTAAGAATTTCTGCCGGGATATTGGCACAGGAAAGATTGCTTCTGTGGCCGGGAGGTTTTACTCAATGGACAGAGCAAACAACGAGGAAAGAACAGAGCTTAGCTTCAAGACAATGACAAGTGGGAAGGAGATAGGAGAAGATGCCGAGGATTATGTCCTTGGAATGTACAAGGAAGGTCTGGGAGATGAGACCCTTAGGCCTTTTCTTGTTGATAAGGCCGGAAGGATAAGTAGAGAAGATACCATCATCTTCTTCAACTTCAGAGCAGACAGGATGAGACAAATTGCTTCTAGGTTTGCCAAGAACGGAAACAACATAGTGACAATGACCGAGTACAAGAAAAATCTTAAGTCCAAGGTTCTCTTCGGGAAGGTCTGTGCGAAGAACACCTTGGCAGAGGTTTTGTCAGACCGCGGAATAAGACATACACACATAGCAGAAAAGGAGAAGGAGGCACATGTGACATACTTCTTCAACGGGGGTAGGGAGCAGCCATTTCTCTGGCAAAAGACGATAATACTTCCCAGCCCAGACGTTGAATCTTTCGACACAGTACCATCAATGGCCTCGAAGGAAGTGACAGAGTATGTGATTGCAGAGATTAGAGACGGAGTACCGATGGTAATTGCCAACCTTGCACCCCCCGACATGGTAGGACATACAGGAAACCTTGAGGCAACAAAGATGGCTGTTGAGGCAGTGGATGGATGCATAGGGACAATATACAGAGCCTGCATAGAGAACAAATATACTCTAATCGTAACTGCAGACCATGGAAATGCCGAAAGAATGACGGATGGAAGAGGAAACTGCTGCAAAACCCATACAACAAGTAAGGTTCCTCTAATAGTCTGTGGAGAAGAAGTGGGAGAATTCTCTTCCTCATGGGGATACACAGACACCGACTACTCGTTGAGAGACATAGCCCCGACTGTATTAGAAATAATGGGAATTCCCAAACCAGATGAAATGACTGGGAGGTCGGTGTTGGGAGCCTTCGGCCACACCCTTCCAGCAAGAGATAATCAGTAAAAACTAGTTTTCGTTGGAAGAAATCCTTTAATCAGAACATTCCAAAGTCGATTTCAACTTCTTCCTCCTCAGGCTCTTCCTTCTTTCCTGCGTCCCCAGGGACATCAGCTGAAGCCTTGGCCTCCACAGGGGCTGCTGCCTCCTGGGTACTACTCATCAACAGAGTCTTAATCTCAAGTGCGTCCATTTCAAAAAACTCACTGATCTTCGGATGGCTTTCCAGTCCAAAGAACTTGAACACAGAGTCAATCTTCTCTTTGGTCACTTGCTGGTTAGTTGCATATATAAGCAATGCTGCTAGCGGGTACATATCGTTTATCATGTTTTCTTGTGTCATTCTACTTTAAGCAATTTAACGATATCGGGCCCAAAGTTTGGTAGCCCTTCTGTTGCTTTTGCTTTTATACTTTTCCCTGAAAATTTTGCTTTTCAAGGCAGCCAGGCATTGGAAGGATCCTGTCCACACCCATAAATCCCTTGGATGGACTTTGACAGCCAGATCTTTAGGAAGCTGAGCAGAAGGTACAGCACCAAGTCGGACATAAGGATGGTGCGCCGGCCAAGGATATCAAACTTCTATCTCAAAAAAGGCGACAAGTACGAATATGTGGCCTACAGACTTACTTCGATGAAGCCATACTTCCTGGAGCTTCTCGGCATAGAAGACTTTTCGCCTGTGAATAGCATTTCAAGCACCTCTTTTTACACATATGGCATCATCATGAATCCGTTTGGACACAAGTTGGACTCCCAAAACACATTTATTGCATCGAACATTGATGGAAGCAACGATGTGGTTGTGAAGTTGAATCTATCGCATCTAAGGAGATATTCTGTGTTCCCTGGGCAGATTGTTGCCGTTAAGGGAAAGAATATTACGGGAGGCGAGATAACAGTGGAAACTCTTCATTGCATACCCGTTGTGGATATCAATGAGGAGAAGGATGGCAAGGAAGAAAAGCATAACCAACCGTCTATTGTTGCATTCTCGGGCCCCTACGGATTTGCATCTGAGTTTGATGTTCTCGACAGGATCCTTATGGAAGAAGCTGATGTGTTGATACTGGTTGGGCCATTTATAAGTTCGGCCCACGGAAGTGAAGACCATTCTCCAGCCTCGATGATGGAGAAAGAGTTCGTTCCAAGGATCAGGCGATGGCTGAATGAAAGACCAGGAAGTAAAGTTGTTCTTGTGCCGTCTGTCAACGACATAACATGTCTGGGTGTGTTTCCTCAGGGCCCAATAGACATTGATGAGGAAAGAATTGTATGTACAAGTAATCCCTGCGAGTTCTTTTTAAACGAGTTCCTGGTGTGTGTTTCTTCTCTGGACACACCTCTTGAGATAAGCTCGGAAGAGTGTTTCCATGACTCAGGCCTGGAGTCGGAGGATGATGCCTGTGGAAATCTTCTTTTTGGAGGAGATAGGCTGAAAAGGATAGCATATCATCTTATCTTCCAAAGAACTTTTCTTCCGGTCTTTCCGTCTCGGAATGTTGTTTCGTATTCTGTGCCAGAGAATATGTCCATGGACACGGCGCCAGACATATACATTGTTGTGTCCAGGCTGAAGCATTTCTCCAGAGATGTAGGCCCTTCTGTGGTGGTCAATCTGGGACTGCAGACAGGGAAGACAGAGAAAGTGGCATGCCATATAAGACTTCCTGAGGCAGAGGAGCCGAAGAAGTTTTCTGTGGAATTTGTAGATTTGGAGATCTCCATGCCTAGAGAAAATAAATAAGACTCGGCCCATGGGATCCATGCAGACGCATTTTGAGGTTTTTGACAAGATGCTTGAAGAGATCCAACAGCTGCGTCTAGACGCCATCTACTTTACAAAATCGACATCCAGAACAGAGGGGAAAATAGAAAAGCTGAGAGGAAAGTGCAAGAGATATAAGGAGAAGTTTGTACGGAAGCCGTCGGAAAGGTATTTCAAAAAGATCGAGAAATTTTATCGAGCAATAAAGAAACATCTAGTGAATAATAGGAGGTGTGAAGATGCGTTCCAAGAAGTCATCCATGAGCTTAAGAAGAAATGCGAGGACCTTTGCTCGAGATCCGGGGTGTCCTTTGACCTGGAATGCCCAGAAATACCAGATGTAAACTGCGTTGTGAACCTGGGAGAGATGGGAAGCAACGAGCAACTATACTGCAAGTGCAAAAGACCTGCATTCAAAAATATGATAGCATGCGATTCCTTGGACTGCAAGGGGAGATGGTTCCATTTTGAGTGTGTTGGAATTTCAACTGTTCCAAAAACACTTTGGATATGCCCGGAATGCAGAAAAGCTGGAACGCTGACTAGGTAAGCGGAGTTGATACAATAAAAGATTGTTTAGTTGTCTAGGTATCGGGAAGAGATTACATTGCCATGAGCACCAGCATGATTATTACCAGAAAGGTAAGTATTTTCTGTGTGTCAGGATCGTTTGCAGTAGGTGGTCTCCTCCGATGATCGAATCTCCTGTACATTTGGGAATATAAATATTCGTAAAAATCGTTAGAGTAAACAAAGGACTCTTGATATCCTTGGGAGTGGAATGCATTGAAGAAGACATTTGGCATGACGTCTTCGGGAGTAGAGAATCTGGGGCTGGCTCTGAATGTGGGAGCCTCTCTGGCCATGTCATATTTCCTTCTCTTTTCTGGATTTCCAAGTGTTGAGTATGCATTCTGGATGATTCCGGAAACAGCACTAGACTCATCCATGCCAGTCTTATCGGGATGAAACTTCATGATTAAAGTGTTGAAGGCTCTTTTTATTTCTGCCTGGGTAGCATTCTTGGGCACTCCCAGAATGTCATAGTAGTCCTCGGACTTTTTCTTAAGAAATGCCTCGATATCCTTGTGGAGAGAAAGAGTCCTTGTTGCCTTCTCCATCTCTCTCTTGTCCTCGGGGGATCCTGTGAGCTCGTACTGCTTCTTGGCATTTTCCAAGTATCCCGAATAATCCTTCCTGCTTAAGCATGATCTGGCAGCCTCGGAATAGTCCATGGAGGGGTCCTTGATGCAGAGATACTTGTTGAATTTGAAGGAATATATCCAGAGTGGTGAGAGAATGGGAAGAGAGATGGAAGAGAATGGAAAGGAAGGAGTAACAATCTGAAGGATCTGAGGAGAGAATAGATTCTAGAAAAAAAGAAAAAATTTTACCCTTCAAGAGGAGTAGTCCATGGAGATAGACGAAAGCAAGAGAGCAAGCAGTGATTCATTAACAATATATGTAGGAGATCTCTCGCCCAAGACCCTTGACTCGGATCTTTTTAGGATCTTCTCAAATGTGGGAAAGGTTTTGAATGTCAAGCTGATTAAGAGGGGAGAGCCTGTTTCATCCTTTGCATTTGTGACATTTGAAAACGAGGAGGAGGCAGAGAGGGCAATCAGGGAGTATAAGCACTATGAACTGCATAATAGACAGATAAGGGTAATGAGGAAGGACGAAAGACCCCCGGAGACAGGGAACATCTTTGTCAAGAATCTTCCTGAGAACTTTACGAGCAAGGACCTTGATGATGCGTTTTCGATGTTTGGAGAGATTACCAGCTGCAAGGTTGCAACAACATCGCATGGAAAGTCGAAGGGATATGGGTTTGTTCAGTTTAAGGAGAAGAAGGCAGCGAAGAAGGTGATCAAGAACTTCAACAACCTCAATGGGCTTATGCTTGGAGAAAACAAGATTGTTGTGGAGCTGTATAACCCGGAGATGAAGAAGGGAGAGAACAAGAAGACACCGACGATGTTTACAAACTGTTTTATTAAGAATTTTCCTGTTGATGTTGAGGAAGAGAATCTTCGAGAGCTTCTTGAGAAGTACGGGAAGGTGACGTCCTTGTTCTTCCCGACGAAGGAGGATGGAAAACCAAAAGGATTTGCATTTGCTAATTTTGAGAGCCATGAGTGTGCTCTGAATGCTATCAAGAATCTCCATGAGACATTTCCCTTCGGGGACGGCGAGAGTGGGGAGCCGTTCTACATCCAGAAAGGGCAAAGAAAAGAAGAGAGGGCAGAGGAACTCCGAAAGACGTTTGAGCAGCTGAGCATGCAGGGGCAGAGCTACAAGAAGAATCTCTACATAACAAACATTCCCGAGGGCTTTGGGGCTGAGGAGCTTAATAACATATTCAGAGAGTTTGGAAACATCACATCTATGTCTGTGGGGACTGACGGAGCCAACAGCCAGAAGCAGTATGCCTATGTGTGCTACTCGACGCCGGAGGAGGCCAGCATAGCTGTGGAAAGAGGGAATGAGATATATCTTGATGGAAACAGGCTTCAGGTTGCATACTTCAAGAATAAGCTGGAAAGAATGAAAGAGAAAGAATTTGGAAGCATTGGATACAAGCCGAATATCCCATACATGTATAACCAGGGGGTTAATTTTGTACCCAATGGATTCAAGCGTGAAAGAAACCGAGGAGGATCTGCAAAGGGATACAGCAGCGAACTCGAAAAGCTACATGGTCTTGTGCTTGCAGAAGCACCATCTTTCAAGAGCCAATGGAAGAGCTTCGGGGTGAACAACGAGGCCGAGTTTACCAGCAAGGTTACAAGGGCCTTTCGTAACAAATCCGAAGAAGAAATCAAGGATATGATCGACCTGGACTTTGTGCTTGCAAAAAGCATAGCAGCGGTTATTGAGAACGACAACTCTAGCGACTAAGTTCTACTATAAACATTAAAGCCTTTTTAACTTTGAACTTGAATGTGTTCGCACCTCAGGAGAGTCTGGGAGGAGGCGAGAGACAAGGGGGATTATCTTAGTGGTAGAGGATTTGCTTCGCATGTGAATTGCCCGGGTTCGATTCCCGGATCCTCCATTCCATTTTTCAAAGAGCAATAATTTCAACAGACTTTAGTCCCGAGTTCGATGCTGTTTTCAAAGGAGACTCTCAAGTCTTTTGCACAATCAAAGGGGATTTCCAACATTGACGACGACGCACTGAGGGTTTTGTCCCAGGATCTGGAGTATAGAATCAAGGAGGTGTGCCAGGAAGGAAGCAAATTCATGGTTGGCTCAAAGAGGACAAAGCTGTCGATCGATGACATCAACTATGCTCTAATCAGCAGGAATGTAGATCCACTGTTTGGATATGATCCTCAGGAGAGCCTTGTTTTCCGCGGTCTTCCCTCGAATGTATACTATGTTCCTGACGAGGAGATTGATCTTGAGGAGTATCTTGACAGGCCTCTTCCCAAGATTCCTCTTCGGCCGTCGATTCAATCTCACTGGCTAGCCATTGAAGGAGTGCAGCCCCAGATTCCCTACAACCCGATACTTCTTGAAAAGCCAGTTGCAAAGAAGGACACACTAGGAACATACCAAGAGGAGGCCGAGCTGAAGTCCCAGAATAGGCATATGCTCACAAAGGAGCTGAGCATGTATTTTGACAAGGTTATCCAGGCCATGGAAACCGACGAAGAGATAGCAATGGAGTGCCTGCACAACGAAAGTGGGATCCAGCAGCTTGTTCCATATTTCATTCACCATTTCAATGAGCAGATAGTGAAGAACATAAAAAACAAAGAAAAGCTCATGACGGTTATGATGGTTTATAACTCTCTGCTAAGGAACAAGTACATCTTCATCGATCCGTATCTCCACCAGATCCTCCCCTCACTTATAACATGTGTGATTGGGAAAAGCGTTGACGACGAGGTCAGGAGAGTGGCCGCAGATGTTGTCAAGTATGTTTTTAGTAACTTTTCCAGTTCCTACAAGACACTTGCGCCAAGGATCATTAACACCCTCAGCAAGGCATGGCTGGACAAGGAGAAGACAGAGTCCACGCAGTATGGGGCTTTGCTCTGCCTAAGCCTCCTGTCAAAACATGTTGTAGAGACTGTTGTAAAGCCTAAGGCCGACTACTATGTTAAGGAAATCAACAATCCACGGGTTACGGAGCTTCTGGATGACATTCTGAAAAAGAACGATATTTAATGTCTGGACTGGCCTGGAAAGCCTTCAGTCCAAGCTACCCAGCTCCTTTGCTACTTCCTTTTTCTCGGCGGAGGACATGCAGACTGTAATCTCCGAGCCGTTTCTAACCTTTAGGAGGCCATGGTCAATAAACTCACTGATCATCGAAAGAACAGATGTCTTCGATGTGAGAAACAATTTTCTCTTTATTCTCTCAAACAACTCTCCAAGGCCTACAACATCTGAATTGTACAGCAGGATTTCCTTGAGCACGAGTCTGGAGTTCCTTGGAACATTTCTAACCACCTTGGACGAAGCCTCTGCTCTTGTTTCTCTGAAATGGATGCCAGCTATTTCTTCTTCATATGGCTCGAAGGTGGTGAGATCTCTGAAGATAAAGTTGAACTTCTCGGCGTCTTCAAAACTGAACTTTATGTTGATCTCTTCAATAGTTCCCAGAATCGCAAAGTTCCTCAGACCCGAGAAGTCTGTCATACTGAAGTCGAAGTTTGCCATGACAATCTTGTACTTTTCCTTTCTAAACCCTATTGCCTCGTCTATGTCCTTTATTGTCGATACTTTTGAGATGCTTTGAGCTGCAGACCTCGACCTGCGTCTAACGGCATCCATGATTTCCAAAAGAATCTCATGCCGACTCATGGCTCTGCAGTTGAGGTGAATTGCCGAAGGAAACATTTTCCTCAGCAACGGCATCTTCGAGCCATATCCATAGAACAAGATGTTGAACGACTTTGCTAATGCATTGAGTTCCTTCTTGCAGTTGAAATGGAAGTCGCTGAGATCCGAGCTCATCTGGACGGGTGTTGTGAAGGAGCAGATAATCTACTTTTTGCCCAGGGTAGTTAGGCTCTCATCGAGAGATATCATAATCCCAAACCGATAGCCCATGGATGAGTCCAAACAAAAGCTCGAGGAGGTGCAGATTCTTCTGAACAGGCTGGCGGCTTCGTCTAACAAGGAGATTAGAAGGATTTTGGATGGGTTACCCTCATGTCCGACATCAAAGTCTATCTTGGATACCTTTTGCCTTCTTTTTAGCTTAGGGAGGTACAGTAACAAGGAATTGCTTTGTTTTCTAGATGCATTCCAAAGGTTCATACCTATCTGCAGGGCAGACCTAAGCGAGGTTGGGGACAAGATAGTAGAGCTTAAGTTTACTCCTTCGGAGAAAGACACCGATCTTGTGATCCTCAAGTACTTCGAAATCACGAACACCATAGCCGAGAGTATCCAGTCGGAATCCTCGAGAAGTGTTTTTAGTAGATATATGTTTGTTCTCTCGAACAGTGTTGTAAGCAGAGGTGCGCAAGTAGAGGTGCTTGGGAGATTCAGGGAGTTTCTCAAGAAGAAGAAAGGTCTTCTAAAGCTCTTTGCAGCTCGAAGAATGTATAGAAACATTGGATGCACAGAAGATTTGATCATAAACTTCAGCGAGCTTCTTAGTGACGAGGAGATGGTTGAAGTTGCACTAGAGTGCACCACCCTCCGAGGCTTTATAATAGCCAAAACAAGGAGTAGGTATCTGTTCCAGATGTATCACAACGAACTTCCCTGGTGGTATGTGATGGGGATGCATGAGTCGCTGATTCCGTATTTATACTACACTTTCGATGGAGTTGGGCTTTACAAGAACGTCTCCAAGGAAGTGTATGGCAGACTAGATGAACAGGACATAATAAGGGCGATGGACGAGGATATGAAGAGCAAGATCTCACCAGATGAATGCGATGTGCTTGGGAATGTGTCTGAACATAAGAATATGGCGGATGATGAAGGAATGGTCGGAGTGAAGAGAGACATAAGAAGATTCAACGAAACGGGATGCTTGAAAGAGATGCTTGAGAAGTATGGAGAGCAGATGAGCTTTGAGTTTTTGAGGTATTTTGAGGAAACAGACCTCCGGAGATTGGGGGAATTTCTGTGCAAGCTAAAGAACGAGCCTTTACTAAGGATGTTTGCCGAGACATTTGATTTTCTTGACATGGATATTCTCGATGGTTTGAGGATTTTTCTCCTTTCCTTCCACCTATCTCCAGAGGGCCAGGTAATTCATAGAGTTGTCGAGGCTTATGCCGATAAGTACTATTTGGATAATGCAGGAATATGCACGTTTATGGACATGGCCAAGGACAAGAAGACAAAGGAGTTTGTGTTTAATCTCTCATTCTCATTTCTCGTCCTTAACACGAAGTTCCATAACCCGAATATAAAGGTCAAACCTACATTCAAGGACTACATGAAGGACTTTACACCTGAGGAGATTCCTCCTTCGTTTGGAGAGGAGTATCTTGAGTCCATGTACCAATCCATCAAAAAAAAGCCGTTGGAATTCCCGGCCAAGAACCAGCCTGGAAAAGAACACTATAAAGTATTCAAGAAGGTGTGTAAGAACCTCCAAGAGATGGAGTCAAGAGAATCCAAGCTTAGAATTCGGCTACTTGAGCCTGAACTTCCAGAGGGACTGAGGATATGTACAGCATGCAGGATGGAGGCCCACAGGAAGTTGTTTTCGACAGATTTCAAGAGATTTCTTTTCCTGGACCCTAAGGTGTTCTACCAAATATGCAGTAGGCTAAGGATGACACATATATTTGAAGAGTATCTGAATGCCCATAAAGAAGATACCCAAAAATTCATTGAGTCCTTTGTCTATTATCTGGGAATGGAAGGAAAGGCCAGCCTGTATGCAACTCTACTCGATGTTCTTGCAAGGACCGACAAGCAAAGGAGCAGTGGAATGCTTTCGGATCTTGGAATTTCGTTTCTAAAGAGCTCACCAGGAAAAGACAGGGTCCAGCAACAATATAGAGACGCATACAAAGAACTTTTGAATTCGGAAATCCCTAATGTCGGCCTCCTATGCGAAGGTTTGTGTCTCTTTCTTTCAAGAGATGTGTCTGGAGGGGTGTCTGGGGAGGAAGAGATGGCTTCCCAGAAGAGAAGGCAGAGATCTATAGGGTTTGTAAAGGGTGTGGTTGTTGACATTCTTAAGAGGAACATCTCGAAGGTGGAGGATCTGTCGATGCTGGACGACGAGAACATTGGGGTCTTACTGAGGGAATGTGTTGAAACAGGAAACAGGAAGAAGTTCTGCCATATATCCAAGTTTGTCTCGGAAGAAAGACTTCTTTTTTATTTCCGGCAGGTTTTGGAGGAAAGCCCAGGGTTTTTGGACGATGAGATTCTGGAGGTATTCAAGAGGATCTCCATCTATAATGAAAATGGATTCCACTGCATTCTGCTTCTACAGAGTAATGGAGTTGATATGTTTGACTTTGTAGTCACAGTAAAATACGAAAGTATTGTCTGCAGAGCTATAAATGCTCACGAAGGAGAAGATGGAGACCAATCTGAACAGTCGAGGCTGGAGTTTTCTGGAAAAGACACTTTGAATTGTTACACTGTTGAAGAAAAGTATGGGGAGAGCCTGTCTGTTCCCTCGAATCTGTTTCACTTCTATGTATCTTCCAATTCTGTTCTGAATCAGTCAAAGGCAAGATCGATTCACAAGTCTGGGTGTCCTCTGAAAGAAAAGCTGTTTAACCGCGAAGAAATGGACAAGAGATTGATATACATGATAAAGAAGGCGGACTCGATGAACAGTAAGGACATAACCAACTATGCCCTTTGGATTGTGAACCTTCTATCTTCAAGCCTTCCGTTGCTGTCTAAGTTCTTTGTCAGGAATTTTGGGCTTCTCCTTACCTTAAAGGACCAGACAATGACAAACAACTTCATCAAGATATTCTACTCGAGAATATGCAAGGTAATAAATGGGTCTGAGTTGTGCTGCCGCTGCGGATATTCCTATCTGGACGATGTGGAGAAGCTTATCGAGATGCTGTTGAAGTATGACCTTGCATCGGAAAAGGACTTTGAATTCTACTTTAAAGGAAAATCCGAAATGATAAAGAGCGGAAGGGTTAAGGTTGGCGAAAGGGGTGTGCAGCTGGTTAATTCCAAGGAGAAGAATGACGGAAGTGAGAACAACAGTGGAGAACCTGGAGAGGTAGCGGTGGTTGGGGAGCCAAATATCAAAACAAACCCTGACTTCAATCTATAATGAATTATTATAAGCATATGAAAATAAATGGGCAGTATTTGTACTTGTGGTTCTTCTTTTCCAACCTGTCTTGGAAAACCATTTTGGAATCAACAAATCGCTTGTTTTCGGGACCCCAGAGATATGGAAATATTTGCCAATGATCCTTTCCTGGAGGAAGGGATGTGCAATGCACCCATAGGGACATTTGACAAGCACTACAGACTTTCTAGGAACTTCATTGCAGACCTTGTGCATCTGGGGCCCATTCTTGTATCTGTTGCTGTTGAAAAGGATTTTTCAAGAGCATTGGTAAGGTCTGTTCTGGGGTTCAAGGAGTACAGGTTTTACAGTAAGCATATTGAAGAGTGTCCATATTTTTTCACTGTGAGAAATAGCCTTTCCAGGTATTTTGTAGATACCATCGACAATTGGAGACATGTAGAGATTGCTCCAGAGCAGAGGGAGTCTTCTTTGATGGGAATTTTGGGGTCGATCTTTTCATTTGGGGCCTGGCCGTTGAGAGATGAGTCTGGGGGAGGAAGGAAAAAGATGTATGATGCAATCTCCTCTGGAATGATGGGATGCCCAGAAAGGTATTCTGCCAAGGAGATAATGAATAAGATGGCAGAGGTGAGGGTGGAGTATGCCAGGGGCGTAGATAATGAATTCTATACGAAACCAATTTATGTCGATTTGGTTTGTGAGAGCAGCAAGAGGATTCCGCGGGAGATGCTTGGGAAGAGGTTTATTGATCCTGAGGACACCCTTTCTGTATCCTCGGATGATTTAGAAGACATAAAGTCCCCCACCCACTCTGGAGAGAAAAGACTACGGCAGGCACTCCTCGGATTTCTTTTCAATGAAGTTGAATACTTTTGCCAGGTGAACGGGTTCTACCTGGATATTGTCTCCAAAGCACGGAAATCCGAGATAAACTTTGAGGATGTGTTCAAAGGGTTCTACAAGGTTCACAGCTTCGAGGCTGGATTTATAGAATCAATGAGAGATATAGTGGAAGAAGCAGGGTTTAAGATGGATAGAATCCTTTCTGATCCCCAATACTTTGCAGATACAATGAGGGATAATGGGGTTGGAGAGATTAAAATGGATGACGAAGAGATTCTGGAGAAGGTCCTGGACTCATTTGAAAGGCATCTCAACGGATTCCGATGCTATGAAGATATGATGTTATTCCATGAAGAATATATTGAAACCTTGGAGAAGGTCAGGAGTTACGACTGGGCACCGGACTACAGGGTTGTAAACGATTGCTTCTGCAACTGTCTGCAGCGAATTGTGAGGTATCCAATTCTTATTGATGACATTCTTCAGAACCTCACCTTCTCTCTGCATGAGAAGAGAGTAAAGAAGATCTATGCAAAAATGACCAAGCTCATCAACATAATCGACAAGAAGAAAGAAAGACATGACAATATCCGATGCGAGCAGCTGATCAGGGAAAAGGTTGAGGAGATTCCTGGGGAGGTGGCTGAAAGAAAAGCGAACTTTCTTTTTCAATTGAATTGCGAGGATTCGAATGGAGATCCTATTGCATTGTTCTTGTTCCGTGAAATGGTTATTATTGCAGATAGAGAAGGCCCTTCCTTACCTATCCAGGACCCTAGGTGTGGAAGGTACTTTTTCCGGCATTCCCTGAGGCTAGAGGATATAGAAATAGTTTCTTTTGGAACAACTGGGATAAAGATAATTGGGAAGGGAAGTCTGAAAGGAAACGAGATGTACGAGATGAAAGAGGTTTATAGTGACGTCTCTATTGGAGTGATGTACTTTTCAAAAGGATCTCCTCATTCTGTGAAATGGTTCATCGAGGAGTACCACAAAGCGGGAACCGACTCTGGAAATGGATTGTATGCATCGGGAAATGTGTTTTTCAGAGTTCTCAAGGACTCCGAAGAAGGAGGCCAAGAAAGAAAAAGAGATTTGATAATATATGTAGGAGATGTAGGATTGGATATATCTTCAGATTCCAATTCCGCACACCTTGATCTTGAAAATGGAGCTTTCACAACAAAGGGACAAAGTATTCAACACTCCATAAACTACGGAAAAGACGAGATAAAGCAAAAGTTTGGAGAGATTGTAGGAAATGGGGTCAGAGCCAGGAAAGCATGGATGGCCTCAAAAGATACACCTGGGAAATGTCCTGAGCTGTTTGCCATGTACAGGATAAAGCTTAGGGAGATTGTAGAGGAATGTGGGGACTCTTCAGTTGTTGAATTCAATGGAAGATTTTCCAAATGCAATTCATCCACCATAACCCGGAAGATTCGTGTAGCAGAAGGGATCATAAGATATCTATCAAGATCTTTGCCATATGTAGGATGCAGAAGCTCTGGTGGAAAATATCTTTTTTCTAGTGCAGGGCTAGATAGAAGCAGACTTAAAGAAGAAGAGATGGTGAACTTCCTAGAAAAGGCCCTAAGCACAGAGGAACTAGAAGATTACGCCTTTTCCGAATACAATGCAGAAGACATCCTATACCTGCTGATGTATTTCATACGTACAAGCATGTACACGTTCTTTAGAATAGAAGACATAGAAACATTGCACAGAACACTGTTTGTAGATAAAATTCATTTTCTAGGAGCAGTTGTTCCAAAGATGAGCAATCCTTCATTTGTCTCGTCCCTTTTCGAAACCATAGTCACAGCCCGAGACAAGCTTTGTATTGTGCCAACGCTGGATATGTTTCTAGTTATGTTTTCCCCATTCCAGGTGTCCGAGCAGGAAATGGCCGAAATTGTGACTAAGATTTGCTGGTGATGATGTATTAAATAAACGTTCTGTCTAATGTTTCAGAATTCCAATGGAAGTGTTTACTTGAAGATGATTGTTTTCCATTCCTATGGATACAGAGGAGGAAAAGGCTTTGAGGGAGTCTTCAAGAAACATGAAGACGACCGTCCAGATAATACAGGAGAAGATGGACCAGCAAGCTTTAATATACGAATCCATTGAGGCCGAAACAGAAAGAAATGGGAAGATTTTGTTCCTGAACATTCGAAGGTTCGAAGAAGCAATCAGGAGAATGAACAGCGATCCAAGGAACAAAATAATATTTATGTTATTTCTGGTGATTGTAGGATGCAGTGGATATCTATTCTTTTAGTTGCCCATTCCTCGATAAATTATGGTGTTTTACACGCTATGTTTTTCAGCATTTCAACATCAAGCAAATTATCGCTTTCTGCATACTTCTCATAGAAGTCTGTCAGTATGTCAATGATGAATTTCTTGTCTGCATCCGATGCTTCCGAATACTCCTTCAGGAAGATCTTATTGATTCTGGACATGTCCCTCCTTAGTTTCCTTCGGCTTCTTTTGTTGGTTTCCTTCAGGTACTTTACTGTGCTTTTGAATCCCTCGGGATTCTCCTTCATCGATAGAAGAAGGAAGTATCTGGTCATGTTGAAGTATTCCTGATCTACTGGAGAGATTGGAAAGCAGATGAAGAAGGTAGAAATCACATCTAGAACTAGATGAAAAGTCGATGCAATTTTCAAAGTTCCCATTCCGCAAGTCACTATCCCAAGACACATCTTGTATCTCTCAATGTCTCCATACCTCATAGAGAGCTGGGCTTCTTGCTTACATCTACTGGATGTAAAAAAGAGGTCTGTCTGTTCTCCCAGGGACTTCCCTGTTTCTGTTGCTTTGATCTGTCTCCTCAAAATCCTGATGGTATCAAGGTTACAAGATGAATTCGATATCAACGAAAGAGACACAAGAGATGCATCAAATAGTATCTTAAACTCATCGTTTTCCCTCATGGCTCTTTCTGCAAAAAGACACACCTCTAGAATGGACTTGAAAAGACTTCCTTCCAAATCCACCTTGATTCCTTTATACAGAAGGTAAAGAGACACATATAATAATCTCCCAGATCCCCTGTAAAGCTCATAAAAACTTGCTGCTCGGCTCTTTTTGGCCACCTCCTCGATAATAGAATCCAGTTGTTCGTTCATTTCTAATCCAAGCAGGAACAACTCCGAATAAAAAACCTCTTCAGGCGTACTTGTGTCCGATCTTTTAAACTTACTTCGGAATCTCGTCTGCTTGCTTCCGAAAAGAACAATCCCGTTGGTAAGGAGCTCACAGAGAGAATCTTCCAGCTCGATGAACTTGAACATGTCGAGGCTAGTTTTCATATACACCATCGAAAGCGAAATTGATGACAAAACTCTGTATGTGTAGTCGTACCATATCTTGTTTCCTTTGTTGTATTGCTCATCTCCAAAGACTCCTTTTTTGTTTGCCTCTGAGCTTAAAACGTTCCTTATAAACACGTTTCCGCTTCCTGCATATAGCATTCCAAGCCCAACAATACACCCAGCATGGATATACAATGGCTGTGGAGACTTGAGGCAATGTAGATACATTTTCCCTAACAAGTCATCTCTCTTGCCAAGATGACTCATCCCCATTCCCGCCAGAAGCGCCATGGACACTACAGGATACTTTGCTGTGATAAACTCCCCAACCTTCTGGGGATGAACTCCTTCCAACCGGCCCTGGAGCCCAAATGCGAATATTCTTCCTGCCACCTCAAACTCGTTTCCCTCTCCTGTGGATGTAAATTCCAAGATTCTCGACTCTATAAAATCATGTGAAATCTCATCAAAGGAGCTCAGCCCGCAACTCCTAGAAACAGAGTAGTTAAACATAGGCCAATTCATCCATTCCGGATCTTTAATTTCAATCTCTCCTAATTCCCCATTCTTGTAGATCGGGAATCTTAGTTGTCCTGGACTTTGTTCTTCCTTTGCTACCCCCAGTCCATAAAACAAATATGCTCCTCCTATGTTCGATATCTTCCGAAGAACATATCCTTTTTCCTTCTTGTTTTCAAGGTCGTACTCGTCAATCTCAAATATTATTGGCTTCTCATCAAACAAAGAAATCACTTCCTCTATCCGAGAGTCCCCAAAGTGCTTTTTAGCTATTCTGCACAGTTTATTGATGGACCTTGTGGGCTTGGTACTTCCTAGTATCCTACTTTTCTTCATTTCCATATAAATCACTCTGTATCCAAGATTCTTCACATCCGAATACTTCAATCCTGTAATGGCATCTAGATTGCATCTCATGATCCTCCTAAACTTTATATTCATCACATCTTGGCCTACAGAGAGCGAAGGACAGGTATAATTAATCAACTCCTTGCATCTGGACATCGTCTCCAAACCTTTAATCGGAGCTATCTCCATTCCTAAAAACTCCCATACGCTCTTGCATCGAGCTAGCCATTCGTCCAGAACTCTATCAATTCCTGCCATAACATCCTCGGTTATCTCCAGAAGGTCAAATCTCTTCTCTTTGCTTTGAAGAAATGCCCCCATAAACACTCTTTGCATCGCCCTTGGATAGCATGAAAGGATATTCTTCTCCACCTCATTTATCCCTGACCAGAAAGGCTTGTAATAGTTCTGCATCCATTTCTTTGGAATCCTCGACTTTGGCCACAGATCTTTTCTAATCCTAGAGCACATAATCTCGTTTCCCATAAAGAGCACATCGTTTATCCTTAAAAACTCGAGATATTTGTCTCTTGTAAGCCTCATTCGATATTTTATGAGGTGTTTGGCCTCCTTCTCGAACCTTACATTGGTTTCGGATAGAAGCTTACTTCTCTTCACTCTTCCTTTACTTCCCCCAACCCGGACAAACAATGCTGTATTCCCATAAATCCCAACCATGAAATTTTCGTACTCAGTGATCCTCATCTTTATTCCCCCCTCATTTTTGGTATCTTCTTCATAGTCCTCAACAAGGCATCTTATTCCTTCCTCTATCTTATAAGCAATCAGCATTCTTGTTCTGTTGGTCTCGTCAAAGTTGTCGTCTCCCATTCCAGAGCATGAGGACTCTATCGGATCTTCCAGTCCTATTTCCTTTCTTCCTGTATTCCTAAGGAGATATCTTCCCCTCCCCTCCAGAATCATCTCTCCAGATATGACTTCCCGGAGAACAAATCCGTGATGAAAGAACACAAATTCCTCGGGTTCAAAGGGATGGGAAATAAACATCACATGGTTGTTTTCCTTGTGATGGTAATAAACACCTTCTTCCTTCACAATAGCTGCTTTTATTGGCCGTGACAAGGTCATGTCCTCATCTCCAAAGAAGTGAATCCTCGACTGGGTACAAACAACAACCCATTTCTTGAAATTCCCCACACTAATAATCTCCTCCCTAAACCTTAGCTTCTTTCCTTTAAACACAAGCTCTGTACTTCTCCATTTAACTACCATCAAAGGGTATACTCATCAAAGTTTTATAGGTTCCTTGCCTACTGCTCTTCATAGCTCTTCCTCCTCAACAGACATTCCACATCTACATCTACAAACTTCCCCATCATCTTCAAACACATGCTCATGCTTCTTGGTGTCTCCAACTTCCATCCTGGTTTTTCTCCTAAGATCCTTTATATTCTTTTTCAACTTCCTTTGCTTCCGATCTTTAGTTCTCTTTTTCCTCTTTTCCTTGATCTCCTCAATCTTCTCGAGCGATCCCCACTTCCAGACTGCAAACTCTTCAACCTCCTCCTTCAGATACAGATGCATTCTTGACCATGTTCCCTTGCGAGGATTGGGTCTCTCAAGAAACCGGAGCTCCTTAAGCTCGTCATCTACTAGAAGATAGTCGGAAAGGCAAGAAGTCTTTGTTACAAACTTAAGAGAGCTGTAACGGCACGATCTGCAGACCGGAATTCCAAATGTCTTTTCAATCTCATCATCGAGAGGAATCTGGAGACAATACTTGCATCTCTTGCCAGGAAGCACTGGAAGAAGTATGGACTCATCTTCCTTTAGCTCCTTTTTCTTGTCTTCCTTTTCTGGGAAAAATCCTCCGTCCCGCGAAGTATTCTCCATCCTACCCAACGGAGGGCATCTGCTTTACGTTTATGCTTCCTTTAAGACATGATAGAACAGATCTTGCTTGAGAGAGAAAGGATAATTGGTTCTCCAGTAGCCCCTTGTATGCTTCTCGATTTGTTTGGACTGTTCGGAGGAAAGCCTTCATGGTCTCTAAGTCCAAAAAAGTTTGAAGGGTGCAACCAGAACAACTTCGGAGGAAAAGTGATAGTCCCGCAATCCGTTCTGGTTGATCTTGTATCGTTCCAGATCCAACCTCCATTTACATTTGAAATTTCACACTCCGACGGGGTTTTCAAGACCCATTGTGGAGTCTTGGAGTTTACTGGCGAGGAAGGCCAGGTAGTTGTTCCTTCATGGATGTACCAGCAACTTTCTATGGGAGATGTAGACAAGGTCGAGCTCAAATATATGACTTTTCCACTTGGGAGGTTTGTAAAGCTGATTCCTCACTCTGTAGACTTCCTTGAGGTCGAAAACCCAAAGCAAGAGCTGGAGCTGTGTCTGAGAAACTACCAGGTCCTTTCCGAGGGAGATGAGATCTTGTTCCAGTTTGATGAAGTTGGATCGATGAGATTCACAGTTGCACATATAGAGCCATCAAGCAGTGCAGTATACATTGTAGACACAGATCTGGCTGTTGACTTCCTGGAACCAATTGGATTTAAGGACAAGGTGGAGAGAGAAAGGACTGTTACAAAGTACATCGAAGTAGTAAATTCAAACTATGACATAAAGCCAATCCGGATGAAGAAGCTTGGGCTGTATATGTATAAGTCAGCAGATTAAATCCAACAACTGATACTGTTTATTGGGAAATGGAATTTTGATTAAGAAACACCGTTGAAAGAGTCCACCACGGATTTATATGCCAAATACAGGCGGTCTTCCCCATGGCTGCTTCCAATGTTATTCACAATCTGGTCGAAGGAAAAGATGCCTTCTGACATAAGTATGAAATTCTCCACAAAACATCTTTCATTGTCTGGAGGGCACAGAAAGATCTTAAGATACTTTTCAACAACATCTATCAGAGGAAGAACACTCACTTTTGTCCTTAGGTATCGCTTTATCTCTGCAGTCTCGAGTAAAAGAGCCTCGGAAATCCTAGGTGTGACTTTGATGGAGTAGATTCCAGAAAAGACATGAGAAACCACGCTCTCCACCAATGTGATTCGGATATCCTCGTATATTCCCTCTATCTCTTCATTCATTATGTCTTTGTCTAGGATCTGTATGACTTTCCTAGAAAGACCCTCTGGAGCAGAAAAGTCCAGGCCTAGGAAGTAGCTTGAGAGAAAATCATCAATAAATGTGTTTTGAAGTCTTTCGGCCTTTCTCATTTGCATGTGAATCTTTGGAATGTCCTCTTCTACTTCTGACTTTTCTATGATTTGGTCCAAAAAATCTAGAGCAGTTTCTCTGATGTAAAGCATAGTGTTTAGTACAATTATAGACTCGTTCAGACATCCAGGGAGGCGTGTTCTTTTGATCAGAAGACTCAAATACTCGTCGAAATAATGTACGAGATGCCTATGCGCAGACTTGTCATTAAGGTACTCAACCCTTTTAAGAATCTTTTCTACTCCACGAAAGAAGTCCAGAAACCCCGAGATAATGCATAGTTTAACATTCTCTTGGTTGAGGTCGGACTCCATAAGCTCTTTGAAGGATCTTTCTAGATATATCTCGATGTTTGGCACAAACAATGAGGATAGCATTGTCTTGTGTGGACAGAAGGTTTCCTTTTGACTCAAGCCTTTGGATTTACATGCTCCATCTTCCAGAGATGTAGACTGTACACATGCACTGCATCCCTGTTTTTCAAACAGCTTCCCAAGTCTCTTCTCACATCTGATCGTTGCATCAAAAGCTTCTATGAAATCCTCTTCATCGACCTCGTTGTAAAAGAAGTAATCACATACCCGTTGCTTCGTCATAACATAGTACTTGAGCAATATTTCTCGTGGTAAGCTCCAGTCGTCTGGGACATGGGAATATTTGAGGCTTACTCTGCTTATGCTTTCTTCAATCCATCCAAGACAGCTCTTTAATGAAGATAGTCTTTGAAAGTTACAATTCAAGAACTCCTGGTAACTCACAGAACATAGTGATCCTAGGTAAGAAATCGCCAACGATTTCATCCTGGCCTCAAAGCTTTCTCCCTGCAGTAACGTGATGTTGACCAGTGGCTTTGGAATTCCCTTTTGCTCATGGACACATCTTCTTATTTCTTCCTCTATCGAGGACTGAAGACCTTCCAAGTCATTGGTGCACAGCTTGTCTCTAAGAGATAGCTTTTCCATTTCTTCCCTGATAATATTGTAAATCTCCTCGTAGTTTTTCGAGCTGTGCAATGTCCTCAGCTCAGAAGCATGCATAAACTATGATGATTCTCACGATTTTAGGCCAGAACTGAAACATTTGTTTCAGACAGGACTCTGAATGAGAAAAAGGATGGAGAAGTCCGTCCTGGCATTCAGACAGAAGGACTCCTCTACCGAAGCGATAAAAGGCAAAATGTTTTTCTAGTCTTACAAAAACAAGCCTGGAGATGGAGAATTTGCTGGAAGATGACTCGGAGAATTTACTAAGGATGAGTCCAGATGAGTATTGGGTAGGCGACTTCATGCACAGAAGAGAAAACCGCAGCATAGTCCGTGTTCCAGACGAGTTTCTTGAAGATCGATTTAACATTATTGGACTGGACAGGTACATAAAAGACCTCGAAAAGGTATATAGTTCGATACTTGACAAGGGACCAAGGAGTAGTTTTCAGGAGGAGTCTTCTCTATACTATCTGATACATCAGAAATACATCTTCACAAAGCCTGGGCTTGAGACTGTTCTGGACAGGGTGATGAGCAAGGAGTATGGAGCATGTCCAAGAATAGGATGCAAGTCAGTTGGAATGATCCCCATTGGGCTGAGCGACAGGCCTGGAGTTTCGTCAACAAAAGTCTATTGCCACTGTTGTGTGAGTGTGTACGAGGCCAGGGGAATTCTCCGGCTTGTAGATGGGTGTGCATGGGGGAAATCGTTCCCGCATTTCCTAATTTTGACTCACTCGTACCATTTCCCTTCAGGAAAGTGTGAGGAGTATGTCCCAAGGATATACGGCTTTCGGATATGCGCCCACGACGACAACGACTCTCTCTCCGAAGACAACTAAAATAAATGCCTAATATGGAAGACAGCCTGAATCTTTGGTTATTTTCAAAAGACATCGAAACCGCAATGAGAGACGAGCTTCTAGAGGAGCAATATGGATTTATATCTCACCATGAAAGCAGAAGAAGAGAGGGATGGGTCCTGAACTACATCACTACTGTATTCAAAGACGGGAGAATGGAAGCAAAGCTTTATCTGATTGATGACAAGAGAGCCGAATTTCTTGTGAAGATTCCATATTTTCCATCTCTTCTCCTTAAAGCTTCGGATTATGATTCTGTTGAAGAATATCTCAGGAGAAAATATGCAGCAGAGATTTACAGCATGGAGAGAGTGCATAGAATTGACTTTAACGAATACAATCATCTGAACAAAGACCCAGGAGTGTTTCTAGAGGTTAGATTCAGGACCGAGTCTGGGTTTTCAACAGCTGTGAAGGACTTCAAGAAGATAGTGGCAAGGAACAAAGTGCAGAAGAATAATGAATATGATTGCTTTGGAAAGGATCGAACACTCTGCGCAGAGGAACTTATGGAGGGAATCTTCGAGTATGATATTCCTGTAGAGGTTTGCACGGCCAACAACCTGAAGATCAGATGTGGAAAGTGGTATACTTTCTACTATACCGGAGAGACATATGTTATAGAGAAGAGCGAAAGAGTCGTGTTTCCAGATCTTCGGATACTTGCATTTGATATCGAGACATTCAAAAAGCCGCTGAAATTTCCTAATCCAGACTATGATGAGGTGATGATGATATCTGTTAAAACAGAATGCAGGGGAGAATTGATTGTGAACCGGAGGCTGGTTTCTAAAGACATCAGGAAGTTTGAGTACAATCCAAGAGAAGACATGGAGTGTGTGTTTGATGTGTCGAACGAGGGAGACGAAGAAGGGGTGCTGATTAGATTTGTTGAGTTGATTCAAAAACACAAACCACACTTGATAACAACGTTTAATGGAGCATTATTTGACTTTCCGTTCCTGGAGAAAAGGATGAAGAACTATGGAATAAGCCTGAGGGAGACAACTGGATTTACTCTGAAGGATGAATACTACATTTCACCGTTTATTGTGCATCTTGATTGCTACAAATGGGTTAAAAGAGACTCGTATCTTCCGGCAGGGAGCCAGGGTCTCAAGGAGGTCACTAAAGTGAAACTAGGATACTTCCCTGACGAGATTGATCCTGAAGACATGGTTAGGCTTGCAATGTCCGACCCCGACAAAATGGCATCTTATTCTGTTTCGGATTCGGTTGCAACATACTTTCTTTACACCAAATATGTCCAGCCTCATGTTTTTTCCCTATGCTCTCTTGTTCCTCTCTCTCCGACCTCGGCACTTTGCCAGGGGTCTGGAACACTGTGTGAAGCTCTGCTTGTCTCTGAAGCCATTGAATACGGGGTGCTTATCCCAGAAAGGAGGAGAGAAAGCAAAACCCGAGAGCACAACGGACACATAGCAGAAAGCATCACATATGTTGGAGGATATGTCGAGTGTCTCCGGTCCGGGATTTTTCGGTCTGACCTGGAGCATGAATTTAACATCTCTAAAGAATTCATTGGAGAAGTGGTTTCAAGCCTTGACGAAATTCTCTATGAGTACAAGGAAGAAGGAGGTTTTGAAGAGATGAAAGCACAGATTCTTGCCAATCTTCAGGAGAACAAGGGAAGACTTCGAAAGGAGGGGCTTATATATCATCTGGATGTTGGAGCAATGTATCCAAACATCATACTTACCAACAAACTGCAGCCTGTGTCAATTGTTAACGAAGAGATCTGCATAAGATGTGACTTTTCGGATGAGTCGAACAATTGTAAGAAAAGAATGGAATGGAGCCTTAAGGTCGAGTACATTCCGGCTGGTAAGAGGGAAACCGAGATGATTAGGAGGCAGGTAGAGAAGGAAAAGAACTTTGAAGGAAATGAGGAAGAAGAGGTGAAGAAGAGGGTCAGAAGGTATTCGAAGAGTATGTACGGAAAGAAAAGGGAAAAGAAGATTTGTACTAGAAGTTCGACAGTTTGTCAGAGGGAGATTCCATTCTATGTGGAAACAGTTAGAAAATTCAGGGACCAAAGATATGTGTATAAGAGGCTGCAAGCCCAGGCACAAAAGGCTGCTGAGGAAGCCACAACCGATGAGGAAAGAAAGTATGCGATGAAGTCTGTTGTTGTGTACTCCTCGCTCCAAGTGGCACACAAATGTGTTCTAAACTCGTTCTATGGATATGTGATGAGAAAAAGCTCACGGTGGTACAGCATGGAGATGGCGGCGATAGTTTGCAATGTAGGAGGGAACATTATTAAGAAGGCCCGAGAGATTGTGGAGAAGATAGGGATTTCCTTGGAACTGGATACCGACGGAATATGGTGCATAGTTCCATCTTCATTGGTATCTTCATATGTACTCCCGTCGGGGAAGAAGTTTTCTCTCTTGTCAGGCCTCCTCAACCACTTTGTATGTAAGAAATTTACAAACAACCAATACCAGGAGAAGATTGATGGGGAGTATGCCACAAGAAGTGAGAATTCGATATTCTTTGAGATTGATGGGCCGTACAGGGCAATGCTTCTTCCTACGTCGACCGAGGAAAGCAAATTGCTGAAGAAGAGATATGCAATAATCGATGACAACAACAAGATTGCCGAATTGAAAGGATTTGAGATGAAAAGGAGAGGAGAGCTCCAGATTACTAAGAAGTTCCAGGAGGAGCTTTTTCTACACTTCCTTGATGGGAGTAACTTAAACGAATGCTATGAGTCGCTGGCCGAGGTGTGCAGATACTGGCTAGACATACTAAAGAGCAAGGGAGAATATCTTGATGACGATACGATTCTTGAGTTACTGTCTGAGAGCAGAAGTATGTCTAAGGGATTTGGGGAATACAGAGGAAGAAAGTCGAACCTCACTGTTACGGCGGTTAGGATGTCTGAAGTCCTGGGAGAAGGAATTCTTGAAGAGAAATTGAAGTGCGAGTATATTGTTGCGGCATACCCAGAGAATAAATCGGTGGCAGAGAGGGCTATACCAGTGGTGGTTTTCCGGTCTGAGCAAAAGGAAGAGTTTCTCAGGAAATGGCTGGAAAGAGACTATTCTGGAGACATTAGAGCCGTTATTGACTGGGAATATTATAGAGTAAGATTGGAGTGTGTGATTCAGAGGATGGTTATACTGCCTGCTCTATCGCAAGGAATCAAGAATCCTTTGAGCGAGGTGGGGATTCCAGAATGGGCCAAGGCCAAGACCCAGCTTAGGGGTTTTGATCTAAGAAACGTAGATGACATTGAGGATGCCTTCTGCAAAGCAAGACTAAGCAAGGACACAGAAGCCGGGCGTGAAAAGTGCAAGGAAGATTTTGAAGAAGACAAAGAGAATTGCAAAGATGATGAAAAGAAAATGAGGGACCTGATGGAAACTGATGTTAGGGAGTATATTCTTAAGAACAGGATCGCGTGGATTGAAAGAATAAAAAGGATTATTGACGTAGGCGACATCATTAAGATGGTTTGTAGCAATGATGGATATATGGATGTATATCGCATGGGACGGAGTGATTCTGTGGAAAGAATTCCTTTAGAGAGGAGAATCTATATGCAAGTCAATGACTGGAGATACTTTGACAAGTCTGGAGATATCGAGAGAGTGGCCGTGTACTTTCCTGAGAATTCCGAGACAACTGAAGTGGGGACTATTAGTATAAAAGAACATGAGTTTGTGAAAGACTATTCATTGTACAGGAAGTTTCTCAGTCACTTTTCGATAAGAAGAGTTTTTGAAGACAAGATTCCGATTCTGTACAGTAATTTGAAAGAATGCGAAGGACATGATGTCGAGTTTGTAACAGTGGGCAGCTTTATTTTCCTTGGAAAACCTGTTTACACAGTGGGAGAAGAAGAATTCCTTGTATTTTCTGGGAAGGAAGGGCTCTATGACCTTGGAAGATATCTTCTTAGAAACTTCGGAAAGTGGAGGATTGGAGTTATCGGATCCAGCGACCCATGCAAGACCGAACTCCGGAAGATACTGTGCAAATATCACATTCTTGAAATACAAGTTAGGAGGAATCTGTCTTTGAAGGAATATTCTGTAATGTGCAATGAACAGAAAGAGTTCCACAAGCAGATGGCCAGGGAAGTGGAGCTGGTGTGCAAGCTGAGCAAGTATAGCCGAATTCCCATTTTCAATGTAAACGAAAATGTAATGGATGTTCTATTTTATAGGGAGTTAAAGAAAAACAGAGTTGTATGCGGAAGACAAGAATGTGAAATGAGCTACTCCCCGCGTCTGAGGGCAGAGAGTTTCCGGCCTGGCCTCTACAAGAAATACGTGGTTGAGATAGAGTGTATTGGAACATTGGTGCTTTCTATTATTGAATACGAGGCATTTCTGGGGAAAGACACCTTATTTAAAGGTGTGGAAAGGAAAGACTTCCATATCCTCAGAAGTCTTCTGAAGCGGATAGTCCTGGACTCGATCAAAGGAGAAGATGGAGCTAAGCTTTTACTAAGAAATATTGGAAGATGGATAAGGAGTGATTCGGCCATAATTTGCTCGGAGTTGAGGAGCATTTGCTGCATGCTGCAGAAAAGATACATGATGCATCTGGCCAAAAAGCTGAGAGATGAAAAGTACGATGTGATTTGTGTGGCGGGAGATGTGGTTTTGATCGACACAGGGAAGACAAGCGAGGAATCGGCATTGGACTTTTTTCAGTATATCTGCAAGAAGGGGCTGGAGCTCTGTGGATACGAGATGATGAAGATGAAGGCTATTAGAATATTCCAAAGCCTTGCATTTGTAGACCCAAGCACCTACTTCTTTCTTGACAGGGGAGAATACTTCTGTTTCAGTGAGAGTAAGGTTCCTACAGCATTTCTTCAGGCCTATTTTAATGAAGAGAAGGTGGATTCGGAGTTTGTGTACAGCCTTGTAACCAAAATTCCTCTTGAGAGCTCCAAGATGGTTTTGAAACTCCTCTCGTTCAGACAGGACTCGCAAGCCCTTCTGTCTAACTGTTATAAACTCTTACATTTGAGTGAGTTTGCAGAGAAGGAAAGAAAAGAGATATATCTTGACATTGTGTGTCCTTCGTGTGGAATGGAAAGTGCTTTGAGAGCCAGATGTATCAAGTGCTACAATGCATATCCAAAAAGCGCTGTGTTAGAAGTGTGTATGGCTTATGCCAAGCATCTTCTTTGGTTGGAACTTTCAAGGGATCTATCCTGCACCATCTGTGGGAAATCTAATGAAGCAAGGCTGTCTAGTTTTTGTAAATGCGGTGGTGCGTTCCAAAAGACAAGTTATGGAAATGAGTTGGAGAGCCTAAGGGAAATAGCTGGTAGCCCGATTTTTGACGGTTTCTACAGGAGAATCTCAAAGCATTTCCTGAAATGACTTCCTTTTGGGAGTTAAGAAATAGATCTATCAACCCATGCTTTTCGATGTGTTCGGAAATCAAAGTCCTTGAAAGGAACAATGAGACACAGATAGACACTCTTCTCTATGACCATACATTGGTACATATAACTTTCAACACAAAGGAACACCCGTTATCACCAAGAGACCTTTCGATTAACCATTTGGGAAGAAGTTCAAGCGGATCTGTTAAAGTGTTTGTTAACTCAAAGAAAGTCGACTTTTCGTATGAGCTTGTGTTCGGATATGCGTTAAGCTGCATTGGGATTGAAGAATATGATTGCAAGGTCTATTTATTTGACGATACTGATGACCTGTGTGTGTTAAAGAACCTAATGTTTGCAATAGACGAGAAGTTTAAGGCGGGCCTTCGTGTCTTTTCGGATCACAGCAAGACAACGGTGTCTTTAGGCGGAAAGATAATTTATGAAACAACTATAGTACTATAATAGTCGATGCATGATTCGAAACAGCATCCGTTAAATATACCTCCAGTTCTCAGTATTTTGACTTATCGATAATAAAGTCGTCAAAGGAATTATATATTTTAACCTTGTTGTCATGGAGGCCAAGTATCTTATCAAAGCCTCTGAGAAGGTCATGGTCATGCACAACCAGAAACACAGTCTTGTCTTCCATCTTTTTGAGTATTGTTTCTACAAGCTCCTTTTCCGAGTCTGCATCCAAATTCGATGTCGGCTCATCCAAAACCACTATGTCGGAATCCTTGACCATTGCTCTCATAAAGCTAACCCTCTGCTTCTGCCCTCCACTCAGGAACTTTCCATTTTCTCCCACAAGGGTTTGATATCCTCTAGGAAGCTTGCTGAATATCTCATGCACATTGAAATGCACACATTTCTTCATAACATGATCGTATTCAATGGAATTGTAAGAGTAGCCTATGTTTTCAAGAATGGTTCCATTGAACAAATGATGGTTTTGAGGAACAAACGATATGAGGCCCCTTACAGACGACTTCCTGATCCTTCTCAGCTCAATTCCATCAATGTAAACTTCTCCACTATAGTCGAGGAACCTGAGGAGAACGTTAACAAGAGATGACTTCCCGCATCCATTTTTTCCAATGATCCCTATCTTCTCGCCCTTTTTGATTTCTCCGCTGAAACCTTCTAATATGAGTCTGTTTCCTATGTGCACAGACATCCCGTTGAACCTTATGGTATCACCAAACCTCTCTATTGCAAGCCCAAGGTCTTCTTCCTCAAGTGCATCCTCAATCTTCGAGTCAAAAATATCTGTCAAATTCTCATTCATTACAAATGTGCTTTCCTTTAGCTTCATTATCCCACTCCGTAGCTCGGAAAAGAACTTGGAGTACTCGATGTATCTGTTCCCAATTCTCATACTCTTAAACATATATCCTCCAATGATCATCAACACCATAAATGCATTTGGGACAAAGAGTAAACTTTTCTGGAAAAACTCGACAAATCCATTGATCTGATCATATCTCCTCGAGTGTCTTCCGACATCCCGAAAAGTGTCGATGTATTTCTGCAGCTCGTTTTCTTCTTTATTGTACGATTTGATTATGTCATAGTTCTGCAGAATCCCGTACAGCCTGTTGGAGGCAAAGTTGTATGCTCCATTGTATTTCCTTCTGAAGTGGTTTCTAAGAATTGTTCCATACCATGACACAACAACATATACCAGTATCTGGATAACAGTTAGAATCACAACACCTGTAGAACAGCGGGAAAAGTACAAAAACCCCCACAGAACATAAGATGCATTGAAAAAGATATCGGCAAACAATATCCTCAAGAAACTAACCATTCCGTTGGATCTCCTCTCAACTAATGAGTGTATCTGTCCAGACCCAAGGTGATGGAACCGATGGTAGTTGGTCAAAAGATACTCTCTCAAGCAGTGATGGAACGACTTCCCTATAAGCAGCTGGATGACATAGGCCGAAACAAGCTTGTAGAGAAGACTCGACATGTAATGACTAATGGGAAGAAGCATAAACGTGATAAGAAGCCTGCTGGAATCTGTCTCATCAATTGTCTTTCTGGCAATATATTGCTCGATCTTTGTTAACGACTTTTGAAATTCAAAGTGAAACTTGCTCGAGAGCATTATAAAGAATACGGTTGTTAAAATTCCCAAGAGAACTGCCTTGTCCTTGACAAGAAAGTGTATTATTAGCGATATCATGTAGGAGTATCTTCCAGATACTTTTTTCTTCATTTTGGGATGGGTTTGAACTTCTTTTATATGCAATGCCGGGAAAAGATGGTTGAAAGACTTTGATGCTCTCGCCTCTGCCTAATACAGAAAGGAGATCAAGCCTGAGCCACATACAATGAGATGGACGCTGGATTTCATGAACTAGAAAAAATCACCCCAACATGGATAGAAGAGGATTAGAATCGTGTCTTTATGAGGTACTGAAATCCGATTCCACTTCAGGGAAGAGGGCCGAGGCTAAGATCCTAGAGCTACAGTCAAGCGATTTTGAAAGGTTTATATCGATACTTGTGGAGGTGTTCTGCGACCTGAAAAGCAATGACCAGCTTCGAATGGTTTCTGGGATCATCCTTAAGAATAGCCTTCATGCAAATGATCCGGATCTTCAGAAAGGTTGTTTGAGTAGGTGGCTGGGGATGAGGCCTGAATCCAGAGAATATATCAAGAACACGATTAAGAGAGCCCTCCGGGGGCCTACTCCAAGGTTTTGTACAATGGCAGGGGCGGCTCTTGGGCAAATATCCAGGATGGAGATTCCAAACAGTTTATACCAGGGGTTTTTTGAAGAGATGAAAAGGATGGTTTGCGACGAAGAGACGGCGTGTGGAGTGTGCGAAGCTGTAGGAACATGTTGTAGTTATCTGACAAAGGAAGCTCCGGACATCCTCCGAATGCATAATGCTACTGTGTTTGAAATATGCATACATCCTCTTAAGAGAGGAACTACGAGGGAAAGTAAGCTGTCAGGCTTAAAATGCCTAATGAATTGTATGGAAGTCGAAGGGATATTCTGCTATGAGGAGAATGTAAACATATTTCTTAATTCGACCATTGAAATATGGAACGGTGATGACGAAGAACTGATACACAAGTTAATGATCTGCTTTAACAGACTTGTGATGCTCAACTATAAGTTTATTCGGAAGAGCATATTAGAGAATATACTTGGCCAGTATCTGGGAAGATTCTTTAAATCGAAGCATGACGAAATTAAGATCCAAGCAATTGAGTACTGGTGTATTTTTGCAGAGAAAAGAGACGAAGAGATGGCCAACAAGTACATGTCTGTTGTTCTTCCCGAAATACTGAGTCTTCTTAAGAAAGGTCCCGACTATTATGAGGAAATATGGTCCCCGCATAAAGCTGCCTCCTCCTGCCTTGAGATTTACACAGAGTTGAAGGGAGACAAGATGATGAGAAACGGAATGATATGGGGATTTATAGAGACCTCTCTAAAATCGGAGTCAAAGGCTGATGTGGACATAGGTGCTGTTGCACTAGGAAGTGTAATGCATGAGAAATGTGAAGATTGCTTGGTAAAGATTGTCCCAGACCTTGTTGCCGGAATAGGATTTGAGGAGTCAAAGGACTCTTGTCTGTGGGCATTGTCCAGAACGGCAGAATGTAACTTTTATGCATTAGTAGATCATCTTCCTATCATTTTGAGCAGATGTGGATCGGTAGTTCTTGAGAGTTCCAAGTCTTCGATTGGAGCAGCATGGGCGATGGATTGTATATTCCGCTCTGTAGCAGACAGCAAGAGAAAAGAGGGCTTTGCCAGCCATATACCAAGCTCCACCAAGAAGAGGGCAGACGATTTTGTCGAAAGCTTCCTTGTAAAGCAGTATCTCGACATTCTCAATGTATTAGTTAAGGGAACTGAACTGGCGAACTTAAATGATTCAAGCCTAAGGGTTGCCTTATTTTCGGCTCTTGATGAATTGATCCTCATATGTCCTCAGACTGTCTTGGACATCCTTATTGGGTTTTATGACTATACATCTAAAAAGATCGATGAGTGCATCAGTGTGTTGGGATATGCCACACAGGATCAACTACTAGTAGTTGAGGATGTACTTTCGAACTACATAGGACTTATTGAGGCAATAGCCACAGCAAGAAAGAGAGAGGATGTAGAGGACCTTCTGGAGCTGTTCATAAGAATCCTGGAGTCAACACCGACAATAGCCTTTGGGGAAGTTTACACAAGCATTTCAAATCTCTCTACAAAATTTGCACCGCACACGTCTCGAATACTGCCTTACATGACAAGGGACATGAGGTGCACAGACCGATTTGTTTTAAATTCAGTGATAAACCTTGTTGGAAGGCTTGCAAATACAATGGGGACAGACTTTAATATCCTTGCAACGGTTCTTACATCATCTCTGGTTCAATGTCTCAGCTCGGAAGCCACTCATAGAGATCTTAAGCCTATAATACTGTCTGTATTTGGAGACATTGCTTTGGCGCTGGAAAGAAACTTCGAATCATACCTGGATATGGTTGTTATGCTATTCCAGCAGATATCAGAGCTTAACAGGCATGGGGACGAAGAATATGTGGACGACCTTCGGAAGAACGCAGTTCAGCTTGTGAACTGTTCTTTGGTAGCCATCGGGGACAGTTCCAAGGTTAGAAATCTCCTCCCCAGAATTATCAGCATAGCCCACAAAATGGGCATTGAGGATGGAAGTGGCAAGACACATGAAGACATCCTTGGCCTTATCGATGATCTTGTTGGAATGTATGGAAAGAACTTTGGGCTGGACGAGCCATGGATTAAGGAATTTCTGTACGGAATGATGAAGTCCAGTAACGACAGGAATAGAAAGAAGGCTAGCCATGTTCTGGAGGTGCTGAGATAATATATGATGAACCTGAATTAAAATGTTTCATTTAACTTCTAAGTTGCTTTAGGGCAGAAGCTTCGGTTCTGGGTCTTTCTATATCTTCCAAGTTCTTGTTTCGTGCTATTTAGGAAATCAGACAGTGTCGTCAATATCTCTCTCAAGCTTTTCGTTTCTTCCTCTCCAAACTTGCGCTTCACCATACTAGAATGGAGATGAAATTTTTTAAAGCTGCAGCTCATCTCCTCAAGTTTACTATATGCGAATCTGAAGAACTTTGCATATTCTTTCTTGGCATCTTCTTCCAGCAGGTTCAGAAGGCCTAACTTCTCTGTATATATCTCTATGAAATGGTTAATCTTTTCACGTATCTTTGGTAGCTCTTCGTTTTTCAGATCATGGAGAGGAGAAAGCTCTTCAAGCAGATGTTCTACTCTAACGCCATTGGCCTCCAGTACATGGAACAGAAACGGAAAGAGAGATGTGTTGTTCTTCCCTCTGTAATTGCTAAATACATATAAGCTGGAAAGCTTGAATCCGTTTGCCTTTTTCCTGCTAATAGAATATCTGAAATTCATTGTGTTTCCAATCTCAAGAATAGTCCGGAGGACGATCCTTAGGCTTTGGCTATCCAAGATCCTGTTGCATACCTCTAGTAGCCCGAGAAGAGTTTTTTCTATAAGAAATATTTCATCGAAAAACCTTCTTTCAAAAATCAATATCTCAACAAGCTTACGGACATCTAGAAGCTTCGAAAACTCCAGCATGGCTTTCTCAACCTTTCCAAGGGATTCGGGGGGTGTGGATATCAGATCCATCACCTCTTCCTGCCCAGGGTACATCTTTTCAATGTTCAGCAGGTCCTGAAGCCCAAGAGGATTGTCGGGTGTTTTGAGTATAGAATACACATTCTCCGGAGTTATGTTCCGAAGCTCAAGGTGCTTCAGTGAGAGGGATGCCAGAAATAGTCTACTTTCCTCTATTATGCTCCTTTTGGTTTCTTTGCTCGTTTTCTTCTGCTCCGAGAATGGCTCGCAGAATATCTCTTCAAACTTCTCGTAATCGATGTCAGTACTGATCCCAGAAGTCTCACTGAATATTGTTTCCTCAGCCCTTGACAATGGAATCCAATGAAAGGGCTTCTTTATGACAACGTTTGGTTGTGCATCGCATTTTTCAGCCTGTCTCTTCTTTACAACAATCTTCTTTGGCTTTACCTTATATCTGTTCTCCACTCTAGAAAATGACCCTATAAGCTCTAATGGTTTTGGGTTCCCATTCTCCATGGTGTACAGAGCCTTCCGGTCGATGCCTACTCCTCCACAGACGCCTTCACCGGAAATCTCTTCCACCTCTGCATCCCTGTGCTTCCCCCAGCACTTCTCCTTGTTCTCAAAAACTATGTCTGCATGCTTGAGAGTCTTGGCTTCAAGGATACTAGCTCTGAAGCCTTTTGCTTCTAGAGTTCTGACGAGCTCCGAGGTCTTCTCTGAAAAATATCTCATAAATGCACAGAACTTTGCTACTATTTCATTCTGGCCTTCGGAGACAAGTCTTTCGTAAATCTCCCGGTCAGGTTCTCCCCAGAAACCCTCGTTTAGTAAACGGAGTCCCTGAATAAGATCAACCTTATGGATACACTGTGGCTTCTGCACAGCCTTCCCTGACTCAATCATCACAAGATCAATTGTAAATTCCTTATCAAACCTATTCTCTGGCAAAAAGCACTCCACATCGTCAAGAGCAAACCTGTACAAGCCCTGGCGATAGAAAAGAGTGTTGATTCTCAGAAGAACCATTCTTTTTTCTTCCTCTTCAAGGTAGTAGTACAGAAAAACCTGTATGTCTTCGGATATGTCGCAGTCCACCCCACTAAACACTGCATAATCCTTGTCTCGATAGACCCTATCATCATCTCCCTCCTTGATTGCACACAATTCTTCCCCTTTTTTCATTATCTTCATTCCAATTAGGAAACTCTTAGTAGACGCTGAGGGAATGGTGGTTACTATCAGCTGCCTCAAGATAACAGTGTGAGCCAATTCTCCCTTTAGAGTGCTTGCCGAGTCAAAATACTTGATGTATCTTTTAACCGTATTGATGTTGGATAGAGATGATGCAAAAGCACCTTCAAGACATTTCTCCCAGATCAGCTCCGTTCGGTCTGCAAGCTCACAATACCTTAAAACACATCCTACCAGAAACCTTAGTTTGTCTTCATCTCCATTTTGAGTCTCAAATGCAGCTATGTTGTTTGGATTAAATTCCAACCAGCATCTTACAGCACACGATATTCTGTAGGCAAGTCCAAGATCGAAGTCAAGAGACGGTATCTTCTGGACATTAGGGTATTTCTTGAGGCTTTCTCCAAGACTCCAAACCATGAATCTGTCTTTGTAATTGGTGTTAAGAAATTCAATAAGCTCTCCGGTGTTGTTTCTTCGTGTTATGCTCTCTGTGGAGTTATCCCAGCACTGTCCAAACACCAGCACACGATGGCTGATCCTCCAGACGTTAAGGTTGGCTCCTTGTCTCCGATCCCCTCTCTCTTTCTTGATATATACTTCCTTGCTCCCATTGGACAAACTTGTAGAACCCACGCATCTGAAATCTCCCCCTTCGCTATTCTTCACAAGAGCCTGAATCTTCTCAAGAATCCTAGAGTTGATCCTTGCTCCGTTCATAAGAGTCTCTCCTTCCATTCCTGGCAGACTTGAGCTTGATGTTATAAAAAACATGAAACAGGTCTAACGGATAGGTTCTCTTCCGTTTCATGGCAAAACAAGACTGGAAAAGACAGGATAGCTTCCAAAAACCTCTTTATTTTGAAAAAAGTCTTACAATCCATCCTATTAACAGCCCCAAATTAAGAGTAAACATTATATGGAAGAAAGGGCCCCATGGAGAAGAGAGCTCTATCTCCATGTCTCTATACTCCTCATTCGGGTCGCTCAACAAGTTTGCAATCATGCTGAATTCCTCTATTCTCGTCACACACTTCTCTCCATTCTTTTCCTTGAATCTGGATATCATTTTCTCCTTCTTCTCAAACTGCTTTAGCAAAAAACTATCCTCGTCCATACTGTTGTTATTGGGAATATAGTCCAAAAAGAACATAAAATTCACCTTTTGTGACTTGTTCACTATCACATCCCAGTAAGAAAAGGTGTCGTTGGGATACTTCACATAAGGGTTTCCCATCATTGTGATGTCTATAATCCCCTCCATGTCATCCCGTATGTTCTCTCTCAATATCTTGAACCCTGTAGTCCTGGGGATCAAAACCTCCTCAGGATCAAAGCTCCTTCCATCAATCTCTACATCTGCCTCAGACGACCACTTATGAGATTTAGGATGGGACAACTTGTCTATGTAGGTCCCCTCTGGGAAAATAAGAAGATCATACTTCCCTTCGCTCCTAAGCCTCGAAGTTCCAGATATGATTAGCTCCTTGTCCTTGCTTATCTTTCTGTTCAAAAAGATAAATTGAAAAAACTTCATTCCACGTCCTAGTAGTGGAATGTCCTTCAAGGACATCTTAAGAACAATGCATATATCCTTGAACCTTCCAAAACAATGCAGCACACAGCAAACAAATAGCCAGTCATATTCCGTCAAGTGATTTGAAATAATAACATTTCTGCTTCTCTTGAGAATGGCTGGATTGTACCTGATAAACACTTTTTTGGGGAAGTATCCTGAAAATACTGCCCGTGTAAGATGAAGCCACGTAATCTTTGCCGATCTTCTAAGAGCACGTTTGGCAACCTTCCCATAGCACACAAGCCATACCACAGATACAAAGGCAAGCCCGACAATTATATATGAAAAATATACTATCATTGCTACCAGAAAGAATATGGCATTCCAAGCCCTTTTCATCACTCTAATCGTGCAATTTACTCTAAATATTTTTTTCTAAACATGTTTGAATCATGACGCCTCAATCCAGCTTTCAAAAGATCTCAAAAAGGGGTCTGATGGATACTCCCAAACATACCATCTTCGTGAATCTCTCTTAGGAATTTCATGATCTTGAGGAGGGAATCGTCATCCTTTTCTCCTGTATATGGAGGAATATGAATCCCATTGTGGGGCTGGAACTCATATGAATGGGGGCTGTCGTCAACCAGAATCACCTCATTCAAGGGCTTTCCAAGCTTACACAGATCCTTAACATATTTTCCGTTAACAAGTGTACATGAGTCTCTGTATAGAGAATAGGCTATTCTCTTATTCGCATCGATAATGCCGATGACTTTCTCGGCATATTCCTTCTTCGCTGCTGTGAAGATAATCACCTCGTATATAGCCCCAACAATGCTTATAAACTCGACAGCATGGGGCCTGACCTTCACATAGATCTGTAGATTCTTTTTCCCAGGGACTTCCAGACAAAAGTCATAAAGTCTGGGCTTCTTAAAAGTTGAGTACACCAGAGTATTGTCGAGATCTAGAACCACTGTTCTCCCCAAGTCGTTTTTCTGAGGGGAAACAAGTTGCATAAACTTCTTTTCTTTGGATTCTCGTCTTGCTTTCTCACTGCCTACCATGGACATCTCTTTCCTGTTGCAACGACAAAAATTTCTTAGAGTCCTAAGAAGCCAGGACATTGATGTGGCGAGGGGTATAAGTCGCTTTCCAATTCCTCCCCGATGACTGAAAACCCTCTCGATGTAAAGTACCAGTCCATGCTTGAAAATATCCGGGACTCGCTCCTTCCTTCAAGAGAAGATGTTCTAGTATTGGTGGAAGAAGTTCGCAAGATATTGGAGTCTGAGCCAAACGTCCTGTATATAGACACACCAGTCAATGTTGTTGGAGATGTCCATGGCCAGTTTTACGATGTACTAAATATGATGAGCCTAATGGAAGATCCATCCGAAAAACCATATCTGTTCCTTGGAGACTATGTTGATAGAGGATACAATTCCGTAGATCTTATCCTTCTCTTGTTTGTATACAAAAGGCTTTATAGAAATACCTTACATCTTTTGAGGGGGAACCATGAAACACGGATGCTTTCCTCGGTTTACGGATTCAAGGAAGAATGTGTGCGCAGATACGATCTTGTGGTGTACTGGAGAATCTGTGAAGCCTTCCAATACCTTCCCATTGCTGCAGTGGTCTTGGGAAAATACTTCTGTGTTCATGGCGGGCTGGTTCCTGGAATGTCTCTGGACTTTCTAATGAAACATGACAGGATAGGGGAGATTACAGAGATAAACGATATTCTCTGGAGCGATCCAGATGAAACCCTTGGGTTTCGGAAAAGCCAAAGAGGGGCAGGATATTTATTTGGAGAGGATGTTCTAAGAAACTTCCTTGATGAACATGGTCTGTTCCATTTTGTTCGGTCTCACCAACTGGTTAATGATGGTTATAAAGTATATTTTGATGGGAAGTTGTACACTGTGTGGGGAGCCCCGAACTACTGTTATTCTTCTGGTAACATTGCCTGCGTTATGGCTATTGATGAGAACGGCCATGATTTTAGATTATTTGATAGATGCGAAGAACAATTTAAAGAAATCCCGGTGAGATGTGATTTTTTTGGAAGTTAAAAAGGTGTTACTTGGGCATATCCAGTAGCTCACCATGTCTAGGCAGGCATTCCTTCATAAGGTCAAGCAAAGTCTCGTTCTCCATTGCAGCAAGGACTCTATCTTTGTCATCTAACTGCTTGTTAAGTGCCTTGAAGTTTATATGTCCGTCGTTTACTATGTGGACTTGAATAAAATGATTTTCTATGTATTGGTTTATCTGTGCCTTTATGCACAGCCCTATTATTGCTGCCATAGAGCAGTGCGGTATGGTTGGCTTGAACATTACTTTTATATACTTAATTGGGAGTCCGGCACTAGGTGCAATTCCATCGGAATCAATGAGTCCAATGGTTATTCCCTCTCTTGACACCACTCCAAGCTGTTCCAAGGTATAAGAATGTTCGGGATCTCTTATGTCCCTGATAAGCTCGAACACACTGTATTGTGTAATCTCTTGGAGTATTCCATCGGATATATCAATGGGATACCTTCTCTCGAGTGAGCTTGAAACAAACGGAGACTTGTTCATGGCAGGGGTTTCTAATCGCTCAAAATGCGTTAGAAAAAAACTTCAAAAGAAACTTTAATAAACCAATGCTTCTCCCTTTGTTTTCTTCTCTCCGCCAAATATCACGTGCTTGGCCCTCTTCAGAGGCTTTTGGTGGGAAAACTTGCACTTGGTACACTCCAACTTCAAAACAAGCTTCTTGGTGACTTTGGCCTTTCTTCGGAGAATCGGCTTTGTCTGACCACCATAACCCCGTTGCTTCCTAGCATATCTCCTATTTCCCTGGGCTCTAGGATTGTCTTTGGACTTCTTGGCCTGAGAAACCTTGTGTGGAGAGTAGCCGCTACACTTCTTACAAAATGTATTTCTTGTCTTCGGAATATTCACCATCTTTCCAAGGGCAGGCTCAACGAAAGCAATTTTTTCATAGAGTGCAAGTCTTAGAAACGAGGTATAAGAGAATTATTTCAAAGCCAACTAAGCATGCTTCGGACATGCGGCAAAGTATAGAAATATAAGCATCCGGCCGTGCCCATAAAATGTCCACCCCGGCAAAGCGGAGACTGATGAAAGACTTAAAAAGAGTAAAGAAAAACTCATGTAAAACAATATTTGCAGAGCCATTGGAAGATGATCTGATGACATGGGCTGCTGTGATCTTTGGGCCCGAGTCGACTCCCTTTGAAGGGGGAACATTCAGTCTGGTCCTAGCATTTCCAGAAACGTATCCCCAGGATCCTCCAAACGTGAGATTTGTCTCAGATATGTTCCACCCAAACATTTATCCCAATGGAGAACTCTGTTTGGACATCCTTAGTAACCGCTGGAGCCCAAGCTATGATGTGATGGGGATCCTTATATCAATCCAGTCTCTCCTGAATGATCCAAACACTGCATCTCCTGCCAACACAGAGGCTGCAAACCTCTTCTCGATAGACCCACACTTGTATGCTGAAAAAGTGAGGAATTCCGTTATAAAAAGCTGGATGGATGTAGAAAACCTTAGAGATAAATACGGAAGTCCTCAGTAAGCTTCCATTTAACAAATTTACTATTAAATTAAAGATACTCAGATGATATCTCTGATATGCCACTGTCTATGCTTTGATGGGATCTGTGTCCTTGGTCTCCTTACAATACTTGGCCAGTGCAGAGATAAGATGGTTGATATGCTTCTGGATGTCGGAGTTTGTTCTCGACAGAAGGTAATAATCAAATTTGTACTCCGGTAACTTCAAGATGTCCTTTCGTATACATTCCACCCAGTTAGGATGATCAATGTATTTTCTGTAAAGATCTATCAAGAGAGGGTTGTAATCCCCAAGTCTTGATCGAGTCTTCCCCAATTTCGCACTAATGCTATCGAAATCCCCTTCTATCATCTCCCTGATCTTAGATCTCCTTTCCATTTTCTTCTGGCTTTTCTCAATGGAACTTATTATCTTCTCAGCATCTCGTAGCTCATTCACCCTCTCCCAAAAAACCTTATGATATGCCTCCACATCATTCTTATGCTTCATAAGCATGGCAATCTTAGAAACATCATCCTTTCCAACCTTCTCCATAGCCTTTACATACGATTGGAAGTCCTTCTTTGTCCAATCAAACCCCTGGGATTGAAGCTCCTTCTTCCTGGCTACCTCATCTGGAGAAAGGCTTTTTCCCTCCTCGTAGAGCTTAATCTCCTTTTCCTGGATCTCCATAAGCTCCCGAGGATAAAATTGATATTCGGGATATTCAATAATCCGGGGCCTCGTGCGGAAGAGAACGCTTGTTCGTGAAGATCTCCCATAAGCATCCTGATTGCTCTCAATAAAATTCTCGATCTTCTTGATGTTGTAGTCCTCTCCCTCCCAGGTGTAACAATCAATGTTTGTGTTCAACGTATCGCTTATCTTGAAATCACATAGCTTCATATTCATTTCCCGTGTCTTTTCCTCTCCTCTTCTAATCAAGTCTTCGATATTCTCGTCCTTCTCCTCATCTTCTGTAATTTCCATTCCATTTGCTAGTATGTCGATCAGCTCCGATTGACTAACCCCAGAGCTTTTGTAGCATCGTCCTTGAAGCAGAATATCATCCAGCTTGAGCTTCTGCAATGACCTATAGACAATTCTTTCCTCCACAGTGTTTTCACTTATCAGTCGGAAGACCACAACCTGCTTTTTCTGCCCTATTCTATGGGCCCTGTCCTGTGCTTGGAGGTCCATCTGTGGATTCCAGTCCGAGTCAAACAGAATCACCGTGTCTGCCGTCGACAGATTGATTCCAAGTCCTCCTGCTCTTGTAGTCAAGAGAAATATAAACTTCTCGCTTCCCTCTGCATTGAATGCATCTATCGCTTCTGTCCTGTCTTTGTACGACGTAGACCCGTCAATTCGACAGTATTCATACTCCTTGAACATGGCATAGTCCTCAAGTATGTCCAGCATCATCGACATCTGGCTAAAAATAAGAACCCGTGACCCTCTAGCCCGGAGGCTCTCCAGCAGCTTGTCAAGCACTATCATTTTTCCAGAATTCTCGATTATATGCTTGTCATTCGTATAGGGTTCTGGCTCTGCATCTGGAAACAGGTACGGGTGGTTGCAGCACTTCCGGAGCTGCATTACAACATTCATAAGCATCCCCTTCGGGTCTCTCGTGCTTCCAAGCGGCGACAAATCCCTCTTCAAAAGCATCTTATACCATTCCCGCTGCATAGGACTTAGCTTCGAATACAAGTTTATAATCTTCTTTGGAATTAATCCTTTTTCAACATCAATTTTCTCTCTTCTTAGGAAAAACAGCTGCAGAACATTTCTGATCCTTTTAATGGCTTCCCCATCCTCTTCTTCTATGCTCATCACATAGTTTTCAAATTTCTCGGCATCGTTGAAGATTTCCGGAACTATAAAGTTTAGCAGTGCCCATAGCTCGTGCACATTATTCTGGAGAGGTGTTCCGGTAATAAGAAGACGATGGTCACAAGAGAAAATCCGTACTATCTTACTAAGAAGACTATGCTCGTTCTTTATCCTGTGTGCTTCATCGATAATTATATATGACCAGTTGACCTTGCTCAGAATGTTCTTTGCATTTATACACATCTCATACGTAGTCAAGCAAGCATCCCATTTCGAGGACATAATCTCTTCTGCCTCTCTCTTCATCTCTTTCCGAGAGGAGTAGAATATTCGGGCTTTGTAATTTGGCATGAACTTCCGGAACTCCCTCTTCCAGTTTGCAAGTGTAGACTTTGGAAGCACAATTAAATGTCTCTTCCGTTCTTTCTTTACATATCGGATGTATCCTAGAAACGCTATTGTTTGAAGTGTCTTTCCCAAGCCCATCTCATCAGCTAGTATACAATTTATGGAATTTTCATGCATATTGATCAACCAATTCAATCCTTCAATCTGATAATCTTTAAGTTCATGAATAATAAATTTAGGGCTACTAATAAATGTATACGGCTCAATAGGCTCGTCATCTCCCTTCATCACATCTTCATAGTTGGGTATAAACGCCCGGAAAAACTCATTGTCCCCGATAAAACTTTTATACTTCCTTAAGAGTTTTACATTCATCTAAGGGTCTTTCTTTCTCATTTTTTTTGCTAAACTTCCATATAAGGAAATACTTCTCTTACTCAAATTGCATATTAAGGTATTTGATGATATCTTCGGATTTTGTCTTTCCCAGGCCCGGAATCTTTTCCATCTCCTCAGAAGACTTCCCGAAGAATCTCAGAAGCGTTCCATTGTATTTAAGTATCTGCTGGGCATTGCTCTTGTTCACTTTTGGAAAGGCTGTCAGAAATCCCTCTTCATCATGGCTTCCCCTTCTTATTGCTTCAATCGACCTCTTTCCTGCTTCATCAAATCCCCGGATATATCGAGAGCATTCGTCTATGCTGAACCCCAATACCATGGTTAGTGAGGTTGTATCGAAGAGCTCTTGAATAGTTTTGCTATAGTTGGGAATATCTACATGCACTAATAATACCTTCACCTTATATGGCTTAAGCTTATTGATCCTCTTATGGATGTATTCGGGTTTGCAGCTATGAAACCGAAGAGATAGGAACAGTAAAGCGGTAGATCTGTTTATCTCGTAATCGGGCGTTATAGAATTGTCGTAGTGCCAGGATGCATTTGAAAGATAGTTCAGAACATTGTTTCCTTTCTGTAATGGAGAAACTTTTATCATCGATGGGATAAACTCTGTTCTTTCTATTATGAAAAAAGCTGTTGACATCAGGAGTTTAATGTTATGAATTTTTTTCAAGTAATTCTTCCATGTTTATGTATCTATTCTGGGACACCATTGTCTTTATCTTAGAAACAAGACTGGCTATCTCTATGAAAGCCATGGGATCTTCTCGGGTTTTTCCAACCCATATGTATCCGTTACATCCCACAATAACCTTGATGTTACCATGAAGGAGGAACCTCGTTCTGAGGGGCTCAAGTAGAAAGTGGGGCGCAAACACCAAGAGACCTTGGCCCAACTTCCCATACATGTCATTTCTTGTATGTAATGCAATCGTACCGTTTCGGTTGACTTTCTGAACTTCCGATACAACTAGATCGTTGATGTCGAAAAAGTCCCTCATGGACATCTCATCCGATTCTTGTTTCCGCCGTTGAACTGTCCCCGGAAGGTTGATGGCTGACAGCCCTAGATAAGCATCTCCTCTACTGCTCAACTCAACCTTCCACTTCTTGTTGTGGATCCCAATAACCCTCCCCACAACAACATTGCCAACCTCTGGATTGTACTTCATGGAAGAAATAGGATCGATGGAGACGAGCTTGTTTGTGATCTTCACCCTTCCAAAGTAGGTTGATGCTATATTGCTTCCTCTAAGCTGTGTTCCATGCCCTCTTATATACCCATCGGACTCTAGAACGTCTTCCCCGGGAAGAAACAAAGTCTTCATTAGGGTACCGTTTCTGCGGCAAAAAACCATTTAGATCGTCGGAAATACCGTATTTAGTCAGGCCCCAGGATGAATGTTGTTCCTCTTGGGGCTGGGCAAGACGTTGGCCGATCTTGCATCCTTGTCACTATCAACGGCAGGACAGTAATGTTCGACTGTGGAATGCACATGGGGTTTAACGACGAACGTAGATTTCCGGACTTTTCATATATTTCGAAGACAAAGAACTTCGACAAAGTAATAGACTGCATAATAATCTCCCACTTCCATCTAGATCACTGTGGAGCTCTCCCATACTTCACAGAGGTCTGTGGCTATAGCGGGCCGATTTACATGACCCTACCGACAAAGGAAGTATGTCCTGTTCTCCTGGACGACTTCCGAAAAATAGTTGGCGGAAAGGGAGATAGCATCTTCTCATACCAAGATATAAGCAACTGTATGAAGAAAGTGGTTACCATCAGCATGAACGAGACATACAAGCATGACGAGAACTTCTACATCACTCCATACTATGCAGGACATGTTCTAGGGGCTGCAATGTTCCATGTTTCTGTTGGAGACCAGTCTGTGGTGTACACAGGTGATTATAGTACAACACCCGACAAGCATCTAGGGCCTGCTTCAATCAAGTGCATAAGACCAGACCTCCTGATCACCGAATCTACATATGGATCAATAACTAGAGACTGCAGAAGAGTAAAGGAAAGAGAATTTCTGAAGGCTGTTTCCGACTGCATAGCAAGAGGAGGTCGTGTCCTAATTCCTATATTTGCACTAGGAAGGGCTCAAGAGCTTTGCCTGCTTCTGGACGGATACTGGGAAAGGACAGGGCTTGAGATTCCGGTGTATTTCTCCAGTGGCTTGACTGAAAAAGCAAACGAGATATACAAGAAATTCATCGGTTACACAAATGAAACTGTTAAGAGGAAAATCTTCGAAAGAAATGTATTTGAGTACAAGCACATAAAACCCTTCCAAAGGTACTACATGGATAACAAAGGCCCTATGGTCTTGTTTGCATCTCCTGGAATGCTTCATTCTGGAATGTCTCTCAGGATATTTAAAGAGTGGTGTGAGGACGAAAAGAATCTTGTGATAATACCTGGGTACTGTGTTAGAGGAACGATTGGAGAAAAGATTCTGAACGGGGCAAAGAGGTTGGAGATTCTTGGAGAGGAGAAGGATATAAAACTGGAAATCAAGAATTTAGGATTCAGTGCCCATGCAGATGCACAAGGGATTCTAAGTGTGATAGAGCAATGCGCCCCAAGGAATGTGATGCTTGTTCATGGAGAAAGGTCTCGGATGAAGCAACTCAAGAAAAGCGTTGAGGAGAGGTTTGGGATCCCGACATTTCTCCCACCAAACGGAACACTTATAAACATTCCATCGAAAAACATCGTCAACCTGAAAATAAGGAAAGGGCATCTCTCCAGTCATTTCAAGCCAAATTTATCGAAGGGGAAGATTTCTTTAAGAATGAGTCTCTCCTCAAAAAAAGAAGAAAACCATATTGATGTTGTAGATTGCGAAGATTACATAGAGGATGATGGCTAGGCAACTGGTATTTAGGAGTTTTAGTGGTTTGCCAGTTGTTGGGGCTCGGGAGGGATCTAAAACACTTGGTTTGAAAGTGGTTTGAAACAGAAAGTCATATAAGTTGTGAAGACGGTGGATACTAATGGAAAAAGAAGATTTTAGATGGTTTGAAGGAGATGGAGAAACAGAGGCAGAAGAATTTGTCCCCGCTCCAAATAGGGTTTCCTCTGTAAGTTATGTGATAGATGCAATAGGAGGGATATTCTATTCTATTTTTGTTCTCTCCTTGGTTGCAAGGGTTACTACATATGTCTTTGGCCTCAAACTGCTTGTGTTTTCTGTTGACCTCAATGTTGTGTTCCTGAGCATAACTGTCGTATCTTTACTGTTCATAGTTCTTGCAATAGCACGGGAGACAATGACTTTCATGGCCTTGACTCTCGGAATGGTTGAGAACTCGGATGCCTGTGCAAAGCTGCAAAGGCTTGTGATGGTTTCGGTCTGGTTTGGATTGAGTGCATACTGGATTAAGTATGTAGGAACGGCCTACGGACACAATTTTTATATCATAAAGAAAGTGTTTATGTCCGGGATGATAACGTCTGCAGCATACTCTATTGTAACAATTGCAATGGCGTACTTCGAGAGTTTTTTCCTAAAGAAGACTCTCAAAAGGAAGTTAGATGATGTTCAAAAGACTGAAAGAATAGTATATGCAATGAAAAACTACAGGTATGATATTTCCGAATCAGGAGGAGGGCCGACCCCAGAGTGTACGTGCAGGGATCTCTTTTGTTTTAGAACTGCAGCCACGGTTGGAAGTAGGGAAACAGGACGAAACGGCGGAGAAGAAGGATTCCATATGTTTACCGGGGGGCTTCTGATTAATGCGCCTGAAATCCGTGGAATCATGGATGCCAAGACCCTTGCAAGGGATGTTTTCTTCAAGGCTAGTGGAGGAAAGGATGTTCTTTCATATGAAGACTTCAGTGCAATATTCCCAGGGGCACAGGATGCCCAAAATGCATTCTCTTTCTTTGATTCGAACCATAGCAAGGTGATTTCAAAGAAAGAGTTCCATGACACAACTATATACTTCTACATGGAAAGAGTGAATCTCGAGAAGGCCATAATGAGAGCAGAAGATTTCATTGGAATAATTCTAGGTACTCTTAATGTGATTACGGGAGTAGTTCTCTGCTTTGTCTATCTTATGATCTTTGGGGTTCCGCTTCAAGAGCTATTTGCACTGATACTTAGTGGATCTCTTGCCTTTAGCTTTATTGCAAGTGGAATAGCCACTGATATGTATCACAATTTCATGATGCTTGCCAGCCATCCGTTTGATATAGGCGATGACGTTATAATTGATGGAGCCGACTATAGAATCTATGAGTTTGGACTTACAAGCACGTCCCTTATTGGAGAGAACGGAGGGAAAGTTAAGCTTCTGAACAGCGATCTCCGGAAAAAGAACCTTGTCAACATGACAAGAGCACCTGAAAAGATTATTGTATTCAACTTTGATCTGAATCCAGACATAAGGCCTGAGGAGTTTAAAAGGTTCAAGAGCATAATACATGAGTTTATAAAACAAAAGCCGTTTGACTATGACAACGAATTTTCCCTCCAAGCTTCCACAGAAAACTTTGTAAGCATTGATGTTCTAAGCTGTACAATGATCCTGAAGTGCAAGAGCTATAAGAATAAGTCAAAAAAGTTTCTTCTCCGAGTTGAGATGACTTCGTTTCTAAGGTCGCTAATAGCAGAGATGGGTATTGGAGTGAAATAAGTTCGGAATGCGAGGTGGTAATAAATTATCATGGTATTTATTTTAAGAGCCTTGTTTTGAGAATATGCTTGTCACTGTTTTTTCATGGAATGTAAACAACAGAGAAGGTGTTGCAGATGCTATTCCCGAAATTCTTGGGGATCAGAAGTCTGACATGATACTTATATCCCTACAAGAACACTTCGACTCCCAGAGTACTGTGGCGAAGTCTATTCAGAAGATGTATCCATCCTACAGAATGATCTCGGTTGACAGGATGTTTGGGCTGTTGTCAATAGTATTATCTAAGGAGAGACACACAGTGGAGAGAATAAAGATGGGGTTTGGGATTCTAGGTTTCATTAACAAGGGAGTATGTGTGACTAAAATATCGAATGGGATAATGTTCATAAGCTGTCATCTATCTGCGCATCAGGAGAACAACAAAAAGAGATTGAAAGAAATTAGAAGAATATTTGAGTGTGTTTGTGACTCGGAGTCGGTGAGAAATGTCAAAACTGTTATTTTGGCTGGGGACATGAACTTCAGGATTGCAGGAGGTTCAAGAAGTCTCGACTACCTCAAGTCTGGAAAAGACGATCAATGCAACGAGTTTAAGAGAGCCTATCCGATGTTCCTAGAGGGAATGATAGATTTCAAGCCAACTTACAAATATATTGCAGGAACCGACGAACTGTGTAAAAAGAGACATCCATCGTGGTGTGATAGAGTATTTGTCTCGTCCTCATATGTAAAGTTTAATACATACGACTCTGCTTATGAAGTGAAGATAAGTGATCACAAGCCTATTCTCTGTGCACTGGAAGTGAGTGATAAGAAGACAAGCCGTGCTGCCATTCCAATGATCGGATATAGTGGGCACCATGTCATACGTGGGCTTACAAGATTTTATTGCATTGTGCACGAGTATCGCAATGCAGTTTCTGCACTTCTCTTGATAATAATGCTGTATTTGATGCTTTCCAGATTTAAAACCATTTCGAGGCTCAGAAATCCATTCCGGGTCTTTTATCCGGAGGCAGATTGTTGATAAAGGTGTTCTTGTATTTTCGATTCTTCAAAAGCCCCCAATGGAGGAAAGATTTGAGTGGAGATGGATGGGATCCCCTCTTGAGGAAAAGCTGCATGAATATATCCGGAGCATGGTTGAAGAGGAAGACCTTGACTGTCTTGCTAAGAAGATCACTGCCTACTTTGACATATGGCCATTCAAAGAATTTTCCCTTAGATGCTGGAGAATACTCAGCGACAAACTCATTGATATCATTTCCTCACTGGAGAAGAAATACTTTTCCGAGGGAATACAAATGTTCAAAATGTCTGAGGAAGATAAAAGCCTTCTTATTGGAATTTTCAAGCTCTTTCAAAGGATATTTGGGTATTCAAGACAAAGACATCCTCTCGATGTTTCTACACAAGTTATGAAGTTCATATATGCAATGGATCTAGATGTTGTGATTGAAGCACATAAGATGCTTGTGTTCTGCCTTAATTATTCGATTGGGCTGGATGAGTTTTCTGATGACCATGACATTCTGTTCAAATGCCTAGGAATCAACTCGGAGTTAAATGGAGAGAAGATCCTTAGTCTCTCGGAGAAGGCCTTTGTGAGTATACCCAAGGATCTAGAAGGAGAAGATGTGTTTTGGACTCTTAAGAAGAATGTAGATGAGTATGGAAGAGGGAATCTTGTGTTTGAACTTCGGCAAAGAATAAATAATGAAAACAGAGATGGCCTGAATGTGTTGAAGGTCCTTGGAACATGTATATTTCTGATCCTTGCAAAGGGAGAAGGAGCTTTTGATGAAATTGTGGAAAAAATAGACTTTGGAGAAATTTGGAGATTTGCAGGCGAGGAATTATCCGAAAACATGGAATTTGCCATCATGAACCTTCTGGACATATTGATCTATGACGAATTTGACTTTGGAAGGATCTCACGAATCCTTGAACTAAGCAACACCAAAGGATTTTTCTACAAAAGATTTGTAAATGGATTTGATGAGTGGACGTTTGAAAGACACATGGTGTTTCTTATTTACAACACACTCGTGGGAAGCCAAAAAACGAAGTACCTCAAGATGAATGTCCTTATGGAAGTACTTCCGAAATTTCATGAATGCTCGCCAGATGTTCGATATCACTTTCTTCGTACAGTTAGAATGCATTGTAAGGAAACCAATTCCCGTGGAACTGCCGAGTTTATTTCCAGAAACGGCGTAGGGATTTTAACAGAATACCTTAGACATGCAGAAAAATACGATGTAAATGAAAATGTAAATCTCAAATATTCGTTGAAGATACTAAGTGAGATCTACATGGACGAAAGGAACAGAGGAGTGGTGGGGAATTTCGAAGACAGTCCTTTTCTTGATGTAATTGTTGCAACTATCCAAAAGCTTTGCCTTTTTGATTCCCGTATTGTATCTGTTTGTATAGGAATACTATCTTCCTTCATGTTTGAAGAGCCGCTGAATCTGCCCATATTCATGGAAAGAGGAGTGAATGTAGTTCTGAAGACACAACTATCTGTTGAGCATACTCTGGAATATGTTTCTGCATTTGTTTCTTATATTGATGCATTTTCCTTGAACCTCTCCTTTCAGAAGGAGATATCTCATGGGGAATATCTCTTTAAGCTTCTAGTACTATGCAGAGAGGAAGAGTTCCTTGGTTCAATGAGCAATACAAACAAGATGGTATCCCTTCTGAATGTCCTCATAATGCATCATCCGATATTCAAGGAGGACATCTTAAAGTTCTACAGGTTTGAGATTGGGTATCTGAAAAATCTTTTTTCGGAGGAGTCAAGCAGTCTTCTTGTAGAAAAGGAGTACTGCATCGAAATCTTCAACAACTTTTTCAGTCTTGTGGAAAAAATGGAGGTTTATCCCGAAGAGAAAGACGCCGACGGATTCTTTAACAATGTATTTGATCTGGTTACCAATCCGGCGTATTCTTGCAACATGCAAAACTTCTTCAAGGGATCTTTTGGAGAGGTCTACCGAACGATCTATAGAGAATCCCGCACATCTCTTGATAAGCCGTTTGAGCAGTTGATATCCGACACAATGAAGATCATAGAGCTTAGTAGAATGAGCGAAGAACAGGATACAAGAGATTGGAAAAAAGCCATGAAAATGGAGCAGTGGTGCGGGGCAGAGGCTGATGAACTGATATTTTCTTATGAAAGTCAGATTTCCTTGGCCTGCATTCTTTGCGAAGATTTTATGGAGCTAATAGATAATGGGGTAAAGACAAGACTGTTTAAAGCAATGGCAGACCTGTATCTTATGCTCATCCGATTCTCGGGAGCCTTTATTTCGATCAGCAACTTTGAAGAGCACAGGTTTTTATCTACATACAGATCTATAAGACTCAAGCTTGAAGAAAGCACCACAAAGGAAAGCATCCGATTGCATTTGCTGCAGTCTGTGTATCTTTGTAACCTGTTTCTACTCCAGAGAATGTACCTTTTGGAGATCAAGGATTCATTTGACAAGACTCTTGAACTTGTTGAGAGGCTGGTGGAAGTAATGGCTCTTGAAGGAGATGACTCGATTACCCTTGGACTAAGAGCGATAGAGAGGCTGAGCAAGAACTTTGGGAAAGAGCACTATGAAGCAATATCTAGAGAATGGTTTATAAAGAGCTTGCTTAAACCCCACTCTAGAAGCGACAGGTTAATTGCAGTTATAAACTTCCTTTCGTCCCAATTATCATCCAAAATAAATAGCGATCCGAAGCTAAGGAGTATGCTTCTGGAGTATCTGGAAGAAATAGACATCAGCGTCTCCTCGGATCTCCGTAAAGTTGAGCTAAGTAATATGGTCATTGAGGCCATTGGGAGAATATTTGGAGATGGAGGGTCGCTTTCAGATGACGAAATGGAAATGATTTTCAGAATTTATGAGAGGTTTTATATATCTCCATTGTGTTCGAGGCTGATGATTAAGAGAATGATAAGACTACCAAGATTTACAATGAGACTGGTTCGGATAAAAGCATTTCCGACATTCCAATATTTCCTTATGAAAGATGAGAAAGTGTATGAGCATGCATGCTTTATTGTAAATAGATTCTTTGAGTATTCTGACGAATTCATTGAAATGGCTAGTAATGTTCTTCTGTTTGGAACGGTTGGGCGATGTCCTCATAGGATAGATATCAAAGAGATCGGAAAGAAGATTTCAGGACTTGTTATGTCTGAAGTTTCGTCGCCAAAGGTACTGTTTTTCCTAATTATGTACTTTCGGCTGCTTCATCGGTTGGGGATGCCCAGACATTGTGGATTTGATCTTGGAAAGTTGATTTCACGAGTTAAAACATGTGACGAGATGACTTTGATGAGAATACTCATCAGCTACATAATAACCCCGGATATCGATAGTATTTTGGAAAGGTCTGGAATTCCCTCAAGAAGGATTAGGAGCAAGGATAGAGAATTCTTAAAGTCCCATGATTTCCTTATATACAGAGACTATGATCTTTTTGTTGAGAAATGTCTAAAGAAGTCGGGTCTTGGACCTATAGATGGGATCTGCTTCAAACATGGATGCAATAGGACTTTCTCTCTAAAGGGAGAAGAGATATCTGTATCGGACAAGGAAATCGACTGCAGCAAGACTTTCATTAGAAAGCTCGTTCTTTTGCTGGATACCCAAGAATATTTCGGAATGGTAATTCAGCTTCTCTGCGAAATGATGTTTAACCATCCATCTCTTTTGCACGATATATGTAGATATCAGGTTTTGGACATTGTGTATGAAAGATGCATTAGAAAAATGGATGTATCAAGCAAGCACAAGGTGACTGGAGAACTGCATTGGGGTATAATGCTGTTTGTCATTGGACTCTATTCGGAGGTTCTTTTGTCGAAGTCCAGCACAGGTTCTGAGAAGAAAAGCGAGACTGAGCAAGAAAACACAAGAAAGAGTCTTCCATCTGTATCTGACTTTCTCCTTGAAAAGATCAAAGATGGATCCAATGAGGACTTTCTGAACGTGTCGTTCATACTTGTTAGAAGCCTCACACCATTGTTTATTCTAAGGCACGAAGATGAAGAAGATACAACCATGGAGAGGTTCCGAGAGATTTCGATTTTTATGGGATCAGTAGGGATCTTTGAGAAGATTATCAAGAGAATAATTGCTGTTGATGAAAGCGACCCAAAATACATAACATGCATCCAATGTTCGCTGGACTATCTTGGAAGGGTTTTTAGGCATTGCTACGGCGACATTCTTCAAGATCTGGACGACTATGGTGACGACGAATCCCGTGAGATTGAATACTATAGTCTCGTTTCCGAGGACCATGGATTTGAGGAAAGTATTTTTGACTCCGACGAGAGCTATTTTTTTGATGATCCACCATTCCATGAAATTGAAGAGGAGAGGGCCATGGAGTCTGATGAAGCGGAAAGCTCCTCACAATCGGAAAATACAGTGTTCATCAAAAGCATTGAAAACGATCATGAGATGCCAACGGAAATGTATCTGATTAGCTCCGAGTATTACAATATTTCTGCAGAAAGTAGAACCGAGATCGAGGCTCTTATGTGCAGAAAGCTCTACGTCGACTTAATTGATAGCAGCACAAGCTGCTATACCTGGATGGTTAATAATTTCCAAAAGAGTATAGTTTGTGAGCTAAGGGAGCCGAGTGTTCATTGTAAGGAGCCTGAGAGGTCTTTGAATGAAGATGACAAGGATGAGGGCTATGTCACTGATGGTGAGGAAAAGATGATATGGAATTTCGAACCAACAAACGATGAAGATAATCTGGAAGATACAAATGAAGCCTTGGACACTTCAAATCCACCAGATAGAGAGGAGATAGAAGAGGAGAATGAGGACGTTGGATCCTCGGAATCTGATGTCGGGTCTCAGAACGGAGAGATTCCGACTCTTGACCCTGATAATCTCAACAGAATGGAGGAAGACGAGCTAAACGAAGTTCTGAAAGCCTATTTCGACGAGAGACGATCCCTATCGCTGACTTATATACCTCTCCACACGGGTTTCTATGAAAGGCTTTCTTCCCGTGTAAGACCTATGTTTGAGGAGATGGAAAGAGTGTATAGAGAGAGTTTCTTCTACGACATTAGAACCGAGTCTACCAAGGAGAGTGACGAAGAAATCATGGAAACCAAAGAGAATCTCCTTGAGATGGATCTTTCAACATTTGAAGAATTCATCAAGAAATCTATCGTCGAAAAGGATTTCCCATTTGCCAAGAGCTGGAAGTTAGTTGATGCACTTTCCAAGGATACAAAAATGAAGAGTGTTGTCTTCAAAGTATCCAACAGCATGATCTCGTCAATTTCATCATCTCAGGAAGGAGACCTTAATAATTACGACGCAGTGAAATTCCGAAGAACTTTGTGCTTTCTTCTTAGCATCGTTAAAAGCTCAATAAGGTACTATGGCTATTTCCGAGAAAACCCTGAAATTGTAAGAAAAGTTTTTATTCTTCTTGGAAAGGTGAAATTAACCAATGATCTTTTGAGACTAGTGACTGACTTCAGTGTTATCTTTAGGAAGGACAAGGACTTTGTCTTTGGCCAAGACATCGATTTGGAAAATATTCTCGGTTGCTTTGGAAGAATGGTTGACTCTGAATGCTTCAACCTTCTTGAGGAGTTCATGGAGAACACCGCCGACCACTTTGGCCCGAGATTCCTAGATATTATTCTGGTAGAGATAAAGCAGCAATTTTCGATCCTCTCCAAAGACATTGGAAAGGAGTTTCCTTCCGATGCATTTCTAGAAAGTCAAAAGATATTTTTGAGACTTTGGAAGATGATGACAAAAGTTATAGGAAGAAGCAATTTGTGTAGTGAGGAAAGAGACATTGCACTTCTGAGTCTGATGCTGAATCCTCTCTGGAATGTGTTTTTTGAAAATCAGAAGAACAAGGAATCGATTGAAGACCTCATTAATGTATCGGATATCTACGAAGCTTTTTTTGTTGTTGGAAAGGTGTTTGAAAATAGGTTCGGGGAAACAGAGAATACAGGTTGCGCAGAGATGTGCAACAAGTTCCAAACATTCTATAAAAAGATTATAGAGTTACGGGCCAAGCAGATTAACTTACTTGCCGATGAAAGACCAGAAAAGCTTTTCAGAAACTTCAACAGCCTCATAAGTCATTCAATACTAACGTTCAGTAACAAAAAGAAATATCTGTCAAGAATGCTCTCTGTGGAAGGAGTGGATAAATCCTCGTCTTTCTACAGAGTTTATGTAGATAGGAACGATGTTCTGAGGAGTTCTTATTTTCAAGTGATGGCAAAAAGTCCTGAAGAATTCAGAACAAGAAGACTCGAGATAAAGCTAACTGGAGAAGAAGGCTTGGACTATGGAGGATTGACAAGAGAATGGCTGGTTCTTCTCTCAAAGGATTTTCTTGATCCTAACTTTGCTCTTTTTGAGTTTTCCACCGAGGACAAGACAGTAGCTGTTCCATGCAAGAACAGTTATGTTAATCCCGAGCACTTGTCTTACTTCAAGTTTGTCGGGCGTATCATGGCAAAGGTTATAATGGATGGAAACTTCATCAACTTGTATCTACCGAAGTTTATCTACAAGCATATCCTTGGGAAGAGTTGCGATCTACAGGACCTAGAATCTGCAGACCCTGAATTCCACAAATCGCTTGTCTGGATAAGAGATAATTCTGTTGGGAAATCTCTAGGACTAACATTTTCGTTCGATGACGTGAGCTTTGGAGTTCATAGAACTGTCGAATTAGTAAAAGGAGGAGCAAATATCTTTGTGGATGACTCGAACAAGGAAGAATATATAAAGTTGGCGACACAATACAGGCTATTTGATGGAGTCGAACTTCAATTATCTGCACTAAAGTCAGGACTGTTTGAAATACTTGGAAATAGAGCTCTTGAGATGTTTGACGAGAATGAACTTGAGCTTCTAATCTGTGGAATTCCTGATATAGACATTGATGACTGGAAGAGTAATACCCTTTATTATGGATATACAGAGAGCTCAAAGACCGTTATTTGGTTTTGGAAAGCAGTTAAAAGCTTTGACTCTGTCAACAGGGCAAGACTTCTACAATTTGTGACTGGAACATCCACCTTGCCGTTTGAAGGGTTCTCGCATTTACAAGGAAACAATGAGATCCAAAAGTTCTCGATCCATAAGATCTCTGACAGAACAGACAGCCTTCCCACTGCGCATACATGCTTTAACCAACTTGTACTTCCAGAGTATTCCTCCTATGAAAGCCTTCTGAAATATTTGATGTTGGCCATCAATGAATGCTCTACAGGATTTGGTTTTATCTAAAGTAAAAATATTCGACATGGTTTATTTGGAGTCTTGATACAGCTTCGAGATACTTTCCTTCAGTTTCTCTGTATTTCCTGTGTATTTCTTATCTTTTAAGGCATCATTGACAAGATTTTGGATGTCGGCAGCTAGTTTTTCCCCAAGCTCTGTAGGAAGGCGATACCTGCTCTGATTTTCGATGTTTTTGTCAAGAAAGAAGGTGATGTCTTCTTCTGTTCTCTTGGATATCTCCTTTTTCCACACATTTAAGATATCTTCGACGTTTATCTCGATCATCTTCTCTATGGGGATTCCCTCAAGACTTTTCAGGTAGTTCCGGAATATATAGATATTGTTTACAACGTATACAGACTTCGGAATCCCTCTTAGGGTTTCTGCCAGAAATAGGATTTTCTCCATGGTCTTGGTACTGAATTTTTCGAAAATGTCCTGGACAGTTTCCAGTTCAAAATCCTTTCCATACTCAGATGCAAATACTTTTGAAACATCTTTGTTGTCGTAGAAGGCTTCTAGTGCTTTTTCCATCTTCATACATAGCTCCTCAGTGTTACAGTACTTGTTTGGTTCCATTATCATGTCCAGGTCTTCAAAGTATTTTAGAATGCTATTACACATGATCTTGTGTATGCTGTCTTTAAACACAAAAAGTTCCTCTACTACTCGGATTCTCTTGTCCCCGGAATACTTGAGTTGGCTGTCCAGAATTATTAGAAGGCCGATGTTTGCAATGTCCTCTTCCTTCTCCATTTTCAGTAGATTGTCTGCAATTGCTCTTTTGAGCCCAATCACAAACATCTTCAGCAGTCCAATGTTTGTAATCTTGGAATTTTCCTTTCCAAGCACATTGTCATTCATTTCAATTACATCCAGCAGAAACTTATCCAGATGAGAAGTTCTCTCGATGAGAAGTTCAGTGTTCATTCCTATGTCATCAAACCCCAATGTAGAATAGACCGTGTCTGTATACTTGCTGATAAATCTTCTTTCGTTACCATTGGAAAGAAGAAAGGTTGCAAACACTCGGAACTCAGGCTTGTACTCAGGAACTCTTTTCAAAGAAACAAAGAAGGATTCTTCAATCCCGTCGATTGCTCTTTTGACAAAATCATCTAGAATATCAATCTCGGTGTCTACAATCTTAACACCCTTGTATTCCTTGAGTACCTCGCCCATGTCGATAAGCCTCCGTGTTGACTCTATTGCCTTCTTTTCTTGGAGCAGTTTCAAGTCCCTTGGAAGGAATCTTTTCTCGGATTCCCCAAAAACCTCGCCTAGCTTGGACTTTTCCTCCTCTATAATCTCCTTTGTCGACATAAATGAATCCAGAAATGTTAAGAGCCTACTAATGTTTTTCTTTGGGTTGATGTAAGGTCTAAATCCGTCCACAGCACTTAATTGGAGTCTTTCCATTAAAGAACTCAGTGTGTTTGCCTGAGACTCTATTTCTCTCGAAAGCTCAGCGCATTTCTTAAGCTTTGGCAGGATGCTTGGGATCTCCGGCATCATGGGGCTATTGGTCTAACAATTCAGAAGTTTGACGTCCTTTAGAATGATTGGTGCTGGAGAGACAAGTGCCAATCACGGCATAGATTGCTTTATTATTACTTTGAGTTTCAATCCCCAACAATGGTTGACTTCGGTGCTTCCAAGAAGACATTGCTGACAGGATTCATATTGATGGCATATTCAGACATTCTGAATAATAGAACATATGACCTTGTTGGAGTAGATCAAGGATATACAACTTTCAAAGGTTACCACTACAATGCGGAAAAAGACATGTATGACGAAGTGTTCAGCCACAAACACAAGGAAAAGATCCATCTAGTTATCCCTGCGGACTTTACTGGAACCGGAAATGTAAGCTACATTCTTGTCTCGAAGAAAGGCCCGGAAAAGTTTAATATTTACATTTACTTCCGAGACTATGACGAATCCCGGTATCTCGGAGAATCTATTACAGTTCCGCTGCTTTACGCTTGCCCAGATGACTTACGCCCACAACTACTTGTACAGTATAGCGACGGACTTAAGAAAATTAGAATTGACGAGAGCGGAAATATGATCAAAGAACCTGCCGACGAGTATGGAAAGCTTCATAAGGAACATACATCTGCATTTGTTGAGGTTGATGGGAGTATGAAAGCCTGTCTTTGCCTTGTTCTAGATGATGGCCATGGAGGAAGACTTCTGAGGATTCTGAGCAACAGAAATGGAGAGTTTATAAATTACTTTGAGATGAAACTACCTGATGAGATCGGCCCTATAGTTTTTGGAGACTTCAATGGAAATGGGATGAATGACATGGCATTTGTTCAGAAGAATGGAGAAAAATATCTCCTAAAGATTTACTTTAATACAACCTCTAGAGTTGGTGATGGAGACAAGAGACTTCTTGGAGGATTTCTCCCTCACCAGATTGATAGCACCATATTTTCGGAAGGAAACATGAAAGTCATAGACCTAAGCGAAGAATTTCCAAACTGCACACCAGTAATAAGGTCTGAAGATCACTTCGAAGGCCTTCCCTACGGGATATTTAATGCAGATCTCAGGGCAAAGGGAAGGCAGGACTTCTTCATTATAATGAAAGACATAGACAGCAGCATCCGGATTGGAGTCCTCGAAAACAACTCGAATCCAGATGACATTCGGTTGGGAAAGGCAGAGTATAACGAAGATATCTTTGGCCTCAAAAACATCATCTCGATAAGTTGTTGCGACTATAACAACAAGGGACGAGAGGCAGTGTTCTTAAATAGAGTTGTGGACAATAATGCTGTTGTGGAGGCATACAAAAATGATCTTTCAAAGGAAAACCTTAAACTCAGTCTATCAACCATTCATCCTGGACTACAGAAGTATGGATCTGTTGTCCCAGGGGTGTCGTATCTGGTATCCTATGGAGATGGAGAAAGAATTATCATTTCGAATCAAACACCATACAGTACGTTTGTACATCTAAAGCACCAGGTGGCGTACATTGGACTGGGTACAATGAACCTTATAGTCGACAGTCTGATGATAGGAACACCTGGAAAGAACGGGAGTCCATATGCAGGCCCATATGTGATAGATTCGATAGCCATTCCAAACACGGACCTAGTTGTATATTTGGAAGAAAACGAGAAATACACTGTAGAGGCACATTTCATTGTTGGAGATCATTTCAAAACTATTATCGGGACATTGCTTATAGTTGCAGGAGTGAATCTTGCCTTTATACTCTTACTCCAATACAGAGACAGAAGAAGAATTATAAAAGCAAAGAATATGGACAAACTTCATCCACTTTTCTCTACGTTGCAATAGTGAATATATTAAAATCCAAAACCTTTATGTATTTTTAATGAAATATAAATATCTTTTCGAAATTTGGCTGTTATTCAGTCTCCATCTCCGTTAATGTTTTTCTATTCAGCCCTAGAGACTGCTTTTTGTTCAAGTAGAAAAGAAGCCCAACTAGAGAAAAGGCCAGCATTCCCACACTTAATATGTAAATCTCGACGTTGTCATAGGAGTAGTCCCCGGAGGCAAGGAATGCAACGGCAATTGGAGAAAATGTAAATGCCAGGTTCAGGATGCAATATATGGTGGCAAAGCCTGTTCCCAAGGACTCCTCTGATACCAAAGATGGAATGCACGGCCAGTAGCATGCTATTAGCGGTCCAGAAAATCCTAAAAATGTAGCAGATGCATATGGAGATAGGAAGTTAAAGAATATCCCTAGGTGCCCTAAGAGAAAAAGAATGCATCCAGCGCCAATCAGCCATAGCTTAAGTCCATATGCGTCTGTAATTGCACTTGTAAATGTAACCAATACTAGGGATATCCCTTCGATGATTGCCAGAACGTTTCCAGATGAGACAGGAGATAAACCGTATCTCTTTTGAAATAGCATTGGTGCTATTGTGTAGAATGGTGCCCATACCAAAGCAAACAAAAAGGACATCCCGACGAGTACATAGAAGGCTGAGTGATGAGTATTCTTTCCTTCAAGCCTCGGCTCGTAAAACAATATGCCTGACTCTTCAAAGAGTACTTTGGGCTTTCCCTTTTCAAGTCTACTTTTTATAGATGTGGTCTCTTTTCCATCTGCCTTCCAAGGAGAGAAGGGATTTTCAAAGAGAATTGGATCTGTTTGAAGAAGTTCCTTGGGCTTTGATTCTTTGTAATCATAGAAAAACGGGTTTTCCGGAATGCTTAGAGAGTTGGAAGCATCTCTGGGCGTGGGGTCGCTTGCTTTTAGAAGGAATCCCGAGTCCGACTCTTCAAGAAACCCTTCTCCAGGGTACATCTTTTCTTCTTGAACCTCATCCCCAAATCCATTCTTTTGAAGTTCTATAAGCTTCTGCTTGAGTACCTTGTGAGATCTTTCCGAGTTATTTATTCTAAGACAGACCCAAAGTCCCAGAAGAGTCAGGAATATCCCAACCACACATGGAAACATCTTTCCAATATAATCTGCCAGGAAGGGAGTGACAAGGAAGTTTGCAACCGTGCCCATCCTGGCAATGCATGAAAAGATCCCCATTGCGAATCCTAACTCCTTCCCCTTGAATTCATAAGATATTAGTTTGTTCTGAATGACTGCAAAGCTCTCTCCTCCAATTCCAAAGAAAAACCTCCCAATAAGCATGATCTTGAAGCTGTGGTTCCAAACTCCTATTGTGAAGATTAGATGTCCGAGAAAGACAAAAGCACATAGAAGCTTAGCCATGGTAGACTTCCTTACGTGGGTGATCCATCCAAAGAATACAGGGACAATTATGTTTGGTAGAGAGTACACCGAATAGAGTAAAGTTATTTTGTACTCTATGCCTGATTCAGAGCCGAAGTCCATGTGATGGCTCAATGCAGACGGGATGTCATATACAAAATAAAATGAAAACAGTATTAATCCCGACAACAGAAGGATTCTATGTCTTTCTTTCATTGTTGTTAATGAATAGCTATACCTTTTATTTCAGATTCTGTTTCAAAACTATCCAATCAAGTATAAGTGTATGGAAGGTTCTGGATGGCTGATGGGATCGCAAAACTTAACAGAACAGCTTTAATCATGTAAAGTATAGAAGCTTCGACTTTTTTCTACTGAGAACCTCCTGTATTCCATCCATGAAGTCATTTTGGGAGATTTCGGTCTTTTCCCTTCTAAGAGCTGCCATTCCTGCCTCCACACAGACTGCTTTGCATTGTGCCCCGTTAAATCCCTCGGTACTTCTTGCAAGCTCATCAAAGTTGACATCGTCTCTGACACTCATATTTCTTGCATGGATCTGGAGAATCCTTTTTCTTCCTAGTGCATTTGGAAGGGGAAATTCAATCTTTCTATCAAGTCTTCCGCTTCTTAACAATGCCGGATCTAAGATATCCACCCTATTGGTTGCAGCAATGATCTTTACCTCCTCGGTGGAGGAAAAACCGTCAAGCTGGTTGAGAAGCTCCAACATGGTTCTCTGAACCTCTCTGTCTCCAGTCTGATCAGAGTCAGATCTCTTGGCTCCTATCGCGTCAATTTCATCTATGAAGATAATTGTTGGCTTTTTCTCCTTTGCAAGAGCAAATGCATCCCTGACAAGCCTTGCTCCATCTCCAATATACATTTGTACAAGCTGAGGGCCTGCGAGCTTCAAAAATGTTGCATTCGTTTTGCTTGCGCATGCTCGTGCCATCAGTGTTTTCCCCGTACCAGGAGGACCGTACATCAAGACCCCCTTAGGAGGCTTTATGTTCAGCTTTTCAAATCTTTCTGGATGTGTGAGGGAAAGAACTATTGCCTCATTTAGCTCCTCTATCTGTCTTTCTAGCCCTCCAATGTCCTCGTAGGTTTCGTCGGGCTTTGCATCAGACTTCAAAACCATTCCCCCGACCTTCATGTCATAGTCGGGTGGAAGCTTCTCAAATACTATGTTTGTGTCCTTATGTAAAGCTACAAGATCTCCAGGGCGAAGTTCGGAATTGGGAATAAGTCCTGTAATAGGAAGATATGAAGACATCCTTGTAGATGCATTGACAACAGCACTTTGATTATCAAGAACCTCCACAACGTTCCCAACAAGGTATGGAAGCTGCTTGTTGAGTCTTATTCTTTCCATGTTTTCTGCAATCGACGCATTCTTTGTCGAAATATCATGCTTAATAGTATTCACCCGGCTCTGAAGAATCCTAGTCTCCGAATTCAGCATCCGGATCTTCTCCCGCACCTTTTCAAGAAACTCTTCGGGATTACTTTGATCCATCATTTCAAGCTCCTCCAGAGACATCTTAGGGCCTCAGCCTCCAATTTTTTATCTTTCAAAACAATATCAAAAACAAGGCTTTTCTCCAAAACAATTCAATTGATTTCTTTTTTTTTCGGAAGTTTGTCAACCACATGCTTGTAAAACTCAAGTCTTCTATTGAAATGGTTCAGGAGTTTTTGTGCACATTTATAATATTGTGTGTCTTTACCATTGTATGTAAAGCAATTATTCACCATTAAGTTCACGTCTTCAACAAACGCTTCAATGAATTTGTATTCATTGTTTTTTAACTTAGATGACATCGTAGACAGATCCATAGGTTTGGATATACATTTGTAGTAGTTAGGGACTTCCTTAGGATCCACAGGCTTCAAAAATGGCCAGGCATATGCATTGATGCAAAGATCAGATATAAGATACGAAATAAACCTGTCCTGGCACCTCTGATCATTGGTCTCCTCTGCAGAATACCTTGCATTCAAGACTCCTGGAATATCGTTGACGTCTTTAATTTCCGAGTAGTCATCTATCTTCCGAATAATATGATATTCATTGACCTTCTTCATCTCTTCAAACAACTTTCTTTTCCTATCTTGAATAATCTCCTGCTTTTTCAAATAGTTAATTTCCCAGAGTACACAGCACTCTACTATTGTGCCCCCTTCATAGTCCTTAATAAACCCAATCCATCCTCCAAATCTTATCTCTGTTGTAAATCCTTGTTTCTTGAAGTACCCTATTGCAAAGTTGTCTGCATATGTTACCAAGTAGAGGGATGGGGCATTGCTTTCAGGAGTTCTGCATAGAAGCGGGGTGAGATCTTCTATAACCCTATTCTTCTGTTTAGGGCTCCCTGAAAGGCCATTTGATGGTTTCTCAAAATAGCTTCTTATCTCTTCCTTAATGACCTCCTTAAAGAGATCCATCATAAATCCTCCAATTCCTTTTACTTGGAAATCATAGTCTACAGCTAAGAACACAATTTCTACAAAGTTTCTCTCAAAAAACGGTCTGTAACATATTCCGCCAACCACTTCTCCTACGGAGTTCAGCAGTACCAGGTTGGCATGCTTTGTGTCGAATACTTGTCTGAGAATGTATTCCCCAGGCATCTTGGAGAGCTGATTCTGGAAAAGATACTTGGTTCTCAGAAGAAGTATCTTGTCTACACATGGATCCGACGACGACACAACAACAGCCTTCAGCTCCCCATTCTTGAACTTCGCATACAACATTTCTTTTTCATTTCTCCATGTTTGGTTTCTTTCCAATCCAAAAAGATTCGTTTCAACACTATCCATCCTTTCTGCCCTAGTTAATCTCCGGTTTATATCCTTACCCTTCGTTCCTCTTGTATCTTTCCGCCACAATTGTTGTTTCAAGGTGCTTGAGCCTTGCAATTCCTGCAAGAGCTCCAATAATTCCCCCTCCTACCACGTCAGAGGCAAAGTGCTTGTTATCTATCACACGGCTTGCTCCCACAGCAATAGGAACCATTAAAAATAGAGAGTAAAGCATAAAAACAATCCCCCGGTTCACCTTTGCTCTAAGTTCGGGAAGACTAAGCTCCTTGTATATGAAGAAAGCTAGAAACATAAACCCACATGCAGCAATCGAGGTGTGTCCAGACGGGAAACTCTTTCTTCCCTCCATCACAATAGAGGGATCTCCAGTACACTTTCCTCCAACAGGAATGCATCTGTCCAAAAAATCAGGTCTGAGTCTTCCAACAACATTCTTCATGTTCTCAACAATGGCGGATGTGAAGAGACAAGCCACTAGAAATGACATATAAAAGTATATCTCATCAACTCTCTTTACTATGTTGATCCGAAAAGTTCCAAACATAATTCCAAGAGGTGCAAGAATAGATATGGCTGCAATCTCTACAAATGTTATTGTATCGTGGTATAAATACGACTTAGATATTGACCTGTCGTTTACATTAAAGGGCCGTTCATATGGCTCTACTGTACTTGAGAGAAATAAGAGGCCTATGGACACAATCGTGATGGCAAGCATTTCTCTTGTCATTGTTGATCGATCCCTTGCAATTATTTGTAGTTATAACAAATAAAGAAAAGCCCAAAAATCAACATAAACGGAGTTTATTGAAGCACTTTGTCTCCGGGATAGAAATATCTTTGGACCCCATTCCTAGAAATTGCAGACATTCTTATGCATCCTCCAGAAGCATTGTCTCTGTTTATTGCACACGAAACTGCGTTTTTGATAAATCCAATTCCTTCCTCAAGACTCATCCCATTTTTCCAATTAACATCGCAATAGCCATATATAAACGCAGATCCAGAGCCTCCAATTGCCCAATCGCACTCCACAAGCGTCCCTCCGAGAGATATGTTGAAGATCCTTGGCTTATCGTCGTATCCAGCAACTATGAGACCTGCCAAGAGGCTTGGATTCTCATATATGATCTTACTAGCCAGTGTTGCTGCTCTTTGAACCAAAGGAATAGAGCTTTCAAGATGTGAATACAGAGTAAGATACATCTTTAGGTACTCAGAAATCATTTGTGTATCTGCCGAGCTCCCTGACCTACAAACAAATATGTTATTTGTAATCGGTGTAAGCTTGTCAGTCACTCTGCTTGGGATATATGCTCCCATCGATGTTCTTGAGTCTGCTCCAATCAATACTCCATCATCATACTTTATTGCAATAATGGTGGTGCCTGTCATCTCCTTCTTATTAAACATCTTCCAAGGGCAAGGCTATCTTTCTTTTGTTATCAAAGATACCAAAAACACCTCGATAGAAATGTATCACTCCTAGACAATGTTCTTAAGAGGGAGTGTGAGATTAACAACAATGTTCTCTTCAGTTGTGTCTCTGTCCACACAGAAATACCCAATGCGTTGGAATTGGAATCTATCCTCGACACCGGCTTCACTAATTCTTTTGTCGCAAAGCCCGTGGACAATTTTTAGACTATCTTTGTTCATCTCCTCAAGATAGGTAGAGTCCTTTGGACTGAATGATGTCCAGAGTGGAGAATACATCCTCATCTCTACTCGGACACAGTCCGAACTAACCCAGTGGATGAACTTTTTAGGAATCCCATCCCATCTTTCTGCAAGGATCCCGTCTTCAGTTACCTTTACAACCCTTATTGGATAAAGCATGTACAACCCAACAGGCTGATCAAGTGTAAGTCTTAAAAAGTCTCCATCTCCCTTATCCATAAAGTCCGACTTCTCTATGTATATGACTGGAGTAAAGGGAACATTTCTGCTTACCTCTGATCCAGGGAAATCTGGAATAGATACACTACAGGGCTCGGCGTTCATTATTGTTACCTTTAAAGGATCTCTTACACACATGATCCTTCTAGAAGTTCTGTTGAGATTGTCTCTAACAAAATTCTCGAGTTTCTTTACATCCACTATTGTTTCAGCAAAAGTAAGTCCAAGACTCTTACAGAACTCGTTGATGGCTTCAGGAGGGAATCCTCTCCTTCTCATGCCCTTTATTGTAAAAAGACGGGGATCGTCCAACTCTATCCCATACTTCTTCAGAGGGACCAGCTTCCTCTTGCTCAAAACCGTATTACTTATGTTCAGACGGCTAAACTCCCATTGGATTGGTTTGTAAATCTCGAGCTGGTCAAGCAGCCAATGATAGCTCTCCTGCCGTGTAAAGAACTCTCTCGTGCAGAAGGAGTGTGTTACATCTTCCAGGCTGTCAGACACGCAAAGAGCGAACTCATATGTTGGATACACGGTATATCTCACCTTTTTCATAGGATGCACTGCATTCAGTATTCGAATCCCTATCAAGTCAAGCATTAGAGGATTCTTTGTATTCGTATCCATTTTGAATCGAAGACATGCTGTTCCTTCTTCCCACTTACCATCAACCATCTCCTGAAAGATTCTTAAATTCTCCTCGACCGACCTGTTTCTGTATTGGCTTAGATGTGATCTTTCATTCATGTTGTCTGATGTGTATTGTCTTCTTCTCTCACATATTTCCTCCTGGCTTAAGTGGCAGACATATGCTTTTCCCTTTTTTATAAGCTGAAATCCAAACTCAACCATCTTGTCGAAGTAATCGCTTGATGCAGTAACCTTATAGGGCTCAAACCCAAGCCATCGAACGTCCTCATAAATCGAATCAAAGTACTCCACTTCTTCGTTCTTTGGATTTGTATCATCATATCTCAAATAAGTATATCCTCCAAATTTCTTGGCATATTCAAAGCTCAAATTTATTGCCTTTGCATGCCCAATATGGAGAATCCCGTTAGGTTCAGGAGGAAATCTGGTAACCACTCTCCCTCCTGTTCTCTTTAAGTGCGCTTGCCTTATCTCTTCACTGACCTGTGGGGTTTCCCCAGGTTTTGGAAGTTTCCTGATCTCTCCTTCTTCCAGCCAGTCTCCTCCTTCTAGGTTTTCCTCATGCTCTTCCACATCATCGGGGATCTTATTTATTTCTTCCATCACAATTCTGAAATCCGCGCAAGGCATGGTATTTCTTGCTTTGCTAAGCATATCTTTCTTTGATAATCCCTCTCTCCTCATCTTAGCAATGTTATTCTTTATACTCTCCTCGTCAACTTCATTGGACTTTACAAAGGAAACCATTTCCTCGGCCGAAACCTCTTTTTTCCCCATATGTTTTAAGCACTCCTTCAGCATACTCTCGTTCTTTATGGTTCCAGACTCAATGAGATTGGCTAGCAACTCAACATTGGCATTTCTTGAAGCTGTGCAGGCAAGAGTATATAAAAGTCTGTTGGAGAAGGATCTTCCAGAAAAAATCTTCTCCATATTCTTCACAACCTGTTCCTTTTTCATCACTTCATGTCTCTTTTCAGAGGAAATCTCTAACTTCTCAAAAACCTCTTCAAGATTTAGCATAGAGGGTAAACACAAATTTTTATTAAATGGTCTCTAGATCTCTCTAATCATGGCGGGTAAGTCTCTTTTTCCTCTGTTCCAACTCCTTCAGATATTCATCCACAGCCCTTATTTCATCGATTATTGCTTTTCTTCTTTTCTCAGCTCTTCTCAAAAGAATATTGACAATCTCTAATATTCTCTTAATCTTCTTGTTATTGTCATACATCTCGCAGGGATTCTTCAAAACGGTTTCTTCTCCTAAGATCTCACTTCATAGTAGGAGGGATTGTTAGCGCTCAACCAGGGGCTGGGAAATAGATAATCATTCAAGACTTCAAACCACTCCGGCCCGTCACTTTCCAAAACTTCATGCATCTAAACTAAATAATAAATTAATTATTCCATAGCAATGAATCGGCCTGCTTCATCAATTCATAGTATTTGACAGATCGAGCGATGAGTATTCAGATTTATCCATAAACATGATATGATAAATTCATCTTATGATATATGGGAGATTCCTTTTATGGAAATGACATTTATGGAGAGGATAGGGCTTCTAATTGTGTCTATAGTTGCTTTAAGGTATGGGATATAATTTGGCAATGACCCCAGCTTTGTTCATGTCAAGGTTGCCCAATCTTGCCTCCTCTCGTATGAATGAAATAAGAAAAGTCTACATAGAAGCCAACAATAGAATTGTTGAGGAAATAGATGCAGTAACAGAAAAGTTCTCAAAAGAAGTTGAGACCATTCCTAACATCTCGGCCAGCGTAAGGATATATCTTGAAGAAAAAATCAGATCTATACGTGAGTTTGTTGTCGATAGTATTGGATTTTCAATAGGCGAGTTTAGAGCCTTATACAATCCCGATGGAAATGAAAGCATAAAAACGAGAAGATTTCCAAAGTTCATAACCGAGGCACTAGAAAGGAGCTTTGAGATTGACCAATATCCGTCCGAAGCCGAAAAGTCAAGACTTGCAAAAATATGTAAACTTTCGACAAAGCAAATAAACAACTGGTTTACGAACAAAAGAAATAGAAGCAAAAGCCATGATGGGGGTAGGCAGTACTAGGCTGTGAATGGGAGGCGCATATGATTTTAATATAATCCATGTATGTATTTCTTTGAAGTAAAGTAAGAGACTAAATTAGTATAACTCTTCTTAAAGCCCCAATGGCAAGTAATATAAGTTATTCTTGATACGAAGATCAATCTCACCTCGATTCTCTATTTTAGGAAAGGTGAAATTTTCGTGGTAGGAAGATCTTTGACGACCTAAATTTCGTAGGAGAAAGATACGACAGAATCGACCGAGTGTGAATGAGATAACATAGTATTTTAATTGTTAATTTAAACAATTAGTTTTCGATGTAATATACAAAACCACCGATGTGTAGAGGAAATTGGTTCCAAGACAGAACACTAGAAAAGGATGTTACAAGACAACATGAGACTGTAGACTTCTATGCGCGCTTGGATAGGCCAGATTCTATTTATTTCTGTCATATTGACACAATTGAAATATTAAATTATAAAACCTCTATCAAACAAGATTAATTAAGCTATCGCGAGACAATTAGATAAAACAGAGTGAATGGAGCGGTAGCCATGAACATGATAATGGATATATTGAATCAAGTTATGTATGCTGAAGAATGCTATTTCTCCAACAGAGTTAGCAGAGAGAAATTAATGGAAGACATAAGACGTCTTCGGAGTGAATACGAGATTGGAATAATGAGAGACTCTGGAAGAGAAGGAATAAAATTCAAAATGGCATTGCTATTTATTCTTAGAAGAGTGAGACACAAGATTATACTTGAAGACAGACTCATGGAGATGATTGATTCCGAGGTTGCTTTCGTTAGAGGATGTGTAAGCAGTATCATCTCTGAGCCCTTCGGAGTCAAGCCTGTAGAAACCATGAGGCCTACACAACAAGAAGCAGAGACCAGGTGTGCCAAACCAAGGACAAGGGCCAACTTCCCTATGGACACTTCACAGCTTCTGAGATCTTGGCTTAAAGAGAATATGGATAACCCATATCCATCGGATGCCGAAAAGGCATATCTTTGCCAGAAGACTGGCCTTGGTCCTGCACAGATTAATAATTGGTTTATAAATGCTAGGAGAAGAATCTTACCTTTCATGAAAGGAAAGCGTGCGAGTTTCAAATAAATTTATATGGGAGTTTATTGGTTAATTATCTTATCCATCGGTAGCCACACATTTAGAACTCCAAATAAAGGCTCGAAAGATTCTGAACAACTGTATTAGAGTCTGGTTCGGATGTGTCTAGAAGCCAACTACTGCCCACCCCGAGATAACTAGTAAAAATGGAAAATCCATATGAAATAAAATTATGGGTAGCTATTAATTAAAATAAGTTTAAATTTCATAGATATAAAACGACCTTATTGCTTTTAATGGATTATTGTGAGCATTTATTTCTTCTATAAGATCATCATGCAAAAAGTTTGAAAAAGAAGGCTGCTCATGTCAGCTACTTTCCTTAAGCTCAAACTTTATTCCCTTTGATGATAGTCTCGGGATGATGTCTGTATTGTACAACACACAGGCCGGTGTTATAACCCCTCCCCGGAAAAGAGTTACGCCTGTCCCTCTTTCTTTCTGATTAAGGCTTCTCAAAAATGTAACTGCCGTCTGAGTCAAGCATACCGAAGTCACTATATATGCAGGGTCTGGGCCGGTTATTGTGAGCAATTTCCCAACTATCTCATTCCCCTTTTCCCCTCTGGCTCTTATTTCAATTGTAAAGTCTGCATTTCTGATCTCTTCGAAGGAAGGCCTCCTTTTAATGGTTCGGAAAGCAAACATCTTGGCTAGACTCGTGATAATCCATCTTCCAAATGAAAATCCAGAGAAAAGCCATATTACCCAAGCAAGGATTCGATATTTTATCATCTCAATCCGCCCCCCGACATCTAGATATGCAGAGTACTTCGCCCCATTGATCCCTATAGACTCCATTAGCTCCTGGCTTCTTCTCACAACAGAATAGTCTATTCCCCGAAAGATCACCTGGTAGGAATTTTTCTTTACAACCCGGAGAGATCGCCTTTTCTTTCCCTGACCGTATCTCTTCTCTCTGAGGGCGTTCATCTCTCTGAAATTTGCAACCGATGCAAGAAGAGATTCCCAAGTGGTCAAGTTCACAACAACATTACTGACCTTGAGAACACTCTCTATCTCTACATAGTACTCAAACATATCTCGGAGATACATAACTCCAATGTCTGAAGGGACAGATTCAAAGCCGCAGCAGTTGATGATGTATACACCCTTCCTCACGGCTTCGTCATGGTATTTGTTGATGATAAGTTCAAAGAAATATACCTCTCCAGATATGTCCATGTAATGTGTTCCATTTCTTATACATGACTTGACAATGCATTCTCCATGGATGGAATAAGGTCCAACACAGTTTATTAGAACCTTTGTCATGGATGCAATTTCATCAATATTATCTATCTTGCATTCGTAAACAGGAAATGCCTTATCCTTTATTTTGCTTATGTTTCTTGATGCCAAGGCCAACCTAACGTTTTCGGCCTTGAAGGCTTCTATGATGTATCTTGCAGCATATCCCGAGGCACCGTAGATTATGAAGTCAAACTCTCTTTCCATGTATGGGCACTTTAAAAAACATTATTTATCATTGAAAAGGGGGTAGTGGAATTTCTAAGGTTCCATAGACGAAAATTCTTCTCCAAGGCTCATGTGCTTGGTGATTGGACATTCCCATACCAACGGCACAAAATGGACCAATAGAACTGGTGCAAGTCAAGGCAATTGGTTTCGAGGAATGTATGAATTAAGTACATATATGAAGGTAGGAAGAATCTTGGGAATGGATGGACTGTCTGGCAAGGACAAGGATAAGATGTCCGGAAAGAAAGAAAAGGAAGTTGGGACTCCCATATCAGCCGAGGGATCTAATGGAGAGGGAGAGGAATCTTTTGAATCTGATGTTATGAAGCATGTAATTGGGGCAGCATGTATGCTAAGCCATAAGTCTTCTGATGAAGATGTGACTGAGTGTAGCGAAGAGAAAATCTCTACGTTTGATGTTTATATAGTTAATGAAGATGGGAAAGTTAACGGATATGAACTTAAGCACATAGGTCCTGCTGGGGGAGTTGAGTGTTCCAACTCTCCTCAAAGCTCTCCTTCAAACGAAATGATAAGGTCAAGATCTTTCCATTTTGATCGCAAAAACAAGGGACTTCCACCCCAAGAATTCTACAGAAGAAAAAAGTCTAGCGAGCAACTTCCTTGGAAGATCAATGGGAATTGTAGCAATGGATCCAAGGAAAAGTGTGAACCCATAATTCTTGAGATATCCGAAATTTCCGATGGATATAGTGTTGACGGGACGGATGAACATCAAGATATCAACGCTAGTGTCTGTAGCCAAGATACGGGCTCGAGCAAAATTTCGTTGAAGTGTGAAAATGAAACGTCAAACACCTTTGTTGATTTGAATTTTTCTAACAGACAAGAAACTTCAGAGAAGTCAGATTGCAGGGGTCTCCAATCGGACAAAGGCTCCCAAGACGAGATTTTGCTGCCATTTCCTTCACAAGACAAGGATTATACCTCCTCTGGATCGGCTTCTCCAGAGTCCAGAAATGGACCATCAAGAAATTCTGACCTTGAAAAGATAGCACTGTCTATTGTTAAGATAACAGAGCCTGGGGAATCTGGGAAGGAGAAAGAACACGAATCTGATGCTCCTAAGGCCATGGGAAACATCATAAAAGCTATTCAAGCACAAGAGTCTGAAGATAAGCTTGTCATAAACCAGAAGATTGGATTAAATAGCCCCTGTCCAATTAACGAAGAGAAATGTCTTGGGGAAGATGCAATGATGACCTCTGAGGATCTTTCTAGGGAGTTGAAGACTGCTCTGCTTGCAGCATTCATTCCTTCCATGGAGACGTCTGAAATGTCGGAAACATCGGAAAAGTCGTTCGTAGAAACCAGCATCACTCGAAACATCGGTGGAAAGCCGGATTCAACAGAAGAGGTTGAAAAGTTTAGGACCGTTCTTAATATTGGCGATAGTGTTCCTCCTCTTTTGGATGTAAAAGATTTGGCCGGGAAAAAAGGTAAGGATGATGAAATGATAATCTTTGTTGAAGCCGAAGACATTGGGAAGAAAAGGAATGTGGCCACAAGAAATAATAGGGTTGGAAGATTGGTTAAATTCTTTGAAAGCTTAGAGGAAAGAAATAAGGAAAGAGATCCAAAAGAAGAATGAATGAATTAAATTTAAAATTTGTTTATCAACAGTTGATTAAAATTGTCTTCTGGCGTCTGAGGAGAGGAGGAAAATATTTTTAGAGCAAAGTAGACTTAAAAAACGAAGTAGATTCTTCTTGCTTCTCACTAATAATTTCTTCCATTTCCTTATCGGTTGGAGGTTCATGAGAAAAAGGACAATCCTTCCTTGTGCAGTTTCCCTTTATGTGAAATGCTTTACATGGAAACTTGCTTGTATCATGCGAATATGTACAGTTATCCCCATGCTTACAGGAATTCATCAGAAAAAACTTACAAAGTATGGTACGATAGTTAGAAGCCGATCTTTCGACTTCCCGAGGTTTTGGGGTGGTCTTTGGGACGATCTTGTGTACTCGGTATTCTAACAGATAGCTCTTATTAAGACGGGTAGGAACATTTAGTTTCGGAAGCATTTTGATGGGTTACATAAAAATCCTTTTCTTTGTTAGAAACTAAGATGGGTATATAGAAAGAGAACCCCTTAATAAATGGATCCAAAGATAGAGTTCAGGGTACCTGGGAAGGTAATTGTGAATGGGTCATATATAGTATTGGAAGGAGAAACATGCAGAGCCATAGCTCTTAAGGAATACATGATATCGGAGGCGATTAGGATGGAGTCTAGCAAACAGAAGATAGTAGTGGAGGTAGAAGGACAAGAAAAGATTACATACTACCATAACCGTAGCGATTTGCCAGAAGACAAAGGCAAATCTTCATATTACTTACTCAAAGTTGTCGATTCCTTCTTTGAGGTTACGGGAATCATACCTAAAAACCAAATACAAATCAGAATGAAGGCTGGGAATGGATTCTTTGTCAATGGGCCTACAAGTGAGAAGACGGGGATTGGGTCATCAGTTTGTATCCTTGTATCCATAGTATATGCTCTCTTGAAATTCCATCAGGAAGACCTCAACCAAATAATTTCTCTCAAGGGCTTTGAAAGATGGGGACGATCTCCCGTCTTCCGAGGGAATTTAGAGTCACATCTAGGCCATCTTTCTCTTTCCAAAGAAATTCTGAATCACCTTTTGTCTATAACATATCAGGTGCATCAGAAAACCAATCAAGGTGGATCTGGGTCTGATGCAATGTGTTGTCTCTTAGGGTCCATATACTCCAATCGAGAAGCATGCATTCCAATAGAAAAAGTTCCTCGGTATTTGATTCTTGGATCCTTTGGAAAGAGCACTTCGACAAGAGAAATGCTTAAGAAAATCGACCTTTCCGACTCCAAATGGAAATCTCTTAAAGATATGAATTCCAGAATTAACAAAGAAAGGAGAAATCCAAAGAAACTCTATATAGAATATCTGAACATTATAAGAAATATTAGTACAGCAATAGTCCCTGAAAAACAATATGAAATACTTATAAAAACCAATGAGTATGACATTTGGGGATGTGGAATTTCTGGTGCAGGGGGAGATGATTGTGTGTGGGTTCTTACGGATGATTATAAGAGTGTATATGAATATTGGCAGAAGGCCTTCGCCTTTACATTTATAACAGAAGTATCCTACAAAGGAATTTGTTTATTGTAAAGTATTTCTTAGTGTGGAGTTCTCTAGCATCTCGGAAACCTATGCTTAATTGAATTATTAAAGTCAGGAGATAAAGGAGAGATTTATGTCGTTTATAGTTGATTTGGAAATTGAAAGTTATTATATGTTACATAGTAAACAGCCCATGGAAATGCAAGAAAAAGACCTCGGACCCATAGTAGGATATAATCTTGAACTCAAAGATATTTTTCTTGAGGCTCCCAACAAAGATTTATCCTCAAGCACCAAGTATGTTAGGCTGATAAACGGCATATCTACAACTTTTGAATCAGGGAAATTGTCAGTTATCATGGGACCTAGTGGAAGTAGTAAAACAACATTGATAAATTTGATTGTAGGAATAATTCAAGAAAACTCGAAGGTCTCGGGAAATGTGCTTCTTCGTGGGAAATCAAGAAACCCAAAGACATGGTTAACCCAGGTTGCCTATCTAAATCAGGATGACTGCATAGTTCCCTACATAACTATCCACGAATATATTTACTTTTGTGTGAGTTGCAGAACAACGAAAAAACAAAGAGGAGGAAGAAGTATTAATGAGATCATCAATAAGGTGATGAAAAAACTTCATATCGAGGATCTTAAGGACGTAGTTATGACGGCGATTTCAGGAGGGGAGAGGAAAAGGGTAATGATAGCTGTTGAGTTTGCAGTTTCTCCAGAAGTATTGATTCTAGATGAGCCAACAAGTGGATTGGATTCACATCTTGCATTTGAATTAATTCAAATGATCAAGGAATATGCTGTTGAAAACAACAAGATTGTGATCACAACAGTCCATCAGCCAGGTCCGGGATTGTTTGATATGTTTGATTATCTCCTGTTTCTTAATAAGGGATCTTTGGTGTATTCGGGGTCTGCTGATCAATGCGAAAGATTTTTTGATTCTAAAGGAATTCATAGAGTCGGAAATCTGTCTGTGAGTGAATTTTTATTTGAGCTTTTTTCTGGACAGTCGTATATCTCTGGAATTGAGGAGTATAGAGAGGCCATCAACAAAATGATAGAGTCTGCCGTCCAAGAGGGAGACTTGAAAATCGAAAACAAAACAATGAGCCAGATCTCTGGCTCTGTAGTTAAGCTTCCATTTAGTTTCTCAAAGGCACTCAAGATAGCTAAAAGAAAATGGATTATGGAATGGAGATCTTGGAGGATGATGAGGAATTGGATTTTCGAGATCGTTTTTCTTTTTGTCTATGTCTATTTCTTGTATCCAATGATCTTTTCTATAGAATTTTTGAATTTTAAAAATCTCCTAAATCTAAACATAAACGAACGTGATGAAACAGAATCAGTTTTTCGTTGGCTTATAGGCTCCTTAAAATCCATGATTGATGAATCTCTAGTGGGCAATGTAGATGAGGCAATCAAGTGGGAGATATGTTCATTTCTACTAATTACACTTTCCCTTTTCGGTTCGACAGACATACTTGATGGCTTAAATTATGTCCACAGAGAAACATCCAAGGCAACATATGGCATATCCACACTTTACTTCTCGACATGGATTGCCGAAACACCTATAACCATTCTAAAATGCTTTGTATTTCTGGGGATTTCATCATCCATAGGAATTCATGGGGGAAATACGTTTGAACTAATCACTTACATAATTGTAGGAAGTCTTTTAATACTGGCATTTGATATTATGATGAGAAGCATTACATCTTCTAGTGCGTTTAGAAAGTTTCTCTCGATGATCACTTTCATATTTCTGACATCTCTTACTCCGGAGATTTCATATACATTTACAAAAATACTCTCGGTTCCTTCGGCCGGAAATCTCAGACTTCTGAAACTTTTAAAGTATCCCTCTATACTTCTTTGGCCTCAAATCTTCTTTCAAGGATTCATGAGGCTGTCTTTCTTTGAAAGGGTGATGTTCCCTAAGGAACCAAACGAGAAGTTTACTTTTATATACAAGGCCATTATGGGTTCAATAGTGACTCCACGTCTTTATGACCTACATCTTAGTGATGAAGAAAACAGAGAAAAGCTCCTCAATCCTCAGACCAGGTTTCTAGTAGATCAAAACTACTCTAAATATATTCTATTGCCTCTTGGAGCTACTTCTCTCATAATAGTTATCCTTTTAAGTAATTACTTTCTTGTGAGAAGATTTTCTCCTCGCTTACAGCTTAACCTATCCAATAAATAAAGGTACTTTAATTTTAAGCCTTGGATTTTTTCCCTGAATGGAGTCTTTGATTCTTTGGGATGGAAGAAGCATCTGTGGGCTTAAAAAGATTCCAAAGACAATACTAATAGTTGATGAATACAACACAATAACACCCGAGAAAAAAAGTAAGATAAAAGACTCCGTGGCTGAAATGGACATAGACTTTGAAGAGGAGGCAACACGTTATTCTCTTGTGATCCTTTGCAACACTGTCTTGAGGTTTAACCTAAAGAACCCACTCGTCTTGGCAGAATGTGAGATTTGGTTTACTAGAAAGACCTTTTCCTCAAAAGTATTTGAAGATGCTCTTATTCACTATTCGGAATGTGAAATAAGAAATGGAGTGTAAACAACCCATGAACCCCCGAGAAGATTCCTCGTTTGCAGCTTTCCGGTTAAAGACCGAGATTGAATCTATCCAACTTCTCCCAGGATCACTGTTGAATGTGGATAGGTCTTCTGAGGATAAATACGCTATGGAAATAAAATATTCCATGATGATCACAGAAGGAATATATAAAAATCGCTTGTTTCGATTCAAGATAAAGATACCGCATGCCTATCCATTTAAGCCTCCAAAGCTTTTGTGTCTGGATAAAGTGTTCCATCCAAATATTGATGATGATGGAAATGTTTGCATGGAGATTTTGAGGCTAGGGTGGAGGCCTAGCCATGGGTTGGAGAGCATACTTGTTAATCTTTATGTTATATTTGTTGAAATCACAGGAGAAGATGCATTAAACACACAGGCAGGAGATTTATTCAAGCTAGACTATGAAAGGTTTGTAAGAATTGCAAGGGGCCAGGAAAGAATCTAAGACTTTCAACAGGATCTAGCGTTTGTGTATTATTGCTGCATATTCTTCTTTTGCATCTTCAGACACCTCTTTTAGAACAAAATCAAAAGGTAGAGAAGCCTTATGTCCATCCACCACAATAAAATCCAAGTTCTTTAGAATTTTCTTATTTAGGGTTTTTTCAACGAACTGGTATGAGGATTTCGGATCAAGTAGTACAACTCCGATATTATTCGGAGAGATTAATACTCTCAAAGGTCCATGGACTTCCTCTTTAAATATCCTATTCAAAGTTCCTTTTAGGGAAGAATTCTTCCAGAGGTTTATGGATGCCTCCATCTCAAGGATTCATATTGAAGAATTTTTCTATCCATGATATGGATCTCTCGGGAATGAATAGACTATTTGAAGTTCTCGATAAAATCAAAAATAAAGTAGAAAAGGAGGAAAGGCCACCCAACCCAAAGGAAGCGTTGGAAAGAGAGCTTCACAAGTTATATCTATGCATATCCTTAGAAATATGCAAGCAAAAGCTTCAAGGATCTGTTGGTAAGGAAGTTCTTGACAAGGTGAAGGAAATTAAACAATATTTCAAGCACATAGAGAACATCCGGGGTAAAGATCGAAATGATCCTGTACAAAAATAAGATGATACTTATTTATTCTTTTTCTCTGCCTTCTTCATTGCTCTCTTGATAGTACCAAAGATCTTATAGCGCTTCTTCCTTTCGTCCTTTCTTACCCTTCTAGGTGTTATTTGAAGCTCCTTTCCAGTGATCTTTGCTACAACATGCTTCTTCTCAACTGAAGAAAGAACTTCAGCATTTGAATAAATCTTTGCTCTGAGTGTGGTTCTGTGTGTTCCATACCTATTCTTAAGATTTCCAACTACAATGTTCTTCTTGCTTGTTTGATAGAGCTCAGATATCTTGTCTGTTATTTCCTCTCTGCTGGGAATAGGCATTCCAGGATGGTATGCAACCACATCCAATTCTTTCCTGGAAAGCAGTTTGTTCTCCTTAAGGCCAGAAATCTCAAGTTCCAAACTCTATAAGTTAGCTTCAAATACCTCACTTACCATTTCGTGAGGGATAAAATTTTCGGAAATATCTGTCTTTCAGGCCTCTCGACCTTCGAAAATATTTTCCTTAACAGAAAGGCCCTTTGAAATGGTAAGTGGAACTTCGGAGTCCTGGAAATAACTTTAGGCAACTATTACAATCAACAAAGCTGGAAAGGTTAGGAATCAAACACCAAAGGATCCTGTTGTCGAAAAGGAAAGGAAGAAGTGCGGGCGCTGCAGACAACGCTTGAAGTTTGAGAAGAGAAACGAGATGGGATATTTTGATGTGATGGGAAAGATGAAGCTGAATCCTCAGTCATGAAAGATAAAATAAAATCTTATTAGCCTCTATGGCCGAATTTTCCGTTATAAAACATATCTAATGGATTACCCTTGCTATTTTCGAAGCTTTCTTGGTTTTTACCAAGGATGTCAAAGAGTAGCAGATAGAAAGCTGCAGGCACCAAGGGTGCTAGGCACACATTTTAATTTAGACTTTACTATTAGTTTGACACTCCTCCTGTGTCAAATCTGTGTTTTTCTTCTCGTCATTCTCCATACTATTTTTTTCCGGCTCTTCGGCCTCAGCTCCTACTGCAACAAGTATAACGGTGTCTCCCCTGATAAAGACATTTCCAAGCTTTCTAGAAAACTCGCTACCCTGCCTTTTCTTTCTTCCCTTATTTCTACCTCGCGCAGTCCCAAACTCCCTAGCTTCTCTTACCAATAAGTTATAATGCCGATCATATGCTACCACTTTTCCTGTGACCTTTCTGTTGTTTCGTAAAGAAATCAACACAGGAATCATCTTAACCATGGCCCGGCGAACAAGTGAAAGAGGCCCTTTCATTTCCATCGACTCCTTCTCCCCAGGATTATCTGGATTGTTCGGAAGAAACATCTATGGGCCCATCCAAACATTAAAATAACCAAATATTTATTACATGTCTTAAGACAATTATTCATTCTTTCTCTTAAGCTTCACAAACTCCACTAGGCGATCAATAAACCTGCCAGAAGTCTTTCCATGGTAAAAGTTTTCTATAAATCCAGAAATAATCTCGTTGGACACTCTTTCCCAGTACCTCATTGCAATTCTTATTTCTCGCCTTATGTCTTCAATCTCTCTTTGAATGTCAACATTCTTGATCATCTCATTCATTTTCTTACTCATCTTTATTCTCTTCATATGAAGGAACGATATATTCAGGTCCTTTGCAGAAACTCCTCTCTCAAGGTTTCTTCGGACATATACATCATAGTTCCTCACTATGTCTGTTATTATTCCACTAGTACTAATTCCCTTTGTTCTTTTGATCGGTATAAACATCCCCATGTCTTTTACAAACTTGTAGATATCGTCCTTATTCTCTCCCTTGTACGGAATGTCATCATGCGCAACAAAATCTATTCTATGCTTTTGAAGGAATTCCGATGTTAACTCCCATGGTGCACTTGTTATAACTTCATCAACATATCTGCAATGGATTAGTCCTTCAGCTCTTTCTTTTTCGTTCATGACAAGATTTCCCTTAAGTCTTATAGTTATGTCGTCATCTGTAACCCCAACCAGCAAGTAGACATTTGGAAAAAGATTCTTTGCTTGTTTCAAACTTCGGGCATGTCCATAATGAAATAGATCGTACACCCCATCGCAGTATATTCTAACAGGCCTATTCACAGGGACCTTATACATCCCAACTTCAGAGGTCATCTCTTCATACTCGAAGGTATTTCTGTCGGGATATGTGGGAGCCATCATCTTGTATTTCTCTGTGTCGTTTCTCTTCATCATGGGCTAGGTTTGCAGAACGAAAAATAAAACCAAACAAATTCTCTGTCTGTGTAAGGTTTCTTCACAGTAATCAGAAACAATCAAAGTTACTAAATCTTTGCCTTTGTTTATTAGAATTATCATTGGATATAGTCCAAGTCCTGAGGAATCCCAAAGCTACTGTTAAACTCTGACTTTTCCATTGCAAACTTGTTACAGATATAATCTTGTATAACAAAAATGTTGTCAACAATCTTATTATACTCGTCGATTACTTTCTTTCTATCTCCGATAAGCTTGTCATAGACTATAGGATCTGTTTCTTCGAACTTCTTTAGCTCTTTTTTTTGTTCTTCCTCCATCTTCTCTAGGGAATTCAGCCTTTCTTCCAGCCTGCTTCTCTCTTCCGTGTAGTTCTTGGACTTTCTTTCGTCTTCTAAGTGTTTTCTCTTGTTAGAAATGTCTTCAGACATTCTTTTACATTCGTCCATAAGCTCTTTACACTTCAACTTCTTCTTTTGGACTCCTTCAGATGCAAACGACCAATACAGATTGGAGGTTCCAACCTTCTCGACAGTGACAAGACCTTCGTCAACAAGCTGTTGTAGAATTTCTTTGATCGTATTTACCACTATCCCCTTCTTCGAGCCCAGAGTTTCCAATTCCTGTAACTTGAAGAATGACTTACTTGTTCTTATTATCTCCAATAGAATGCTTTTCTTCTGGTCTGCTTTCATCTTGACTGTTGCCATGACTACAGGGCTCCTCTCGAAGTAGCTTATTAGTGTTTCCAATACTTTATTTCCATAGGATCTATACCCCATGATGTCGTTAGAGCTGACCAAAGAGAATATCAATGCAGTTTCTCTTGAGCTTGTGAAGAACAAAAAGATGTTTGACAAGAACGTGAATTATGTAATGGGTTTCATGCTTAAATCTTTTCCCGAGAAAAACGAGCTTCTTAGTAGAATCAAAGTCCTCAATATTAAATCAAGATCAGCAAAGAAGATAGACCCCGAGTCCGATGTTATGGAACAGATAGCTATGAATGTCTTTGCCATAAAGAATCTTGACGAAGGAAGTTTCACCAAGAACATGCTAGCCCTCTTCAGGGACCCAAGTTCCTTTTCTCAAGCATTCCTTACCTACTTCTATTCTAACTTAAATCTTAGCACTACGAAGACAGATGAGATCTTGAACGGGCTCGTAGAATTACTCTTATCTGAGTCCAAACTCAAAAAAAGCTTCATGAATTTTATGAATTCGATTGAACTCTCGGAGGATTCTGAATCTATTTCCCTGGAGGAGGCCAAAAGTCTACACAAAGCCTCAGATGATCACACCTTTGAAAAGATAATAAATAAGGAAAGTTATGATGAGTCATCAAGCACAGTGATGTCTCTAGTCTCCCTGGACGACTCTGAAGAAATCAAAAGAATCGATACATCTATTTCCCTGCTGTTTGAAGGAAAGAGAGAAAAGATGTCTATGCTGTCGATACTAGTGTGCACTAGAGTATTGAACATTATAAGGATCATACTGGAAAACAACTACCCAAGAGATGTAGATGTTATTCCTGTTCTTATGTACATCGCAGAGATAGACCAGACAATTTTCAAGAAATCAATGTCTGCTATCAAGATAATATTAAGGAAAACAGATTATAGAGACAAAGAAAAGCTGTTTGAAATGTTCTGTGCTCTACTCGAACGAAACCCAGGCATTATAAGAATGGCAATGCTTTTTGTGGATACTTGTGGAAAACACTTCAACTGGCCGAGATTCCTTGAAATTATAGATGGGAACGAAGAGATTGATCTGGATGTCGTGGATAGGTCTTACATTCCAAATTCTTCCTTCTATGAATTTATATTGTTTGCCGAGGATCCAAGGAGATACATGAAGACAATCAAAAGCATGATTAGAAACGAGTTAGACTCTTCTCTTCTTAGAGATTTAAAAGAAAAGATTAATGGAAGACCTGATCTAAAAGATATAAAGCCGATCAAAGATGCTATAAGCTCCCGTCTTAAGCTATTAAGCCAAAAAAAGTGTTCTAAAAAGGAAAGGAAAGATAACAGTAACTAAAGAACATATTTAATTCTATCCATTTGTGTTTGGCTGCTGTTTTGAGAATCTATGAAACACATTTTCGATGGCAAAAACTCGTTCTCCCTCCCTTTTCAAGAGAAACAGCATCCTTTAGTATCCATCTGTCTTCCTGATCATCCCATTCAACTTCTATTCTGCTACGGCAAACATCACAAAGTGCTGGGCCTCCGGAATGGACAATCTTCTCGACTTTTTCAACCTCTAGCCTGAGTTTAATCTTCTCGATGTTTTTTGTCCATGCTTCTAGAGTTGGAAAGAATTCTCTGCTTATACAATCCTTTTCTCCTAGAACCCTTGCTTTTCTTCGATGCTCGTCGATGTGAACTCCCATTTGCTCATCGCCTTCTGGAGTATCTTTATACCTCAGACCGCATAGTTTGCATTGGTTTGGATAGTATAGAATAGAGGGATCCATCTCAGTCTTCAAGTACTCGTTATTCAAAATATCCGATTCCTGCTCTTTTTTATCCCATAGGTTTTTTGTTCTTGCCTCCTCAAGCACACTTCTGCTTGTTTTTTTACTGGCCACTTCCTTTGGTTTGGAATCAGTTTCTCCCTCCTCATCAATGAGTGTATTTCTTTCATTAATGCTGGCCTTGATCATATCCTCCGAGCTGGAAGAACTTTCTTCGTCTATTCTAGGTCTTTTGGGTTTTTCCTCCTGGCTTTCTCCAGATAAAAGTTTGAATATCTTGTGATTTCTATTAAATTCATCTTTGTACTTTTCAAAAAGACTCAGATACCTAGTATCCTTGCTACAAAGTAGAAAAAGAAAATCCAAAACCGCCTCTTTTCCAAGCAGGCTTCTATGATTCTTGATCAATGCATCACTCACAGCTTCTTCATTGTATCGAAAGCTTTCAGAAATCATAAGCAAAACATTCTGTGTAATCTTGTCGTTCTTTTTGAGGGCCTTCAGGAGGGAAACAAACTCATCCATGAGGGTCTGCCAGATTGGCTTTTTATCGCTTGTCTGCAATCATACATCAAGTGGATATTTATACTAGAAACCCCCAAGGTTTTTTTCGGAATATTTGATTTTCTTCTTGGGCATCGATTTGACACTTTCGTCTTCTTTTTCTGTGATTTGTTTGATAATTTCATAGAGAGTAGAAACCACTTTTCCAGGCCTAAAAACCCCCTTTGGTGTCTGTCTTGTTTCATACACCTCCTTAAGCATCTCGAGGTTGTCGGGGAATTTTACAAGATAATTTCTATTCTTCTCCAAGCCTATCTTGATCTCCTTTACACATCCTTTGTTCCACATCACAAATTTCTCTTTAAAGAAGAAATAGCTCTTTTCTTCAACAAAGAAGAAACCTATAAGGTTCTCAACCTCGTATACAACGGTTTTGGAGTTGATTAGATCAAATCGGTCGCAGAATAAAAACTCTCCACCTCTCTTGTATAGCGCCAGCATTGATTTCCCTACAGAAATTTTCATGAAGTCCTCCAAAAAGATAGACTCTGCAGTCCTATCTTCTATGTTCAGAGATGTAACCCTGAAACCCTTGCTGGTCCCCTCCTGTATGTAAAGCCGATCCTTTAAAATAGTTAACTGTATTCTCAAGGGAGTTGAGTATATAGTGCTTACCTTGAGGTTATTGAGATTCAAATGGAACACTTGCTTCACTCCCACAACTATCAGTTCCCGGAACAGATAGAAGTGTATGAAATTGACTCGGCCAGTATATGGAAATACTTTTTTGATCCCGTCCTCGTCAAACAACAGAATCTCCTTGGAAGTCAGAACAAATACCTCTCCAAAAGAGGATGTGGACAAATCTATGGCGCTAATGGAAAACATGCTTACTTTCTTCTTCTCGTAAATATACATGTGTTTTTCTGTAAGAATAAATGCCTTTTGGTGCCCAGTCACTAGTCTTTTGCAAGTATCCTCTATTCGGAAGCTATACTTATACTTTCCAAGAACGTTAAAGAAATGGCCGTCACTCGAATATATCACGCTATCGTTATCTATTTTCTCCATGAAAGCTACTTGCGGTGGGCTCTTTGATTTAACGGCAGTCTTTCTAAATGGAAATGCTAAAGGAATATCCAACTCCTTCCTGCTAAAGTCGAACTTGCCATTATATTTTGGAGCTCCAAGCATCTTAAGCGCAAACGAATCGTTCAAGTACTTGGTTGGTTTCTCCTCAGGAAAAATTATCATGGGTGTCTAGTGGAGTAAGGAAATGAGTTGGACGGTAGTGCTCGATATCAAGAGGTTATAGATCTGCTTTATAGTGCATTGGATATTTTGTACGAGATCTTCTAGAAGAGGATAGGAAGAGACCCCAGGAAATGAAATGCCAATACTGCGAAGTGGAGGAACTGCTCATAGAGTGTGTGGGGTGTGGAAAGCATTTCTGTAACTCGCGTAGTGCTTCATCGATATCTCATATAGTATTTCATCTTGTAAAGGCAAAGCATAAGTCAATCCGAATTGGTGGAGACATCAAGTGCAGAAAGTGCGGAGAAGATAATTTGTTCAAACTCCTTGAGAACAATGGGAAGATTTTCTGCAATGGATGCAGCTCGGGTAGAATGGTGGTTGAAGAGAGATGTCTCACTATAATCAAAAGCCCTGAAGTACAAGGAAAAAGATTGACGAAGCAACAGATGGCAGAGATGGAAGAGAAGAGTATGGCGTCTCTTCCCTATGTTAAATCAAGGTTTGAAGCCAAGGAGTATGTTGAAGTGTTTTCTTCGCTAATTGAAGCTGAGTGCAAGAAGGAAAGAGAGATAAAGGAATCGATGAGGCAAGAGAATGTATTTGTTCGATGGGAGAAACTAAAGTACTGCTATTTTTACTTTCAGAATGGAGATAGTGAGCTGAAGATCAACATTGGAGATGAAATTAGATTGACACATAAGAGTGGATTTGTCCTACACGGATTTGTCAGTGGGGAGACTTTTAGCGAGGAGCTGAAAGTGGAGATAGAAACACCTGGAGACTATCCAAGAAGTGGATATACTGTGGAGTATCTCTGGAGAGGAATATGCTACGAGAGAATGGAATGGGCCTTAAGAAAGTTATACAATACATATAAGAAGGAGACAGACAAAATCAAAAGAAATAAGAATAAGAATGACGAAAGAAAGCCATGCGACAAAGGAATAGATGTCTGTAGGGATTTGAGTGTACAAAGACCAACGAATAGAGGCGATATCGGGGCTATGGGGGATGAAGGAAAGATGCAGAAAGGAAGGAAAAGTCTTAATGAAGGCCCATCGATATTTGAATATATCTTAAAAGGATATAAGGAAGGGATTGGGAATTCGGGGCATATTTTTCCGGTGCCGGATCTTCCCAGACTTAATGCTTCTCAAGAAATAGCTGTAAGAGCAGCTCTTGGAAGGAAGGTGACTCTGATACAGGGGCCTCCGGGGACAGGAAAGACCTTGGTCTCGTCTGCTATTGTTTATAACCTAGTAAAACACTACGGGGGAAAGGTTCTTGTTGTTGCTCCCAGCAACACTGCTGTAGATCAACTTACCTTAAAGATACATAAGACGGGACTAAGAGTTCTGCGAGTGATGAGTAGGAGAAGGGAATGCGGGCAATCGGATGTGAACTTTCTTTCTCTTCATGAAAACTTGAAGGAGCTGCAAGAGGGAAGAAAGAAAAAAGATGAGTGCTATGGAGACCATAATAGATACAACAGCATTTACAACGATGAAACCAACGAGTCATTGAAAAAACACCTTTTGAATCAAGCAGAAGTTATCACTTGCACGTGTGTAACATCTGGCCAAAAGATGTTCAATAAGTTCCGATTCCACTATGTATTGATTGACGAAGCAGTCCAATCGACAGAGCCCTTGAGCCTTATCCCATTAGTGTATGGGTGTAAAAAGCTTGTGCTTGTTGGAGACCACAAGCAGCTGGGGCCCACTATTCTTTGCAAGAAGGTAGCACAAGCGGGATTCAAGCAAAGCTTGTTTGAAAGACTGATTTCAATTGGTGTGGTTCCCTATGTACTATCGGTTCAGTACAGGATGGATGCGGATCTTTGCGAATGGCCTTCTGAGATGTTTTACAACGGAGAACTTCTTACTGGAGGAAAGAACTTCTGCAGATTTGATCTTGGGATTCCAACGAACTTCTTCTATGTATGTTATGGAAGAGAAGAAGTCAGCCCAAGCGGAACCTCGTTTGTTAATCAGGCCGAAGCCTTGCATTGTGAAAGCATAATAAGACATCTGTTCAAGTGTGGTGTTACAGAGAATCAAATAGGAGTGATAACACCATATGAGGGACAAAGATCTTATATTCTAAATAGAATATTTGGAGCCGAGCCTGGAAATCTTGAGATAAGCAATGTCGATGGTTTTCAGGGAAGAGAAAAGGACTTTATAATTGTTAGTCTTGTCCGAAGTAACCTATACCAGGGAATAGGGTTTGTTGGTGACAAGAGAAGAATGAATGTGATGCTGACAAGAGCAAAGCATGGGTTGGTAATAATAGGAAATCCAATGACTTTGATGAGACACGATATGTGGAGTAATCTCTTGTCCTTCTATGATAGGAAAGGCCTTGTGATGGAGGGCCCTTTACACAATCTCAGACGAGTTGTTATAAAGCCCCCCAAGCTCTTCGACTTTAGAGAGATAAGCAGATCTCTTATGAATCAAATATAAAGGGATTTCCAATCAGAGGAGGGAAAGAACTACTGTTTGGAATTACTAAGAAATAAAAATTCTTGAATTATTTTTATGTTCTTCTTTATGCTTTAAGAGGTTTTACAAGGTCTCTTTCTTAGGTATTTTGCTTTCACTGCCTACATCAATCTCTTCCTTTATGTCCAAAGCAGTCCTTCTGACTATAAACACAGGATCCTTTGTAAAGCTGTCAATGTTTAAGATCTCTCCAAAAAACTTAGGCCATTCTCTATACGAATGGAGTAGTGCTCTTCGATACCTCCAGTCATTCTCATAGTTCGTGCACAGAGTCTTGGATATTTTCAATAGGAATTCGTTATCTGGGAAGTGGTCTAGAACCCTGATCTGAGAAAGAAAAGCCTTCCTGTAGCGTTTGCATACCTCAAGAACGATTCTTTCCAATTCTTGCTCTATACAAAACTCGGGGGAATTAAGCCGCTTGGCGTTCTTAAACGTCTTTTCGTCGCCCAGCATAGACATCTTCTCTTCATCCTTCGAGAGTTTGTTATTCTCCTCTGTGCTGTTAAATAAATTAAGAAGGATTTTGACTATCTCTTCCAGATCTTCGGCAATGTGTGCATAGACAGCATCCGAGACTCTTTCGATCTTGCTTTCGCATATCTCCTCAAGGATAAGGAACATTTTCTTGTGGGGAAAAGACCGGAGAAACTTGATGTACAGCTTGCTTATGTTGGAATAGTCGTTGACAGACGAAATAGATATCGATCCAAAAGTGTCTGCACACCATTCGATGTAAAGCCCGAAAGTTGTGTCTGTTACAGGTAGATTATCAGACTTCAGCATCTCTCTTTTTGAATTCCTCATTCTCCCAATCATAGCCTCCAAGACTCCAGAATCTATTGCTTTTAACTTGAATATGTGGGAGGCACATACAGGTTCGTACTCTGTGCCTATATACTTCTCAAACAAATCTAGAAGTTCCTTGTCAAAAGACAAGCTAAGATATAAGGCAACATTCTCAAGGAAAAACCTCGGAGAAACAGACTCAATGTCCAGCAGATACTTCTTAGCCTCCTTCAGACATCGGCTTTCATCCGAGGGCTTATAGGAAGCACACAGACAAGTCTTGTCTTCCGATTCTTCAACTCTACATCTACAAACTCCATCATGACATTCCTCTTCATATGGTCTTTGGTGAGGTCGGCACTCAAGAGTGTCCCCTTCCAACTTGTTTTTAGCTTCCTCCCGATCTTTACTGTTATTTGATGGCGAAGTAGTAGATTCAAAAAATGGCTTGTCTTGGCTAAAACTTAGTTCCTCAGGGAGTCCCTCCATTCCATCTTCTCTTCTGCCTCCCCCCGCACTATCAATCGAATAGAAATCCGTTTTCTTTTCGCATTCTACTCCTTTATCGTCCCCAAGCTCCCCTACCGAGGATATTTTCATGTTTTTGATCCACTCTTCCATTTCCAAACTGCTCATTTCCCTGGCGTCCTTGCATCGCCCACACTTATACTTCAAGCTTCTTTCCCTCATAAGCCTGACCTTCAAGAGATACAGCTCCACAAGAAAATCCTTTTTCTTCTCAAACATTTCAAACAGCTCGTCAAACTCCGCCCTGCTTGTTCTGGTAAATAGGAAGGCTACAATATCAACCACCTGTTTTGTGCATATTCTGGCAAACGGAAGAATAAGCTTGTAAAGGTAGTCTATGTATCCTGTAGAGACTTTATTTTCCCCACTGCTGATTGAAAGACCGCATTTACTGGCAACAAAACTTATTTCTTCATCTTCTTTTTGTTTTTCAAAATGGTCTTGTAAAGCATTTCCAACCATCTCCAACACAATCAGACTTGTGTTAAAATCCAATAGCTTGGTCCCCATCATAATCTTGACCATCTTCTCAAAATCTACTGCCGAGTGGCTATACACCTGCTGAATATTTCTGTATGCCCACACAACATTCTCCGGGTCGTTCATATTCAAGCTGTCGATCCGGAAAGAAAAGTCCTGGATGTCTGTACAGCCAGCTCCCTTGATCTTGCTGTCCCCCATCAATGGGGTCAAAAATCAACATTTATTTCGAGATCTGCCGCTCACCAGATTTAAAATTATGTATATCTTTATACCTTTTCATTACCATCATGGTCTTAAGATACTCCAATTAATACTCCATTAATCTACTGTATGATAAATTCTATTGATTTTGGATATGTCATAAGGAACTTTTCATCACATGATTTTACACTCAGACTACAAAGGATATATAATAGACTCTAGTAGTATCAGATTAATTACGAATATTTCCAAAACAAGAAAAAGAACACGTCTCTAGAACATATTCTTTGTAGTTTAAATGTATAAATAGAATGCAATAGGAAGGAAATTAAAGATGATAAAGCTCTCACTTCTCCTAAGTCTAGCGAGCTTCACTGCAGTTCTTGCAAACCAAAGGCCTCGCTGCCAAAGATGCCCAGTGAGCAGCAGTAAGTACTTCCAACAAAATAATCTTCTTGGAAGCAGGTTCCAAAACGAGGTACAGAGACTTTGCGCCCGCCGTGTGCGAGAAGAAAGTTCTTCTGAATCATCCTCTTCCTCTAGCTCTGAAGACTGCTCCCGAAGAAGGAGAAGACCCCACAGAGAATGGGAGGACAGCTGTTCATCATCATATTCTTCTTGCAGTAGCACAGATAGCTGCTCTTCAAGCGCCCCCTGCCCACCTCCAGTGGCTCAAAGGTGTGATATCGAACTCAAGACTCCTATAATCCTGATGGGAGAAAGGATCTACGAATTCCTCAAGAACTACGAGGACCAGTACAAGAAGGCTGTTCTTCTTTTCTTGACCAATATCCTTTCGCAGATCTCAGGATTCAACCCAGTCTTCCCTGGTGGAGACTACGATGCTCTGATTGAACAACTCAAGACACTTGGAGTCACTGTCCCAGCAAACACTGCTGCCGAGCTTGCCGCCATAGATGCTGCTGAGTCGTCAGCCCTCACAAGGGCCATTCAGGCCAATGCACAGAAGGTAATTAGCGATCTACTTACCAGGGTCAGTGCCATGTGCTACTTGGACATCATGAGCCTTGTCAACAGTGGTCTTCTAGCCAGCCAAGTCTCAAGTGTTTTCAACAACATCCAGCCAATAATCACCATTGCCGGAAATGATTTGTTTGCCAAACAGATGGCAGTGTTCCAGAAGATACCAGGAACTCTGCCCTCCGCTGCCATCACAGCTATCACCAATGCTCTCCAAGGCAACAGGACCAACTTTGTCACATTCTTTACAACTCAGACAAGCAATCTGCAAACAAGCGTCCAGAACTCTCTTACAACCCTGATTTCTGAGCTTGAGAAGCTGGCCACCGACACGGAGACTGCCTTCACAGCTTTTGCAAATGCAGAAATTTCAGCACTTATAAGCAGAATCTTCCCAACATCCACCACATCTTCGGGATCCGGAGACTCTACAGGGTCTGGAAGCACGGGAGATGCAGGAGATGCGGGAGATACAGGAGAGGACGGCGGAGATGATGAGGGTACAGAAGGAACTGGTTAGAACTACCTATCCTAATGTCTGAGTCCGGAATCGGCTGTTATAAAGCATAGCAAAATATCAGCCAGGACTCAAATGGCCTCGTGGTTAGAATATGCCCATATACTATCTTCGCTGATATCAAGGCTTTTCACAAGGCTGTAAATAAAACTGATTTCCAAACTAGTGTATTTTAACGATGTGTGGTTGGGAAGACCCATGAAGTTTGAGGATTTGAAAATCGACCAAAGAATTGAGAAAGGATTAAGAGAAAGTGGATTTGTAGATATGAAAGAAATTCAGCAGAAGGTTATTCCAATGGCACTGGAAGGACATGACATAATTGGATCTTCGCAGACCGGAACGGGAAAAACGCTTGCTTTTCTTGTTCCCATTTTGCAGAAGTTAACCGATCTCCAATGGAGCGGAGGAGATGGTCTTGGATGCGTGATAATCACTCCAACACGTGAACTGGCCTTACAGATATTCGACGTCCTCAGTAAAGTTGGAAAATACACTGTATTGAGCACAGGATTGATTATGGGGGGACTTGAGACAGAAAACGAATCTTTAAGATTGAGCAATATGAACATTCTAGTATGCACACCGGGGAGGTTTCTCCAGCATCTGCAGGAGAATCCTTATCTAAATACCGGGGGGATCCAGATACTGGTTCTTGATGAGGCCGACAAGATGATAGAGATGGGGTTCAAAGAGACTTTGGAAGATATACTTGGGTACATTCCTTCTAAGAAGCAGACCTTGCTGTTTTCTGCAACACCCAAAGCCTCAACGGCTAGAATCCTAAGGTTAGAAGATCCCAAGATCGTTTCTATGTATAAGGAAGAGGGATTTCCATCTCAACTACACCAATATTTCTATATGATGAGGATGGAAGACAAGGTCAATTATCTACATACGTTTATTGGAAGTAATCCTGGAGTTAAAGGAATTGTATTCTTTAGTACTTGCAAAGAAGTTAAGTTTCATTATCTTTTGTTTGAAAAGCTTAAGCTTCGCAATAGAATCTTTTGTCTCAGCGGTGGTATGTCGCAAAAGCAAAGAATAGATACGTTCAAAAAGTTTGTGAGAGAGAAAAACGGAATTCTGTTCTGCACGGATCTGGGCTCCAGAGGACTGGATTTTCCTAAAGTTGATGTGGTTATACAATATGATTGCCCATGCAATATTGAAACGTACGTCCATCGTGTGGGAAGAACAGCCCGAAATAATGAGGGTGGAGAGTCCTATGTGTATCTTGTTTATGGAGAGGAAAAACTTCTTGGGGATATTCAGAAGAAAGGATGGATTAAAAAACAAGAAACTGAAAGTAAAGATGAAGAAGACAGAGGTAGCTCTGAAGAAATTGTAGAGGGGCCAAATATCCGTATCAAGTCCATTGATAGGATGATTAAAGGCCTTATAAAGTCAAACAAGGAACTTAATGAGTATTGTAGGAAGTATCTTACTACATACGAGAAGTTCCTTACATTCAGTAGTAAAAGATATTCCGAGAGCATAATAAGAAAGATCTCAATCCTATACGAATATTTTGGGATTTCAAAAGATTAGAGACCTGTTTATTTATTAAACAAACATCAGCATTTTGTATTTTTAGCAGTAGAGCTAATACTCGTTTAATCTCAAGAGCTGATTATATTTGCTAACTCTTTCTCCCCGACAGGGTGCACCTGACTTTATGTATTCTGCCCCAACACCCACCGAGAGATCGCTTATAAAATGATCCTCTGTTTCTCCGCTCCTATGAGAAACCATGATTTTCATTCCATGTCTTCGAGCCACCTTTATTGCATTTATTGTTTCGCTAACTGTTCCTATCTGGTTAGGTTTTACTAAGAGTGTATTGCACATTTTTCTTATTCCTGCATTCTCGACAAGTTGCGGATTGGTGACAGTCAAGTCATCCCCAACAATATTGATTTTGTTTCCAACCTCGGAGTTTATCCATGTCCATCCATCATAATCCTCTTCAGAGAATGGATCCTCGAGACTATATATCTGAGGATATTCCCTAAGAATTCTCATGTATTTTTCTCCTAGATCTCTTGTTGTATAAACTTCACCATCGAGATGGTATTTCCCGTCTCTTAGGAATTCGTTGGCTGCAAAATCAATGGCAATTTTCATTTCTGTTCTTTTGCATCTTCTGGATGCCTCTAACACCAGCTCCAATCCTTCTTCTAGCTTCTCGATTGGCGGTGCAAACCCCCCTTCATCTCCCACCGAGGTATATAAGGCACCGTACCTTTCAGATATTGTTTTCTTTAGAGATTCGTAAAACACGCATCCGGACTCTATATTTTTCTCTAAGTCATCGTATTGATATACAACCATTATTTCCTGGACATCCATTTTATTTCCAGAATGAATCCCTCCATTTAAAACATTGAAGTGAGGAATGGGAATCTTTCTTTTGAACATTCCTATGTCCGAAAGGAATTCGTCAACTCGTCTATTTGAATATGCTGCACCCATTTTGCAGAATGCAGTGGAAAGTGCGATTATTCCATTTCCTCCAATTCTCGACTTGTCTTTTGTCCCATCCAGCTTCAATAAGCAATCGTCTATCCCTTGCAGATCATCAACAGGACACTCCAGCTCAAATATACTTTTTGTTGCAACCTCATTAATATTGTTTATTACAGTCTTAACTCCTCTTCCATTATAGGACTTCCCTCCGTCAGAAACCACCACGGCTTCTTTGGAGCCTCGAGAAGCACCTGACGGACAAGAAGACCTATAAACACCTTTTGATGTTATCAAATCAACCTCAATTGTTGGATGCCCTCGGCTTGTTAGTATCATTCTTGGCTTGATTTCTTCTAAAGCATCTTTGACTTTCATCTTGGTTTTGTTTTTAGATCTTGGATTGAGTCTATAAATGGTATTATCCAATTCCCTTTGACAGGAAATGAAGAAAGACTTTTCAAAACACTTGAAGTATCTTTATATTACGGCACTCAATATGATTGGAATTCCATCATTACATAGAAGAAAAACCAAGAAAATGAAAATGATATCCAACAAATACCAGGTAAGACTGTCCCGAGAAATAAAGAGGACATTATGTTCTACTTGTCTCTCGATTCTTGTTCCAGGATTCAATTGCACATCAAGAATAGTGAGGAAAGAGAACGGTCTATGTCTTAAAACTGTATGTGGATGTGGAAGTGAGAAAATCTTTGTGGCCCAAGGAAGATAATTCCAAGGTCTTCTATCTGACAATAGATCAATTATGAAACACGGCCATGTTTCATAACTTAGATATAAAGATTTGGGCTTCACAGCGTATGGCAGTCATGGACCTGTTGATAGAAAAGATAAATGACCTCCAGGACATATGTACAGAAAACAACATATCAAATAGAATCGAGCTTCCGCAAATAGTAGTTGTCGGTAGCCAAAGCTCTGGAAAAAGTAGCGTGCTTGAAAACATAGTGGGAAGAGACATTCTTCCGAGAGGAACAGGGATCGTCACCCGAAGGCCATTGATATTGCAGCTTATTTACAGCAAAACAGAAGACTATGCTGTCTTCAATCACCTTCCAGAAACAAAATTTACAAACTTCGAGGAAGTAAAGAAGGAAATCATCAAGGAAACAAACAGAATCCTAAAATCAAAGAATGACGTTTCCCCACTTCCGATCACACTTAAGTACTATTCCTCAAAAGTTCTCACGCTTACACTGGTCGATCTTCCAGGATTGGTAAGGGTTCCAACAAACGATCAGCCTAAGGATATATGTACCAAGATAACAGAGATATGTAGAAAGTACGTATCGAATAGGAATGCACTAATCCTTGCAGTATCTTCCGCAAATACAGACATATCGAATTCGGATGCCTTACAGCTTGCAAGGGAAGTGGATCATAATTATGAAAGAACAATCGGAGTTCTTACCAAGGTAGATCTGATGGATTCGGGAACAGATGTTGTAGACATACTAGCTGGAAGAATCATATGCTTAAGACTAGGGTTTGTTCCTGTTGTAAATAGGAGCCAGCAGGATATCGAAAGAAATAAAAGCATACAACAAGCATTAAAGGACGAGGAGGTGTTTTTCCTATCTCATGAGTCTTACAAGAGGAACAGAGCGTACTGTGGAACAGGATATTTGATAACAAAGCTTCATAACATTCTTCACGAACACATAAAACAATGCTTACCAGAACTTCAAGAAAGAATCAACAGTGGAATGATTGATGCTCAAAACAACCTTCGAGATCTTGGAAACATATGCTTGAGCCCGAAAGAAAATGTAATGCGAATCATCAACACTGTTTCCAAAAGATTCAGCGATATTCTCTCAGGAAACATCGAGTCTAAGGGAAACGAGCTGATGGGGGGAGCAAGGCTGAACTATGCATTCAATCACCACTTTTCAAAGTTCATAAATAGGCTTGGTGCTCTTGACAACATTCATGACGAGCAAATAAGGGCACTACTGTATAACTCTAGTGGATCGTCATCTGTACTGCTATTTGGACATGTAGCCTTTGAAAAGCTAGCAAGGGTTTCTGTGGAATCCTTCAAGTTGCATAGCTTAAAGCTTGTGAGCATAGTATTTTCCGAGCTGGTTAGAATGATTAAGCACATTGTAGATGTTTCCACAGCAAGTAGGTATCCTGTACTTGGAGAAAGGATTATAGCCTGTGCGATCGGAATGTTTAAGGAAAGATGTGATGCAACACATAAACTGGTTGAGTCATTCGTTGACTGGAATACAGGATACATCAGTACCAGGCACCCCGACTTTATACGATGGAATGAAATGTTATCAAGGGAAATGGAGGATTCTGTACTTGAAAGAAAGGCAGAAAAGATAGACTTCTACAAGGGAATGGAAAGCAAAGCCACTCTTGATTCCATTCCTAATACGTTAAGGATTCGCGATGGGCTTTCCGAGCAAGAGGTTATAGAGATAAACATGATTAAGTCCATGGTTGAGTCTTATTTCGAAATAACCAAGAAGATAATTGTTGATCAAGTTCCAAAAGCAATAATGTGTGAGTTAGTCAAAAAGGCCGAAAACTCACTTCAGGAGACACTATTCATGGAGATATACAACAGGGAAGACCTGGATTCAATAGCGTCAGAGTCGGAAGAAGTGAAGTTAGAAAGAAGTAGAATAGAATCCATGTTAAAGGCCTTGAAGCAAGCCTATGATATAATATGCTCTTTATGAGATTAAATATCCTTATCTTATTTAATTAGCTTCTTTCAACAATACAAACATATCTTTCTTGTAATAGTTCGAATTCATATGCAGGTTGTGGATGACATCGTGTAATGGGATGGCCCTTATGGAGGAAACCGTTCCCTCATGAGCTATTTTTATATTTATGATATGAATGTGAAGTCTAAGATATGTTGGCCTATAGTGGAAGAACATAAATACATGCTTAGGATCCAAAGCAAACTTTGTTGCCAAGATGGTGTTTGCGTTTTCCTGGGCTCTTATCAGAAGATTGTGAGAATTTATGTCTCTTATTGTTTTGAGGGCAGGATCTTTGAATATCACCAAAAGGTGGAGATGGTCTATCAATTGCTTATTCCACTTATAGTCTGGAATAATCATTATCTCTTGGTCCTCATACAAGATTTCCTCATTTACATTTCTTTTACTTGGATCGATGATATTATCCATCCAACTAGTACTTATGTGGCCGTAGTTTTTTAGAAAATCCAAGTATTCCTCGTAAGTTTCTCTGATGTAAATGGGACTCGAAGAGTATTTCCTGATGTGCTCTTCTGTTGCCGGATATATGAGTCTAAAACTGATGGGCATATTCCCTAAGACTTTATAGGTATAGTACACATCGTTTGACTGAATTCTTTCCATTGGAAGAGATAGGAACTGGGAAAAGGTGTCTTGTGGAACGGGTTGATTTGGAAATATCAATATAGCCTTTTGGCCTTCAACCTTGCCTATGTAAAGATGTCCCTCGGAGCTTGTAAGACTTTCCTCTAGAATGAATTTCTTGATTACATTTTCCATAGCAGGGTTTAGATTTTTACGTGTAATGTCTAATCCCTAATGAAAGATTCTAACCAAAAAGCCAACGAAAAAGCAAAAGAGTTACTAAAAAAGATGGAAGAGTGCATGGGTATAAAGATTGAGGGAATTTGTTCACAAGAGGATTATTCTGACGTCATAAACAGATGCTGCGAAAATCTGATTGGTTATAAAAAGGTACCCTTAGGGGTTTCAAATAGAGGGGTATTAATAAACAACCGCATGTTCTTTATTCCAATAGCAACGACAGAAGGTGCATTGGTTGCATCAATGTGCCGTGGAATCAAACTTATAAATGCATGCGGAGGAGTTGAAGGGTATGCAGAAAACGTCGGGATTACAAGAGGATTTACTATGAGGTTTGAAAGTTTTAGGGAGGCCATGAGGTTCTACCAGTGGATAAAAATGGAAAAGTCAATTGCAAATCTCAAAAGAATTGGAAATGAAGGAAGCAGGTATATGAGAATCAGTAAGATTGAATCCAAGCATGTTATAGGGGAAGATGTATACATTAAGGTACATGGGTACTCGGGAGATGCCATGGGAATGAATATGATAACAAAGTCATGTGTTCAAATATCTAATGAAATAGTTCGTTTATTTCCAAACTCTAGTCTTGTGTGCATAAGCTCTAACACATGCACTGACAAAAAGTGGTCTGCAGAAAACTATTGTAATGGAAGAGGAAGAAAGATATTTATGAATCTGAGAGTAGACAATCGAAACTGTGAAGAGATACTTGGAGTTAACATAGATAGAATTCTAGATGTATATCATGCGAAAGTTGTGGTTGGGGGATCTCTTGTGCTAGGGGGATTTAATTGCCAAGCAGCCAACTACGTTGCAGGGATATTTCTAGCTCTAGGACAGGATCTAGGACAAATTATTGAAAGTAGCAATTGTATATTGAGCATGAAAAAACTTGAAAGTGAAGTTCTGAGTGTTTCTTTGTTTATGCCTTCGGTTACAGTGGGTGTGGTTGGTGGGGGTACACACCTGGAACCTTCCAAAAGCTTTTTAAGGCAATTTAGCAATGTGAATGATGAATACATAATAACGAATAAAGATGAAGACAAGTCGGTGGCACCTGGATACTTGGGACTAGCTCTAGGAGCAGCAGTACTTGGAGGAGAGCTATCTCTTTTGGGATCTCTTGCGGATAACACATTAATGGAAAGTCACTTGAGATTGAATAGAAGACAAGGGTAGGATTGAAATGATGGTTTAGGGGCTTGTATTAACATGCCCTGGAGCCAATAGTTTATAATGGTCTCCTTTTGATCTATCAATGATTTTTCTTGTATCAAAAGAATAAAAATAAAGGCCCATCATATTCGGATGTCAATTAGGCTGACGATAAGATACCGAACAGATTCCATAGAAGCAAGTGTAATGATGACGGATACTCTAGAATCCTTGAAACTAAGAATTCAGGAAATTACAGGAGTGCCAGTGGATTCTCAGGTGCTTCTGTTCAATGACAGAGTCCTTAACGACAACAACAAGGAACTGAAGGAGCTTGGAATAGAGAACGACTCCACTTTGTATCTTAAAAAAAGATCTGGAGCTCGGAAGGAAGGAAAGCGACAAGATTTTACTGCTTCCATGATGAAAAACCCTTTAGTTAAGAATTTTCTGAAGAATCCAGATGCCATGAAGAGCATTGTTGAGATGTTCCCTGGGCTCAAGGAAGAAATGAGCAATAATCCAGAACTACGAATGATGATGAATAGCTCAAATCTCCAAGAAGAACTCGAAATGTTTTCCATGAATCCGGAATACATGAACACCCAGCTTAAAAACCTGGACATAACAATGTCCAAGCTAGAGAACATCCCTGGCGGCCTCAATATGATAAATAGCATGATTAAGGACGTTCAAGATCCTCTGTCGTCAGCATTGAAAGAAGGAATGGGAAGAGGATATAGAGTGAAGGAGGGAAGAAAGATAGACAAGCCCATTAATGAAGCAATTCCAGGTGCCCGTAAAGAAGAGAGTCAATTGGTGAAATATAGAGATAAACTGGCAGAGCTTAAGCAGATTGGATTCAGTAATACTAGAAAAAACTTCACGGCTCTTATCGCATGTAACGGGGATTTAGAGAGATCAATAATGTATTTACGAGAGCTGGACAGTAAATCATCCCCGACACAGAGGGCAAAATAAAAATAAAGGCGAGGCCTTACTGCATTCTTCTTTCCCTAGGGTTGTTGTGTCTGTTAGAAGCCATTTCGAAATTGTTTTTAATAGCAAGGTACACTAAACTTCGCTCCCAATATACTTAGAATTCACGAGGTCAATAAATCTACATACGCTAAACGAGCATATCCCTGCTATGTCACAGATGTTGTTTCCATTCTTCCTTAGCTTAAGAAGATCATCAAACCTGAACGAGACAGGATGGGAAACCAAAATATTCTGGACATAAATCTCCACGCTAAAGAGAAGAGGAGTGTCGGAGAGAAATAGGAAGAATATCTCGGAGATATCGGGAGAGTCATATATTTGGACCAATACTCCCATGTTCATTAACTTCTCAGCACTGTACTTATGAGTCCCATATTTAGAATCCCTAATGATATCGTCAACACCGTTAAATCCAAACAAGGACCTCCTCTTGATAGCCAATTTTGCAGCGAAAGAGTTGAGATAGTTCTGATAAAGCTCTATCTTTCCTGATAGGTAATCATCTTTGTAGCATAGATTGTCGTAACTTATCTCATTTATCCTGAGCTCTTTGCTTCTTTCTTCAGACATGAATCTCAGAATGACTATATCTTGAGCTAGCATAAAGAGGAGTTCTGAATACAGGTTATGTCTACTAGTGATCTTCTTATCTTCCAAGAAGTTCAAATCATCAATGATGGACTCTTTCAGCTGGTCGATAGTTTCGTATTGCTTTGGTGGAGATGCTATTGACAAGCCGTCATCCTCCTCCTTGGTGCAAATAGCACTCTTCTTCATTTCCAAGTATCGGGATCTCTCCTCTTCATCGGATTCCTTTAAAAGCATCTCAAGCAAGTTTCTTCCCTTGCACACCGATATGGCATATATAAGCTTTCTCTTTAAACCTCTTACAAAGTTCTCCAACGCTATCTTTTCGGGATCCTGAGAACATATCCATTCAGGCCCAAAGAAAGTGAATGAGAGTGTTTTGTTTTGATCGTCTGGGAACAAAGGTAGGGTCTCAAGAATCTCACACAACTCCGAACCAAGTATCCTAGTGTTGCTTAGGAGGAGAGTTATTAATTGGTTTGCAGTACTACTTGGAAGATGTACGGTTGCCCGCTTGAGCTTTCCCAACTCATTCATCGACTCAAACTGGAAGTAATGATCAAGTCCAGAGACGTTTGTAAGTTTGGAAAGAATAGATTGATATCTTTCGTGGCACCTTCTGAAAAAGGGATAAAGAGGGGAATAGAACCTAAGTTCAAAGTTCTTTTTCTCCCCACTTATAAAGGACATGTACTTACTCATTCCGTCCCCGTCTTTTTCCTCTTCACCGTTGTCTGATTCCTCGAAGAACATTACTCTGTCTGCTATATGTTCCAGAATCTTGGATATTATAAAGCACTTATTTCTAAGAGATTTCCCAACCTCAAATGATTCAATAAATGCATCCGGAGCAAGAATGAAAGGCATTACAAATTCCGAATAGAATGTCCTAGGGCCGTATAGCTTAAGGAAGTATCTAAGGATATAAGGAATTGATTCAACACTAGACTCCAGAAGATCCAGCGCCGATGCAATCACTCCACGAACCACCATAAGCCTTGTCTGCACCGCTTCCCTAACTCTCTCATTCTCCAATGCTTTGTCCGCAGACGTACTTTGGTTGAATAGCATTTTGTATATGAGAACCGGATTCGCATCCACTTCGATGTTTTCCAGGTTCTTTACAACTTGAAGAATCTTGTCTCGAAGAACAAAGCTCCCCTGGGATATCCTGAAATAGTTAACCATTAACTTGTGGGAAATCGATCCAGGCATCAAAGTATGGTGAACTGGGAATTCCACTTCTCTAAATAACTCGAGAGAGAAAAAGGTACTAGAATGGATTCCTAAAGACATGTCTATCGGGACGAGTTTCCTTACATCAAGTCCATTATCGAGAAGCTCTTTCCTGAATATCTCCAGCACAAGGTTTATAAACATGTATTCCTCTTTCTTTGAAGAAACATTGGAGAAGATAGGAATAATGATGGAGACTATAAAAGAATCTGGGTCGTTAACGTTTCTAAGAAGCTCAGAAAGATACTTAGGGTTGTTCTGCAAAAACAGTAATACTCTTTCAAAGTCTCTGGTGTCTTCATCCTCTGGAATCGGATTTTTGATTGTTATGTTTCCTACTTCCATCCTGTTCTGAACTATTAGTCTAATTCTTGTCTCAATGTCCTTTATCTGTGCTTCCTTGGCATAGATACTGTCAAACTTCCGTGATATCTTGTGATGAAGATTTTCTATAAGATTTTCCTTGACCATCTCGGATGAATTACTGAAGAAAATAAACGCAAACCTTCGGATCGAAAACAGAGAGACCTCCTTCCTATAGTAGATATCATCAAAACATTTTTTGTACAAAAAGGTCCGAAGAGTCAGCTTGAGAATATCAAAAGATTCGTCACAAACACTTATGTCCTCCGATAGAAAACTCCCTTCCTTTTCTTCTACATTCTCCTGATCTAAAATCTCTTTTCTTACTTTATTTTCCCCATTACCTGCTGCTTCCTCCATAGCTATCTTTTCCTTTAGCACATCTTCAATGTTGTCAAACTTAGGCATGTTCATCTTCTCAACCTGAACATCAGCTCTTGCCATATCATCATAGGAAAAGATCTTCCCTTTAGCACTCTTGATATTCTTGGAAATTCCCTTTGAACTCAAAAGATGTGCTAAAGCATGGATGCAGTATATGACCTTAACAAAGTTTTTCTTTTCATATAAGTCGATAACCTCGAAATGGAAGTATTCCGGCAGTCCAATATGCGATACTCCACTTAAAAAGTAGTTGATATTGTCCGTGTGCCTGTATTGCAAAGTACAATCAACAAAAACATTTTTTACAGAGTTAGGTGCAAATACTTTGCATATATCAGTAAGAATCACTCCTTTCCTCATTTCCTCTTCAAACTCTTCAAATGATTCAGGTACAGAGGTAAAATCTCCCAACCACGACTTCGCCTCCTCAAGCCTGCATAGGTACTCGTATGCCCGAGTGTTTCTTCTCTCTAAGTCCATGTCTTCAGACGACACATGAACATCGGTACCTAACCTTTGGTGAACATTAATACTATTTTTCTTGAGCTCTTCTTTTTTGCTTTCCATGGGTGAAAAAAAACTGCAGAATTTATAAGGATTATCAAAGGTATCGAGTCTTAGAGCCTAAAAACATTTCCCCCTTAGATGCAGGAGTTACTACTTAACTTTATTCATACTTTCTTTGGAATCCACGGGAAGTCTCCTTCTCCTTTATTTCTGGAAAGTGCAATGAGGTACCTGAAGCCATCCAAATTTGAAGCCATGGAGGATGACGAAATAGAGAATGCAATCAAAATCAAATCATACAGAGCATATTTGGCATACAGAAGAATGAAAAAAAACATCATTGCCAAGATGCTTTGTTATGTACTAGCTAATGTGGCTGACTCCGAGATTTCAGTAATGTCAGAGCTAGATAGAAATGTGAAGAAAGGAGCGTTAGGGATTGAGATTTCCTATTTTTCAGAAGCAAGTCTTCCTTTACTCAAAGAAAGTGTTGGTACACACATATACGGAATTGCATTTCAGGTGTACCAAAATGCATGTATATATAGAAAGCTTAGATCAGAAACATCTTTTTCTTCTAAGGCACACTCATACTTTTACGAAATCGTAAGAGAGGAATTGGAAAAGTATGAAAGATCAGTAATTGAGCAGGATGAGGAACTTCTCTCTTTTTATGTCGGTATGTATTCTCGGTACATAAGGATTCAGATAATTCACCAGCTAAACGAATGTTTTAGAGATAATCCTAAGAAACCCTTTGAGTTCCTTAAATTCAATTTTCTCTCCAATCATCCATTTTACAGACAGGTTTTGGAATCCAGCTGTTTGCATATCGACAGCTGCCTCCAAGAGTTTCTATTGACAGGATCCTTTAAAGACGATACTAACGAGTTTTTCATATGCCGCAAAGTAACCATCGATCCTTGGGAGGAGTTCACTATTGATTTTGGCCTTGTCCCATATTTTATTAGCAACAGAGTAGTTCAAAAGATCTTGTATATAGGGAAGTGCTCATCTCTTATAAGAAGATATGACTTGGAGAGAATTGGAAGCCTAGATACCTTTCAAGCTTCACAAATTGAATCCAGAATGGAGAAGACCACCGAAGGAGTTAATTTCAGAAACCTGGTTGAAGAAGAACTAGAGAACATTGCAAGACAAATTAATATTTTAAATCCCAACCTTGAAGAAAACATAGATCTAATTCTCCATAAGATCAACAAAAAGATAAGACATGACTTTCTCAGTTGCCCTGCCATATGCAGTCAGATTGAAGGAATCAAAAACACCTTTTTGTTTAGAAGATGTGATTTTATTGAAACACTCTTTCTTTACCTAAAAGACAGTAGGGATCTTACTAGAAAGAGTTTTAGCTACGTTCTGGACCTTGCAATTAGAAACACTTATGGAGATGTTGACGAATTTACTTCGGGATTGGGCGTATATATCGTGGACGACGAAAACAAATACGAGAACTTTGCACTATTTTGCCAGGTAAGCTATCCAGCAAGCATAATAATTACAAAGGAAAGTGTCCTCAAGCTTGTAGCAATATTCCAATTTCTCTGGAAGCTGAAGAGAGTCGAACATCTTCTTCTGAGAATTTCAAAGATGAAAATGGAGGGTAAAACCAAGATTAAGATTGCTTCCTACAAGACTTTGGTATATAAAATAAGCTATTTTGTTTTCCAAGAAGTGATTGAAAAAAAATGGAACTTCTTCTCTGCATCCGGCGAAATGCCTTTGAACAAACTAAGGTTAGGAATGGAGAAGGTATTGGATGAGGTCATAAACATATGCCAAATTGGAGGAAAAATGGAAGCTCTTCTTGACTCCATGAAAGATTCTCTAATAGATACAGGAGCCAGATCCTCTTCGTTTAGCGATGAAGAGATTCAAAGAAAACTATCGGAGCTTGTGAAAGAGCATGGAAATAGTTTTATTGGAACGTCTCTATATGACCTCCACAAATATTCTAAGGCCATCAACTAGCACCCTCAGGCTGTACTAAAGATACTCCTTCCTATCTTTCTCCATTATTCCCGATTTGACTATTTTTACAGGAGGTATGGGTCTAGTGCTATAGATATCTACCTTTTCTATATCCTTGATCAGTGAAATGCAGTCTTCATTGACATTCCCAAAGACTACGTGCTTTCGATCAAGATGAGGTTGTGGAGAAAAGGTAATAAAGAACTGAGACCCATTGGAATTTGGCCCACTATTGGCCATGGATAATTTACCGATTCCATCATGGCCAAATATGAATTTTTCGTCCTCAAAAGGTTGGCCGTCATATATAGAAATAGACCCGGTGCCATTTCCTTTGACAATATCTCCTCCTTGCATCATGAACTCGGGAATAATTCTATGAAATATGGAACCTTCATATTTATAAAATTCGTTTCCAATATGTGTTCCCTCAACAAGTTTATAGAAATTAGCAGCTGTTTTCGGAGCAGCATCCCAGTATAATTCAAATGTAATTCTTCCGGATTTCTTTGTTCCATTAACCACATACTCCACGTCTAAATACGGAGTTCCTCTGTTTGGCGATGTATTTACTCCCATACAAAGTAATACCAGTAAGACAGCACCATGGATTTTCATGATGGGCTTGGGCCAAAAACCTTAAATTATTAATAAAATTTTTAATGCCCTTAAAAATGGAACTTCTAGACTATGGAAAGCTTAAAGTTACAGGTGAGACAAACCAGGAGTCAACAAAGGTCAGGATTATACTTTACAGTCCCTCTAAGGAAGGAGTTGATATAAAAAGCGAGAAAAAAGATTCCAGCCATCAAGCCTTTCTTAATAGAATGGGCGCAAAAGGAAATTCAGGTGAAAGTTATGTGCTTCCAGAAGAGAATGGAAAAATAACCGTGTTTGTAGGAATAGGAAAGGAGGACGAAAATGTTTTTCTTGTTAAAAATAATGCAAAGAAGGCAGGAGCCTTGGCATACAAAGCCGTTTCCCAATTCAAAAACTTGGAGATCTTTTTAGAATCGGAATTTATGGGAAAAGAGGTTGCATCTGGAGTAACACTGGCTTCATACAAATATCAATTCTTGAACAAAGAGAAAGGAGAACCTAAGAAGGTGGCGATAAACACTCAGTTTCCTTCTGTTAAAAAGGCAATAATGATAGGCAATGCTCAGAATTTCGCTAGGTTTTTAGGAGATACACCAGCAAACCTCATGAATCCAACATTGTTTACCGAATATGCTGCCAAGTATCTGCATGGAAAGAAGAATGTTACATTTGAGGTTTTTGGAAAGGAATTTATGAAGAGTAAGTCCATGAATCTCCTCTTGAGTGTTTCCCAAGGATCGGTTCAAGAGCCAAAGCTCTTTGTTGCTAAGTACAGAGGAAAAGGAGGGGATGGCGTAGATATTGCACTGGTTGGAAAGGGAGTTTGCTTTGATTCTGGAGGAATATCATTAAAACCATCTGCACGGATGTCCCTCATGAAGGGAGATATGCTTGGGGCAGCTTCTGTCCTAAGCGTCTTTGGGCTTGCAGCAGATATGGAAATTAAGATAAACATTGACCTTGTAATTCCGTTGGTAGAGAATCTTCCTAGTGGTACTGCAACAAAACCAGGAGATGTTTACATAGGAATGAATGGAAAAAGTGTGGAGATTGACAATACAGATGCAGAAGGGAGACTCATTCTTGCAGACGCGCTTGTGTATGCACAGGAAGGGCATCCTACATATATATTTGATGTTGCCACCCTAACAGGTGCTATGGCCGTTGCTCTTGGAGATGCATTCATTGGATATTTTACTTCTGATGACAAACTTTCGGAAATAATCTATCAAAGCGGAATTGATGCTAGTGACCCTACCTGGAGAATGCCTTTGTCACAACTGTATTTACCTACAATGAAGTCTGATGTTGCGGATCTAAAGAATACCGGAGAAGGAAGATACGGCGGATCTGCAAGTGCAGCAATCTTTTTGAATGAATTTGTTGGAAAGGAATACAAATGGGTTCATTTCGATATCGCCGGAGTAATGAATAGTAATAACAGCAAAGGAATTTATGGAGATGGAATGACTGGATGCTCCGTTTCTGCATTGATTGAGACAATTGAAAAGCTATCTACAATAGTTAATTAAATATGGTGTCTCGTAGGAGGATTTGGTCGTCGGAAAGTGACCTTGAGATCACGAACTTAGCTAAATTTCAATTACTAATCATATCCTCGATTATTCTTCCTATATCTTTCATTGCATTGCCCAAACATTTTTTCTTGTAATTATTTCTTTTTTTGAGAAAGCGATCCATTATGTAGGAGAAATCATATTTCGAAAACACAAGGTTTTCCTTAACAGCCTCTAATATAGAGTCAGTGTACTTCACATCATATCCCTTATTAAACACTCTACTCTCCAGCATTTCAATACATCTAACCAGCTGCTCTTCTATGAGAAAAACCATCCCACTCCTTTTGATGCTTTCTATTTTCTCCAGGTCCTTCACAAGAATGGTTTGTTCTTCTAAAAACACCCTGAAATATCCAAAGATATCTTCAATGAAACTTTTAAGAGGTTGGATTTTGTTTATCCTCTTGAGTCCATCTTTGAATCTTTCCTCTAAAAACGAAAATACGTAAGGAGATATTCCTTTTTTTCCCTTTGAAATAACAGAAAGATATCTTACCATTTCTGTTTTATCGTGAAACAGAACCTTGGGCGAATGGAAACACTCATCGGCTTCAATATATTCGTATTGCTCTGTAAATACGAGATAATCAATAAGCTCTTTATCAATTACAGGCTTTTGTACAGTGGAATCTGTTTTTTTCTTGTAGGTGTAGGTTAATTCTTGGTAAATTCTAAGTATATATTCTACACTTTCCTTATTCTTTTCAAATACATACACTGTTGGACTCACCTTTATCTCTAATAAATCATCTTTAATCTGAATTTGAATGATGCTATAACTATAAGCATTCAAGAGCCTGTATTTCTTGGCTCCTTCTTGAACTATACCGATCAGAAGGATATCATTTGTCATGATAAGAATACATTCCTTTCCGCTTTTTTCCCTGAGAATATCAAAGTGAACCAAGTATCTTCCTTCCGTAGCAAACACATCAACTTCATTGTCAAAATTATCCAGAACTCGTCTAAATTTCCTTACAAGATCCTTGTCAACAAAGACTTCCTCTTCTACGCCTCCGTCCATGTTATACCTAACTAGCTCTTTGGTTAAATCAACCATACTAGTAACCATTCTATAGGACTCTTCATAGACATTAAGAATATCGAGCAAAGAATCACTATTGAGAAGGAATGTTTTAAGCAACTCAGTATCCACTTCATGTTCTATCTTAGATATGTTATGTCTTTCGTTTTCCAGAATAAAACCTTCGTACCTCTGGAAGGTGTTATTTAAATAGGACTCCAAGTCAAAGGAGTTGAACCTTGATATTTTACTTGTTAAATCTGGCATTAAGGGCTTAGTACATGGTTCATAATAATCGTTTGTTTATGCCAAAATGTTTTTATCCCCATGAGGAAATTCGATCAACAGCAAATCGATCAAGTTTTAAAAAAGAGATTCTTTCTGGCTCAATCAGCACATATATATGGAGGAATTTCGGGACTATACGACTTAGGCCCACCAGGATTGTCAATAAAAACAAATATCTTGGCATTGTGGAGAAAGCACTTTGTACTTGAAGAAGACATGCTTGAGATAGAAACGACCACCATGCTGCCTTATGATGTTTTGAAGGCTAGCGGGCATGTAGATAAATTCTGTGACATCTTGGTTTTTGACGAGGTGACCGGAGACTGCTTCAGGGCGGACCACTTGGTTGAGGAAACTCTAGAAAAAATGAGTCCCACAGAAGAAGTTATTCGAGACCTTCAAAGAGTTGATTGCATGACATGCCAGGAAATCGACGCAGTTATATCAAAGTACAACATAAAGAGTGTTTTGGGTAATAAGCTAAGCAAATCACAGCAGTTTAATCTTATGTTTGGAACACAGATAGGTTATAAAGGAGGCCAAACCATGTTCTTAAGGCCTGAAACGGCACAAGGGCAGTTTTTGAATTTTAAAAAGCTTTACGAATATAATAACGAGAAGCTTCCATTTGCATCTGCCTCAATAGGAAAATCATACAGAAATGAGATAAGCCCGAGATCAGGCCTCATTAGAGTTAGAGAATTTGACCAGGCAGAAATCGAACACTTCGTTCTCCCCGACGAAAAAAAACATCCGAAATTTTCCTCAGTAAAAGAAATCAAATTGAAGTTTATACAAGAAGATTCAAGTGAGGAAATCTCCTTGGGAGAAGCAGTAGAGAGAAAAATGGTATGTAATGAAACCATCGGGTACTATATTGGAAGAACTGCTTTATTTCTTATAGAAGTAGGAATTGACAAAGAATTGCTCAGGTTTAGACAGCATAAAAAAGAGGAAATGGCTCACTATGCTAAAGACTGCTGGGACGCGGAGATATACACATCTTATGGATGGATCGAATGTGTAGGAATAGCAGATAGATCGTGTTATGATCTAAAATGCCATGAAGATGGGTCAAAAGTTGATTTGAGATGCAAAAGAAGACTCACCAATCCAAAAGAGGTTGAAGAATGGATTCTAAAGCTAGATAAGAAGGAATGGGGAGCAAGGCTCAGAGACAGATTTTCTACTCTAATAGAAATGATCAACGGCTTTTCCCAAGAGTATATTGAAAAAAACATCTCAGCTCTTGATGGTAACAAAAACTACCTAAATGTGGAATTCGATGGACATGGCATCAATGTTGAGTGTTCCAAAGAGAAGAAAAAGATATTTGTTGAAAACGTAATCCCCGATGTAATCGAACCATCTTTTGGTATTGGAAGGATTCTTTACGCATTACTTGAGCATTCGTTCTACCAGAGAGAAGATTTAAGACCTGTACTTAAGTTAAAGCCAATGATTGCGCCAATCCAATGTGCTATCGGATACCTAATATACTACAACGAATTTGAGGAACATATTTTGAAGATAAAAAGGTCTCTGGCAGAAAATGGACTAGTGGTTCATGTAAACGAACGGTCGTGCAGTATCGGGAGAAAATATTCTTCATACGATGAATTAGGTGTCCCATTTTTTATCACATTCGACCCCGACTTTCTTAAAGACAGCATGGTAACCATAAGAGAGAGAGACACAATGAACCAGATAAGGGTTGATGTTGAAAAATGTCCCTCTATCATCCTGGAATATATCAGAGGGGAATCTAAATGGAATTAAAGAGCTATAACACCCCCGTTCATTTCTAATTTGATATTTCGAAAAGTGATGGCCCTTTTATGAGAACAAAAAGAAAAATTGTAATTCTGATAGTTACCTTTGTAGTACTTCTCATACTCTTTACAACACTCATTGTAAGAAGGAAAAGATCATATATAAATTCTAGAAACGCCAGCGGCTTAGTGAAGTCTAATATAATTACCAATGAGAACTCGGGAATTCCCTCTACCAAGGATAGAGGCCTTTCCTTTGGTCTTACAAGCTGGCAATTGAAAGAAAATGGATCTTTAAAAAAGATAGATAGCATTTTCATGCCAATTCTTGAAAAGGCCTATAATTTAGAGAAAAAAGAAGATCCTGAGTCTAAAAATAAGGATGAAACCATCGAAGATGAGCTATTCAGGCATAATCAAAGACTAATCTCCTTTAAAATCGAAGGAAAGCATTCGATAGGAAATTATCTATTTGGTTTACTGAGAAAAACCATCGATAACATTTGTGCTTGTTCTCCTCCCGATGGGAAAAAACACGAAACATTTGGGATCAGTTCGGAGCATACAGCACTCATTAGACATTATATTAAGTATTTCAAAACATTCGTTTGCATGCCCAAAGTAATTTATCACGGTAATACTGAGCCAGAAGACATTTATAAATTGCATTTCGACTCAATCAATTGCTTCATCGGAGCTCGGCTAACAAAATACCATACCGCAAGTTCCTTCACTAAAGGAGAAGAAAAGTACATGACATATATAGAGCAATTCATAGATACAGAAGCAAGTGATATTCCTATAGAAATTCTATCAGAGGGAAGGGAGAGATTGAGTGTTAAAGATCACATATTATATACGCTACTTCATTACATTTGTCTCTTTTATTCAAAATCCCAAGAGACTAGAGACATGCTCTATACAAAGATGAAAATAGAAAAAATGGGTATATCTTCTATCAATTTATCAAAGATAATCAATGATTATAGATACAGTGACATAGTTGAGAGTATAAGACCTATTCACTTTGTAAATGATAGTTCTTGCATAGTAAAGCCATTAATAGTAAAATAAAAATATCAGAATTTATTAAATGGTTACGGAAAGTAAAAAAAGAGAGCAAATATATATTGCTAAAGATTTGCAGTTAGGGCTGAAATAGTGTATTCCAAATGTAAGT